AGACGGCGGGAAAGCGTGGCAGGTGTGGGCCAGCATGAGCGGAGGGAGAAGGGAGAGAGAGCTCTTTGTTGCAGGTGGTTTCTCCAACTGTTGAGCTGGGCCTGGAGCCAGCAGCCGGGGAGGGCTGGACATTCTCCATACATGCACACAGGGAAGGGCCGTGGCTCAGGGGAGAGAGTATCTGTTTCGCATGCAGAAAGTCCCACGTTCAATCCCAAATGGCATCTCCAGGCAGGGCTATAATGCGTTTGAATTTCCATTCTTGAATATCCTTTACCTGCTCAGAATCCTTACAGCAACCCTGAAAGGCAGGCTGGGAGAAAGAAGGAAATGAGAGATGTTGGCATCAGGCCACCTTGTGAGTTAATCGCAGAAGTCAGATTCAAACCAGCAGCTTCCTTGATAAGCAACTCAGCCCCTCCCCCTGCAATAGCTCTTTTGTGTCTCTCCTGATATTCCTCCCACCCACCTGACCCCCTCCCTGGAGCTGATGGGAGTTGTAGTCCAAAACAGATAGGTTGTAGAAAGCTGCTCTGCAGTCAGCCAGCTGGAATGTTTTGCTTTCAAACTTCTGGCTTGAGACAATGCACACAATTGCTCTTTATGCTTCCTGGAGGGGCCTGTGTTTGCTTTGCACTCTGGAGTGCAGCGTTTGGGGAGAACAGCTGGGGGGGAGAGAAGGAGCACTAGATAGCACGTGAGCCATCGCTGCACAGCTGCAAAACTTTGCAACCTGTTTGCAGGGGCAACTCCTGCCATTGGAAGTTAATACTAAGCACGCAGAATCAGCAAGATTTAAAAGTACGCCTCCACTTAAAAACATTTTCGAAATGTCATTCTGAATTGTGCCAAATTTCTGTAAATGAGTAAAAAAAAAATCAAAGTGTTCCTATTCTAGTGTCAACCCCTGTCCCATATCCCTGAGAGGTTCCTATAGACCTGCCTTCTCCAAGTTGGTGCCCTCAAGATGCTTTGGACTACTAACACTCCAGACCAGTGAAGCTGGGGTTTGAAGACCATCAGTCTCTGCCTAACCTACCTCACAGGGTTGTGAGAGGTAAAAAAGGAGGAGAGAACCGTGTGTGCCACTTGGAGCTCCTTGGAGAAAAGGTGGGACAGTAATGCAGTGATAGAGAAAAGTAGTGCCCAAATTCCAGGTTGGGGACTTGGGGTGGCAGATCTATCCTAGACCACTTCACTGGCCTCCTTCTCACAACCACTATCCACCTCTCCTTCCACAGTTTCAGAGCTTTTTGTTCTGCTTACCCAAATGTTCAGTCCAACCACCTATACACCATCCTGAGATTTAATCTGGGGACCTGTCTCAGGTACCTTTTGCCTCTTTCAACTTAGCAAACAACCCACGCCTTTTAGACATGCTTCTGTATGCTGCTTTGAGTGCACTTTTTTTTTTTTTAGGAAAAGCAAGGCATAAATGTCACAAAATAGACACAAATAGACAAAGCCAGCCCCCAACCCCATTCATTTTAATGCCACTAGGCCTTCAAACTATCTTGAAGTCACAGCTGCTGCTAGCCAGAGACCCCCATCTCTCTTTAATGTCCTTCTTCCGCATGCTAAAAGTGGCTACTTAGGGACAGCCACTCTGCACACACCCAGAGGCATTCTGCTTCCTTTTATGCCACCTTTTTTAAAAATTCAAGGCAGGTTGTGCAGTTGAACTTTCAGACTGAAACCCCGCCCCCCCAATTTGCAACCAGGGAGGCTGTGGTGAGGATGGCTGGGGGTCAGTGCATGTGTAAAACAGGGTTTGCATAAAAGATACAGACAGAGGGGAGGGGCAGTGATGGTGGGCTTGCGCTGCCTTTTAATCCCACTGTAATTAATGACCTTATCTTTGGCCCAAGCCATTTAGCTAAAGTGGCTGGAGGAAAGAAAGGGGGGGCTCACAGGGCGGCCAGATGGGAGGCTGGCATTTGTCTGCGGATTAGCTGTAGGCAGATGGAGCTAAGTGGCCTTCCTAGTCCCCACCCCCTCGCTACTCTCCCTCTCTTACACACACACACACACACACACACACACACACACACGGACTCCAAGTAATAACAGCCCCAAACCTGAGAAAGTACAACTGGTGGTTGTGCCCATGGGAGTAAATGCAAGAGGGCTTTTTGATCCTTGCTGTTTCTTCTTCTGTAAGGGGCAGGGAAGGATATTACCTTTGTGAGCTCAGTAGGCAGACCTACTGATTCTCCATGCAGCGTCTATCCCTAGTGGCATCTCCAGAAAGGGCTGTGAGAAATTCCCTGCCTGTCAGTCACAGTAGAAAATGCGGGGCTAGATGGGCCACAGGTGAAAGGAAGCTTCCTCTACTCCAAGACCTTTGGGTGCCTAAGGCAGGGAGCTCAAATTCTCCCGTTAACTCACAATGGGGACATTTGCACAGTTCATGGCACTTCTCTCTTAAGGGCACCCCGAATCTGCCCCCTCTCTGGGCCTGGCCTGGGCACAGAATCAGCTCTGGTCTTTGGTCTGGGCACAAACAGGCTTCCTATTTCACACAGCTTTGTCCTGCTGTGCCTAAACTACCCTCACCAGGCCACTGTGCCAGCCTTGACACAGCACTGCTCTGCAAAGCAACGGGCTCCCTGCATCCCCACAGACCTAGAACTCCTTCCCTCCCTCCCAGTCTCCAGGGGAAGCCTCCCTGAAACAAAGCCTGCTCCCAAGAGGGCAGCTCTCCTTTCTCGACCCCATTAAGCATTTCTCCAGCAGCCACAGGAAGGCCTAAACCAGGGGTCAGCAAACTTTTTCAGCAGGGGGCCGGTCCACTGTCCTTCAGACCTGGGGGGGGGGGGGATGAATGAATTCCTATGCCCCACAAATAACCCAGTAATGCATCTTAAATAAAAGGACACATTCTACTCATGTAAAAACACACTGATTCCTGGACCGTCCGCGGGCCGGATTGAGGTGATTGGGCCGGATCTGGCCCCCGGGCCTTAGTTTGCCTACCCATGGCCTAAACCTTTCAAAGCAGTGATTTCCAAAGTGGGCAGTACTGCCCCGTGGGTGGGGGATTCCCTGGGGGGCACTAAGAGGCAAAGGGGCGGCAGGGGGGTGTTGGAGGTGTGAATGACTATCAGAATTTGAAAAGCTAGTATCACTGGATCAAGTTCATTGCTTTTGTTGAATTAATTAAACCAAATAGATTTAATTGGGTTTTGAATAAATGTGCAATTAACTGTTGCTGTTTTGAACTTTATTGTGTGATTATCTTCCTTAGTGGGTTGTGTAAACTGCTGCCCTGAATAATGCTTTTTATAGGATAGGGGCGTAGGGGAGACGGGTGGCACTGTGGTCTAAACCACTGAGCCTAGGGCTTGCCCATCTGAAGGTCAGCAGTTTGAACCCCTGTGAAGGGGTGAGCTCCCATTGCTCGGTCCCTGCTCCTGCCAACCTAGCAGTTCGAAAGCACGTCAAAGTTCAAGTAGATAAATAGGTACCGCTCCGGCGGGAAGGTAAAGGGCGTTTCTGGGCACTGCTCTGGTTTCACCAGAAGCGGCTTAGTCATGCTGGCCACATGACCCGGAAGCTGTACGCCGGCTCCCTCGGCCAATAAAGCGAGATGAGCGCTGCAACCCCAGAGTTGTTCGTGACTTGAGCTAACGGTCAGGGTCCTTTACCTTTTCTAGGGTAGGGGCAGGGTTTTTCCCCAGCTGGAACTCACCGGAACTCAGTTCCGGCACCTCTCAGGTGGGCACCATTGCCAAACAGAACAAGGAAGGCATTCATGGTGAGTTCTGGTACCTCTTTTTCTAGAAAAATAGCACTGGGAGGGAGGCACTGGGGATGGGTTTATGGAACCACAGGGGCAGTGGCCCAAAAAAGTTTGGGAACCATGGTTAGTTAGAAAAACCCACATAGAAGGAATCCTATCAGAGGCTGAGATTTATCTTCCTTTACAGCCAGAGGGTTTGGAGGAGAGGGCCAGAAGAAGATTGCATTTTAAAGTTGCAGATACAGGTGGATCAAGCAATTCTCATCAGTCCATCCAGAACCCAGTCCAGATACTAGCCAAGTACCACAACAGGGTATTCAGATGTCAGGCCCAAACATGAAATACCCTCCAAAATCTGCATACACTTTGTGGGAGGAACATCATCAGCTGTGTAAGCTTCCAGCCATGGAAAAATCCTGAGTAGTACCAAGAAAACCCTTCAAAAAATCATCCAAAAAAGGCTGTTTATGTGTTCAACTTGCATGAGGAGATAAACAGAGGAAGGTGACGGGTCCCGTCCCCCCAAAAAAGTATTTTGTAGTTACTTAGGAAAGCTGTTCCCACATGCAATGCTACAAAAAGATACAACTAAATGAGAAATACACACTGACTACAGAAGCTTGTAGCTATGCTTGTGTTTGTTTCAGTTCATGGGGGCACATTCAAACCCTTTAAGTCAGCCTTTGCCAACCTGGTGTCCTCCAAATATTGTTGGACTACAACTCCCATGAGCCGCAACCAGCATGGCCAATGGCCAAGGATGATGGGTGCTGGAGTCAAGCTACATCTGGAGGGAGAACAGGTTAGCAGCAACCCCGAAGTTACTGGGGAACCTTGCCTTATGGTGACATTTCCCTGTTAAAAACAGATGGAACAAAATCTGAGAAGGTGAAGCAGCTTAAAATGATTGGGGATGTTTTGCAGCAGACCGTTTCCTTGCATGTCTTCTTCCTCTATTCCCCAAGAGGATGCCCAGTGGATCTTTGCAGACACGCTGGTCCAATAATAAAAAGTCACTGTATTGAAATGTTTAAAAATATAGCCTTTATCTTTTTATATAAATAAAAAAATAGTCAGGAGGTAGAGCAGCACGCTGGCATTCATGCCTGGATCAACTCGATTATTTGCATAAAATGGAACCGTCCATCTCTGGAGAAAGGCGACTCAGCATTTTTAAGATGAGAGATCCTTGGTGAGGGTAGGATGCGGCCTCCCGGGCCAGCGTTCCCACCAACAACCTTCCTCCCAAAGATGGAGTCTACATTTCACAGGCTTCCACGCTCCCGTCCTTCTCCTCCTCTCTCTCGTTCCCACCAGTCATGGCACTTTCTTCATGGTGCTTTGTGGAAAGGGGATCTGAGGTCGGGTGTCGCTGCTGTTGCTGCTTCTTCTGGTGAAAACGATGGCCTTTGGATTTCATGTGCTCTGCCAACACAGGTTAACAGGAGATCATTTTGGAAACAAAACCATGAACAGTGCTGCTTTTATATAATATTGCAAAAATAAGAATACAATACTGTTTATTATAAACACACATTTGTTCCGCACACTGAATGTGTTTTGTACCTTTCAGGGTGGAAACTACAGATAAATCGGTGTGGTCTGAGAGTCTCTTATCCAAATCCTCCAAGTAAAGTGCTAACCAGAAGTTCCATCCTGTATTTCAATTCTATTCTAAATCTATGATCGTGTGGATATACTGGGCACTGTCCAGTAAAGGTCAATCATGATTTTGGCCTGGTCTACACATCTGCCACAGGTAGGTCTGAGATAACAGAGGAATCCTGAGCTAACAGTCCCACTGCAGGAATCGTATTTTTGAATGCTCTCCAACCTAAAACATACACACACAAAAACACAAAACTCCTTGCAAGAAGAAAACTGGCACAGAACAAAGAGGCCTGGGGTCCTAGTCTGTCTTTACTTGCAGGAAAGTTTTTGTTTTTGTTTTAACATGGGGCAGCGTTCAAGAATGGCATTCTCCACATGAAGAGTTAGGTGATTCTTGAGAAAGTCACTTCAGACTGCAGAGGCTGCCTTTTTAAAAAAAATGTTCCAAGTAATATTCCTTCATGGAATAAGCATCTAGTAAACACAAGGGGCCATTAAGGACAGCATTGCATACTCAATCTGGCAATCTGAGATGGTAAATGCCAGGATTCCACCACTTCCACCTACTGCCTCAGGCAGGCATAGGCAAACTCAGCCCTCCAGATGTTTTGAGACTACAATTCCCATCATCCCTGACCACTGGTCCTGTTAGCTAGGGATGATGGGAGTTGTAGTCCCAAAACATCTGGAGGGCCGAGTTTGCCTATGCCTGGCCTCAGGGGTTTATCAGCTCTAGGCTGGCCTATGAACACGCATGGAAATAAGGTAGTAGACTCCTGGGCTGGTAGAGGGAATTGTAAAACAGCAGGTGGGGAGGACATTTCCAGATGGTTTTCACTTTTGGAAATGATCCCTGCAAATAAAGGTAGAAATGTTCTAACACAGCCAGTTCTCATCTCATGAGCCAGTTTTCTTCTTGTAGGGAGGCATTTGTGTATATACATATATTTAAATCTTTCTAAAAAGAGGATTCTTTAAGAGAACCATGATTTGAAGTGATAGATGCCATCATATCACTACCAAGGCAGTTGGATGCATGTGCAAACCACAACAGACTCCCATTTAAAAATAAATCTTTCAGACGTTACCTTCAAAACAAGCCTTTGGCTTCTTTGTTTCGGCTGCACTAAAAAAAATCTTTCAACTCCTCCCACTGCATTCATAAAGGACTGAATTACAGACAGCCTTCCAGATGTTTTAGACTACCACTCCCATCAGCCCCAGCATCACATAGCCCCGCTGGCTGAGGCTGATGTAGTGCAAAATGCCTGGAGAAGGCCAAGCTCAGACAAGAAAATCCAAGTGCATCCCTTTCACCTTCAATGGCCAGCTTCCTGCTGTTCTAAGCAGGTGGAAGTAGCTTCTCCCTGAAGAAATGCTAATTTCTCTCCCCGCACCCCACATTTAATACAGAAGCTGATCACTCCTGCCTTGCATGCGATTGCTGGGTTCAAGATCCCTTTGGCCAAGGAGGCAACTGCTTTTACAGCTACAGTAGTGGAAAGTTTGGGGGGCGAGGGGGAGATGGGAGAGGAGGATAAAATGACAGATGGCGGCTCCTGGAAGGGTTTATGATTCTCCCCACCCCCTTGTAAAGTGGCTCCTTTTATAAGAATGCTGTAAACAGCCCTCCAGGAGCTGATCACTCCGGCAGGCAGGAAGAGGTTGAGGAAATTTGGGGGGCGGGGGACGGGGAGCAGGGCTTTGTTCCAGGGAACTGGGAGAGCTTTGTTCCTTTTGCTCCCTTCCCATTCCCACCCCATCCCCCGGCCATGATTTCCCCCTCCCCCCACCCAAAACCTCCTGCAAGCGCAATCCTTCACCTTTCCACTCTCTGTCCCCGATGATGACTCTGCTGCACAGCTCACAGATGTGCCGCCTCCGCTTGCCCTCCTGGGCTTCCCCTGCCTCGTCTGCCATTGTGATGGGCTCGGCTGGTGGCTGCCGCCCCTTGCGAGGAAATGACATTTTGGACCAGTGGTTGCCAACCGTCCCCTCAGACTCATCCCCAGCTGCCCCCTACCCTGCCCTTTAAAAAGCATTGCTCAGAATAGTGGTTAGTATGACCCACTAAAGGAAGGAAACCACACGGTAAAATACAAAACAGGAACCATTTAATGGTGCATTTGTTCAAAACCGAATCAAAAGCATTTAGTTTAATTAATTTAACAGAATTAATGGACTTGGTCCCGTGATACCAGCTTTTCAAAGCCTAATAGTCATTTACACCCCTTGCCTCTTAGCACCCTGTCTAGGGAATCCCACAACCCCCCAGGAGGTGGTGCCATCTACTTTGGGAACCACTGGCTTAGAAGAATGGTCCAGCAAAAGAAGAGGGTGACAGAGGGGCTGCCCCTCCCTTCCTTAAAAGGCAAGCGGGCCCCTGGCCTTAGAACTTAAGCAAGCCAGGCCTCTTCTCACCCTGTGAAGCTTCCCCACAACTCAATCCCAGATATGGGAAGAGATGGTCAATGGCACTCATTACATTTGAACTAAACTGGACTCTGCAGGAGCTCAAGAGGCCTCACTCTTTTCTTTAGCAAAATACCAGGCTGGATATGTGTGGAGAGAGAGAGAGAGGAACCCCTGAAGGAAATCAAGATGCCACAGGTTTCCTTTGTCAACCTGGTGCCTTCCAGATGTTTCAGACTACAACTTCCAGCGCTGTCTGGGGCTGATGAAAGCTGCAGTGGAAAACATCCCGAGGCCACCAGCTTGGTGAAGGCTACATTGCACACATGCCCTGTGGAGTCCCTGTGGGTAACCCAGGGCCAAGAGGTGATGCCTGCCCCTGGTAATCCTATCTTTTGCCTGTAGCCTGTTTATTTTCCCCATAGAACAGAATGGAGCCAGAAGCTGTCTGCTATCTGCACTGCCTCCCTGCAGCCCCAGCCTGAATGGTATTCCTTGGTCACATTAAGGTGTGACAACCCCTGGACAACTGCTTTCAATTTATTTGCAAATTTATGTACCCTCATATAAAATGGGCAAATGCATGTTTTAAGTCACATAATAAACTGCCTTATGCAGACCATTGGTCAACCAGCTCAAAATCGTCTAGACTGGCAGTCACTCTTGAGGATTTCAGACAGGGGTCTCTAGAAGTGCCACTAGGAATTGAACCCAGCACCCGGGACCTTGTGCGAGACATGCTGTTGAACTGAATGGACACAGTAGCCAGAGCGCTACCAAAGTCAGCATAAAGTGGAAGTGGACGATTGCCACAGTCACAAAAGAGGAAACCTCTTGAAAATGAGAGAACTGGTAAAAAGGAAGTTGAAACGGAAGGTCAAAAGGGTCAAATCTCTGCAGAACACTTGGGGGTGATTAAAAAAAATACAATCAGAGCTCATCTAGGATGCATCTGCCAGCTGCCGGTTCTCAGCCTGGAAAAGTCCATACTGTATAGGTGAAGGAGGAAGCCAGACAGAATGTCAGCAGCTAGCTATTTTCTTTCTTTGCTTAGCAGAAATAAGGTTTTCAGCAGCAGCAAGGGGACATTCAGAGGGGAGAGCACTTGGGTCTGCCCACATCAGCACATGCAGCCCCCTCCATGGACAAAAGGAAAAGCACCTCAGCAAAGGCTCCTGAGAAAACTTAGCAGTTTGCATGAGGTAAGAGAACAGGCCCTTTACTGGATCTGTCCATGGTTAAAACACAGGTAGCAGAGAATAAGAATAAATGGGCAGTTCTCAAAGAGGTAGGAGAGGGGAGGTCCCTCCAAGGGGGCCTGGGCTCTTTCATTTCTTCATTAATGATCTATAGAGTTAGGGGTGAGCTGTGAGGTGGCCACGTCTGTGGATGACACCAAATGATTCAGGAGGCAAAAAAACAGATTGCAAAGAAATCCCAAAGGCTCTCTCCAAAGTGGGCAAATGGGCACTGAAATGGCAGCTGCAGTTCACTGTAACTCAGAATTGTAGATTTGCAAGGCACCCAACAGGTCATCTAGCCCAACCCCCTGCCATGTAAACTGATCCATAATCGTGAGATGAGGCACCTCTGGCTGCCTTGAGGCTTCTGTGGGTTCCTGCAGGTCCTCCTCAGCTGCATGATGGGGGTTCTCCACAGAGCTCCAAGCCCCACTCTTAAGAGACGGCTTCCCCAGAGTTTGGGTCAGGCAAGGTCCTGCAAAAAGGCATCTCTCTCGTCCTCTGGCCTTAGAGTGCAACTGCCAGTCAGAGCAGACAAGACTAGGCTACAGAAACCAGGGAGCTGACTCAGTATAAAGGTGGCTTCCACTTTGCCAGCATTGAGTCTCTGTTGATTTGAAAAAGGGTCCTCCACATTTTTAAATGCTGTTTCTAGCTCCCCTGCCTGCCAGGTACCTGGACAAAGCTCTCCACGATCTGCACGGCAGGTTCCAGCACTTTCTCCTCCCACTGAGAGAGATCCGAGACTTCCAAGCCATAAACAGGGGGCACGTTTGGGCCGGGCCCTAGAGAGACCAAGGTAAGAAATGGGGGGGTGGGGGAGAGAAGGCAGCAGTGAGGATCAGCAGCCTGCCCATCCCATTTGCCAGTCTGGCAGAGGACCATTTGCTCCCACCCCACCCGGCATAAAAGCAGAAGGCTGAGCAACAGAGAGGACAACTTCACATTATTCCTTTAAGGGACATTCATAAGCTCAAGGAAAGGAGCGTGGTCAAGCATCTTTTGGAAAGGGGGAAACCACCACATGGGTACCAAAGGCCCCACCCACCACCGAAGTCTGGCCCTTGGAATGTTGCCCAGAAAAGAAAAGGATCCCCCAGCACCCCAATTTAAAGCAAGGTGCAATCCATTGTGCCTTCTTCCATGAGATCTAGAAACAGTGGCATAGCATGGGGGGTGCAGGGGGGGCCGCGCTCGCACTCGCAGCTCTCTGCCCCTACCTGGCTCACTCACTCTCTCTCACTGCAGTGCTGGCTGTGCGAATCCGATCCGAGCCGCTGGGTGGCCGCCCACTGTGGAGGGGGTGGGTGCCAGGCATGCGGTGTGGAGAGAGAGCGAGGGACTATCTGGGGGAGGGACAGTGCAGCGGCCGCCCAGCGCAGCGCTGAGCGCGGGAGAGAACCACACCAGACCAGCCCAGGCAGCAGCAAGAAGAAGCTGGCAGCGGCGGCAGGTTAGGGGTTAGGGGGCGCAAATTACTTGCCTTGCCCCGGGTGCTGACAACCCACGCTACGCCGCTGTCTAGAAACGTGTTCTTTTCAAAACAACTTCTGCTGTAGGCATTCCAAATCCTGCATCAAATTCGTACCAGGCGGCCTGCAGCCTCAAATCCCCACCTGAGAAATCCAGGGGTGTGGCAGCCCACCCCACTTCCTACCTCCACCTCCTGCAGGATGCCTCCAGCCAAAAACTCCTCCTGGTTTCCCCCCTCCAGCTCCTGCCCTTCTGAGGTCCAACTGCCAGCTGGCTGGGCAAGCTCAGTGGCACCAGATGAGACAAAAGGCTTCCTAAGTGCCAAAACCTAAGCAGGTGATGCCTCTTAATGCCCTGACCACAAAAACCACCAGCCCAGGGAGCACCTGTCGGCTTTTTGGCTGGAGAGGGAGCGCGGGCTGCGCTGCACCTGTGTCGGGAAAAGACTGGGCCATCGACCCAAAGCCTCTTCTTGTTCCTCCTCCCTTCTTGGGTTTCTTGAGGGCTCCTCCCCACCCCTGCCCCCCTCACCCTGCCTCGCAAACCTCCCAAGGACCTTTCAACAAGTGCTCGGCTCCCAGCTGTCAATCTTGGCTCTCCTCCAAGCCTGGAGCAAAGGGAGGGAAGTCCGGTTGGCTCCCAGCCAGAGGAGGCTGTGCAGCTAGCCAGGAAGGAGCCAATCGGATTGGGAAGGGCAGCTGTCTCTCCCCCCGCCCACCCCGTCTTTCACTCCAGGATGATTCAATGGGGGGGGCCACAGTGTGTGGGTGGCGGGGTGTGTCTGCGTAGGGTCCCAACACATTTCTCTCTCTCTGCCTGGCCAGTGACTGACATGGAACAAGTTGCTTCACAATTCATACTCTGCTTACAATTCACAGGCCTAGGTATGGCCTCAGGCCCAGCCTGCATAGGGAGAGAAAAGGAAGTGGATCAGATCAAAGGCAGGGCTGGAATCAGAAAGGAAAGCACACCCTCTTGAGTAGGTTGTGGGTGAGGGCTGTGTCACTTTGAGGAGAAGGCACTCTGCACATGCTCAAAGGAACAGCAGATTTTCACAAAACTGAGCACTGGCAGTTTTTGAGGCGAGGGCAGAGGAATCCTGGTGAGCACTGGTCCCAATGAAGAGCCAAAAGAAGAGGGAGAAATGCAAAGACTTCAAGGAGGCAGAAACAGGAAATGGAGGGAGGGGAGGACAGCAGAGAGCAAAATGGCGGGAGAGAATGGAGGCAGGAAAGAAGGACTTACGTCTCAGGAAGCGGTTCCGGACCCATTTGTTCTGCTTCCGGGCATACCTTTTGGTCACTATCTTCAGGGCCTGGATTCCTAAAATCATAAACGGAGGAGAGGTCACAGAGGACAAGGACCCTGGGCAGGGAGCAAGCCTGGGAAAGGGGACGTGCTCACATATTGCAAGAACTGATGCCCCAAGGGGGCAAAGGACAGATCCTTCTCAGCAAGACCGGGGAGGAGAAAACACCAAAAGAACCACCCTCCTGCAAAGTGTCTGAAACTGCAAGGCAGCATTTACACTGCAAATTCAAACCAGCCCAGCTGCCAGCCACTTCCCTCAAAGAATCTTGCCCATGCCACACAGGTGCTGGGAATTCTTTTCTAGAGGTCCAATTATTCTTCTCTGATATTTTCTCTGTGTTAGCTACACTGACCTAGATGGGCCAAGGGTCTGACCTGGTATAAAACAGTTCCCTAAAAATGCAAAGTAGGGTTTTCAAAAGCAGCAGAACGTTTGTTCCATCCGCAATACATAAATCCAAAATGTATGGCCGTAAAACTCAAAACTCGCTGGCCAAATGTTGAAAAACATTGCCCATCCCTTCCCTGCAGCAAGAGCAGCCCCTTTCCTGCCAGCCCACCTTGGTTCAGGAGCTGCTGGCTCATCTCCTCTGAACACTTGCCCTCTGCAATCAGGAACTGGTGGAATTCCTTGAAGCCGATGGACTGGAAAATGCCGTGCTGATAATCCTGGCTGAGGCAGAAGAAGGGGGGAAAGCAGGCAGGTCAGCCTGTTCTCCATCTGCAAAACACCACAAGCCCCTCTGTGCACTGGGGGGTGAGAGCCAGGCTGGCCAGTCCGTCAGGCGACAGGCACACCCGTTCCAGCCATTATGAGCCATGCACAGGGTGCATTTCAGATCAAGTCGCAGCACTTCAGAAGAAAAACCCCGCTGCATGGGTGCTTGGTGCTCTCTGCCACTCCCCCCTCCCCCCGGCAACCTGCAACCACACAGAGTCCCAGCCTCTGATCTCTATCCCCATCCTGGGTGGATGAATGCCAGGACAGGAAGTGGCAAGGCGGGCTGTGGGGGGAGATGGGAAGAAACTCACCTGTTCTCATCTACCCTCTCCTGGTTATATCGCTGGTGGAAGTTCCGCAGCTCTCCCAGCAGCCCAGCCTCCAGCATCGCATCCACCCGCTGGTCCAGCCGTTCTTCTAAAACTGATGAGCACCCAGAAGGTTAAGGATGCAGCCACGCAAAGGCATGCCCCACCCCATGGAACAGGTTGGGAAATCTCGCTCTGGATGCCACGGGCAAAATCAGGTCACACCTGGCACCAAGCCACATCATCCACCTGATCTCAGAGGGTGAGAGGGAAGCAGCATTGCTATTTCCTCCATTCATTCTCTGGAATAATCTGGTTGGTTTGGAATTTACTAGGGGCTGGGGAAGTGGCTCACCTCTCCAACCCCTGAAGTGGACCAGGTAATTTTTTAAAAAAGCATACTATGCAAAAGCCTGGAATATTCACATTTTGCATGCAGATTAAGTGGGCCTTGTGAAAGGATCAGAAAAGCAACATTTTCACCACTGCCCAGGGGGTGGAGGACAGGTGTAGGCAAAGCAGGAAGAAATACTCAGTCAAAGGGCTGTGGCCTTTAGTCCCTCCCTCTTTTTTACCTGCCTGCTCTGCATGTAGCCAGAGGATGCAAGGGTTGGGGTACTTCAGGGGGCCGCTCAGCGGCCCTCCCCCTTCTTCCTGCTGCTGCTGCTGCAGTAGCTCGCTGTGGGGGATGCCCGTTTTTTCAAACACTTGCAAACTCCTGCAGGCAAGAAAGACAGGCAGGCAGGTTGAGTGGGCAGAAGAGCATTTGGTCTCCCTCCCTCAAGCTTCATGCCCGGTGGGGGACAGGCATGGCTGCCTTAGACAGGACCACCATGAGGCAGAGATTCCCCCCCCCATCCCTCTGGCACAAGTGAGATGCTTTTGAACATGCAAAAATCTATCTTTAGAGCATTCCTTTCCTGTTGGCCACAGCCAATCCTGACAATTGCTAGGAAGGGAAACCTGCAGGCCTTTGCGGGTTGTGGGACTCCAACTCCCATCAGCCCCAACCAGCATGACCACTGAACAGGGATGATGGGAACTGCAGGCAGCAACAGCTGGGGGGGCACAAATTCTCCAACTGATGGCTTAATGTGGATGCCCAGGGGGGAACCCTGAGGCCCTTGCAGATGTTGCTGGCATGCAGCTTCCATCTGCTCTGACCAGCGACCATGCTAGCCAGGGATGACAGGAGCTGAAGTCCAGCCACATCTGGAGGGCATCAAGTGCTCAACCGCTGGGAAGAAGGAAGCTAGCTGAGCAGGCCACTGTGAGCCCCAGGAATCCACAAGGCACCTAGGATGCATACAGCTTCTCTCTACGATGCAAACTCCTTTGCTGGAGAAGGGCAGGCAGCACCTTTCAGCTGAGGAGCAGCTCAGCTCCATTCTCCTCCTGGGCTCACACGTCTGCCTTCCTCTCAGACAGGCAGCACGGTACACAAGTCAGGGGGGGTGGCTTTTTGGAGCTGTAGCAATGGAGAACACTGCTACCCCTGAAGGCAGCTTGGTGGACAAGTGTTCATGCAACAGGACTCACATAAAAAAACAGGTACTACCATGAACAGCAAGACCGCCAAGGAAGGCAGTCCAACGTGACACAAGCCCCTAGGAGCCCACACAAAAACTGCTGCCAGAGGCCAGCAGGCCAGTAACATGATATCTCAATCAGCCGGATGCTGCTGCCTCCCCCCACCCCCAACGCAGGGAGCAGAACAGCCAGCCAGTTTTTGTGAAGTCACCAGAGATGCCTTTAATGGCTACGGTGAAATTCCCAGTGTTTGTGTCGACGTTGATATTAGCTCCTAGTTCTCAGCTGGGCAAAAAGCTAAGTGCTGGGCCCAGACACAAAGACGAGTGAAGCATCTTGCCTTTAATAATAATTATAATTAAATTAACATACTGTCCTTCATCTGAAGATCTCAGGGCGGCTCACAAGACAGGCTGCACAGCCTCCTGATGGTGGGTGTTGTGGGTGTGTGACGTTTGGGGTGAGCACAGGGTGCAACGTCTTCCCCACGTTCCCTGATCCTAAAGTGTGGCCTATTGCACAAGACAGAGAGAGTGCGTGCTCTGGCATCTCACAGGGGACAGTCTCCAGGGGGTGGCCTGGCCCTAACGTAGGGTAGCTCAAGGCTCATTTGGGATATGCATGTAAACTTCCGTTCCTTACTCAGGCTGTTGTAATAAAAAAGGAACTGGGAACAAAGAAGTCACTCTGGCCTCATGCATAAAACAGCCCCAGTCCTTGATTCTGTGCTCAGTTTGTAAGGCAAGAGGAAGGCGGCTCCACCCCACTCTCCCAATTTCTCAGGAGAAAATCATCCCCAGCAACCAGCCAGCCAGCCAAGAAGTCCCGGGGCTATGCAGGACGGCTCTGGCTCAGCCCCATCCCAGACACACCCCTGATCCATGTGAACGGGGTGGGTGTCTCTCTGCCTGGCTCCCAGGCAGGGCATGGCAGGGCAGGTCCGGCTAAGGCGGCAAGCTGAGGCTCGTCGCTGCCCCATTTCCCACAGAGCTGCGGCACGCAGTCCAGCCGGAAAGGTGGCTTTCTCTCTTGCTGAACTGAAAAGCATCAGCCAACACCAGCAGAGGAGCAGAGCAGCTGGCAGGGGGGCGCGGGAAGGGGGTGTGTGTGTGTGTGTGCAGCGGCTGCCTTGCAGTGCATGAAACAAAAAGGCAGGAGGGGAGGGGAAGCAGTTCACCTCCAGGGCAGCCTGCTTGAAGCCCTGGAGGGAGGAGGCTCTGCAACCGGGGAAGGAAGAACTGACTGTAAAAAAAGAAAGAGCATTCGCTCTAGGCCAGGCAGGAAGAGTGCAGAACCCCACAGCTGGCTTTGTGGTCACGGCTGTGCAGGCAGGGAGAGCGGAGCTGGGATTCCCACTTAGGCTCAACCCCAGAGCCTGTAAAGGAGAGGAGACATGTAAGGCAGAGTGTGCAACTCTCTGTTTTTTTTGCAGACACCAAGGGATTAACATAAAGCATATAATTGCTGCGGGCTTGCATGGCGTGGTGAATAAGATACGTGATTAAAATGGCTATTAATAGCAACAAGGAAACAGAGCCTCCACGCTCAGAGGCAGTGTACCTGGGAATAAGAGAAGCTGGGGGAAAGCATCCGTGGAGGGCAAGGGCTTCCCAGAGGCCTTTGACTGTCCAGTTTGGGGAACAGAATACGAAACGGGCCTTTGGGTATCAACCAGCAGGCCTTTCCTGGTGCTATATTCTTACAGAAAGCTGCCCGTTAGTCACCCTTTTGCACTGACCACAGGTGACCAGGTGAAGGGGGTAACAAAGTCTACCTGGCAACTGTGGCTACCAGCTGGAGAAACAGACCTGGCCATCTTGCGCTTATCATGGGGGTGCAGTTTGGCTGCCATTCTGGGGTCCACCTGGCTCAGTCGGCGATGGAGCTCTTCGCCATCCAGTTTCTCCAGCTCCATTTTCCGATCCATAGTCCCCTCTGCGGAGCCTGAACTCCTGGCAACCTCCTGCAAGATTATAAACCATATAAGTGAAATTCAATAAAAGGAAATAATAATAAAAAAAAGATTATAAACCATGTTCACCAAAGCTTCTGAACATCACTATAGAACCAGGTAACCTGCAGCTTGCAAGGGGGTGCCCTCCCACTCTTGGCAAGGGGGGCCAGGAGGGGGCAGCTGACCCAAAAGGAAAGGGCCCTTCCTTACGCCCACCTCAGGAATCAGCAGGCTGTCCTGCTGAAGGGCCAATGGCTGGGCAAAAGGAGCCCCAGAGCCAGTTGCAGCGGTGAGAGAAATTCACCAGCATGGGATGGTTTCCAAGTTTGCTCCTACTGTGCTTTCCCCCCCTAAAAAAATATGTTTAGGGGTATTCTCATTTTCCTAAAAAAAGGTAAAGGGACCCCTGACCATTAGGTCCAGTCGTGGCCGACTCTGGGGTTGCGGCGCTCATCTTGCTTTATTGGCCGAGAGAGCCGGTGTACAGCTTCCGGGTCATGTGGCCAGCATCATGACTAAGCCGCTTCTGGCAAAGCAGAACAACGCACGGAAATGGCGTTTACCTTCCCGCCGGAGAGGTACCTATTTATCTGCTTGCACTTTGACGTGCTTTCGAACTGCTAGGTTGGCAGGAGCAGGGACCGAGCAACGGGAGCTCACCCCGTCGCGGGGATTCGAACCGCCGACCTTCTGATCGGCAAGTCCTAGGTTTAACCCACAGTGCCACCTGCGTCCCCACTCTCATTTTCCTACTCATACTGAAATACTGCCCCTCAATGAGACCAAACTTAGATTCACAAAATGTTTAGGGGTATGCATACCCCTGAGTCCCCCCAGAAAAAAAGCACTGGTCCTACTCAGGACTGACCCAGTGAAGTTAACGGACACGACTAACAAAAGCTGATTGTTAGCATATAGAGTTGGTATGCAATAGCTGAAGTTAACTTGAGTGAAATGAATCCTTACTTGGAGCACACCTTTATAACTGAAAGGCATTCAGGAGGAGACTTGGTATGAAAAAAGAATGTTTAGTTTATTCAAGGAAGTACTATAGAATTCTTTCCTAACTAACTAGGGAGAAACAAATAAGCCCTACTTGCTCCTTTGTTCTCAGAAAATACATCCAAGATGACCTCATGCCTCAAGGTCCAGAGGAAGTGTGAGCAGGAGGAGGAAGTTATAAACAGGATGCAACCTAAGATTATCAGTCTAAACTTTAAAGGACAAAGAGGTCAACACAGAGGTTAAAGGTACAGGGATAGTCTGGGAATCTGGAGGTCTCATGCGCTATCTGTTTAAATACCATGCAAACACCTTTCTGCAAGCTGAGCTGCACCCAACATGAATTTCATTGGGAACATAAGATGCTGCCTTATACTGAGTCAGACCTTTAGTCCATCTAGCTCAGTACCGACTACCCTGACTGGCAATGGTTCTCCAGGATTTCAGGCAGGACTCTCTCCCAACCCTACTGGAGGTGCCCAGGATTGAACCTGGGACCTTCTGCTTGCAAGGCAGACTCTCTACCACTGAGCTATGGCCCTTCCCCAATGGGTCTGCTCTGAGTAGGACTTAACTGAATACCACTCATGGCCTTGCAAATCTCTCTAAATACATGGCGCTGTCAAAAATGTCTATGCGACTTGGAAGCTTGCACCCTCTTCTTGTGACAACAGGCACAAGTTGAGCAACAGGCTCACAAAGGAGCTTAACATCAGCAATCAGAAAGTATTATGAACAGCTGAATGAATAATGAACATTTGATTGGCTCAAAAGCAAATGAACAAAGCACTTCTTTAAGATAGGAGAATCTGGGGTAAAACTTGCATTGGAGGAGAATAAACTGCAGTATCAGTATTTTGATATTCTGCAGTCACAAAATTCTGCATGAAAATGGAGAGATTTTGCAAATAATTCTGTTACTGCAGATTTTATAGGACCTGGGGGCATGTTACGAAAGTAAAACTGAAAGGGTCAAAACTCCTATCAAGAGGCCACAGCATGCTGCTGACAGAATGCCCTGCAAGAAGGTGCTTGTGGAATAAATGGCTCAAGCAAGTAAGCCAAATATCTGAGAGCCAAAGGACACTTGGTGAAAATCCTCTCTCTCGTCCCAAATGTGCTGCTCAGCGAGGCCAAGAGTGGACCAGAAACCCTTCTATAAAGTGATAATTTTACTGAGCACACTTCCATCCGTACTATCAGACACCCCTCATCTTATTGAAAAAGCCCCTGCTGCTGTTGCTGAGTGTGGCATCAACCCCTGAACTCAGGGCTAGCAGAAGAAGCCACAGATACCTTGGTGTCAATCAGAATCTTCCAGAGCAGGGACTCAATGTAATAGTTGGTCCCTCCAACCACAATGGGGATCTTCTTGCAAGCGAAGATGTCTTCAATGTAGGCCATTGAGGATTACAAGTGAGAATGGCAAGGAACAACCCCAGGAAAAACAAGTGCTGCATTTAACAAGGGAAAAAGGCAGCCCTGGGGACAATTGGGCAATTTGCCTTGCCCTCAAGGGCCGCCCTGAGAGCAGAGGCTATGAGCTACGCTGTATCTCTGAGCTGCAGGCATTGAACATTCCTTGCAACAGAGCATGGCAGATTCCTGACAACTAAAGTCACACTTTGTCTTTTGAGCCCTCTCCTCATCACACAGGCCAGTGAGCCTCTCTCTTCCCCCCGCATTCAGTGCAGCTGCCTTCGTCACCCTCAGCTGCTCATGGTACTTGCTGTCACCCTTGTGCCAGCCTCTGCATCTCTAAAAACGATGGTGCTTTTGCATGGGCCTAAGAACATAAGAAGAGCCCTGTGGGATCAGGTCAATGGCCCACCTAGTCCTGTATCCTGCTCTCATGGTGGCCAATCAGATGCCCCAATGGGAAGTACCCAAAGCAGGACCTGAGCACAAGAGCCCTCTCCCCTCCTGTGTTTTCCCAGCAAGTGGTATTTAGAACAGTGCAGACAGAGCAGAGTCTGTACCATCAGCAAGACTGGGACAAGAACAACAGGCAGCTGGAAGTGCACAGCACAGCTGTGTGCTCTCAGATTTCCATTTATTTTAAAATAACCAATCTAATTGCAGTCAAGAAGGCTACTGTAAGTTCTAAATCTACTTCCATCCATTATTTCTTTCAAACAGATCACCCTGGCTTACTTTATATACTCTTAATTTCCTCTGTTATCTCCAATATTTCCTGCCAAAGAGTTCTAACCTTAGGGCAGGTCCAAAATACATGTATAATACCTGCTCCCATATTTCACAATCTTCCACAATTATGCTCTTGTAAACTCTACTTCTTCAGCAGAGCAGGTACAAGATATCATCTGAAGGGCATTTTGTGGGCATTTTCCTTCAATGTGATTAACTTTTTTTTTTTTTTTTTGCATTCTTCTTATATAACCAGGTCCATTCCTTCTTAGCAACTGAATCATTCTTGCCATCCTTCTTCAAATTTAAAGTCAGTCTGGTCTAGATTTAATAATATTTCATGCCATCCGACTGAGATTCCTCTACTACTAAAGGCATGCATTAAATGCTTCTGTCATTTTCCAAACTTCTTTTTTAAGTGCTTAATTAGTGTTTCTTAATTAGTGTTATTTTTTATTTGTAAGTATTAGAATATGCAGATTTCATTTCCCAGAACTTCCTGGTCATGTAATTTTGGCATTCTCTCTCCATAATTTCTCAGCTGGTCTAGACCAGAAACAAAGCATGACTCATGATCTCTTGGTATTGCATTATAAAAGATCAAGGTCAGTGGTGACTTAGCGTGACTTAGTTCACTTTTCAATTTGTACCAGACAGTATATACTGATGTTAGATCTTTCTACAACCTCCTTCCTACTAGATCCTGCTTCCGGCCACAAATGGTTCATCAAAGGCATTTCTGCCTCCTCTGCTGACTTCCCTGATTCACAGAATCCTAACAAGAATCCACCAGGAAGGGCGCAGACTATTTGCTGCCCATCTCAGCTGGAAATGAGCATTTTCCAGCTTTTTCCTTTTCGTTCTCTTACATCCATTATCAGCCCCTCACATCTCATCCTTCCCCAATTCCGCTTGCCTGCTCAAAGGCAGATGATACCGCCTAGTCGCTGTCCTGTACTACACCCCAGATGCCACACGCCCCAGAAAGACACTCCCCCTGTGAAAGGATATGAGGGCCGTGGCCTTGTTGCGGAAGTCTATCACGGTGTAGTTGGTGACCAAGGGGTCCACAAAGCTGATCATGTGATGCCTGCACAGCCGCTGCTCCTGAGGAGAGGCTTTGTTGGTGATGATGTCCAGACCTTGGTACACCTGAGAGAGGGAGAGAAAGAGACAGGCAGACTTTCACACTCACTTCGGGCTTAGTTTTATAGATAAAATAAGATCTCCCTGTTTTGTTTTATACTGGTTTCATTGCATATGTTTGCTTGCTTATTGTAAGCTGCTTTTGCTAAAAAAGAAAAGAAAAAAGAAGTGACTAGTAAGTACCGTACTTTTCTCTGTATAAGACTATGTTTTTTTAATTCAAAAATCATGTTCAAAATTAGGGGTCGTCTTATACATGGGTAGTGTATTGTGGGGACGTGGGATTGGTTGCTGCAGTGAGTTGGAGATTGTTATTGGTGGCTGCGGCAAGGGCTGTTGTTGATTGGCTGTCGCTACGGCAATTGGCCGGGCGATTTGCTCTGCCCCCCCCCCCAAAGCTCTATAAAAAAGCTCAGCAATTCTGGGCAATCCTCCCCCAAAAAGTTCAACAACTTTGGGGGAATCTCCCCCCCCCATTTTCTTAATTTTAAATTCCCCAAAATAGGGGGCGTGTTATACATGGGGGCATGTTATACACAGAAAAGTATGGTAAATAGTTCTCACAGAAGGGGTGATCAGCTGCTGTTTGGACCATCCCACTGCAGAGCTGCAGGTCACCCAGGGCTGAAGGCTCCCCAATACAAAACTTCCATTTCACAGGAAACTAGCATGTCAGGAAGAAGGAAGCCAGCCAAGCCAGCCCCCTGACTTGCTGTTTCTCTGTAGGCAGGTGCGTGGAGTTGGAGATCGATGGATGGGGAGGTGTGCATTGCAGTGGGGGGTAACCTGCATGTTCATACAGAGGAGCATTTCTTCATGTGAAATCTGAAGTGGCACAGCCCAGATGCAGGTTGTGAACCAGACTTCATGTGTGAGACTTCGGGGTCTTTGGGCTGGTTCCTGATGCTCCTGGACAGGATGGACTGTGGTCCATTGGAAGGGAAGGGAAGGGAAGGGAAGGAAAGGAAAGAAGGGCTGGGTTCCTAGGGGAGTACAGCACACACTTACAGAATGTGGCAGCAGGTCACTTGCCTACACCTCTAAAATAAAATAATAATAAGTGATAGGCAATGGACCTCCCAACAGCTGCAAGCCATGATCTTCACTGTTGGAGGCAGTATCTCTCTGTATACAAGCTGCTGGGAGTCAGAAGTGTGGAAAGCACAGCTGCAGTCATCTAGCTGCCACTATGCAAACAGGATGCTGGACTAGAGGAGCTCCCTTTGCCTTGATCCAGCAGCCAGGCACTTTTTGTGTTCTTATGCCCAAGACCCTCGAGAGCTACTGGCAGTCAGAGAAGATGACACTGGGCTGTAAAATGGAGAAAACGGTCAGGAGGCACCCGGGGTGGCAGAGGTGGCAAGAAAGGAAGGCAAAGTGGCAGTAAGTGCCAAGAGAAAAATCATCACCTATGGTCTAATTTTGGGGTGAGCAACCCCTGGGTCCCTCCAGATGTTGTTAGACTCCAACTCCCATCATCGCTGGCCTTGGGGCACACTGGCTGGGGTCTGAGCTGTTTGCAAGCAGGCAGGGAAGCTCTGCAGGCTGAGAAACCAGAAGGGAAGAAAGAAGCAAGCTTGTTTTCTGCTGCTCCAGAGCCCTGAACCCACGGATTCAAATCACAAGAAAGGAGATCCCTTCCTAAGCATTAAGAAGAACTTTCCGACAGTAAGAGCTGTCCAGCAGTGGAACTGACTCCCTCAGAAGTTGGCAGAGGATCCTTGACTGGAGGGTTGGATGGCCATCTGTCAGGGATGCTTTTGTTGTGAATCCTGCACCGCAGGAGGTTTGACTCACTAGAAACTATGAAATGCCTGAAGCCACATTTCCTCTGTCAAATCTTTGTCTGCGGGGGTCTCTTGACATCACAAGTGGGGGATGCACCAACACTGGAGACAATCACAGCACAAGCTGCAAGACTTGGCACCGCTGCTCATGATGAGTTTACATGTGCCCTAATGACCCAGTGCTTCAACACACCACAGCTTGCCCGGGTCAGCCTGCCCTGCTTAAGACCCAAAGTTCACCGTTCGGGCAGCACGGCTCTCCTTTTCTTCCTCTGACCATGTCAAAACAGCATCTTCTTCGGTGCTTGGTGGGGCAGACCCAGAAAAAGAGGCATGTGGCCCCTGTGTACGATCTGGAGTTGAGTCTGCAGACAGAGCCACAAGCCACACAGATGGGTAGACAGGCACCCCAAACCCATTTCACAATCTCTTTCTGGTGCAATTGACTGAGACCTGGTATTCTTCCCTACAATGTCTGAGGGTGTGCCCTAGAAATAGTCGCAAGCCTCAGAACACAGCAAAAACAAACATGACGATCCTGAGCATGTATAGAGTCCCTCACCATTAAGGAACCACAACTAAGTTGTGCTTCTCTAAGCTTGGGAGTGCCATTGTGGGTCAGGGTCTGTCAGAGAGCTTGGTGTCCTACCCGCTTTCACTGTGGTGATCAAACAGGTACAGTGAGCAGGGAGAGGAATGGAGGAAGGCAAAGGCAAGCAGGAAGGCACCTCTGGGCAGCCAGGCACAGCAGAGCAAAGAAAGGGAGAGCCACTTCAGAGGGCTGGCCGGACAGCCCCTTTCGGAAAAGGCTTTACATTCTCGCAGCAGATTAGAGGCCCTTATAATAGAACCTAATAAGGCAGGCTTACTTTTAAGCCGCTATTTGTGCATGTCATCAGGGCAAGCCAGTAGGCATTTCGTGCACAAGGCAGCCGGGAGTTTGAGCTCCCAAACATCAGCAATAAGAGGACAATGTGGGAGGGGGAGGAATGATGCTGGAGATGTAGGGGGTGGGGGATAAATGCCATTCAGTTTACATTTGAAGCTGAATCCAGCAAATTTTCACTTTCCGAAACAACACGAGAACCAAAATGCAGCTCTCCATCAAAATTTGCTCTTATCCCAATTTTGCAATGTAGTTCACTAAAAAGAATGTTTACAAAAATGCATGCAGTGCATGCATGTACTAGGGAAAAGTGCATAAAAATGAATATATCTGTAAAAAAATGCACTGCATTAGGAGGATTTGTGTTTATTCCAAGAAATCCACACTAAAATACCCAAGACTTTTTACGAATTGCTGCAGCAATGTGGAGAACTGAATTCATGACTGGAATAAAGAGAAATTGAGAGAACCAACATTGACAGAACCTTCCATCTCTATTGAAGAGACAGTTATATTATGCTCGCTCTGGATCCAGACTATGTCCAAGATTGGCACAACCCCACACCCTGTGTACATTTTGAGCTCCCCCCTTTTATCAGCTAAAACACAGTTGTTAACCAGAATTTAGTCTGAAGAAGGATGAGTTCAGCTACAAGAGACTCCCTAGGACAGAAGGGAGGAAACTGCATGAGGTTTAAGTAACCCCCAGTTGTGGAGCGCTGGGCACTGCACTAGGGCAGCCCCATCGTGTTCATAGAGCTTGCAATTTATGTTAGGCAAGTAAAACAGGGGAGAGAAAAGGGATTCATTGACAAGTTACAAAAGATTTTGGGGAACAGCTGCTCCTGTTTCATCACTGTTGTCGTGTTCGTGACCCTTCCCTCCCCATCTACCCTGGCTGAAAGAGAAGTTGGCAAGGACAAGCCAGACAGCTCTCTGCCACACCCACCAAGGCAGTTCTTCCAAAGAGCGCCACTGTCCCACCGACAGGCCTTTGCCCCAGCATTCATTCTCACCAACACAGATCTCTTTAGTGCTATAGTCCCTGAAACTGGCCTTGCACAAAGGGCTCCAGTGCCACTGGCAGGGCACAACGGGCAGCATCTGCCAGGGCCGCTCTGAGAGGTCCCCGGAGAAAAATGCAAGTCAGAAGAAGCCTCCACAGGAAACCCAGCCAAGCACATGATGTGCAAAGGGTGCCTGTCCATTCATGATGTGGGTGTCAGAGCTGAGAACAGGATGAGGCCTCCTTTGTGTGGGGCAGGCTTGTGCTCTGCTGCGTAACTTCGAGGCTCCTGGGGCAGGGGGCAGATATGCCTAGCACACAGGATGGTTTCTGCAATTTACAGGGTGTGTTTTCCTGCAGGACGTGAACACATTATCAGAGCAAAACAAAGTAGATCAGAGGAAGAAAACTTAAAGCAGATTTAGCTCTCTCTTTTCCTGACCTATCCTGGCTTTGCTTCTCCTCCATTACCACCTGCCTCTCTGCCATTGCATGACCCTCTTCTAACAAACTATGAGCCAATTTTTTTCTAGAGGTGTACATGTGTCATGTTTCCTTTTTCTTGTGCCCAATTTCCATTTTTTGTCATTAAAAACCCCAGCATCATTAAAAATTGACCAATAGTGACCGTGTTTTTGTTATTTGTGAGAAGCTCTATACAGTCAGCAAAAACAAGACCTGGAGCTGACTGTGGCTCAGATCATCAGCTTCTTATAGCAAAATTCAAGCTTAAACTGAAGAAAGTAGGAAAAACCACTGGACAGGTAAGATACAATCTAAACCAAATCCCTTATGAATACACAGTGGAAGTGAGGAACAGGTTTAAGGATTTAGATTTGCTGGACAGAGTGCCTGAAGAACTATGGTTGGAGGCTCGCAACATTATACAGGAGGCAGCAACTAAAACCATCCCAATGAAAAAGAAATGCAAGAAAGCAAAGTGGCTGTCCAACGAGGCCTTACAAATAGCGGGGGGAGAGAAGGCAAGCAAAATGCAAGGGAGATAGTGAAAGATACAGGAAATTGAATGCAGATTTCCAAAGAATAGCAAGGAGAGACAAGAAGGCCTTCTTAAACGAGCAATGCAAAGAAATAGAGGAAAACAACAGAATGGGAAGAACCAGAGATCTGTTCAAGAAAATCGGAAATATGAAAGGAACATTTCGTACAAAGATTACCATAATAAAGGACAAAAGTGGTAAGGACCTAACAGAAGCAGAAGACATCAAGAAGAGGTGGCAAGAATACACAGAGGAATTATACCAGAAAGATATGGATGTCTCGTACACCCCAGGTAGTGTGGTTGCTGACCTTGAGCCAGACATCCTGGAGAGTGAAGTCAAATGGGCCTTAGAAAGCACTGCAAATAACAAGGCCAGTGGAAGTGATGGTATTCCAGCTGAACTGTTTAAAATTTTAAAAGATGATTCTGTTAAGGTGCTACACTCAATATGCCAGCAAGTTTGGAAAACTCAGCAGTGGCCAGAGGATTGGAGAAGATCAGTCTACATCCCAATACCAAAGAAAGGCAGTGCCAAAGAATGCTCCAACTACCGCACAATTGCACTCATTTCACATGCTAGCAAGGTTATGCTTAAAATTCTACAAGGAAGGCTCAAGCAGTATGTGGACCGAGAACTCCCAGAAGTGCAAGCTGGATTTAGAAGAGGCAGAGGAACCAGAGACCAAATTGCAAACATGCGCTGGATTATGGAGAAAGCTAGAGAGTTCCAGAAAGACATCTACTTCTGCTTCATTGACTATGCAAAAGCCTTTGACTGTGTTGACCACAGCAAACTATGGCAAGTTCTTAAAGAAATGGGAGTGCCTGATCACCTCATCTGTCTCCTAAGAAATCTCTATGTGGGACAAGAAGCTACAGTTAGAACTGGATATGGAACAACTGATTGGTTCAAAATTGGGAAAGGAGTACGGCAAGGCTGTATATTGTCTCCCTGCTTATTTAACTTATATGCAGAATTCATCATGCGAAAGGCTGGGCTGGATGAATCCCAAGCCGGAATTAAGATTGGTGGAAGAAATATCAACAACCTCAGATATGCAGATGACACAACCTTGATGGCAGAAAGTGAAGAGGAATTAAAGAATCTTTTAATGAGGGTGAAAGAGGAGAGCGCAAAATATGGTCTGAAGCTCAACATCAAAAAAACAAAGATCATGGCCACTGGGCCCATCACCTCCTGGCAAATAGAAGGGGAAGAAATGGAGGCAGTGAGAGATTTTACTTTTTTGGGCTCCATGATCACTGCAGATGGTGACAGCAGTCACGAAATTAAAATACGCCTGTTCCTTGGGAGAAAGGCGATGGCAAACCTAGACAACATCTTAAAAAGCAGAGACATCCCCTTGCCAACAAAGGTCCGTATAGTAAAAGCCATGGTTTTCCCAGTAGTGATGTATGGAAGTGAGAGCTGGACCATAAAGAAGGCTGATCGCCGAAGAATTGATGCTTTTGAATTATGGTGCTGGAGGAGACTCTTGAGAGTCCCATGGACTGCAAGAAGATCAAACCTCTCCATTCTGAAGGAAATCAGCCCTGAGTGCTCACTGGAAGGACAGATCCTGAAGCTGAGGCTCCAATACTTTGGCCACCTCATGAGAAGAGAAGACTCCTGGAAAAGACCCTGATGTTGGGAAAGATGATGGAGTGAGTGAGGACTTTCTTTATCATTTTCTGCATCACCTGTAAAGAAAACTTAACAGCAAGTTTAGAGGGCACAGGGGGAGTATCAGGGTCATGGAGGGTTGGTTTTTTTTGTGTGTGTGTGTGTGCAGATGAGAGCATAGGGAGTTGGAAGACAATAGAATAGTGATCAGGGGCAGAGTTAGTGTGCTGAGCCTCACTGCCCTCCGCCCCCCCATGTTTACTCTGCCCTAACTGTAATGCCTGAAGAAGTTTCATGGTCACAGTCTCTATCTCAGTGGACAAAAACCGTCTAACGTAAATTTTAAATTAGCAGAGAGATCAACTTTGACATTTTCAAGTTTGCAGATATCCAAATTTCACCTGACCATTTTTAACTGTTACCAGATGCTCCAGCTTATAGACGACATCGTGTACAAGGTAGGGATGGGGAACCTTCCCCCTGACCCCATTACTGACAGACATACCGTAAATGTAAAAGAAGGCAAAACTATGGAAGTGCAAAGAACTAAAGAAGAGTTTACTGTCTTAGTCCACTCTTGCACAAATCCACAGCCCAGCCCTAAGGCTCACCAGCTGGTGTGTCAAAAGCCAGAGTAAAGAGGTGTGTCTTCAGCATCCTTTGGAAGCTGTATAATGAAGGTGCCATACGTCTGGTTGATTGAATCAACACAGTCAGTCTAACTTCTCTAGGAAGGGAGTTTCAAAGTCACGCAGCAGCCACTGAGAAGGATCTTTCAAGACTGAGAGAAGGGCCTGCCGCAAAAATCTCAGAGCCCAGGCAGGTTTGTGCCCTGTTGGCATGTGATACTGGGGGCACAGGTCACCAGTGCCCCAAATTCCCTACTATGACAACTCTTTACCTCTTCAGCCCAACTTAATCTGCATTACTAGCCAGGGCAGGCCTTCACATTCCTTGCATGCTCAGAAGCACTCTCTCCATTACTACACATGACAGATATATAGATAGATAAATTAGAATTTATCTGTCTATCTCTATCTATCTGTCATATCATCCCTTCATCCAAGAATCGCAATGCTGCTGACCCAGGCACAGAAAATAGGTTCCGAGGCTAAGCCCTGCCTCCCCTTTTCCCTTGCCACCAGAGGCGCTTCCTTCTTGCTGGCCCTGGGCTGGCCCGGCTGCCGCGAGAAAGGAGCTGTGCACGCGCTTGCTGATCCCCTCGCCTCCCAATCAGTACCAGGCAGGGACGGGGTCTCCTTCCCTCTTTTGCCTGCCTTCCTCCCTCCCTACCTGCATGGAGTCGGCGCTGATGATCTCCCCGCCGAGGCGGCGGCCCAGCTGCAGCGCCAGGCGGGATTTGCCGGTGCCCGTCGCGCCCAGGATCACCACCAGGGGCAGCGGCCGCGCGGCAGACGCCATTGTGGCTGGCGGGCGGGCGAGCGAGGCGGGCGGCTAACTCGCCATGCGCTGCAAGGCCTCGGCCGCTTTGCGGTAGCCGGAGGAGGAGGAAGAAGCAGGCCGCGAGGAGGCGGGGCCGCGGTCGAGGGGGCCGGGACGCCCGCTTGCCGGGCCCCAACCAGCTGCTGCCTGTGCCTTCGCCGTGCCCGCCTCCCTCGCGGCAAGCCGGCCCAGCGCGTGCAGAGAGCATCCGTGGCCATCGCTGCTGGTCCTGCCGAGGGGAGCAGGAAGATCTGGAGGGTCGCGCATGTGCGTCGCCCTCCGTAAAGCAGCAAAAACGGGCCCTCCTTTTGCAAAAATAATAATAATACTCTGCACATTCCCAGCGTCCAGAGCGCCGCTTCTCTGATAGCCTGCAGCAGCACAAGCGTCTTCTTGTGTGGTCGAGGCTAAGGGGCTGTTTATTTCAAGATTTCCACAACTTGGGTCTCAAGACTACAATTCCCATAATCCCTGACCACAGGCCCTGCTATGTGAGGATGGTAGGACTTGCAGTCCAAAAACAGCTGGAGATACAAGTTTGCAAAACCCTTGTTTATTGCATTTTTAAAATCCCACCTTTTTCTCAGAGGAGGCAGTAAATGAAGCCAAGGGTGCTGGAGGGTGAAGGGAGCTCTTGTACTTGGGTCCTGCTTGCGGGCTTCCCATTGAGCTCTGTGAGAACAGAATGCTGGCCAAGGTGGGCCTCCTTTGGCTTGATCCAGCCCGCTGTTCTGATGTACTTAGGCTCAAGGTGATGCACATAGTTCCACTGCCCCAAGGTCACCCAAGGAGCCTCATGGCTGAGTGGGGATTTGAACCCTGATCTCCCAAGTCCTAGCCTGACACGCTAACCATCAATCCACACCGGCTCTACTCTCAGATGCATTAATGGGGGCGGGGAGAGAAGTTAACACCCTTTGCAAAGGAAGGATTCACTGTGACCACAGTATCCTGCTCTGAGCAGGGGGTGGGCTGGGTGAGCTTCAGGACACCCTTAAACTCTTTATCATTGTCTACAGATGGTATTGGTTGCCAGTTGGCTATTTGTAACATAGAATGGCACCTCCTGTTGAACGATGGCTTCAGTTGCATGGACTCCATTTGTCTGTTCCGATGAACAAGCAAATCTGGGCTCGGTCCAACTGTGCCATGGACAGGCATGCAGAGGTGAAGCTGGAACAAATCGCAGGATAGGGAACCTTACCAATATTGTCTAAATAATGTGCCTGTTAAGGCTGTGGCCCTTAAAACCTGTGATTTCCCAGCATTTTGGCACTTGAGTGGATATGAAAAGCTCATAACAATATGCTAAGCCAGGGATGAGGAACCTGTGGCCCTCTGGGGGTCACTGAAGTCCCATCAATCCCAGCCAACATGGCCAATAGCTAGGAATGAGGGGAGCTGTCATCCAAAAACATCTGGAGGGCCACAGCTTTGAGGTGCAGGGTTTCTCAAACTTGGGTCTCCAGCTGTTTTGGGGACTACAACTCCCATCATCCCTAGCTAGCAGGACCAGTGGTCATGGATGATAGGAATTGTAGCCCAAAGAGCTGGAGACTCAAGTTTGGGAAACCTTGATAGTGGTTAAGAGTCTTGAACTGTGATCCGGGGGGGGGGGCAGAGTTTGGATCCCCACTCAGCCATGAAGCTTGTTGTGTGATATTGGAACAGTCACTCACTTTCAGCCTAACCTACCTCACAGGTTTGTTGTGAGGATAAAATGGGGACTGGGAGAAATCATGCATACCACCTTGAGTTCCTTGGAGGAAAGGTGAGATATCAGTAAATCAAATAAATCAATGATAAAAAAAGGCTTCCCATCCCTGCAAAAGGTTCTTTTTAATCACATCTGTCTATGATGAGGGCTGATGGGGATTATAGCCACATGCAAGGTGATGAAAATGAAGGTTGAGGGAGGGAATATTACCATAGCAACCATATTGGAAGGTGGGGGATCTAACATTGGTAACTGGGTGGGAAGCAGCAGCTCTGCAGAAGCATAAAGAGATGAACTTGTGACCAAAGACAGGGAAAAAGGAATTGTTACTGTAGCAACAGAGTCAGGAAGAAAAAAAGGATAGGGAGACAGTTGCCAGGGTGATGGAGGCTATCGTCAGGGTAACAGAAGGGGTTCTGTGATTTTCTGCCATGACAACAGAGGGAGGAGGCGACTGCTCTTCTCCTAGCAACACACATCTCTTGCCATGGCAACAGAGGGAGAGCAAGGATCCCTTTTCAAAAGCAGAAGAGCTCATTGGCAGAGATGGGATTAGAGCAGCCTCAGCCAAACTGACACAATAATTTACTAACCCAGGCACGAACCCACCTCCCCGTCACCCTTTATGCAAGGCGATATGAAAAATGCATGAAGTTTTACTCACCCATGTGTCCAAAATAAATAACACTGCTGTCTGAAAATAAGTAACAATGCTTTCTGAAAAATCATTCAAGATGTTAGAGGAAGACTTTGAACCAGGCTTTCTTTGTTTATGTGTATATGCCTACACATGCAGTATGTTTGGGGTAGTATAATAAGGAAGATCTGTGCTATATTTTTTAAAATGGGCTTCTGGTCTGGTTACACTTTGAAGTCAAAACAAAAGAGGTTCAAAGACTACCTTGTAGAGCATAGGTTTGGCACACAAAAGTTCCCAGGTTCAATCCTCACTGGTGTGTCCAGTTAAACTTTAGGAAGGCAGGTACCTGGACTGAGAAAATGGACTATATCTCATTGGTAGGCTACCTGTTTTGCATGCAGAAGACCCCAACTTCAGTACCCAACATCTCCAGGTAGGGTTGAGAATGTCCCTTCTGAAACTCTGGAGATTGCTACTAGTCAGTGTTGACCAAGGACAGGAAGCCTGCAGCCTTCCAGAGTTTATCAACCATCCCCAACATCTGGATGGCCACTGTGTAGACAACACTGAACTCAATGGCCCAGCTTGGTATAAGCCAGCTTTCAGTGCCCAGTGCTGGCTCCAGGTTTTGGGAGGCCCTTGGGAAGGATCCCTCTACTGCCCCTCGCCATTGTGGCATCTGCCGCATACATGCTTTTAATCTGCTTGCTAGAATCAATGAGCGAGCAAGTATTGGCAGCTCCTCTTCCTCACCATCACTCCTGTTTGCTTGTGCATCCCTTCTGGGTTAAAGCAAGCAAGAGGCAGGTGAAAAAGCTAGTTACAATGGCGAGGGGGGGGGGGCTCATGGCAGTGTTGGGTGTCTAACCATGTCTGACACTTTTAACACTACCCTGCCTCTTCCCCAGAGCTTAGGAAGCTGACAGTCAGAAGGGTCAACACCTGACTAGATCACCTACCAATGGCTGATCAATGTAAAGCCATTTTCTCCCTCCCTGCCACATAGAGGTGTCTTCTTCCAACATCCAACAGTACTACCCTGTCATGTGAAGACTGGTAGGTAGGATCCTAGCAGGGCTACCCATCTATAGTTTCCTCCCTTTGGAATTATGATGCTTTTTTGGTTACGAGTAGAGGTGTGGTTTTATTTCATCATGTTTGGCAGCCTTAAGTGCTTGGCATGTAAAGGCAGGAAGAAACCCTGCAAATAAAGCTCCACTTTAAGAGACTTCATTTCATGAGAATCCTGTTGCTCTCTTCTTCCTATAAGGAAGCCGAAAACCCACACAAGCCCATGACAAAAGAGAGCTGGATGTTTAAGGTTCTTTTGCTCAGTGATACATGTGGTTTACATGCAGAAGGTCTCAGGTTCAGTTCCCAGCATGTTCAGTTTATGAGCTGCTAACCAGAGCCAGCAACATAGTGTTCAGTTGGCCAGCCTAACTTGGTGCAAGGCATCTTTGTACTTCATAGGTCCCAAGGTGAAATTCATGCTACTGAGATAATTTATAGTTAGCAGTCACTATGCAACATATTAGCATGAACATTTATTGTGCCATTGAAAAATGAATTGTCAGTCTTCATTAATAAGACAATATTTCATTTTGTTTTGGACCTTGATCCAAATTCCAGCTCTGCCACTGGGAGGCTCAGGTAAATCACAACCTCCTACCCAATACACCATCTGTAAAATGGGAATATCAGTAATCTACCTCACACTGAGAGCAAATAGAATTGTAAAGCACTTATTAATAAGTCTGTTTCATCAGCGGTGCCTATTTTTAGAAGCAACAGAGCTACTGAAGTCCCGAGGCACCTGACCTACATACCTGATTTTGCAATGGGACTCAGACATGCCCCAGCCTCTCCTTAATCCCGATAAAAGAGAAACCTTTTCCCATCTGCTTGTGGAGGATTCATGCTTTGATTTTCCTAAAGTGCTTAGTCATCATCTACTGCAAGGGTAGGCAATGTTTTCATGCCGAGGGCCACCTTCCCTCAGGATTGAGGGCCAAATGCCAGGAGGGCAGGGGTGTAGTTTAATGAGCCAGGCATGAAGGGGTGTAGTTAATGCTACTCCTACTCAGAGTCACTGAAGATAATGAACATGACTCAAATCCATTTATTTCAATGGATCTACTCTACAGAGGACTTAGTGGGATACAGCCCAAAGACCCTTTCATCCTGGCACCTCAGATTGGAATGCTCAATCCTAGACAGGTCCCTTCTCAAATTACATATGCAGAGGATTTTCCTTTAGTACAACAACTGATATAGCTGCTGTTCTAGAAGTGCGACCCGTTCAGCTTGTTCTAAAACTTCTCAGAATGAGGGGAAGAAAACTTGCTTTTTAATGCATTGTGGTGAGAGATGAGTAAAACCCAAATGTTCTTAGGCCCTTTTGCCTTGTTTAAAAACAACCCCCCAAGTAAAAGTCCTCTTATGTTACCATATTTTCTATGCAAGAACAGCTATTTAAAGACTGCTATGATTCCGGGTCACCTGGTTAGCCACTCTTTTCTGCTTTCTGTCTGGACACAATGGTTTGAGGATATCAGCAACATGAAATGTGTCCAGCAAATATCAACAAAGATGGTGAGAGGCCTGGAGACAGTCCTGTGAGGAAATGTTGAAGGAAGTGGGTAGGTGAAGTCTGAAGTAAAGATGTGACAGGAGAGCCTTTCAAAACTGTGAAGGTGGCCGTCATATAGAAACAAATTGTCACCATCTGTTAGTTCCAATGATAGGACCTGAACTGGTAGAGAAATACTGTATAGACTAAACGCAAGGATGAACTTCCTAATGGTGCAAGCGGATTTTCCGTGAAAGAGCCTGCCTCTGATAGGGATGGGTTTTTCTTTTTTATTAGAGGTTGTTGAGCTAAGCAGAACCAGGATGGCTCTGACAGAATCAGAGCTGAAAGCATCCCAAAGTTCATCTAGCCCAACCTGCTACAGAGGCAGAAATTCTGTTTTGCCAGGATTCCTGAGGGGCTCTGCTGATACATTGCCTCCACTTTTGATGGCTCCCAGTGGCAGGCAGACACAGAAAGGAATGCTTGCTGCAGAGAACTGAATCCAACTCTAAGGGGGCCAAAAGATTTAGGGTGCATTAATTCCTACAAAAAGATCTTTCAGCTACACTGCTGAACATGGAAATGTGCAGCCAATAAGAGGGAAATGAAAGCAGGGGCAGGACTTTCAGACAGGTGAGAAGGTGGGCTCAGTGCTTCAGAGGGGGTCTGGTCCATCTCCCAGCAGAGGAAAGATGATGTGCAAATACAGTTAATCACCTCAAATACACAGCTTTTTACATTTTCTACTACTGCTGCTGAAATATTGTCTTCCATTTATGTCTTTTTCTTATCCCAGGATCATCATAAGCCTACAGAATACTGTAAAATCCCCCCAGGTCCTATATAAACATAAAAGAATCTCCACACATCAAGAGCAGCAGAGAAAGAATTCCTGCCTACACTCTCTTATTAGCTGCATGTGGATGGGTTGATTCAGCTGCGGGCTATGACAGCTCTCTTACTACTTCTTCATTTCCCATGCTCTTCCTTCGGAGCACATGCCAGAACCATGCTCCCCTGGTTCTCTTTTTCCAGGATATTGTCCAAACTTTCTCCTCTTCCCCTCCTCTACATAACTAAACGAACATGCATTCAACTAAATTACAAACACGAAGACTGATTTATCTTTGCAGATAAGGGTCTCACATATATCCCTTGGCTCAAAAAGGGAGGGGGAAAAAGCAGACTCAGCCTGTCCTTTTTGAGATTCCGTTTATTTAAGAAGTGCGAGGTAACAAAGAAAGTGCTAAGTCTGACCACCCAGCGTTGAGGCTCCAGCGGGCCAGTCAAAGAACGCCTGAAGGAGTCCCCAATGCATTGTGGGAGACCAGTCTGCGCCCACCAAACTGTGTGCAAGCCAAGATAAAGGGTCATCCATCACCTCCAGCTCTGGCCTCTCCCTACCCAAGAGACAAAGGAGGATGGGTGGGAGGGATCTGCATAAAAGGGAAGGAGGGAGAGGGGGGTAGCCCCAGCCAGCTCAACAAAAGCTGTTAAGGACCTGGCAAAACCAGAGCAAAAAACACATCACCACATTATCATTGCTTTCTTTCTCTTTATGCATGGGACTGAGGTGCTCCCTTTCCTGGGGGCGACACAGTGGAACCTAGCTGTGAGTAAACATCAATTAACAACGCCACACTGCACATTTCCCCCAAAATATATTCATGCAGCCCTTTTATTTCGAGAGAAAGGGAAGGTGGAGGGGGAAAGGGAAAGGCTTCTCTTAGTCTTAAGAATCAGTAGGACACCTTCAGTAGAAAACTTCTCTATAGGGGGCAGTTGAAATTACAATGTTCCCATCTAGGGACTCCCTTAACCACCCACTCTACCAAAACACCCTTAAGATGTCTAATAGTCTCATTATTGGTGCTTGAAATTTGGGACCAGACCCCTGACTTAGGAAATCATTTTCTAGTCAAAACAGAAGTATTTTTTTCCTGCTGAATCTCAGTTTGAACGATCTCATCTACAAAAGCAGTACTGAGAGCCCTCTACCCACTGTTTTATCTTTGAAAAGCTGGGAGGAAAGAAAGAACAAGTATTTTACAAAATAATTTCTAAAAAAAGTATAAAAATAGTATATCTTAAAAAAAGCCATCCAGTATAAAGAATCAGGCAGTCACAACAATGGATTCTAGGATATACAAAACCAAAGACAAGAAGCTGCATTGCCCAAGTGGAAAAATAAGTATGAGGTAAATGAAATCCAAGGTGATCTCAGTGCATTTCCAGTGAAGGAACAGTTGTGGGGGAGGGGGAGGGGGGAGAATGTCTTAAATGCACACATAAAGCCTCTAACAGTTCTTGAGAGAAGGTTCTGCACCCCTCCATCTCAGAAAGAGGAATTACCCCGAGGGGCAGATTCAAGGTTGACACAGCAAGACAGCATCATCACTGGACACAACTGATTAGAAGTTCACCTGAATTAATCCCATTGAAATCAATCCACTTTGGGGTCTATTATGCTGATGCCATTAAGGGCAGAATCACACCATACATTTTAAAGCACATGTTTTCACCCAAAGAATCCTGGGAACTTTAGTTTGTTGAGGGTTCTGGGAATTCTGGCTCTGTGAGAAACTACAGATGCCAGGATTCTTTGGGGATTGGGTGGGGGAAGTCATGTGCTTTAAGTGTATGATGTAGATCTGCCCAATATTTTCTTCCACCTCAAGTGTGAAAGGCACTGATCTTAGCCTGAGGGGTAATCTAGCTGTAGATCTCAAGCAAAAGCCAGATTTAAGCTGTCTTCAAGTGTCAGCTGTGAAATAACTTCACATAATGTGACATTCTCCACCTGGTACCCTCCAGATGTTTTGGACTACAACTCCCATAAGCCCTAGCCAGGACATCAGAGGTGGCGACATTTAAAAATTCACCCATAATAAATTCCAAGAAGGGAAGAGAGCTGTCAATCCTAAACAACATTGGAAAATAGGGCGGGGGAGTGTGCTTGGGGGTGGGAAAAAGTCTATTGCGTAGGACCATTGTAAAAAAAGAAACAAATTGCACAAGATATCTGTCTTCTTAAATGCCAGTGGCAAGAAGCAGAGCCTGGGGAGAAAAGAGGGTATGTAGAACTATCCATAGCCAGTGTTTACAATCCAACTTTGACTGGGAGAAACAGAAGAAGCCTCTTGGGAGAGACAACTGAAGGGTCCATCTTTGCCCCAGCTTTAGAAATGTTGACTCAGGCCCCTCTGTCAGAAAGTACTGTGAAGCATTCCACAAGATGCTTTTCCAGAGAAACACTCAGGCTTCTGGTGATCCCAACCGGAATGGAGGCTCATTCAGCCTGTGAAGAAGTCAGCATTTTGCTGTAGAAGCTGAAGTCTGAGTAGCTAAACCCCGCTCAACCCCACTGCCCTGATCATCATCACTCCTGCACAACTTAGGAGATTCTCCAGCACCCATAACTGGCTAAGAGTGAAGACCAGGGTGGAAAATAGTGTATGGAATGCAAGCCCCCATTTGCGTGCACCAGCTGCATTGCATTCTGGGATCTGCAAGTCAACAAACCAATTTGTTTTTGTTTGTCCCCCCCCCCCACCACAAAAAAGTGCAGAGATCAGGCTGGCAAGCAGTTTGGAGTTCCTGGCAGCTAATGCGCACTCTTGAGGTACGAAATCCGTTTCAACAGCTGAAGCTGATGCAATTTTAGCAGCTTCTTCTCAGCAACCATCTGCTGCTCTGCTTTGAGTAGTGACTGCAGATACTCTGAAGCTTTGCTCAACACCACCACTTTGGGGGTTTTGGGGCAGGTGGCGAGACCAGGGACCTGGTCCCTCAGCGCCAGGAAACGCGAGCGGAGGTCGTTGCGCCGCTTGCGCTCCAAGTAGTTGTGGTTTCTCCGCTTGGTCACGTCTTCACTGTCCGAACTGGGAGCGCTCCCGGATTTCAGGAGGAAAGGTTCAAGAGAGGAAGGCTCTGCCACTTGCCTCAGGGACTGTGCACCACCATCCTCCTCCTCCTCCTCCTCCTCCTCCTCTTGACTGCTTTTCTCCAAGGCAGCCGTGCAGGAACAAGCCTCGGGTGGTGAGCGGGCTGCGTAATTGTGCTGCTGCTGGTGGATGGATATGTGGAAACGTTTCATGCAAGGGTCCAAGGGGTCAGCCCGCACAGTGATGGTGACTGGCTTCCTCACACCCAGCGACTGCCTCTTCTCAACCGTCACCACGTCAATTTCTTCCCCTTCTGTGTACAAACAAGAGGGAACAAGCCATTAAACCTTGGCAAACACCACAGGCTGTTTCAGGCAGTAACACACAAGTTAGCACACCAGGGTGGGTTTCATGCAGCCAACCAGGTGCCCCCCAGATGTTTTGTACCACGGCTCCCATCAGCCTCAGCCAGCTTGGCCAATGGACAGGGATGATGGGAACTATAGCCCACTTTTTTATCACCCCACTTTTTTACCACCACGAAAATCAAGGAAGCATACATACATTCAAGCTGCACTGAGGTTACAAGGCAGCCTCACTGACTAGACTCAACCTGCTTTGCTTCAAAGCCAGCTCTGTACATCAAGTGGAACTGGATTCCTCAAAGAGTCTGGGACCGATTCCCAGTTCCTTATTCTAAACAGAACTGCATGAGGTGTCTAACGAAGGAACCAACCTTTCTATGCCATTGCAAGATGTAACAAGGTGGTGGTCCAAGCATTTTGAGGGGAGCGGGTGTTCAGGAGCATAAAACCATGCAGCTCCATTTCAAGTAAGAATCTGGGAAGCAGTAACCAACATCAGCTGCATCACAGAAGGAGCAGCACATTTGGGGCAAGTCATCACCTTCCCAGACCTGAGCTATCAAAGGCTTCCTAAAGATTTCTACTGAAGCCTCTCTACTTTTCCTCCTTCCTGAATCCCAAATGGAGAACTTGCACATGCACACACACACACAGGGTGGTGACAAAGGTTGCTCAAATATCAGTGGAGAATGATGAAGAAGAGATGGGGACCTGCACCAAATGTTGTGGACGGGGGTGGGGTGGGGTGAGGGGACTGAAAACAAAAGGGCAAGGTAAAGCCCCACCTTTCTTTTAATCCCTGGCTCCAGGGATGCTATGAAATCTGTTTCTGCAGAATCAGCAAAGAGCCCATCTACTGATGTCTTACTATTGAGCACTGAGGCCAACTGGAGACAGGTGGGTCTCTTCATCTCTTTTGGTTCCTGCAGCTACCACACACAGCAGAGGCTGAAGTAGGAAAGGACTAGGAAGATGCACAAGCCAGGGGGGTGAAGTGCAGGGCAAAGGGGTCATTTAAGATGCACCTGCTGAGCCAGGTTCCTTCTGCACCTCATAAGCCATATATACAGATGAAAACTAACTTTAAGAACTGATTATCAAGTTCACTTGTTTTCTTTTCCCCTCCTTGTTTTCATTTATCTTTTTGCCTAAAGAGCAGAATAAGTATGCTTTTAAATTAACGGTGAAGCTACACAACTCAGAAACTGGTAAACACCACATCAAAATCCACCAAGTAGTGCTCATTTTCATATGAAGAACACCCAAGATGAAAGATAAGTCATTAGCTCATGGCCAACCAGAAGGTTTTCATTTTTTTCTTTTTTTTTAAAGGCAAACTGAAAAGTCCTTCCCAATCTACTACTAGAGCATCCTAATGTACTTATTGCCCACTCCATAAAGTGTTGGGCATGGTTCCAGATTCAAATCTCACCCTGTAAGCTGCTTTATTTTGAGGGCAAAGACTAGATTCTTAACCTTTAGCATTTACTGAAAGGATGAGCGGTCTGATCTACCTTCTCTCAAGCAGTCTGACTTGGTGCTATTGCAAAGTCCTGAGCAAATGTAATTCCTGCAGGAATCCTGTGGTACTGGGAGCTTCATTCTGGGGAGGGATGAACATTTCTGTCCCCAAGGGTCTGTTAACAATTGCAATGGAATGGAGGTTTTTTGTCTTTGTGTCCCTGGAGGGGAGGGGAGGGGGTGGCTTTCCCAAAGGCAATTGTAAGGGACAAAAGGCCAGGCCATCATCAAGGCATTCCTATGCTCCCCATCCCCAATTAAAAAGACTGGGGGCAATAGTCACCACTGGCCTGGAACAAAGTTTACTGCTAAAGCTCTATCTCTCCCCCACCCTCCACCCCCCAAGGCTCTTTCATTGCCCATTGGAATTGTAAATGAAGCAGGGAATGGGGAGAGATGGCCTTTGCCCCTACAGCTTCACACTTCAGGAGGGATTTGCTACTTTTCAGAAGTAGTAAATCCTGTTCAAAGGGTTCCATTCCCCTGCACAAACAACCTCCCCAACACACACAGTGGGCAGCCCTCCCCACTTAGCCAGAGATGCACAGAAAGGATCTCGGCACCTCCCCATCCAGTATACAGGAAGGGGGTGGGAAGAGAAGGTCCTTTAAAGGCCTTTGCACAGAAGGCTTGAGTGACTTTCAAAAGATTCAAGTTATACAGCCTTCAGACAAAGTGGTCAGAGTTTTTTAAAGAAAGAAGTTTAAGGGGAAAGGTTATCACAGTAGAAAACAAAGATCGGTTCTGAACTCACAAAGCGAAGTCCCGCTAGTCTGCATGAGCAAGAAATCAGCCATCTGGTTTAGTACAGCAACAGCTTTCAGAGGAAAGCTTCTCCCTATCTGTGTTGGCTGGAATTATGTTCTGCCGAGGACAATGGGACTTGTATGCCTAAGACAGTCTGTGACAGGTTGCACATAGACAATGTTTCCTAGAAACTGACCAAGGGCCCTTGTGGAGAAAACTACAGGAGGCACATTTTTCACAGAAATACACAATGAAAATGATTTCAAGTAACACAGAAGGTGGCATCGTGCCTACTTAAGAGTTGGAGTCATTCAAAGCATGTCTCCAGCATTTCACTGTCACCTACTAAGGGTCCTCTTGCTTGCTCTCAGGAAACAAGGCACATAGACAGTTTTCTGTGGGACACATTCTTACAAGGTTCTGTGACAGCTCACTACCATGAGGCCCCCAGGAGAGTGCAAGATACTCTTGTCCTCCTTTTTCAAAAGCTTAAGCACCTTCATATGCAGAAGAAAACCACCTCATGTCACAAATGGGGAAGGGTCAAAAATTTTAATACTCTTCAGAAACATGGGTGGAAGGAATTCACTGCTATCAAGTCAGCTCATGATGGCCAGCACTGATGCAGAAGCGCCAAGTTGCACCCACACCCAAGATTGAGGGTGCAGACGCGCATTGTGCTTGTGTGATGTCACACATGCAACGCTGTCGTCTGCAGAAGCCAGCTACTGAAGCCGAGATGTGCAACTGGCCTCCTTCCAACCAATAATGAGACACCTTGGCCCCCTAGAGTTGGCATGCCTGCACTGATGGGAGTTGTAGTCCAAAAGAACTGGAGAGCCAGAGGCTGGGGAAGAATGGCATAGTGGAAGTCAGCAGTGTTATTTTACCCCATCTCTGTGCCAGAGGTTCCAAGCCATTAAAGTCCATGGCAAATGGAGAATCACAGCCAGACAATGGTAGCAGCAGACCATACAGTGGGCACTCCAGCCTGCTCCGTCTGCTTAATTCTATGGACAGGGAAAGGTCTCCTGCAGTAGGCTCAGTTTCAGCAGGGCTTGTGCCCCACACCCTCCCAGCCCTCCACATAAGTTCTCATCCACAGTGCACACTATCTGGTGCCCCCAATTGCATTGTTTCAGCCTTGTTTCAGCCTCCATTAATTTATAAATAAAGAACACAGGCCAGCTATGCCCCCACTTTGCCTTCCCCCACTTGCTTTGCATTTTTAAGTGCTCTCCTTCTAAAACTTGCATTGGGCAAACAATCAGCACTTTCCCATTAATAAAAAAAAATGTGACTCAGTGAGAACAACCTTCTCCAAGCATCCTGGCAATCAGCCAATAGCAGTGCTTGAAACACTGCTGTTACCTACCCGTCATCTCTCATTGGCATAGTGAGCTATTGAGAGTGCACACACACAAACACTTGCATCTGTTGCTTTTTGTCCCAGGAATCATGTGACTGGCTGAAAAAAACAGCATCTGAAGGAGGAGCCTAGATGCTGATGGGGGTGAAAAGTCCAGGTCAGCAAGGGCAAGCACAATTAAATAAATCAATAACATTCCCCGCCCCTTCTGCTAATTGAGATTAAGACCTGCTTCTCCTAATGTAATTAAATCTTATACCCAATTTGTTTCTCAACCCAAGCCCTATTCAAGCTCTGTAGTGAGTCATATAAGCAGTCACTGCTTACCCAGTGACTCAGCCCTACAAGGATTAACAACAAGGCCAGAGTATTAGAAAGTGTGCCCATTTCAAGGCTATGTCAGTTTTTCAAGGGATAACACATGCAACAAGTTTATTTATAGCAATGTTAACCCTGAACACAACATTCATGTGGTGTTCTAGTTGGGGCTGTTGGGAGTTGCAGTCCAAACAACCTGAAGCAGGTGAGTTTGCAAGGGGGGGGCGGGGACGGACCAGGTTGGCAAAGGTTGCTGGAGGTCACAAAGAAGATTGCCCCCTAAATATATTGGTGTGTACAGAAACCCCTGGTATTATTCTGTGGTTTGCCTACAAATGAGGACTGGATGTGCAAGCGAGGTACATCAATCCAAACAGAATGAAAGCATTTTAAAAACTTAAGATTTAAAAGTATCGAGATCAGATTAGCCAAACAAATTGGGCTGGGGGAGAAGGAAGAGGTTGCGAAATTTCCTTCCTTAGAGACTTGAAAAGACAGAGGCAGGCTTCTAGCTGTGAGTAGTTCGATCCTGCATAGGAAGCTATCTTATACTATACCAAGTCAGTATTGTCTAGATTCTATACTGACTTGCAACAGCTTACTAGGATTTGAAAGGATGATTCTCAGTTCTGCTTGGAGATGCCAGAGATCGAATTTCAAACCTTCTCCATACAAAGGTGATGTGATGCTCTACCAAAGAACTACGGTTCTTCCCCATTGATGTTGACTCCTGCATTGCAAGGGGTTGGTCTAGATGACTCTTTGGATCCCTCCCAACATTATGATTCTGTGTCCTAATGTTCCTACATCCTAGAGCACTTCAAAGACAGAAAGGTGGTCTTTATGATCTGTGATCCCATTCACACACACACTGCCCCTGCATGCCTCCATCAGAGGATAGTTGAACAGCAACTTTTGTGCCAATAATCAAATGGGAATGACTTTGCTTCCCCAACCTTGGGCCCTCCAGATGTTTTGGACTACAACTCCCACCAGCACCAGCCAGTGGCGATGCTGTTTTGGACTGATCTAGGTTAGCAAACTCAGCAAAGTAGTGGTTACATGTCCACTGATGCACTTATAAGCATAGATGTGGGCACTTATGCAACAAAACTTTTATAACATGCATAATATGGCTGGCTCCCCTTGGCTGCAGAACCTGACCTGAGACTGCATTCAACATTTTGTGAGAGGAGGGGGGTTTGCAAGACAATTCTTGTATTTCCCAGGTTAAATCCTTTCAGAGCCTTTGTCCATCACAGGTCCACTGTGGCAACCCTCCAAACTCCACAAGCATAAGAAGCCTGCAACACCAACCAAGCCAAACTTTTTCAATAAACACAGGTTTATAGACAGAGTTTACAACCTGAACCAGGAAACTCTGGAGAAGCCCGTCCTGCTGAAATGCAATCTCTCAAAGAAATGTGCTCTATCTTGGGTCCCCCCACACAACCTCCTGGAGTGGTGGAGGGAGTTGTGCAAGTGGCGCCTTTTCTTCTCTTTTCGGTCCTGCGGCAGGCACCCCCCTCCCCCGCCGGCTGTGCTGAAGGGTGCTAAATTGGGAGAGGTTGGAGGAGGAAGCAAGACAGATGGGTTGGGCTCACCACGTTATGCAAGTCCCAGCAGCAGCCTTGGGAAGCTGGGCGATAATGCACACTTCCCCCTGAAAGTAGAACCTCTGGTGAAGAAGTGGGGCGGGAGGGGGGCAAGTAAATGCAAGAGCTCGGAGGATTTTGCAATAAAAGATCCCTCTAAGGGGACTGTAGAATTCTGCACGGAGACCTGGGAAGACAGGGGGCGCCGTCCAAGGGGCGCCACGGGAAATTAAGAGCGAGAGGAGCCTTTTGTCCCGGGAGAGAAACTTTCGGCACCCAGCCAGAGCTGCAGGACTGGGTGCCCCTGGGGGTGCCGTGCGGTCCGCCGCCCCGCTCCCCGGCCCGGAGGCAGCCTTACCCGATTCGCTTTGGCTCTCGGAGCCGGAGGAGGGCGGGAGTTTGCAGTCGGCGGGCCAGGCGAAGACGGCGCCGGGGGCCACGCACAGCCCGCCTAGCGCGGCGTCGTGCGGCGCTTGGGCGGCGGCGGGGGCGGCGGCGGCTGGCGGGCCCTGGGCGGGCGGCTTGGCGGTCAGCTTCTCGCCCATGGCTTTCTCCAGGCGCTCGCGGGCCGAGAAGCCGCTCCACATGCAGTCGCGGAGGACGAAGGCGCTCAGGTTGCCCAGCAGCCGGCCGGGCTCCAGCAGGTAGTCGGCGGCCGCGTCCTCGGCGGGGCCCGGCGGCAGCGGCGAGGCCGGCGGACTGGGCAGCAGCTCGAACTTCTTCCAGATGTCCTCGCTGGGCGCGCTCGAGCGGTGGAAGTCGTCGCCGGGCGACTCGTGGTGGTCGTAGAAGTAGGGCGGCGCCGGCGGCGCCTGAGGCAGCTGAGGCGGGTCGAGCTCCATGGCTTGCCCGCGTCCCACCTGCGACCGGAGCTCACCTGAGCGCAGCGCGCGGACGGGCACGCTCCTCCGCCTGGAAAAGTGCAAGCGCCGGGCTCTTTCAGCTAAGAAGGCGGTGCCGCCGCCTGGTTTGGTAGCTTAGCCTTTCTGCGCTCGCTCCCGAAATCGCGGCTTTTCCCGCTTCCCCGCCCCCCAAAGCGACCCAGTCGGGATCGAGGCGCATTGTTCGCTCGCTCCCTTATATCGCGTCTGGCGCTCCGAGCCCCGCCCGTACCACAAGCCGAACCAATTAGGAGCGCTGGATTTGCACAAGGGGGCGGGGGCAGACAGCGGCTCGCTCCGCGGGAGCTGCTCGCGTTGGCCCACCTTGCTGCGAAGGGAGCGGGCGAGCCAAGCTGGAGGTGCAGAGCTGCTGCTGTTGGGGCACAATTGCCAGGGCTTCTAGACAGGTGTTTATCGTGAAATCGGCGCTCTGCATGCAGACAAAAAAGAAGAGGAAAAGTGCAACGCCCATACACATACCTGGCATCAAAATACCAGCCTGTTTATTTTTTTTTAAATGATATTTATTAAAGTTTCAAAGAAAAAATTACATAGATAAAAAGAAAAAGAAAAAAAAACACATCGATCTTTCCATAACTTACATTTCATTTCCTTACTTCCCTGACTTCCTCACACCTCCCTTTTTTGTATTCCAGTTCTATTAGTTAATTCAGCAATTCCTTTCCCTCTTTGTTTTTGTCTTAATCCTTTAACTTAACATATTATAACTTTAGATTCTCATCTGTTAACAATCCATTTGTACATACACCTTTATAACATTGCTGCTAAGACCACTTAATTTCATTCTGACATCATTCTAACATTCATTAATTTTGCAGTATTTCTGTAAATAGTCTTTAAATTTCTTCCAATCTTCTTCCACCGACTCTTCTCCCTGGTCTCAGATTCTGCCAGTCATTTCCGCCAGTTCCATATAGTCCATCACCTTCATCTGCCATTCTTCCAGAGTGGGTAAATCTTGTGTCTTCCAATACTTTGCAATAAGTATTCTTGCTGCTGTTGTGGCATACATAAAGAAAATTCTGTCCTTCTTTGGCACCAATTCGCCGACCATGCCCAGGAGAAAAGCCTCTGGTTTCTTCAAGAAGGTATATTTATATACAGTGGTGCCCCGCAAGACGAATGCCTCGCAAGACGGAAAACCCGCTAGACGAAAGGGTTTTCCGTTTTTGAGTTGCTTCGCAGGACGAATCTCCCTATGGGCTTGCTTCGCAAGACGAAAATGTCTTGCGAGTCTTGAGATTTTTTTTTTCGCTTCCCCCCCCCTTTATCTAAGCCGCTAAGCCTTTAATAGCCTTTTAGCAGCTAATCCGCTAAGCCGATAAGCCTTTAATAGCCGCTAAACCGCTAATAGCGCTAATCCGTTAAGCCGCTAATAGGGTTGCTTCGCAAGACGAAAAAACCGCTAGACGAAGACACTCGTGGAACGGATTGATTTCGTCTTGCGAGGCACCACTGTACCTTTTTCATTTCATTATAGATCATCTCCCAGAAAGCCTTAATCCTTGGGCAAGTCCACCAAAGGTGAAAGAATGTACCTTCAGTCTTTTTACATTTCCAACATTTATTATCGGGCAAGTGATAGATTTTTGCAAGCTTGACTGGTGTCATGTACCACCTGTATATCATTTTCATAATATTCTCTCTTAAGGCATTACATGCCGTAAACTTCATACCTGTGGTCCATAACTGTTCCCAGTCAGCCATCATTATGTTATGTCCAACATCTTGTGCCCACTTAATCATAGCAGATTTAACCGTTTCATCCTGAGTATTCCATTTCAACAGCAAGTTATACATCCTTGACAAAATCTTAGTTTTGGGTTCTAACAGTTCTGTTTCTAATTTTGATTTTTCCACCTGGAAGCCTATTTTCTTATCCAAATTGTATGCCTCCATTATCTGATAATAATGAAGCCAATCTCGCACTTTGTTTTTTTAGTTTCTCAAAGCTCTGCAATTTCAGTCTATCTCCCTCTTGTTCCAGAATTTCCCAATATTTCGGCCATTTGGCCTCCATATTGAGCTTTTTCAGAGCTTTCGCTTCCGTCGGTGACAGCCACCTTGGGGTTTTATTTTCCAGTAGGTCTTTATATCTTATCCAGACATTAAACAATGCTTTCCTGACAATATGATTTTTAAATGCTTTATGTGCTTTGACCTTATCATACCACAAATATGCATGCCATCCAAATACATTATTAAAACCTTCTAAGTCCAAAATGTCTGTGTTTTCAAGAAGCAGCCATTGTTTCAGCCAGCAAAAAGCTGCTGATTCATAATAAAGTTTAAGGTCTGGCAGGGCAAATCCACTTCTTTCCTTTGCATCCGTTAGTATTTTAAATTTTATTCTAGGCTTCTTGCCCTGCCAGACAAATCTAGAGATATCTCTCTGCCACCTCTTGAAGCAATCCATTTTGTCCAAAATTTGCAATGTTTGAAAGAGAAATAACATTCTAGGCAATACATTCATTTTTATCGCAGCAATACGGCCTAGCAGTGAAAGCTTCAAATTTGACCAAATTTCTAAGTCTTTTTTCACTTCAGCCCAGCATTTTTCATAACTGTCTTTAAATAGATTCCCATTTTTTGCTGTCATGTTAATCCCCAAATATTTAACTTTCTTAACCACTGTTAAACCTGTCTCATTCTGAAACCTCTCTTTCTCAATCACAGTTAAGTTTTTCTCTAAGACCTTTGTTTTTAACTTATTCAATTTAAATCCTGCAACCTGACCAAATTCTTGAATCAGTTCCAAAACCCTTTTAGTACTAGATTCTGGCTCCTGCAATGTCAATACTAAGTCATCTAAAATACCAGCCTGTTTAATCCATATTTACCCTTTCTGGTAAAAAGCCGTTGGGCAAAAACAAACCTGTTGCTATCCTAGTGGCCCCTTTGCAATAGCTCAACAAAGTATTTGAAAAGTATGCCCCATTCTTGGGGGAAAGCAGTAGCTCAGTGGTAGAGCATCTTCTTTACATGCAAAAGATCCCAGGTTCAATCCCTGACATCTCCAGGTAGGGCTGGGAGAAATTCCCTTCCTGAAATTCTGCAGAGCTGCTACCAGTCAGTGTGGAAAATGCTGAACAAGATGGACCAGTAAAAGACAGCTTCACTCGTTCCTATTGGGATCAGTTTAGGCATAACCAGGAAGCAAGACTCTCTGCACATACTCAGTGGTACTGTTATTTACATGTTCTAGGACAGAAATTAAGGGACGCAGGTGGCACTGTGGGTTAAACCACAGAGCCTAGGACTTGCCGATCAGAAGGTCGGCGGTTCGAATCCCCGCGACGGGGTGAGCTCCCGTTGCTTGGTCCCTGCTCCTGCCAACCTAGCAGTTCGAAAGCACGTCAAAGTGCAAGCAGATAAATAGGTACCTCTCCGGCGGGAAGGTAAACGACATTTCTGTGCGTTGTTCTGCTTTGCCAGAAGCGGCTTAGTCATGATGCTGGCCACATGACCCGGAAGCTGTATGCCGGCTCTCTCGGCCAATAAAGCGAGATGAGCGCCGCAACCCCAGAGTCGGCCACGACTGGACCTAATGGTCAGGGTTCCCTTTACCTTTACCTTAGGACAAAAATTAAGCTCTAGTATTCATATTACTCTATGACCAAAGCTATACAACACCAAGATGGCTGCTAAATCCATTGCATGCTCAGCGCAGGCAGATCAGGAAAAACAACATCACCAGAAAGTACACAAGTTGTGTAAAGAAAGCATACATGCCCACCAATTAGGGACTGTGTCGCTTATGCCACACATGGATGGAGGGAGCCAACCAACCAACCAACCAACCAACCAACCAAGGCCCCATGTCTTTCAAGTCACCACACCTACAACAGACAAGAAACACAGAACTACGCAGCAACCATCAGCACAGCCAAAGGAGCCCTGTGGTGTTGTCTGTTAAAACAGCCATCAACACCTTGGGGAAGTTACTGGTTCATGTGATACCATGTAGTTTGCAAAACAGCCACATAAATATATACAGGAGGCTGCCAATTCCTTCCTTCCTTCCTTCCTTCCTTCCTTCCTTCCTTCCTTCCTTTCCCACAAGCCATCATTAATTGAAAAGGGGATAGTCAGTTAAGTTGTGCATACACTAAAACAAGGATGCAGACATACTCCCAGGAGCACTGGTTCAAATACCGCCAGGGGAAATTAGAGCAGGTGAGGCAGAGAGTGGTGCTTCTCCTAAGGTTCCTGATGTAGCATTCCCATTGGTCTGGCTGCTTCTGGAGGCTCCAGGCTATGCCAGTCTGACTGGTCAGTTGCCTGCCAATCAGGTCCTGGCCCTACCGCCAGGTGGTTGCCCCTCTCTACCTGATTGGCAGCACTGCTCCTTCCTGTGACCTTACAAGCATATAACTGGGCTGCACTAGGGTCATGGAGAAATACTCAACCATTATTTAATACCATGGTACGCAAAATAAGAATAGGAATCATAAGACACCCATGTTTTTGAACTTAACTGTAACTTGGTAAGGCATGATTTTGATCCTGTTCATCTGCACAAACTTCCTCCAACAGGATCTCAAACTTAAAACAAACTGCAGGCAGGGCCGAATCCCATCCCACCCCAAACTGGTGTTTGCTTTCATCTTATTATTTTGCTTTTCTTTTTAGCATACTGTCTGATAAAAGTTTCTGAGTAACTTAAAAGCTCACTCACAACCCAGGGAGTCTTGGTCTTAAATATGAGATAGTATTCTTAATGTTCCTGTTCCTGTTCCTGTTGTTGTTGTTGTTGTTGTTGTTGTGTGTTTTAAAAAACAACAGCAGAGTAACCTGAGTTGTTTAATGAATCTATAGCTTTATTTGTTTGCAGAAAGCATAGAGGATCTTGGCTATTTAATGAACATTCATCCTGATTTGTTTGTGAGGAAATTAGATTAAGTTGCATTGAGCAAGTGTTATCCCAAACTTTCCAGTGCATTTCCCCACCACTTTCCTTATCATAAAAAGCCCAGTTTTTAAGTAAAGCAGGTTTGTTTCGCAGGAGCTCCAGATCAGCTTTAATTGTACTACATGCATTGCGGGTATGTGATTAAATCTCACCCCAAAATAACAATAGTTTTGATTTGGTTTGATTAGCACTAGCATGTCAGTGGACGCCAATGAATTGTTCAGGGTGCTGAAGTTTAACTCACTGTTCAATGCTACCATCGTCTGGTGACTTGATGGCATTGCATTGGGAAAATTTTCTACATTGGAAGCTTCAAACTCAAAGGGGATGGGGGAGCCAAACTCCTTGCAAAGCAGTTGCTAGTAATAGGCTGCACTCAATTGTTTTTGCTGCCCAGAATGGCACTGTAGTAGGCTAGCTTCTAAAATGCCTTTTGCTATACTGCTCCAATGTGTTGCCAAAATGAGAGTCAGCGTAGTGCAGCAGTTAGGGCACTGGACCAGGACCTTCATGGATCCTCATAATTTTTACAAGCACTCCCTCCCCAAGCCACCATCAAACGGAAGCTGGCATTGATTCTACTGTTGTTTACCTTGGTGTTCCATCCTTTCTCTATTGAGCTTAGCATGGCATACACAAGTATGTGGGCTACCTCACTTTATCCTCATAATAAATTGTGAAGTAGGCTGCACTCAGGCACTGACTAGCTCAATGTCACCTAGTGAGGTTTATAGCAGATCAAGGATGTGAAGTCCCAACATGGTGACCACTAACAGTGCAATTTGCAGCCTCACTATTCTGTTTATTTAAAATGTGTATAGACTCCTTTTTGAACAAATTGTTTCCAAAAGTGGTTTCCAAAAATATACACAAACCATTGTATAGTTTGAAAACCAGTTTAAACAGATTTACTGTACAAAATGTTATTAAAATCACCATGAACTAATATGACTAACTTGATTCTAATAAACTGGGTTATTCTATGTGCTGATCCTCTTTGCAGTTCATATATCTATATTTATATAAAGAAAAACTTTGTAAAACATCAAGCGGTGGAGGGAAAAATATGTACTTCATGTACGCCAGACTGCTATAAAATATGGGTGTTCTACCATATGCCTCATTATTTGTGTAATCAGTAAAGTCACACCAGAATGCATAAAAATAAAAAAAAATTGATTTTCTTTTGGCCTCTTGTAACTTTTAATTTTTATGTCAGTTTTTCCAATAATGTTGTTTGTCGGATTGCATTATACCATTGGTCCATAGTTAATTGTAATGATTCCCACATCCTGGCAATAGTTGTTGTTGCAGCAGTTAACAGATGTTTTGAGTTCTTTTACAATACAATACAATACAATACAATACAATACAATACATACTGTATTGTGATGACATGAGTTAAGTAGAGCCAGTCCTGGGTCATGGGGACTGTCTGCCTTGTAATTGTAATTAAAGATATTTCTGTAATCAAATATATTTTTGTAAATACATTTTTCCATAACTTTTCAATTTTTGGACATTCCACCACATTTGCTGATACTGTATGTCCTTATAGCGGGACATCCTCTCCAACACATGGGAGAACTCATCGGTTTTATAAAGCCTAGGCTTCTAGGTATTAGGTTCCAGCTCTGTGCAATTTTAAGTGGTCTTTCTCTGGTCATTGCTGCTATGGATTTGTATGGCACTTTTGTCCACATTTTTGTCCATGCCTCTTTTTAGAGCCAGTATAGTGTAGTGCTTATGAGTGCTGACCTATGAAAGAAAAACCTAAGGTATGGGATAACAGGCTTCATAAACCCCACTCAGTCATGAAGCTCACTGGATGACCTCAGGCCAGTCACTGCCTCTCAGCCTAACCTACTACACAGAGTTGTTCTGAGGATAAAATGTGGAGGGAGAGAACCACATACACTACCTTGAGCAATGTGGAGGAAAAGTTGGTATATAAATGTACTAAATAAGACAAACTTGAAAGAACGGATGGAGTGAATCTGGCTCACTCAGCCTACCCATGAGGGAACACATTATTATTTACCCAGGCTTTGTTTTTATTGGGAGGGCAGGTAGATAAAGGATGAACAAAGCAAAGGCCACAGACATTAAGTTTAGTGGAAAGGGCTTTGAAATGTACGGTACGTATTTTGGGGTGACCTTATTGCCCTTTCTTACCTACTTTAATGCTGTTGTTTATTACTTTGAGGCACTTGAGGGTTAGTGTGGTATAATGCTTATACAGTATCAGACTAGGACCTGGGAGAGACCAAGGTTCAAATCCCCAATAGGCCATGAAGCTCTCTGGGTGGCTTTGGGCCTAGTCTACCTCACAGGGTGGTTATGGGGGTTAAATGAGGAGGTGAACCATGTACTGTATGCTACATTAGAGCTCCTTTGAGGAAAAGGTGGGATATAAATGCAAGGGATCATAAGAATAAAAAAATCAAATTAAGCAACCAAGCATGATACGGAAAGACTGCCGTCTCATATAAATCCTCCTCTTGGCCCCTCGTAAAATGCCACTTTTTTTTCGAAGCCCGCACAAGGAGCCTCACTATATTATACAGGAGACAACATCCTGCGCCAGCATTTCGAGAGCATATCACCCTAAAGACTTTCTCGCCAACATTGGGAATTGTAGTCCCCCCGCGGCGATACTTCTATGCCAGCTAGTCTAGCTTGGGCTGAAAAAGACTCCACCTCCCATCAGGCCTAAGGGTGGCGCCTGCGGACGTAGAGCGCGCGAGCTGGAAAGGGGGAGGAGCTTGACTTTAGAGAGAGAGCGCGAGAGTCGGCGGGGCGGAAGATAGTCGGTGACGGGCTCCTGCAGAGGCATGCCGGTTCTTGTAGTACATGACGTGAAAGCCGTCCGCGGTGCAAATAGGCTAGGGGGGGCGGAAGAACTACATCTCCCAGCGGCTTCACTTAGTTCGCTCCTGGCTGGTAGTGCTGCGCGCGCAGGACGTCTGGGCCTGCTGCTACTGCTGCGGTGGTGAGCTGTGAGGTAGGCAAAGGCGGGCGAGAGAAGAAGGCCGCGTCTGAACGGTGAGGAGGAGGCCGCGGCCTGCGGATTGTTGTTGTTGTTTTCTGTTTCCCCTCCCTTAAGATCGAAAAAGATGGCGAAGGATTATGTTTCTACCTCACACACCCCAGGCAGGGGGGTGCTGAGGTGGAGCTGGGGGGGAGGGGCGAGTGGGGGAGGGGTATCGCGTGCCCTGGGAGGAGGTCGGTTCGCGAGTAGGCCAAGGGGTAAATGGAGAGGGCCGTTATTTCTGATAGCAGAGCTGAATCGGGGCTTTTTTAAAAATCGCCCCCGAAAACCAGACGGGGTTTTGGCAAATCCACCTAGAAGTGTTGGCGGGAGAGGTACCGGGAAGGCGGCCTCTGGTCCTGTCCTCTCCTTTCGCGATTGAATGGATGCCGACATATTTTTTTTTTAAGAAGTCTGCGCGCGATCAGGTGAGGGGGCCGCTTCCCCTCTTGAGTCAGGTGCCATGGCACCCAACCCCCCTTGCGTGCAGTGTTTATTGTCTGTCCATTCCGTCTTCCCCATCGGCATTCTGCTTTTCTTTCTCTAAAAGGGAGCTGCAAATTAATTCACAATTAGATACGAATTAGCTTGTGTCTACATAGTGTGAGGAGTGGTCCTCTAGATCAATGTTTCCCAACCTTGGGTTCTCCAGCTGTTTTGGGGCTACAACACCCATCATACCTAGCTAGCAAGACCAGTGGTCGGGGAGAATTGTAATCCGAAAACAGCTGGAGAACCCAAGGTTGGGAAACACTGATCTAGATGATGACGATTAATTCCTAGCTCTTTGTAGCTGCAGCTCCCGCTCCACGTGGCCTTGTAGTCCAAGGACACTGCAGGACTGCAGCTTACCTACCCCTGCCAGCAGGACTTTACAGAACCCAAAAAGAGAAGAGAATGTTGTAGTTGAAGTCTGGTTTCAGTAGGGCATGGAAATTAGGGGCTTTCTGTTCTAAAAACTCCCTTGTGCAGACTGTTGAGCAGGCTTTGGTTCTGCCACACACCAGCTGTTAGGTGGTACAGCTGAAGCCTGCTTTCCTTTACCAATGTACCGTAATATTAGGAGTGCACTTCAAAGATGCTCCTAATTGTGCATTGACTGCTGCATCTCTGTCTTCCTCACATCGTAGGTGTTAGTAAGTGGGCATGATTTGGGAAAAGTGGCCTAGCAAATGAAATTTTAGATGCTGGTTGGCCAGATTTAGCCTGTGGGCCAGAGGCTCCCCACCCCTGACATAGTTCATAAAACAATTTATTTACTACTTTTACTTCTGAGAATAGAACTCAAACCATTGGGATCATATTACATGAAAAGGGTTTTAGGTTAAATATTAGGAAGAGCTTTCTTACAGTGCAAGTTGATAAAAGGCATTTTGAACCACAGAGGTCACGTAAATATTGGGTGACAATATTGAGTTAATACTAGCCCCTAAACTGTGGCCCTAATGCATAAGAGAATGCAATTTTTCCAGAACAAATTTAACACCATCATCTGGTCAGATAAACCACTTACCAAGGTACCTCCATCTTGTCTAGATTGAATATCAGTCAATAAACCCTTATCCAATCTTCTACCACACCCAGGCACTGATTCAGGGCACAAAAGTCTCACCTAAAAGATGAAAAAGAGAAACAGCTGGATGCCTTTTTGTGTATTGATGATACCTCAAGAAAAATCTGCAGACCTCTCCCAGCAGTTTTATGTTAAACAGCGCTAGGGGCAGGGAGGGGAATAGAATTATGTAGACCCCTGGAGTGTAATAAATAAGGGGCTGAGCCACAGTTCCCCAGCAGAACTCTCTGGAATTAGCCATCCAAATAGGAGAACCACCACTATGTCGTATCTCAAGCACACAGTTGCGATATATTATCCTGATGGTCAATGACATCAAAAGCACCTGAGAGGTCCAAGAGAATCAACAGGGTTTTGAACCCTTTGGTTTTCAGAAAAAGCCATCCTACAAATTGCTCAAGGCAGTTTCTGTCCTAAAACCTTGCCTGTAGCCTGATTTAAATGGATATAGAGAAACACTTTTATCGAAGCACTTTGCTCAGGACATGTTGTCAACCAGCCTATAATTGGTGACATTTTCTAGATGCATGCTAGGTTTCTTTATGACCAGTATTATAACCTCTGAAGTGGAAGTTAGAAACACCCTGCCTCCCCTGTCATCTAAGACTAAGACTGATTCCAAGGAGCCCTCACACTCCACCCTTGGAGATGGATTAATGCCATTGAATGCCTAAAGTTTAACTTGAGCAGATACGTAAAATTTCCAGAAATTTTGAAGCCATGGAGAGGGGGACAGGTTTTTGGGGGGGGGTGATTGTTTTTTTGGGGTGGAGAAACAACTTTTCTGGGGAAATGCATTTTTTTGTTTTGTTTCCAGTGCTCCATATTGAAAATCACTTTGTTACTTTAGGAACCTAGAATGCATTGTGCATAACTTGGTTTGCAATAGAATGATCATGTCTGTTATGTTAAAAGTTCAGTTCTTTACAATAATTACAAATTGAATTTATTAAAGTTTTGTTTTTGTTTTTTACAAATGGGGCTACAAGCTGCTAAACTAGCATCTCTTTGGTTTTGCTAGTTTATGAGGAATGGGCAAAAACAGAAACCAATATTATAGTAAAACAAATTATTATTCAGAAAATAACAGTTAAGCAGACATAAAGCATTCATTTTCATTAAAAGAGCTGAGAAAAGGGGAGGGGGAACAAAACTCATTAAATTTCATGCAGTGTTCATTGTCCCATGTTCTAAATTATTGCTATCAGTTCCTCTTTCTTTATCTTAAAAGTTTATTTCCAATGTATGTTTGAATGTAGTAGTTGAAATGAGATATTTAAATAAGAAAAAAGAATACAGTGACGCGAATAATTATATTCAAACAAATTCGGTTATCTGATAGTCAGAGATTTAATCTTAAATCCCTTGTGATGGTCAGATCTTGTTTATAGAGATGTGAAGGCCCAGAAAATGAAATGTTTTCTTTTAGAATGATGAACAAAATGTTTTAAGACACAGTGTTCATAAATTTAGTCTCCCAAAATGATTTCTAAAGCTCTGTTAACAGAAAGACTTTGATGTAAGGCTTTGTACAGTATCAAATCATTACAGTTCCTACACACTGAGGACAAGCAGGTCCTGAGCTGTACATAGAGTACAATTCTAAAAAGCAAGAGTAAGATACATTTTTGCCTCTTGGGAGGCACTGTCATTGTTAAAAGAGAATAAAGGATTCAGTGCATTCTTTGCTTGTAGCTTTCTTGTTGGATCTGTTCCTGTCCTCTTGACTAAGCCTCAAAGGATTTCAAGCAGGAAAAAGTACAGAGCAACATAATTTTGTTGCCATCCAATTCAGACTGCTGCAAATCAATTGGATCAAAGATTCAAAGGGATAAATGTAAGTGATAGCACTGCTTCAGCATTTGACTAGATTACAAAACAAGCAGCATTCTTAGGGTTTGATATTTGAAAGGTACCTTCAAAAGTTACAGAGAGCAGAATTATATTTATGTATTTGGCCAAGTAATGCAGTCTGGGATTCTGCACATCCCTCCTGCAGCATGGTGGCCAGATCTTTCCAGTTTGTTTCAATCTGGGCATACCTTCAGTTTTAAGAGGCCCATGATAAATACAGTAGGTACAAAGGTGACTCTCTGAGGATACTGTGCAGCTGAGTTTTGAAAGATTATGATCCTTATCTTCAAGTGTGAATTATTAAAACTTTTATTAAACTGACATCCTATATTGAATTCAGAACAAAGAAGCAGGCCAGTTTTAATTTAATAAGAAATGCAATTCTCAGCCAATTTTTTACTTATGCAAGGTGCAGTTTAAAAAAATATTACCTATTATCACCAGCATGTGATTTAAGTCAACATCATCACAGTTTGTATTTACCCATTACACAAAAACTATTTTAGTACTAGTTCTGGCTCATTTAACAAGATAGTCTAGTAAAACAATTGCTGTTATTAAAGGTAGCTGCATCAGTGAATTATTGAAAATTGTTCCCCAAAAGGTCTGCCACATTTTTCTTCTTAATTTTTAAAAAATGTCTTCAAGGCTGTCTAGACATCTTTTTTTAATGGATTTGTAAAGCATTAACATGTGAGCTTCCAACTAATGTAGAACTCTAAATACATAGCATAGTAGTCTTTATATGCTGGAGTTGCAATGGTGTGTATTGGTCAGCTTGTCTTGGATCAGCCATTACACCACAAACTTAATTCTTTTCCTGTGTAAAAATACATTAACATTCTGATGTCCCATAGACATTACTGGAACTGTTACAGAACTGCAAACCTAATCCAAAAAACTGTTATTTCTTAAGGTGGCTCATTGCCATTTTCAGAAGTAATTGTTTTTCATTGTGGTGGGAAATAGAGAGAGACACAGTTCTGTTTTGCTGTGTCAGAGAAAATGAGTGTGATGTAAGAGTTAACTGGCACCAGTGCAAAAAGCTGAGACCCCATCGCAGCCTAGGTCTCATATACTCAAAACAGTGTGCTTCTGCTGATTGGTTGAATGATTTACTATTTAAAGTTGTTTTGGGTGTCTCTTTGCTATAAAGCACTCAGTTTCAAAATTCCTCCTTGGTGTGTCATATCTTGGGCACAAATTTTGTTTTCCAGTGATGGACTGAATTTGCAGTTCTAATTCTTTCCTTCTTTCCAGCATGTGTAATGTGTCCTTTAAGGAGTTTTGAGAACAAATGCTCTTTCCTGCTGATTTGGCAGGGTCTCCTCCCCATATTTCAAAAGTGTCTGTTAAGTTCACTTGGTTATCTGGATAATTCATAGTGAACTATATGTAGTAGATATAATCAGGAGAAAGAAGAGTGTCTTCAGTCTTTTGTACTGTGGCTGTTCTTAATTATTTTGTGGAATCGAAATAGAGATGAGAGTGTTCTGTTGCTCCCAAGCAGCTGAATACAGTGGCAAACCAGAGCAGCGCACGGAAACACCATTTACCTTCCCGCCAGAGCAGTGCCTATTTATCTACTTGCACTTTGACGTGCTTTTGAACTGCTAGGTTGGCAGGAGCAGGGACCGAGCAACGGGAGCTCACCCCGTTGCGGAGATTCGAACCATCGACCTTCTGATCGGCAAGCCCTAGGCTCTGTGGTTTAGACCACAGCGCCACCCGCATCCCTAATGATATTGGTAGTTACAATTTAAATCACTTTTCTAGTGATTTTGTAACATCTTTCACAGTTTCCACATTATGGGTTTATTGAGCTATTCGTCATGACTCCAATATCTCCCAGTGTGGAGAAATCTTTTTGGAAATCTACTAAATCACAGTATCTTCAGCAAACTTGACCTCCTCACTTCTCAAGGCCTTTGTAGATCCAGGGACAGAGAGGTAACTTCAATTTTGCTTGTTTGCTTCTGTACACATATCTGACCTCAGGTTTGAGGTTTAGAAACCTTGGGTTGGTTCTAAACTGCATTTTGAGGAACACAGGGAAGTTACTGATCAGACATCCATTCACTTACCTTTTGTTCTTTCTCTGCTTTCTGTGATAGTAACTTCTGAAGTCCTTACTAAAGCACAAGTCCTATCTGAGCTGCATGGCCCTCTATCCTTTCTCGATCCTATCGTTTCTGGCACTGGGCCGTGTTGCAAAGCCTGTGGTCCTCAAGTTTTTAAGAGATCTGGGATTGCTGTCTCTGTTTTGGGCTGATAGGTCTCATTTGAAAGTATTTTTAGGCACAGGTTTTCATGGCTACAAGTAATACAGGACTTCATTGCTTCTGTGGTCTTATCAATGTGCATTGCCCATTGTACAGTATCCTGGAATAGGGCTTCTCAGTGGTGGCACCTTGACTCCCTGACCCTGATTTGCATTCAATACAGTGGTACCTCTGGTTGCAGACAGGATCCGTTCCGGAGCTCTGGTCGGATCCTGAGATTTCCGCAACCGGAGGGATCGCTTCTGCTCATGGCGCAGTAGAGCGCTTCTGCGCATGTGTGCGAGGCGAAACCCGGAAAAATACTTTCGGGTTTGCCGCGTACATATCCCGAAGGATACGTAACCAGAGGTAAACGTAAGTAGAGGTACCACTGTATAGCACTAAGCAGATCGTTCTGACAGCATAAGGATTTCTGCATGCACAGTGGAACAGTCTTCTCCTCTCGTCCTCTTGTGCTCCCCTAAATCTGTTCTAGGGTTTCCCCATGCCCTTCAGAGAAGATTGGGAGGCACATGCAGGGTTCCTTAAGACAATTGTTCACCCAAGCTTTTGGGAGATCAGTGCCTGGTGCTAGACTACTTGAACTGATTTATCTGCTGCTTTATCATTAATGTATTTTAAACTCTTGCTTTTAATGTATATTGCTGTTTTGTTGTTGGTCTTTAAATAGAATAAATAATAATAATTAGATACTCAGAAATGTGGATTATATAAATGCAGGTGTTGTATGTTTGAGTTTAATTGCAATGTTTTATTTTGCCAAGCAAAGTGTTCAAAATATTTGCAAGGGAGAAACAGTGACATAGGCAAAGTCAGCCACCTCATTAGTCCATACTTGGACCTATGCTTATTGTTTAATTAAAATGAACCAAAATGGGTTACTTCTAATCTGGTGTTTAAGAGCAGGCCTTAACAATAAATCTGGTCTGAAAATTCTGAACTCTATCCCATAAAATGAAAGCAGATGAGAAGTTGGCAGCAAGTTATCTACTTGGCAAGATTAATCCTCTCTTCACCAAATTGAGGTGGAAGGATTAAATCTATAGCAAGATTCTAAGTAATACTGAATCCTGTTTTGGCTCTCTCCCTTTGCTGGGATTTGAGCAAGTCTGTTCTTTCTTTCCTTTTTAAGGACAGCTTGCCAAATGTAGCACATATGGTATTGTTAGGCCTTGATTTACCTCTGAGAGGAGCTGTAGCTGGGATCCAATTCAGGTGCAGGTGGGTAAAAATCAGAAAAGCAATAGATGTGGTCACTTGGCAGGCTGGGAGTCTGGAAGTGCATCAAGCAGATGAGGATCAAAGGGTTAGCAGTAGGAGGTAGATCCAGGCAGAAGGCTGAGTTCCAAGACAGCAATAGGTTGAAGGGGCAGGTGCAGTGTCAAATGCAGGTTGTGGTAGCAATCCAATCTTAACACTCAAAGGCTACCTAAGAACTAAGAATGCTGGTTGCACAGTAAGGTGCTGGACAACCTGGTTTGAAACCCTTGACATCTTACACCTATCCTTAAAGCATGACGTGATTCTGGACTCCTTTGGAAGTAAGGGTAAGATATAAATTTAGATGATGTATATCTGAGGGTATGTCCTGCTCTCCTTATAAGGCTAGAACCTCAAAAGAGCAGTGTGTGTGCTTGTCTCTCCTGGAGAAAAAATTGCCCTTAGGCTAAAATGAAAGATGTGTGTCTGTTATATAATCCAAATAAGAGATTTGATAGTTTAATTTGTTCATGCGCATAACAACTTCACATGCTTCAGTTCATACATTCAGATGAAAAAGATATTGCAGTATTGTGGCTTCTAGAAGTACTAAGTTCTCACTGTGCTGCTTTTTTTCTTTTCTGGGGAGGTGTTTCCCTCTGTGTGTGTGTGTAGTACTTCTGCATAGTGTTCAAAACTCCCATTGTGCTAGGCACATTTTGTGACAAGGAATTTCATTAGCGTGAGCAGTTTCTGAGCTCTGAGCGTAGCACTGTGCCTAAGAGTTCAGATTAAAACTGCAGAGTAGAAGGAAAGGAGGACCTTTTTCTGCCTCCCTACTTCCAGCTACTCTCTGAAGACTGGAGAAGAGTCTCTCTTAAGAATATTAGGGGTGGGCAGAGGAAGGAGTAGACCATGTGAAAAATGAACATAATATTTTAGCTGCAGTTCATTCATTTTTAGGTTGGTATTGTTATAAAAAAGCACACCTAGACATTCCGTTGTTGCGCCCATAACCTAGGTTTAAGGTGCCATTTAGCTCCTAGCTTTCATATCTCAGTTTCTAGCACTGCTTCTGCATAACTTGGGTTTAACTCTAGCACACTGCTCCCTCTTGCTTGTTTCTTGTTGGTTCTGTTTTGGCTCCAGCCTTAACAGCATGGCGGTACTGATTTCAGTATTAGAGAGGATAATGTGGTTGCTTGGCTAATAAGAGCAGTGGTCCACAACTGCTGTTTGTATGGCTCCAGCAATGACTACCTGTCCCTGCAGACACAGCAGAGTGAGTCCCTTTCCCTAAGTTGCTGGTGCATCAGAGTGTACTTGGAGTGGGTCTTTTTCTCTTTTAAAGAAAACAAACTTTTATTGAAGAAATAAAATTTCTTCTATAGATATATTTTTGTACATTTTTATGATAGATGTCTTTCTAACACCATACCTATCAGTTTTCAACTAGATGCTTATGCTCCTCAGTAGTATACCATAATTAAAAACCACTGGTTATGTATGCCATGATACAGTGGTACCTCCGGTTGTGAACGGGATTCGTTCCGGAGGTCGGCCGCATCCTGAGGAATTTGCAACCGGAGGACCGCTCTGCACATGCGCGTGGCGTGGTTTAGTGCTTCTACACATCCGTGAGCAGCGAAACCTGGAAAAATACTTCCGGGTTTGCCACTTTCGCAACCCGAAGTTTACGTTACCCGAGGGTAACGTAAGCTGAGGGTCCACTGTATGTATTTAAATTTTGTTTCATAATTGTTCATTACTTATCTTGAAATCTTATATTTTACTATATAACCCTTTTTGATGTTGTGAATTACTTTGAGCAGAGTTTACCATGGAAAAGCAGCATACAAATAAAATAAATGATTATATATAGGTGCCCAGAGACTGAAATTATGATATTAATGATTTCTATTTGGTCCCTTGTGAACATCTGCAAGGACACTAAAAAAGAGTGGTTACACAAAGCAGAAGAAATTGCTCTGACCCATAAATTGAAAATTATAATACAGTAGAGTTGTTATTTGAATATATGTGTGCTGAGTCACATACAAAATTGACCAAATCCACATGTTCTGCCTTTTCTTATCCTTAATAAAAGAGGCTTGTTCTGAATAGGAATTTAGAATTCATTGAGAAATACAGCAGACTCATCTGGTGCTTTTCTTGGAAAAAGAATGGAAGAAGCTTAAATGGAAGGATTTTTTTAAAGGATGGAAAATCATGGCAAATGCAACAGGAAATTGGATTGTAAGATACCGAACTAGGTGCAAATGAATACATAATATGAAAATAATTATGGATGCATCAGAGTGAAGAGATTCTTGTGTGCACAAAGATGAAAACATTCACAGTATTGTTTAACATGGAGGAATGTTTGTTGAAGTTATTGGAGGCAAAGTTGATATATTTGATTAGAGAAAAAAAGAATGGTTGACATTTATTAATAATAGAGAACCCCTTTTGGACTTTATGTGTGGAAAGGAAAATGAATAAATTTGAGACATTTGTGTCTAAAAATTGGGAAAATATTGCTTAGCAGAAAGTAGAACAGTTGGATGTCATCCTAGAGTGAATATTTTGAATAATTTCTTTTATGTAACTGAGGACAGAAAAGCAGAAGTCCATTTTATTTATTTAGTTTTCCTTTTTCTTCTGTTCTTTACTTCTGGGTGAGAGCTGGGAGGGTTCACCACTTTCTGCGTCAGACAAAGGTTAAGAGCTACCTTTGAGAGAGAACTCTAGGTTTTCTTTCCTCTTTCTTTTTCATTTAAATTAGTTTCTTTTCTCTTATTGTATTATGAAAATGCTTTAATAAAATATTATGCAAAAGAGAGAGAGAAATACAGCAGACTCCTATCTGGTTAGGACAGACTTCAAAGGCAACACACCTCTCCTGGGGAGAGGCCATAGCATATACAGTGGTGCCTCGCAAGACGAAATTAATTCGTTCCGCAAGTTTTTTCTTCTTGCGAGTTTTTCGTCTTGCGATGCACGGTTTCCCATAGGAATGCATTGAAAATCAATTAATGCGTTCCTAGGAAGCCGACTTCAGACCAGGTCCGGGGACAGTCTGTCCCCGACCTCTTCTGAAGGCTGGGGGGGACAAGGGCTTTTCTTCCCACCCACCCCAGCATTTTAAAACCCGGGACAGCGGAGGGCTTCTCCGCTGTCCGGGCGATCTTAAAATGCTGGCGGGCGGCATTTTAAAATTGCCCCGGGCCAGCGGAGGACTTCTCCGCTGTCCGGGGCAATTCAAAGCCCCTGGGAAGGCAGGCAGGGGGACAAAGACTTTGCCCCCGCCAGCCTTCAGAAGAGGTCCTGGACCTCTTCTGAAGGTTGGCGGGGCGAAAGTCTTGTCCCCCACCTGCCTTCAAAAGCTGTCCAGCCAAGGCTTCGCGGACCTCTCCGCAAGCAGCGGCAGCACTGCCGCTGCTTGCGGAGAGTTGCCGGCATGCCGAAGCCTGCGCGCGCTGAGATCAGCGCGCCCAGGCTTCGCGGACCTCTCCGCGAGCAGCGGCAGCGCTGCCGCTGCTTGCGGAGAGTTGCCGGCATGCCGAAGCCTGCGCGCGCTGAGATCAGCGCGCCCAGGCTTCGCGGACCTCTCCGCGAGCAGCGGCAGCGCTGCCGCTGCTTGCGGAGAGTTGCCGGCATGCCGAAGCCTGCGCGCGCTGAGATCAGCGCGCCCAGGCTCCGCGGACCTCTCCGCGAGCAGCGGCAGCGCTGCCGCTGCTTGCGGAGAGTTGCCGGCATGCCGAAGCCTGCGCGCGCTGAGATCAGCGCGCCCAGGCTTCGCGGACCTCTCCGCGAGCAGCGGCAGCGCTGCCGCTGCTTGCGGAGAGTTGCCGGCATGCCGAAGCCTGCGCGCGCTGAGATCAGCGCGCCCAGGCTTCGCGGACCTCTCCTGCCTTCAAAAGCCGTCCGGGATAGCGGGAGCGCTTCCCTGCTATCCCGGACTGCTTTTAAAATGCTGGCGGTGGGGGGCAAAGCCTTTCGGCCCCCCCCAGCCTTCCTGGACCTCTTCTGTAGGCCGGAGGGGGAAGGCTTTGCTCCCCACCGCTAGCATTTAAAAGAGGTCCCGGAGATTTCCCTATGGGCTTTCGTCTTGCGAAGCAAGCCCATAGGGAAATTCGTTTTGCGAAGCGCCTCCAAAACGGAAAACCCTTTCGTCTAGCGGGTTTTCCGTCTTGCGAGGCGTTCGTCTTGCGGGGCACCACTGTACAGTGGTACCTCTAGATGCGAACGGGATCCTTTCTGCAGCCCTGTTCGCATCCTGAAGCGAACGCAGCCCGCGCGTGCGCGGTCACAATTTGCTGCTTCCGCGCATGCGCGTGACATCATCTTGAGTGTATGCACGAGTGGCGAAACCTGGAAGTAACATGCTCCATTACTTCTGGGTTGCCGCGGAGCATAACCCGAAAATGCTCAACCTGAAGCTACTTCAGCCCGAGGTATGACTGTAGCCCAAAGCTAGTGGCTAAGGGTTAATCGCTGCTTAATTATGGCAAGGTGTGAAGATAATAAATGGTCTGTTTTTAGGTGCAATACAATTAAAACATCCTTTGAGATTGCATACTGTGCCCTCAGTGCTTTGAGATTGAGATGGAACAGGTGGTGACTTCTTGTTTTTAAAAAATTGCAGGTGGATTGATAGGATTGACTACATTGAGGAGTGCTCACTTTACTGCCACACCTGCTGGTGAGGGACTTCTGGGCTTTGTTGTGTTGAACAAAAGGTATGTTTTCCTCTCCAGCTTAAAAAATAGCATAAAAATTAAAGCCTTACTTGCCTTTGGTTTGCAGTCGTGGCAGTAGGAAAGCAAAGCAAACAACTTCCAATTGCAGAGTCCCAGGCTTCCCTCCCCAAACACTTCAGAAGTGTAAAATACAAAGCAACATATCCTTTTATATCTGTGTTATTGATAACTTTATAGTATGCAAGTGATTTAATTTGCGGACAAAAAGAGCCTGGTGTAAAATCTTTCTATGCACAGAGCAACTTTTTGCGGGAAAGTGGAACTTGTGGATTGCACCTGATTAACAGCGGAAAATGAGTATCTGGCTCGGGGATTAAGATGATTTGAGGGTCACAATATGTGCAAAAACAGCTTTTGTTTCCAACACCTGATATTTCTTATGTCTTATTTTGAATCATGGAACATAGTTAAAACAGGGAATCATATTTTTCTAATCAGTATATAATTTTTCAATGTGTATGTTTTCATTTAATCAGTGCTTTTTTTCTGGGAGTACACACACCCCTAAACATTTTGTGAATCGTAACTGGAGAAGAAACTAAAGTTTTTAACATTTTTAGTTTCTTTAGCACAGTGAATCGTCAGTTCTGTTGCTACTCTCGATGGTGGCCTCATTTCCTGTCATGGTCTCAGATGGAATGAAAGTACAGTCATACCTCGGGTTACGGACACTTCAGGTTGCGTTTTTTCGGGTTTCGGCGGTGGCACAGAAGCGCTGAGTCGCAACCTGTGCGTGTGCAGATGCGGCGCTGCGGGTTGTGAATGTGCCTCCTGCATGGATCACGTTTGCAACCCGAGCGTCCACTGTACTCCTAAATTTTGTTTTAGAAAAAAAGCACTGCATTTAATTCAACTGACTGCCATTTTTGGAGTTGAGATAGTGTTCTCATGGTACGTATAGAGAGGTGACTCTGCACTTGGCTTGCCCATGTACATCATCTACAGCTACAGGCAATGACCAATTTGCATGGGGGTAACGTTCCAGGACACCCCCCCCCCCCAATACATACATTGACAGGGCCTATATAAGCCTGTTTTGCCTCTGCCCTGTTCTACTCCTTTTGTGATGATTTCAGGTCACTTCCAGGTCAGCATGATGTACAAATGTGCAGTCACACACACATTGGACGTGCCTAAAACAGTTGCTGCCTGCATTTGGTTTGCCAGTACCTTTCCGCTAAGCACCTGCTCTTTGTGTATGCCACGCTATGGTTTTCCTCTTGTGAATTGATTGCAGGCAACGGGTTGCCTAGCAGGCAAGGCAGTTCTGGTCCTTTCTAACTGGGGCACACTTTTCCCAGTCTGCTTTGTTCTGATTTCATTGTGCTCCCAAGCAGAAGTTAAGACTCTCTAGCAAACAAAACAAAACAACAAAACTCTGTCTATTGGTAGTTCATGAAGATATGGTAGTTATCTCTTTGTTTCATAATAAAAATAAGGTTGTTGGATCGTAAGTATTATTAAGTTTCGTCCATGAAAGGTGTCTTGCATTCACATTTTCTTCCCAACTCCAGAAAACAAGTGTAACAGTCTGCAGCACAGATTTTTTAAGCATTTGAGACAGTTATAGTTTTGCACCCTTCATTTTTAAGACCAGTGCTTCTCTGCAGAAATTCTGTTCTTCAGCTCCCATTCTTGGTTAATCATTAGCATTTAAAAGCCAATTTCAGCCAAGCTAAAGCAACAGCAAATGAAAAAATTCAGCATTTGATAAGCTTACAGTGGTGCCTCGCAAGACGAAATTAATCCGTTCCGCGAGTCTCTTCGTCTTGCGTTTCGTCTTGCGAAGCACGGCTATTAGCGGCTTAGCGGCTATTAATGACTTAGCGGCTTTAAGAAAAAGGAAACAAACTCGCAAGAACTTGCAAGACGTTTCGTCTTGCACGTTTTTCGTCTTGCGAGGCATTCATCTTGCGAGGCACCACTGTACTTCTGTTATCAGCATAACAGCAAACCCCAAGATTAGTTAGCTTCAGGAAGTGCATGGACAGAAAGTTTCCTATTCCCAACTCATCTCTGCAATGGACCCACCCCGCAAAATGCCTTGTTGGAGGGTCGGGGGGGGGGGCTCCTGAACAGTGTAGGATGGGTTAGGGGATTTGTCTAAGGATTCAAACCAATGAGTGTTGTGGCAACTTAAAGACTGGTTCATGAAATTGTGGTTGTCTTCTCAGGTGACACAAGGCTCTTTATTGTTTTTGCTGCAACAAACTAGCACAGCTTACCCCCCCTGGAAATTTCTGCTGACAGATTTATGTGGCAGTTAAAGCTTTATTTGTCTTGGCATATATGATTGTTGAGCACAGCAATTCCAGATAGAGACTCCAGCTTCTGCGATCAATGTGTGGGCAGCAGGAAGAGGAACGAGAGCAGTGGCTCATTCGAAGGCATGGGTGGGAAATCTTTCTGGCCCAGCAAGTCATAATCTGTTCCCACCTCCACAGGCCAACTTTGATAGGTAGATTGTCCTGCTAACCTCTCAAAAGTCCCTTGCATAACACTGGTTGTCAGTCACTTGGGAACCAAAGTGCAAGGGGCTTTTGCCAGCCCTTTGCTTGGCAAAGCCTGGAGCACAAAGCTGCTTTCTGCAGACACCAGCTCCATAGTTGAGTTCCACATGGGGATCTCACTCATGCACCCAATCCTGCCATGTCTCTTCCTGCTACACACCTGACCACACAAATGATGTCAGGTGTGGGGCAGGTGGACACTGTTTGCAGTTCAAATTGGGACCCATGCTAAGCCTGAATTGGCCCACGGGCCAGAGGTTCCTTACCCCGTGCTAAGGCTTGGTGGACCTTATGCAGGATATGGTTACAGATGGTAACTGTACACATATTTGTTTTATACTTTCTGTCTGCCTTTCTCTTTTTTAACTTAAATGCCTCTCAAAACATTATTTATTTACTTTTAATTACATATGGTATGCAACAATTACACAAGATGAAAATAAAAAATAAAACACAACAACAGCGAACACTCAGAGAACTTCTCAAAGCACACTAACAAAGTTATGTCAGAGTGCATATTCCAAAACCATTACAATTTTAAAGGACACAAAATGATGCATAGCAACATATTGCTTCAATGGTTGACCACAAAGACATAAATATTTTGATTGACAGGAGTTCATATGAAGGTGGGAGGAAAGAACAAATAATAATTTAAATATATTAAAATAATTTAAATAGTACTACCTTATGTCTCATTATTTGTGTAAGCTATAAAGCCACCCCAGACAGCATAAAAATGTTCATGTTACTTTTTGAAAATCTTTTTAAAGCCATGAGGACATAGCAGGAACATGATAACCTATTTCTAGTGCTTGCTTGTGAGGCTGACAATGCAAGCTGACTTTTTCCCTGCCCTTCATCCAGAAGGGCTCTCAAGCTTGCAGTTTAATAAAAACATTCACAGTCTTTGCCCACAGGTTTGTTTGTTTGTTTGTTTGTTTGTCAGAAAGCCATATGATGATACTAGGAGACAGACCAGTACACAACTAGCTGAATGTTTTCACAGCCATAGCCTTTGTAAATTTTGCTGGTGGTTTCTCCTTGCAGGGAGTGGAGAAGTGTGAGATTACTACTGAGGTGTGTTCAAGTTTGGTAGGCTTATACATGGACACAGTTACTTGAGAAAACAAAGTGGTTTGTGCTAGAGTAACAAATTTGAGGAAGGCTTAATTGAGTAGCGCTGCCTTCACACCTTTCTTCAAGGTAGAATGGTTATTGTGCATGTTCTCCTGTGAGCAGTTGCAATATTAACAATTACTTTTATTTTGCAGAATTTTTTGATTTCAAGTGGAAGGAGACAGTGCCAGGCAACCATCAAGTTGTGACAAAGCAGTCCAAGTAAGGTAGGTTGCCCACAGGGCTTGAGTGTGTATGTTGCATAAGGTAAAGGTAAAGGTACCCCTGCCCGTACGGGCCAGTCGTGTCCGACTCTAGGGTTGTGCGCCCATCTCACTTAAGAGGCCAGGGGCCAGCGCTGTCCGGAGACGCTTCCGGGTCACGTGGCCAGCGTGACGAAGCTGCTCTGGCGAGCCAGCACCAGCGCAACACACAGAAACGCCGTTTACCTTCCCGCTATAAAGCGGTACTTATTTAACTACTTGCACTTTCAAACTTTCGAACTACTAGGTGGGCAGGAGCTGGGACCGAAAGACGGGAGCTCACCCCGCCGCAGGGATTCGAACCGCCGACCATACGATTGGCAAGTCCTAGGCATTGAGGTTTTACCCACAGCGCCACCCGCGTCCCGTATGTTGCATAACCTTTATGCAAATTTATTTAAAATATTTATAGACCACTTTCTGACCAGGCAGGGTAGAACACAGTTTTTAAAAACATGCCAAAAAAAGCCAGTGGATTGTATCCTGCATTAGTCATACTCCAAGTAGACCCATTGAAATTAATGGACCTGATTTAATCATGCCCATTAATTTCAGTGATCCAACTAATGTTGGATACAACTTCTATCTTCAATACTGTGTAACACTAATTCTTGTTATGGACTCAGTCCATGGCAAATCAGCAAATGGGTTTCATCATAGGGCTGCATCCTTAGAAGTTTTTAAGTAGAGGCTGAATGGCCAGCTGTCAGGGATTCTGTAGTAGTGGATATCTTGCATCAGCAGGGCATTGGACTAAACCATTTTATGTTCTTCCAATTCTGATTCTTTGACTTTTTACATTGTGTGAGTTCATTATACGTGCTCAACTATATTTAGGGCCTTGTTTTTTTAAAGTTCCTATTACTGCTGGTAGAGTCACACCCCTCTGAAAATTGTTTTAAAGGTCTTATTTCCATAAAAAGTGCTCATTCTTTTTTGGCAAAGAATGAGATGTACATTGCATTTAAGAGATTCTTCATGTTTATTTTACTGTTTTGTACAATTCTGAAAACATTTCTAGAAAAATATATTTTTTAAAAGTAGAGAGCTGTCGGCCAGAATTTGTAGAAATGCAGCAGCTAATTGACAGCCAAATGTTTAGAAAAACTCCATATTTTAAGGAATTTCCAAGCTCATGATTTCCTATATAATCTTAATAAATTGGGTATTATGCTGTGTTCTGTTGCTCTTTGTTGTGCCTGCATTATTGAATTCTCCTTGCGGGGAGGGGGGCGATAGCAATGAGGGCTGTCATTATGTGTGTTTGTACAGGCATACCTTGCTTTACTGCGCTTAGCAGATATTGCTCCTTAGGAGGATGCGGGTGCAACTACAGGCAGCCTGGCCATTTCCAGGGGAAGGAAGCCTCCTGCTGCCACTGTCCCCCTCTTCTGACCACGAGAGTGGAGCTGGCTAGGGCTGGAACCAGGTTTTTCCCCTTCCACCCCTGCAGCCTGGGGGGCCTGGCTTAATAGACTACAGTTTAGTGTAAACCAGTGGTGGCCAAACTCAGCCCTTCAGGTGTTTTTGGAATTACAACTCCCATCATCCCTAGTTAACAGGACCAGTGGTCAGGGATGATGGGAAATGTAGTCCCAAAACAGCTGGAGGGCCGAGTTTGGCCACCACTGGTGTAAACATAACTTTTATATGCACTTGAAAACAAACCAAAAAAAATGGTGTGACTTGCTTTATTGCAATACTCACTTTATTGTGATGGTCTGGAACGAAACCTGCAATATCTCCAAGGTATACCTGGACTTTAAAATTTTGCCACTACACCCCTGTTTTTATTGGGGGGGGGGACATGTGGCCCTTGAGATGTTGCGGGACTGCAGTCATTTACCAATGATGCCTGGGACTGTTGTGAGTTGAAGTCCAATAACATCTGGAAGGCTGCAAATGTTCCCTTTTCCTGATTTATATGTACAAATCTAAATAGCATCATGCATGAGAGGTATGCATCTGTAAAAGTTGTAGATTTTTCTGGCACATTTCAAGGAAGAACTAAACTCTCTCTCTCTCTCTCTCTCTCTCTCTCTCTCTCTGTGTGTGTGTGTGTGTGTGTGTGTGTATGAGAGAATGAATGAACAGGCTCCAAAGAGCACATATTTCAGTGCATGCGTGTGTGTGTGCGCGCGCATGTCACTGAAATATGTGCTCTTTGGAGCCTGTTCTGATTGTCATCTCTTTTTTTATCTCTTCCCACATTTATATCCTGTTGGGTACATGTCAGCAGAGGCTGAAATCTTTAAAATCTAATCTAGGGCTTGAATGCTCAGAACACAGCTGACTCTGAAATAGGAGCACTTCTGCTGGAGTGGGAGGAGGGTGAAGTGTTAACCCTTGAGACCACACTGTCTGGAACTCAATTGTGTTGTTGCTTCACTCTATTTAATTGCTTGGAATGTGTATAGGGAGAGTGTGTGGCAGAAACAACAACCGAATTTGTCCTTAGTTTCTAAGAAGCAAAAGTATTCCCAGTTAAGGGGTGACTGATGAATGAAGTCAAAACATACTTTGCTGAACAGAACTTGAGCTTCAGTTTGCTCTTTGTACAGTGAAAGTGATGGGCCAGGCCAGGTGTTAGCTTATGGAGTTAGGTCTACTGAACAGTCCTGGCAGAAGTAGAGGGAGGATTTCAGGTCCTCACTCAGGATTACTTGAGGTATGCCACTTTACCCGTTACATTTCAAAAATGGCTTGGGAATGTAAGGGAGCACTCACTCTTTTTATTGCTACCCTGAATTAGAACTGTGGTGGGTTGAGGGTGAAACGAGTCTTGTACCAAGAGCTGTTTTGTGGATTATGTTAAAGTTGCCAATTTTGAAAGCAAAAATTCCAAATATGATTTATGGAAAACGTTTGCAGAAATAAACAGATTCGTAGTAAGTTGCTTTTTATAGGGTTTCTGCAAGTGTTTTATGTTTGTAGTACTTTATAAAACCAATTAAAAAGATAATGCTTTTTTCTATTTTGAATTAGGATATTTTGAGTGGCATTGAATAAAGTTGCTTCTGATTTGTATTGGTATTTGATGTTTTCTCTTTAAAACTGTGTGTTTTTCTGTCACGTGCTGGGTTTTTCCCTGGGTGTAAAACTGGACACAAACAAAATCGTCACTGAGAAACCACCTAATCATTCTCTGCTTTGTTACAATTGCGTCATGCCTGATGGTTGATTTGCCCCTGCTTATTTCTATAATCGTGGGATTTCCGTTTGAGATAATTTTGCTACATTTCTTCCTGTTAAAATTATTAATTGATTATTCAAAGCTGTTGAGTGCTATAGAGAAACTTCTTTTCCATCACCAACATTTGAACCCTTGAAATATTTGGAAGGGTTCCTGATTTATTTTGGCTGCAACAAGAGTCCCTAGTGGCTGCTTGATTGTAACAAGTGTATAACTTGGTTTACCAGCGGCAAGGCTTTTCATAGAGTCGGCACCTCATCCATAGGAGATAGTATGTAAGTGTTCTTTTGTCTTAAGTGTGTTAGTTGGTGACTGTTAGGACTCCATTCTCACCACGTAAAGGAATAGTTACAGGAACCTGGACATGTATAGACTTTGTGATTAGTAGACTTAAATCAAAAGCAGGATTGGAATTGTTATGGAATAAAAGGGTGTCTAAACTAGTCCAGAGGCTTCTCAAGTTTTCTGGTGTTCTTTTTAGAGCTAACTTGCAAAGGCTGTTGGATATATGTTATTTGCTTTGCAAAGAGAATTTTGCTATTCTTGGACATCCAAGAACAACCAAGGAAAGAATCTGGAAATTGATTCATTTGTTGTTGTTTTTATTTTCCCCTCTATGTTGACAGAATTAAGTGAAAGGAGTGAGAAAAAATGTCAAAAACAAATAAATCCAAATCGGGGTCCCGTTCCTCTCGTTCAAGATCTGGTTCTCGATCCCGGTCCCGGTCTTTCTCAAAATCTCGGTCCCGATCCCGGTCTGTTTCTCGATCAAGAAAACGCAGGCTCAGGTAAGTGCCATTGGTCGCTTCTGATGGTGTTGTGTTCTTTTCTTTGTACCTGAGGGGAGCCCTGCACAAATGGGAATTCTCCTGCGGAAAGCTTTTGCTAGATTCCAATTTATTCTACCATCTTAAGTTACTTCCTTTGTCTGCCAACGTGTTCTATTTTTATAACCTCACCATCCAAATAGCTCTTGCTCGGCCATGAAGTGGGTAGCTTTTTTAACCCAGTGTTCTCTGTGTTTTGGTTGTACTAGGCCCTTTTGAGTTGTTGTTTTTGAAGTTGGTTGTTGTCAAACGTTCTGAGCAACTGGGTTGCCTCTGGAATTATTCTGACTTTGAGGAATGCCTAAAATTGCAGAGGGAGCAAAACAGAGGGGGTGTATCTTTACCTGTTCTTCAGCAATCATACTGAAGTCTGTGCCTAAGATTTTACTTTTGGATTTCTATTCTATCTCTTTAAATGTCCTTGTGATTAGATTTGTAATTGCAAGAACTTTGTCTCTAATGAAGAGTTACTGATCTTAACTCACTGCTCAGGATATAAGAACGATGCAGTAGAGAGCTATATTGCAGAGAAAGATGAATGAAGATCTTCGCTAGTGAAAGTTAGGAAAGGGTACTAATTCTGTGCTTTTCCAGTTGGTTATTTAAACCTGGACTGTTAACAAGAAGAACATTCTGAATAATTTCTGGGATCTGTTTATTGGCACATCCTGCAGAACCAAACCCCACTTGGCTGTTCATTGTGTTGCTTTACTTTTCAGAAGATTTTGAGTCTCTAGTTAGATTTTGTTTATATCAGCCATTTATTTTGTTACCTTTTAAAAATAATGGTAAAAGGCTCGCAGATTTTCTGTAACTGTTGGGACAGAAGCATCAGTGGCTGTTAATAATTAGTGTGTGTGGTTTCTGAGAAAGATACAGAAAGGGAACAGTAAAATGCAACAGGGGGTGGAGAAAAGGACAATGCCAGAAAGAGGAGAAGAGCCGAAGCACAAACGATCTCCTTACAGAGGGTAAAAGCATTAGGAAGGGCTTACCAGTAGGCTGGGAATGTCCGGCTTCATTGAGGGGAGCTCTGCCAATGGAGAATGAGCCCAGCATGCAAAATGTCCCTGGTTACAGACAGCTTTTGGAGAAACTTTGATTATGCATATGACTTGGCTGGAGAAGTAAAATGGAAGAGGCTGGGGAATGCAAATCTAGGAAAAGTATAGAAAACTCACTGAGGTAGGTTTCCTGCCTTACATTGGCTTCATTTCTTAGGGATAATAGGCTTGCTGGTCAGAATCTTGTTGTGGTAGAGGGAAGCAGCTTGGGCAGCTGGTTGCTTTTGCTGTCTCGACTGTAGAGAATGTGGCTTGTATTACATTTGTGTCTTTCTCCAGGGAATTCCCCTTCTCTGCCTCAACTCTAGTCATAATCTATTTAGTTCTTTGTAGGAGTCGTTCCACCCCAGTAGCTCTATTTTCTGTAGTGGCTTTGAACCCATGCAGTTACTCAGCTGCAAGCTTTAGGAAGAAATAACTTGCATGTTCTCCCCCCGCCCCCCAGCTGCACTTCATGTGCTGTGTCTTTTCAAATGATTTCTGATTAACAGCTTCCACAGATCTTTGAAGGGAAACTTTTCATTTTCCATGTCTCTTAAAATGGCAAAATGGATTTTGGAAGGATCAGGCAACAGGTCCCTCAGCTGTTAATTGATAACAAAATGCAGTAGCTGTCTAGGGACTGGCTCCTACGTGGGCTGTGGAACACCTCATAATTAGCTCATTTTCACTGTCTGCACCAGGCTGTGTGCATGTCTATTCCTTCTTAACGTTGCTGAAACTGTTTGCGAATGAGACAGAATCCAAGGTAAGCTGCTCTGGTTTTTTTCTTAATAGTAAAAGAGGCTGGATTCACGGAAGAAAACAGGCAGCAACTTCTCTTTGTGTAGAAATTGTACCAGATGTTGTTTTAGACTGCAAACCTTGCTTTTCCGTTTTTATACCTGTTTTCATTTGACTGTGTAGCTCCTCACCAGCACAACTTCTTGTTACATAATCCTTGTCTAATCTCAGATTAGTCATCCACTTGGGCTATTCTGGTTTGTGGTTCTTCAGGGCTTCAGTTGCAGTTTTGTTCCCTGCTCAGTCATCTCCCCACCCCAATCCTTCAGTTGGGAGATGCAGCGTCTGGCCTTCTTTTTCCTGCAAAGCACCTGCTATTTCAAGGCTCACTCCAGCATTCATGGGCAGCTGCACCCCATTTGTGAGCACCAGTGGGATTTATTAGGAGCTTTGTATCAGTTGTTACATGAATTGAATAGACTGCAAGAGTAGTGACCCAGTGGGGACTTAAACCTGGATCTATCTGATCCTAGTCTGACACACTATAACCCAAACAAAGGGAACTTAATCTTGAAATTGTATCTTCCACATCATGCCCCTCATACTAGATACGTCTATTTAATGTGGAGTATTAAATATAAAAATATACTCAATCACATAATATAGCTTTAAAAATCCACAAACACAAAAGACTTGAACCTAAAAAAGATCTATTTGATTGAGTAGTGTGCCCTGATGGCAGAAAGTTGCTGGCCATTTAACTCCCTTATTGTAAGACAGAATAATGTCTGATACTCCATTTCTTGTTTAATTTTTCTGTCGTGGGGGGGGGGGGGGGAGAGAGCTTTTTGTTGCCTTTTAAAAACAAAAACAAATCATCCATGAAGTGGAATCTTTGCTGGGTTATTGTAGATAAAACTGAAAGGTTAGAAATAACGGTTTCCTCTCTACCCTGTTGGGTACATTTGCCCCATGCTTCAAATTGAGCTCTGGAAGGTGGGTGCTCTGAAGATGGCCTTCTGAGGGAGAAAATGCTGCTTCCTCTGTGTCTGAAGTGGTTTTGAAGGAAAACGCTCATCCTAGCAATAGCAACTTTGTTCCATCTGCATTGCTGAGGGTTGTTTTTAAGGAAGGGGTGCATACTTATCATTATGAGATAGAAGTTGGAGATGAGCTAAGGGGAAACCTATGCATCATTATGAAAACAGGTTAATGTCTTTACTTGCAATCAGAATGCTGTAGTACTGTGTGTAGCAATTTCCAAATACATTTTTCTTTTTCCTCAGTTCTAGGTCCCGTTCGAGATCATACTCTCCATCTCATAACAGGGAGAGGAACCACCAGCGGGTCTACCAGAACCGGGATTTCCGAGGGCATAACAGAGGTTATCGGAGACCCTATTATTTCCGTGGAAGGAACAGAGGGTTCTACCCATGGGGTCAATATAACCGAGGTGGCTATGGAAATTACAGGTCCAACTGGCAAAACTACCGACAAGCCTATAGCCCTCGTAGGGGACGCTCACGTTCTCGGTCACCCAAGAGGAGATCTCCATCCCCAAGATCTAGAAGCCATTCAAGAAATTCTGACAAGTCCTCATCTGATAGGTCAAGGAGGTCTTCATCATCTCGATCCTCCTCTAATCACAGCAGAGGCGAGTCCTCCAAACGTCGGTCATTGAAGGAGAAGAAGTCTTCTTCCAAGGATGCCAGGGGGTCTCAGGGTGCTGGAGACAACCAAGGGGATGACACCAAGGAACAGCCCTTCTCAGGAGGAACTGCACAGGATGCCAAATCCTCAGAGGGATCGAAATCTTGGCAAGAAGTGGGTGCTTATGGCACAGGTTCAGCATCAAGGGCCTCTGCTGTGACAGAGTTGAGTCCAAAAGAGCGAAGCCCAGCACTAAAGAGCCCTCTCCAGTCAGTTGTCGTGAGGCGCCGTTCACCTAGGCCAAGTCCACTTCAGAAGCCCAGTCCTACATCTTCCAACCCTTCACAGCTGGGCTCGACTCTGCAGAGCAGCAGCTCCTTCCAGGCAGGCTCACATCAGTTTGAGCATAATTTAGCAGGCCTGAGCCCAACAAGGAAAAGTCCTGTGTGCAAAAGCCCTACAACAATCAGTTCCATTTATGGGGCATCTCAGAAGGAGGAAATGGGGATAGCCTTCTCCAAAAGGCAAGTTGTCTTCATTCCTAAAATTGATTGATTGATGTTTGTCTGACTTTCAGCTGACTGTTAGATTGGCACAATTAGGCTAGCCATAAGTAATGTAAAAAGTTTAGTCTCAGCTAGTCAGAAGTTGCAAAATCTGTTGTGAAAATAATAAAAAGCAGACTTAGGTAATAGTGGTAAAAGTATTGTTTTTCTTAAGTATTGTATTAATTGCTGTGGTATGTGAGATACTATTATTAACACTATTTTTCAATCTCTGATTTTTTAATGGAGAATTGCTTAAGGTGGCAGACAAGATAAAAATAGTCATGTGGGGTTTTTGTACAATTTCCTAGAGCTTCAGAGAAGATTTAAGATGGCTATTTGATTTATAATGTACTAAACAAAACAAAACAAAAAGTAAACCATGCCATGCTAATTTATTTGCTACATACATGTTTGAAGAGATCTTTTAGTAGCCAGAGGTAGTTGAACTCAAATATTTTATTGTGGGAGGAATTAAATAAATATACTTGGTGCATTTTAATGTTGTATTTGACCTAGTGCATAGCTTTACTTGGCAATTATTATTAATTGAATTTTTTTAAGATTAATTTTACCATACCTGAAGTGCTGTGTATAAGAATATGCACTTCCAAGAGATAGTTAACTGAAAAGTTAATTACAACTTCGATTTTGAATTTTACTAGTAAGGTGTCCATTCCACAATTTGACTTCTGTTTATTCATTGGGCTAAATTATACAACTTATTAAACCATAGTTTACTGTTACATGTATGAGTTGTTGTATGCCACGCCCTCCCCTCTGAGGTGTGCCAAAGAAGGTGATTGGAAGTATCCAGTTCCAGTTTTAAACTAACAAAAAATCCTGATTATGTCTAAACTCTGGTAGTTCTTGTCAGTCTAACTATGGTTAGATCTTAAGGCACAGTTTGGTCTTGGATTGCTTGAACCAATCTAAGTTCCTAGAGTTTGATATAATGGAGCGTTTTGATTAGTTTAAAATTGTAAGTGGATTCAACATGAAACATGAAATTGGTATACAAGTCTGTAGATTGTACAAATAACCTAAACCAAGGATTGGACAGCCTGTGGCCATCCATGTGATGTTCAACTCCCATCAACCCCAGCTATCATGGTGGGTGGTTAGGATTGATGGAAGTTGTAGTTCCACAGACTCTTCAAGACCTCAAGTTGTGCTGCCTTGTGGTTTAGCATTGCTTCCATACTGGCCCATTAAATTACTAGTTCATTTATGAAACAACAAATGTTTAAAAATGGGAAATTTTCTCTGGAAAAAATATGACACTGGGAAACTTTATATAATACTTCACCCCAGTTCAGCGCAGCATGTATATATATTTTTTTAAATGTTTCAAACACAAAAATAAAGCAGCAAAAGTAATGTCATGTTAAAAACCTTGGCAATCAAATAAATTCAAGGTGCACAGTTGAGTAGCTTGGTAGACATTCCTGAAAAGGGTAATTCATAATATAGATGTGTCACCTCCCTGAAAAGTGTTTGCTCCCTGGCAGATCTTGCATTCTGAACAGAAGGAACACAAGAGTTTCAGCCAATACAAGAAAGAATTGACCTTTCCATTTTGCATGTAACTGGTTTCTAGTCAGCAAGTAGGAAGCTGAATTATCTCCCCAGAAAGCATGCATACACCTCTAGGAATTTGTCCTACTTTTACTGTACTTCGTGTACAGCACTAGTGGTCACTTGTGTAAATAACTTATGGCTACTAACCATGGTAGCCAAATCTGCAGACTCGTTTTGGATGACCAGTGGATAGGTGCTATTGGGATTGGAACTCATTATCATGATGAAATTTCTGTTAAACAGTAGGAGTTAGACCTTCACTCTGCATGGCAGTTATTGTTTTCTTACAGAAATGCAACTGTTGCTATAAAATTGCAGTAGTACCTATGGCATAGACCTTGGTAGCTTTTGTAATGTCAGTTGCGCCTTTATATACCAAATTCATTTTTATCTAAGATGCAGAATCAGATCTAGCTCTGAGATTGTGTTAAGTATTATTACACAGCTGCCTAATATGCTCATTTTAAAAGGATGGTAGCCGCTTATTTCTCTCGGTGTACAGCAGGTGTAAAACCCTTGGATTTTCCCCAAGGGAGTCACAAGCTGGTTTATGGTAAATAATCCAGCACAGTTACATACAAAAGCATTTTTAAAAAGCATTAATCAATAAATACCTTTTCAGTAAAAAAGAAAGTAAGGTGTTTTTAAGTTCTCTCAGTGTGTTCGAGAGGCAGTTTGTAAAACTGAGATTCGTGCATAGGTTTTGCTGTTATGTAGAACAGGTGTTTCCTAAACCCTTTTTAGAAGGAGTGGGGGAGAAAATTGTCTCAGATTTCTTGGCACTGGCTTCAGATTTTCAGGAGTCAGCATTAGATGTGTAGGTGTCAAGTGTTGTAAAATATAGTACTTTAAAAACCCAAAAAGCAGATTATCAGGCACCACAAGTGTAAAAATTTAGGAGCAGAGGCCTCACTTTTGGAAATATATGAGAAGACAGTTAAAGAATAGGTACAATGTTTGTCATCCCCTGGAATCTGCTGGTGGGCTCAGCTTCCAGCAGATACAGAAAACAGCTGTCATGGAGCCAATTTTTGCATCTAGTAAAACTTATCCAGCACGAAGATAGTTGTTAGTAAATGTGCTTTGGGCAGGAACATTACTTGAATCTTTGCAAATACATTCCCCCCCAGGGAGTCACAAACACCAGTTAGTACAAGGAGCATTGTTTTTAGTTGTTTAGTTGATCTCAGCAGCTATAGATCCATCTGTTTAAGAAGCGATTGCATTGTTCTCAGATGCTCCACAATGATTTTTCCATTCTCAATTTTGTTACATCATCAACCAATGTATAGTTTTGAAATTCACCTCCAGTTGTAATTAGAAAATAGAAACTTGCCCATATAGTTTAGATATATGCCAATCATCATCCTGTCAGTTTTAGTTGGGGATTGACCATCTTTATAATAATGCTGAGTATTCGTGTTCCTCCCAACCAATTAAGCATTTCCCCCCCGTTAACCTTTTTGCTTTTATTTGTGTTTTGAATTGTCTATAGCTTCCATAGGAGACTTTCCTCCAAAAATTTGAAGTAGCTTTTGAGGCTTTTATTTCCACTGTGTATTACTTAAAAAGCACAGCAATCCAAGGTGAAAATGTTGATGGGTTAATTCTCCACAAACAGGTTTGTAAGTGAATGCACAGGTTGGGTAAGATCTTTTACGTATTTCCTGCCTTCTAGCTATGGCAAGTAGGTTCTTAAATACGATTTTATTGGTTTTACTAAGCTTTGTGTGTCAAGGTTCTGTGACCTGTAGTGAATAGGTGTACTAATTTTAAAGCATTAAGAGTTAGAAAAAAGCTAAATAAAGCTTTGTATCAGTAACACAGGGATCGTCTGCTTTATCAGAACTTTAAGAGTTCCTGAATTGACTGTCTCTCTCACTTTCTTTTTTAAATAGGTATTTGGAAGAGCAAAAATCTGAGAATGGGAAAGACAAAGAGCAGAAACTGTCGAACATGGAAAAAGAAAAAATGAAAGAGAAGGGAATTTTCTCTGACCTGGGATTAGCAGATGGTAAAACAAAAACAGATCCGTATGCCTCCAAAGCTGATACAGAAAAGCTGTATCGTGGAAGTCAGTCCCCAAAGCGCTATAAGCTCCGAGATGATTTTGAAAAGAAAATAGCAGAGTTCCACAAGGAGAGCCACTATGGCAAAGAGGAGGCAGATGAGCCCGAGAAGAAGCTTAAAGGCAAAGGGCGAAAGGAATCCAATTTTGATGAGGATGAGGACGATGAGCCGAAGTTTCTGTCCAAGACATTATCTGCTTCCAGTAAAAACCAGGAGGAAGATCGATCAGGCAAATGGGAAGGCCTAGTATTTTTGCCTGGAGCCAAAGAGAAGCAGAGGAAAGCTGAGGAGGTGGAGGAGGAGTCCTATGCTGAGCAGACCAAGAAAGAAGAGAGGCAGGTTGCCAAGAGAGCAGAAGCCGGGCACAGAGGCTTTGTTCCAGAGAAGAATTTCCGAGTTACCACTTACAAAGCCAGCCAGGAAAAGAATGCTACATCTCCTCCTCCACGAAAGGCTTCAGAGGGCAGAGAGAAGCTGGGCGCACGGGGAGAGGGCCTGGCCACTGGCAAGTCTTCCTTTTCCATCACTCGTGAGACCCAAGTCAACCTCCGAATGGATTCTTTTGATGAGGATCTTGCACGGTGAGAGGCTCAGTGTATCTGCCCCACAGTTGGAATAAAGGGTTAGGGGAAAGTTAAATGGGAATATTGCTCTTTACTGTGTACAGCAGTTCTCCAAAGAGAGTAAGCAAGCAGCCTAGTCTGCTCACTGTTTTTTTTTATTTGGAGCATATGGGTGGATAACAGAGCCCAGAGATTCTCTTATTTAATGTCAATGTGCCAGAGTTTCTCACTTGCCATGGCTGCATATGAGTGAGCATCATGCTGGTGTATGCTTCCCATTAGGTCCAAGCCAAAGAGCATGGTTTGCTCCTCCCTAGCCAGCCACAGTCGGTAAGCCAACAACAAACGATGTCTTAAGGTTGGCTAGCAATCATGACTCCTTAGGGAACAACAAACCACAATCCCAGGTTCAGATGTAACAGGAAGCCAAAGCTTGATGGTTTGTTTCTCCTTCTCAAGCTAACAGAGAAGCAAAGTGGGAGGCATCTGGCAGCACGTACCAGCACACTGCTTATTCACAATAAACCACAATATGCCAGAAACACCAGTTTATCATTATGCAAATGCAGCTATTGCCTAATCCCAATTTTTTTTGGCAGTGGAGTGACAGGGCGAACCAGAGCATATGTCTCTGTAAAGGCCCAAAAAGAAGAGCAGATCACAAATAGCCTGCAAAAATGGGATGCAAGTCAAGGGGTGATATTCAGCTGCATTTTACTCAGAATAGACCCATTGAACATTAAGTTACGTCCATGCATTTCAGTGGGTCTGCTTTGAGTCAAACTTAGTTGAATACCACCCTAGCTTTCAGGTAGAACAAGCCGTATAACTAGTACTACTACTACTACTACTACTACTACTACTACTACTAATTTTATTATTTGTACCCAGCCACTCTGCACCTCCCTTCTGTTCTGAGCAGATGGGAGGGTGGATGTCCAGTCCTGACATCCATTGAAATGTGGCCATATTTAAAGACATGTGCTCAGTGCAGGAGAGGTTGAGCCTGTGAAACACAAACTTGAGCAAGAACAGCTAACAGTCTCTTGTGTATTGTGGTTTTTTCAAAGGATATTTGCTGAGAGCTTTCACGGGTACCATAGGAGGTACGGATTAGCACACTGGCATGTGTGGACACCATGTTACCAACCCTTGCCCTAATTAATAAAGTCCAAGGATCACCTGGAGCAAGCGAGCCAATCTACAGCAGAAAACAGCCCACCACCTTCCCAAGCCTTAAATACACTTTTGAAGTATGAGCAAAAGACATCCGAAAGGACAATTGGTTGGGCACAACTTCATGGTGCACATCATCACTGCTGCTGATAGCCATGGTAGCCCTAATGCCTGTAGAGAAATAATGCAGGGATGGACAGAGGAACATATGTGAACCTGCAAAAACCTAGGAATAGAGAGTTGTATCCAATTTAATTATACTCAGAGTAGACCCATTTGAAATTAATAGGCCTAAGTTATGTGTAGTGTTTTCAGTGCATCTACTCTTGAGTAAAACATTGCTCCTAAATTGATCATGAAGTGCCTTCAGTGACAAGTCTTTGAATTGAACATGTTGCTTCCAGGCCAACTGTTTGTTCACTGGCCTCCCCACAAATGAATTCACACAATCTTGTTCCCCATAATCCAGAGAGTTGGTGCGCTGCAAAAAAGAAAAAGGTGCTTGACAATGATTTAAGTGGAACACAGCCAATAAACTTTCATAGCTAGACAGTGGTGTATTTTATTCCTCATACTGTTGGCTGTTGCTATTGATTTACTTGACATTTATACAAAGGCAAGTGTCTTGTGGCATTGTAGAGACTAACAGTTTTTTTCTGATAGGAGCTTCTGTGGACTGAACTCTGTCCATCCAGGCCAAGGTGTACAGAATCTGCTTCATGTCAAGAGTTCCTTGAGCCACCACCTTCTTTCTTAGTTGCTCAGCTGCCACGGTACAGTGGAACCTCAGTTGTTGAGTGTAATCTGTTCTGGAAGACCATTCGACATCTGAAACGTTCAACAACCGAGGCACAATGGGCGGCCGGCAAAATCCATTGAAAAAATGGAGACATGTGCCCCAGAAGTCATTCGACTTCCGAGGTGTGTTTGAAAACGGAAACATTCTCTTCTGGGTTGTCGGCATTTGAAAGCCGAAATGTTCGACTTCCGAAGCGTTTGACAACCAAGGTTCCACTGTACCTTCTTGTTTTGTTCACTATGCCAGACAAACAAAACCACCTCTCTGGAAGTAGTTGCTTTTGGAGGTCATAACAATTAATGAGCATATCTTTGTGTGTTTCCCCACCAGCCCAAGCGGGATTTTGGCACAGGAGCGCAAACTGTGTCGTGATCTGGTGCACAGCAACAAAAAGGAGCAGGAGTTTCGCTCCATTTTCCATCACATCCAGTCCGCCCAGTCTCAGCGGAGTCCCTCGGAGCTCTTTGCTCAGCATATTGTGACCATTGTTCACCATGTGAAAGGTGAGTTGCATTTGAGACTGGTGTTAGTTTATTTATTGCTTTAAAACATTTCCATCCCACCCTTTATTGTACAGAATGATCCCAGAGTGGGTTACAACTGCCAATAAAATACTGAACAAACAGTGAAATGCAGATCACGGAACAAATTCTAAAAATATAAAACTTTTGCCAAAGTGTTGCTTAAGGAAAATACAGTTACTCCTGGAGCTGTCCTCTTGCTGTAGATCCATAGAAGGAAGGAGAAGACACTATGCAATCCTGCTTGTTTCGCTGGAGCTCTCTCTTCCCTCCCCCTGCCCCCTGATGAAGCTTATTCACTCTTGATTAGTGCTTCATCTTGCAGTTGGGAAGGTTTTCCAGTTGGGAAGAGTGAGAAACCTATTTTTAAAATTCTTGTCTCCATTTCACCTCTTTGTTTTATTTTCATTTTGGTCCTTCTGAGCTGTTCTGGTTTATGTGGGCTAAGTGGCTAATTGGCAGCCCCCTTCATTTTCTCTCTCCCCTGGTTACACTACCGATAGAGGCATGATAAAAGTTTTATCTACAGCTTTACTCATAAGGGAAAGAAAAGTTTTAAAGTAAGAGTCCACAACTGAATGCCCAAATTCTTTCTTTGGGTTTTTACGTACAATGCTTCAGCTGTGCTTGAAAATATGTGATCGGAAACTTCAAGTGGCACCAACGGTATCAGTGTATGTGGAAAAAATAGACATTCTTCCCTGACAAGTTCTCTGTTGGAGAAGTTGAGCTTAATTAACAGTATGGAGTTTCTCAGCAAAAAAGGCAGCATGTGGTCTGTGCATTCCTATCCATTTAGTGTCCATCTCTTCTCCCAAGCAGTCTGCTTTACCTGAATATCTAAGAGCAGGATGGATATTTGAGATGGGGATAAAGTACTAAGGTATCCTTTTGATATTCCGTAGACTCCTAGCCACCTGATACTTCCCCTCCCTCCGAAAAAATTAGATGGATACCCAGCCAGGGAAGATGACAATAAAAAGACTGTGTCTTGACTTTGAACATTGGACTATGGTATAAAAAATTGTGGAAGATTGCAATAGCAGAAAAAATAACCCATCTAATCCACATGTGGAAGAGAAATGAAAAATCTGACTCCTTTCATGATATTTGGCAAAACATTATTACTTTCACAAGTTGGACTATCACGAATATGGTCCCTCTCCAGCCAGTCTTCATATTTGGAAATCAAGATCATTTGACACTATGGTTGTAGTAAGATCAGATTTGGAAATCAAGATCATTTGACACTATGGTTGCAGTAAGACTGTCACTGTAGTTTTTCCTGTACAAAAAGATAAAGGAAAGTATGATGTTAACAATCTGATCAAGCTTGTAATGCTTTGCTGATCTTCATATGATGTCAGCCTTGTATTGGATCTTACACTTGAGACTTATCTGGTGTCTTAATTATTCTTATATGAGTAAAAGCAATTTCTTTTAAAAGTCTGCACTGCTTAACCTGCAGACAGATGGACCCATCTCCTTCCCTCTTTTCTCCTGCCTTCACCTTTATGTTGTTTGCTTCCTGAATCTGTTTCAGACCCCCCTGCAGAAGCCACTTTTATATTGTCCTAAAGTATAGATGCAATGTTAATGATGTGATATTTCCTCACTGCATATCAACAGAGCATCATTTTGGGTCTTCGGGAATGACATTGAATGAGCGCTTTACAAAATACCTAAAACGAGCGGAGCAAGAGTCTGCTAAGAACAAAAGCCCTGAAATCCACAGGTGAGTGCACCTTTGCATGTAATAAAGGCAGGTTGTGGGAGAAAATGTGCACCCTTGCCACAAAGAGTCCTCAAATGAATAGGCTTTGGCATAGCTCACCAGCACAAAAGCAGGCAGCCTACTAGACAAATCAGACTACTATCTGCCAAGTGTAGAGTTTTGACATGTACTTATAAAATCCCGATTTAAGAGACTTTTTGAATCGTAGCCATTAAGCAGCATAAAGGCTTGCATTTAGCTACTAGGCATTTGCTTGCTTATCGTAAGCAAGTGCTTCTCATCCAAGGCAAACTCTGCCTTGCCCTGCCACTGTCTTGGGTGCCTATCCAGGAGAGAAAAAAGGACTTTGATTCAAGCATATTGAATCCACAACAAGAATAAAGTACAGAAATCAATAATTTGCTCCTCATGGTGAGGCAAGGATGTTGGAGACCCAATGCTTACAACTGAAACTCTTAAGCAGCCATTTTTCTGGTCTTCAGCAGGTGATGCCCGCATAATTCAGCCATACTTTCTGATGGCTAGAAGCTTCCTTTTTAAAAAGGAAGCGAGTGGAGACTGAATTCTGAACCTTTTATCCATTGGAGGTTCATTCATTAGAGTGAATGGAGCACTGGCTAACCAACCTCAGTCTGCTCTCAGCCAGCTCCAACCTGCCTGCCTTCCTCTCATTTACAGCTAGTCCAGGGGGTTGCCCTGCCTGTCAGCATCATCCTCCTAAGTCTCTGTTGCCCCTTGCAGAACATAGTAGGGAGGTGACTGAGGACAAAGTTGGAATAAATTGTCTCCCTTGTTATTGGCTCTGCCTCTGCCTACTGTTTTGTCTCCCTGCCTTCTGTCCTCCTGTTCCCAATGGACACCAGCCACCACTGTTGCTATCAGAGTCTGCACGAATAAGTATGGCTTTCAGAGCAAGAAAGAGATAAACAACTCTTCGTTGTATCCATAACTCTTTAAGGTGCCTTAAGGTCCTGTATTGTTTATCTTTGAACAAGTCTCTGTTGTAGCTGAGGCTTACCAGCATCAACTTGCCCAAGGCCACTAGGGAGTCTCGTGATGGAACAGGAGATTGAATGTTCTATCCATAAGTCAATTCAGCCCTGAAGTTTTATGTCTGTCATGTGCCATTCCTTACACTATAGAACTAAGGCCTAATTTATACATTCCCTGAATGCAAAAGGGAAGGCATTCCTTGACCTTTTCTTAATCATGCACACTCTTTTTTCCTTTCCTTTTTTAGGAGGATAGACATTTCTCCCAGTTCCTTTAGAAAACATGGATTCTCGCAAGAGGAAATCAAAAGTTCCAAAGAATCCAGCTACAAGGTGACCTGTTGCTTTGATCTGTAGTGAAACAAAATGTGTGCACTTCGGGCATGAACTTGTTTTTTATAATAAAAAAGTGATATTTTTGTTTAACTTGCTCTCTACTTAAGTTTGTGTTTTTCTTTCAAGGATGGGCATAATTCTAAAAATGAACTACAAAGGGTTAATTTTTATTATAAAAAAATGTATCAACAACCTTTGTGAAGTGGTTAGAAATATGGTAAATGACCCCAAAGTCAATTGAGGTTGAGCTTGAGACAAAAAAAATGGAATTTTGGAAACAAGTGACCTTGATGATGGAAGACTTTTTGTGATATTTTGCTGCTTGTAAGTATGACTAAATCACTTGTCTTACCCGTGATATTTCCAACCATGTTTTCAAAAAGACGTGCATGTCAGGAAGAGAGGAAAGTAAATCAAATCCATATCTGAACCAAGCACACAGATATTTTTTCTGCTAATGTGTTTTCTGTTGACTGCCGCTAGTTTATTTTAAAATGCTGCTCAGAATTAAAAACACTCTCCTGGGGGTCTTTAAAACTGTTACGGGCAGCGAAACAATTATATGCCCCTAATTTTAAAGGGAAAAATGACCATCTTGAGTTGAAGCATTGTCTGTTCACTTTCATACACGTTTGTCTTAATGGTTTTTAGCAATGCTGTTGAAGGGTTTGCTTTCATGTCATACCTGTGTTCTCAGTTTCTCCAAACACACTTGTCGCGTTTGAAAGATACTTGACTGCTGGATTTGATCTCTCTCTACCACACCATCCGACAGTGAACATGCTTGTGTGTGTGAATAGACACATACTTCAGGTTTACAAACAGTCAGGAGCTCCTTAGACGACTTCTTTATGAAATGGAACTACACAAATGGCTACAACAACTGATCTAGGTTCTGCTGATGAATGCCATTTGATGGTGAAACGAGTTTCCATTCTGGCAATGACAGATCGGCTTTGTTTTATGAGTTGAAAAGAGTTCTCCTTCACTTATGGAAGGCAAAAGAACAAATACAGCTCCCACATTCAGCCATGCCAGCTTCTTTATTTTAATCAAAAAGTAGGCTAGAAGCTTGTGTAAGTAAAGTACTTAATAGAGAGCTGCTACCCATTCTTTTGAGTTAAGGCGAAACTATTGCTCCCACTTTTCCCTGCCCTAGTTATTCCAAAGTCTTGTGCTGGACTGAAAGTTACCAAGTTGAAACAAGAAGCTCCACTGATTGACTGTTTCAATAAATATCAAAGAGACCTGTAACAGTTCAGAAATGACTTTGATCCTACTGCTGTTGACTGAAGATTTTCGTTTGCCCATAGAATTTAATCTTCTCACCACTTTCTCCTGTTCTTAGCCATTTCTTCCCAGATGTGCCACTTAAAGTATCCTAAATAAGGACAGGGATGATGAAATAGTGGGATGAGACAAACCTGTGTCTTTTTTGTGTTTTGTTCATGGGAATCTCATTCCGTAAAGTGATCTCCAAGGATATCTTAACTTTTCCAACTACAGCTCCAAACACACTGTTGATGCTGAATAAATGTTTGCTGTTTATAAGTATTGCTCAGAATAAGTAATATAGATACATTTATCTTGCACAACGTGTTCTGCTCTCAAAGTTCAAGTTCCCCCAAAATTCAGGAGCTTCTCGGCAATGGAGACAGGGAAGGGTGTGTGGAGACTGGATTGTAGCTGAATGGTAGAAGCAGGGAGTTCTTTTTTGCAGGGGGTGGGAGTGTGCAGTGAGCACAGCAGTGCAGAACACCTAAGTTCTAACTCTTGTCCCCTAGAAGCCAGGCCAAGCGTGGCTCCATTTGGTTGCTGAGTCTTCAGCAGCAGGTGTATGTTCAAATCTTTTTTCTGCCATCGTAAGTGTTAGAAACATGATGCCTCGTTTTTGTGCTTACGGTGCACAACTCTGAATTTGAGAGGTTATGCTGATTGAGAGCAAACTATGCAGCAGCCCCTTCAAGGCTCATTATGGATCTCTCAACAGCCAGTGGTGATTGGAGGGGGGAGCACACTCAGGAAGCCTGCCTCCCCAAATAACTCCTTCATTGGTTCTCTGGAATGTAGAGAATTGGCTCTATTATGATACTGGAGCTTAGACGGCCTGCACATTTCCCCTTCACTTTCCATAACTGCAGCCAATGTCTCCTGCAGTGAGAGGAGGGGACGTCCCTTTCCAGGCACAGGGAAGGAATTCTCTTGTTCAGTCAATTCCCTGTAGAGCACAAGAATCTGTCAGAAGAGGAGAATACAGTTCTTAGCTTTGGCATATACAGATCATTGCCCCTGGAGCCTGTTGTTTTTCCTTTGGACATCAAAGGGTCTTGGCTTTGGCACCCAGTTTTGCTCCCTTGATTTGATTAATAATTACTTACGTTTGGCATAGAGAGAAGTGGATGCAGAAAGATTGAAATCTTTTGCGTGGATCTTGTGAAGTCATTCAGTCTGTGTATTAGCACCAGCATAACTTCCCTTGCTTGAGTATTTTTCAGTCCTGAGCAAGGTAAAAAGGGATGTAGTTGTGAAGGAATTGCTTAAGGCTCAGGTGTCAAGTCTTTCCCCTGTTTTTCTCTTTGCAGGCCGAAAGCAAATACAAAGAGGACCCAGTTGACCTGCGCCTTGACATTGAACGGCGTAAAAAACATAAGGAGAAAGATAAGCGAGGCAAGTCGAGGGAATCGGTGGACTCCAGACCCTCAAGTCATTCACGGGAGAGATCAACGGAGAAAACTGAGAGGTCTCATAAAGGGTCCAAAAAGAAGTATGTAGGAGGAGAACATTCTCCACTTCTTCCTTCTTTCCTTCCCTTTTTATTTTAGATGTCACACACAAGAGTGATAGTGAGCTGACATAATGAAACCCCACATGGAAGAAGCTAGCAGGGAAACATTTTCAGCCCAAGGGCTGCATTTCCTCAAGAGGAACCTCCCCAGGAGGTGCATGCCAGTGTGGGTGGGGCAGTGGATGCTCAGTAGGATATGTTCCAGAGGTTTCTACAGTCACACGTGCAGTTATCCAGCCTTGCATCCAAGAAAGTAAGAGGTGCTACCACAGTTCAAGGAGACATCCCAACCAGGCACAAACTGAAGGAAGGTGCAGAGCAGAACCAGTACGGGGTGTGGCCTTGTAAAAGTCCCAAGGGCCAGATAAAGAACCCTGGAGTTTCCCCTTCAGCCCCTGAGCCTGAGGTCCTTCCCCTCACTGGGCTAGTTGTTGATACTTGCTAGGATGCAGCAGGTGTCTGTGGGGCTGTCCTGTTACATAGCACAGGCTTCTGGGGATATGGAAAAGTGCTGTTTTTACATCCAGGCTTGCTAGGCCTCAGCTGTTGGGTCCAGCCACCCCCCTCATGTGCATTGCCTGTGGGCTGTACACTGTACCATAAGGTCTGCAATAAGTAGGCAAGCTGTTCCAAAAGGGATGCTTGTCCGTCATCACTGATGTTCTCATTGAGCAGTTGCTAATAAGCCTCCAAGGAACCAACCCTACATTTTCCCAGAACACAGTTTGTAGGGTTACTTATTGAAAGGACACGGGCAGGCTAGTCTAAGTGCATTTCAAGTCAATGTCTTTTACACTTATTTATTTGTTTATAAAAATATTTAAGTACCATTAATTCATTTTTTAAAGTTATAAATGAACATTTGTGATTGTTAGCTTAGCCTTTCCCCCTAGACGTCAAACGCAACTTCGCTTTTTCAAGCTAAGAGGGGTGGGTGTAAGAGAGAGGAGAGCTCTCTGGATCATTGGATGGGGCATGCTAGCATTGCTCAATGCTTTCCTGTCTGCATTTCTGAAACTTCCATTTTCGCAGCAAATAGCTGTGTGTTTGGGCCACTTTGGGCTGAATGAGGCACTATGCTGCCCAAGCTTAATAACAGCGTGTGTGATGTGCACCTCTGTTGCTGAATTGCACTGGAGCCTTAGAGAACAAGAAGCCACTCTAGATAAAGGAGGGGAGACTGTACGCTTGCTTTCATTTTTGGTCTGGAATCTCCTGACACAGTTACCCAAATTAATGGTTCTCTTCAGTCACTGGAAGACAGCAGGTTACAAGCAGGGTGGTTGCGGAGGCAGGGAAATCCCTGCCTTTGGTCTAGGAGAGGGTAGGGAGTATGGTACTCTCCTATTTGTATATAGAAGCATTGTCCAACAGGTCGATCAGGATTGACTTGTAGATCATGTGATTGTTTCTCGTCGATCTCTGTATATTTCTCTCTCTTTCCAGAAACAGCCCTTTCTCTGAGGAGCCAGCGTGCAGGGCTTCTCTCTCTCTCTCTCTCTCTCTCTCCCCCTCTCTCTCAGAAGGAGGAGAAGGAGAAGCAAGCGGGCGGAGGTGTACGCAGATGTAGAGGCTGGGCAAGAGAGAGAGGCCCTGTGCACTGGCTCCTCAAGAGAAAGGGCTGGCTTGGGTCGAGAGAGAGAGATGGTGCTGGACATTCCAGGATCTAGCCCTTGAGGAGAGGACTGCCTTGTCCTCCCTCCCCGCTGATGAGCTCTCTCTCACTGAGCGCAGCAAGGCTTACTCCTGAGTAAACACACAAGGGAGTGGGGGCCCTTCCTGGCTGCTGCCATCCCACTCACGCAGGGAGGGGTGTGGTGTGTGTGTATGTATGTGCAGCCCTGCACACTGGCTCCTCAAAGAGAGAAAGGTCTGGTTTAGGTTTACTCGAAAGGAAGGGGTAGGTTGGATCCAGGGGAAAGGGCTTCTACAGGTTCCATCCAGTTCTTAAGGTGGTGCTTGAAGGCTGTCAACTCTGCAGTTGAGTTTACCCAATTTGTTTCAAACTATGGGGGAAATCACTGTGGCTGACATGTGCCCCTGACTCATTTGAAAAACAGCAAGAGTCTGGGGTACTTTAAAGACGAGCTCTTGTGAACAACAATCCATGCATCATGTTCTGATTATGTAGAACCCTGTCCTCAATGTTATTTTCTTATGTTATTACAAGTATACAAATTATGTATTTAAAAAAATAAATTGATTTATGATGAACTTTTCAGGTTTTATGGAAGGGACTATCATTTGTTACTATTTTTATCATAAGCCCAGCCTAGTATAATATGTTTAAGTAGAAGAACGACAATGGGAGAGTGTGGTGGATCACTGCCAGTTTTTGATATTGGATGGTAGATCTCAGGCTACCTTTGGTTGGACATGCCTGGTATATATCATGTGGTGAAGTTGCGGGGAGAGGTGGAGGAATGACTGACATTGAGGCAGTAGAGAGGTGCCCTCCCCTGACATTCATATATCTCTCTCTTTGCCTTGACTTAGGAAGCACCGGCGTGTGCGGGAGCGATCTAGGTCAAGCTCCTCGTCATCACAGTCTTCCCGCTCCTACAAAGCAGAGGAGTACCCCGAGGAGACTGAAGAGCGAGAGGAGGCTGCCCCTGGCTTTGACAAATCCCGCCTTGGGACCAAGGAGTTTACGGGCCCAACTGATAGGGGCAGAGCCCGAGGAACCTTTGTAAGTTGTCCTTTTGGAGGGTGTGTGCCCTGGGCCCTTGTTCCAGGGTGATGTCAAAATAGTTTTGAATTGTGGCAGAGCTGGAGTGTGGACAGGCACCTCCCAGCTTTTGAAAGGGGTTCAGTGTTAGGTGTTGGCAGCTACCCAGTGTAAGGGAGTCGTTCTTGCTTATAAAATTTGTCTCACCTCTTCCACATATTTACTGAGTACAACTTCAGGGTCTTTTTCAGAAGAATTTTCCTATTTGTGGTGAAAGGGGAAACCTTTTTTTTTTAACAATATGATATGATATACCAAAAGCAACAAAACCATAACATTATAGTGCGCATCAGTTGCTCAAGGAAGTGTAACGAGCCACACCCAGAGGCTCACATCCAGACCCAAAAATCAGTCAGAATCTGAAGGACAATTTAACCAAGAAGGAGCCTAGCTAATAGGTTGAGCCAAAAGGGTTGGGTTTGTTTTAGTAAATGGGAGTACTATAGCACCTCTCTGCCCAGCTATGTAATGCAGAAAGGGATATCAAGTGCCTACGGATTTGTCATGTTTACTTAGCCCTCAAAATAGTGCTATTGGGTCAGTTTTTTTCTGGAAAGACAGTAGCCCACACCTTGAATACAGAAGTGTGATGAGTGTTTCTAGTGATGGGCAATTTCCATTCTATCTGTTGCTAAGAGATAAACGATCAGGTCTGTGTGTGTAGTGCTCCAGAAATCATGACAGGCCATCCCAGGCCCAGCCAGATCCCCTTTCTTTCTGTTGCTCGCTTTTTGACGTTCCCTTTCTTCCTCTGCTCCTGATGACAGCAACAGTTCCGGGCCAGGGGTCGTGGCTGGGGAAGAGGGACCTTCTCTGGCAACAGCAACAACAACAACAGCAGTGGCGGCAGCAGCAGCACCGACTTCCAGAAGCGGAGCAGGGAGGAGGAGTGGGACCCCGAGTACACCCCCAAGAGCAAGAAGTACTACTTGGTATGTGCCCTGGGGGTGAGGTGGGCATGTGGCTGTGAGCTGCCTGCACAGAAGTTGTCCCTTCCACCAGGTGACAGGCCCCAAGTTGGTCTTGCCGTCATTGTCTCCTCAGCCATGCAGCATTACTGGAGGGCTTACTTGCAAAATGCAGAGGCTGGGGGGCATATTCCAGGGTGTTTATCCTCCCCTGTCTGTGTGGGAAATGTAGCAGTGGCCACTGGGGAAAGGAGAGGGGGTGGACAGAGGTGGGGCCTTCTGGTGGGCTGTTGAGGAGCTCTGCATTTGTTGACTGACAAATACCTTTTTTTCTTCTTCTTCTTCTTCTTCTTTTCCCTTTGCAGCATGATGACCGTGAGGGCGAAGGGGGTGAGAAATGGGTGAACAGAGGCCGGGGAAGGGGCATCTTCCCCAGAGGGAGGGGCCGTTTCCTGTACCGAAAATCGAGCACCAGCCCCAAATGGGCCCATGACAAGTTTAGTGGTGAGGAGGGAGAGATTGAGGATGATGAGAGCGGGGCTGAGAACAGAGAGGACAAAGAGGCCCTTCAGTCGGTGGCGGAGTAGCAGTCTCAACAAGTGGAAAGAGGGTCCTGAGACCCTGAAGCAGCAACAGCTGTTGGAGGGGGGACTCTGTCAGTCTGGACTGTAATTGATCCTTATTGACTAGTTGAATGTTCTTTTATTTTCTCTTTTTTAATTTTTCAGTGATCTCATGGAGGACAGTGGAGTGAGTTCTGCCCAATACTATTGGCAATCAGTTTTTGCGCGCTCGCTCTTTTTAATGTGATGATACATGTGGGAAATTAATTCCCTGCTCTTTGTTTTCCCCCTTTCTTCCTGTTTGTGGATATTCTTTTTTAGAAATCCTTTATTTTAAGCGTTTGCATATATATACACATATAAAAACAACACCCCTTAAAATGGTTAACTTCAGAAAGGCGTTTGTGGTTCTTATATATAGAAGAAAAATGCATGTGAATAAACATCTGACTAGAAACTGTTGGGACCAAACTCTGTGGTGTTCTTAATTTAAAGGAACTTTCCCTCTGCTTGAATTTGGAGTTGTTTCTCTTTAAAGAATCGCCTTTTGTTTTTTCCCTTTTTGTGCTGAAGTTCTAAAGTGTAGCATGGCACAGTTGAGGGGGAAGGACCCAAGCTCTCCCCACCACAACCACCAAAATGCAAAACTGCTCTTGGCTAATGTTCGCAGCATCTTGGTCTGTTCACTCTAGATTTCTTGCATACCCTCTTTGCCTCCAATTGTGAATCTGAACACTATTTTTGGGGTCACATAGTTTTCTAAGAAACTTGTGAATATACTAGGTTTTAAAAAAGAAAACCAGACATATAGCATGAGAAATGAGGATTTTTTCCAGTATTTTTATTAATCTTTTTATAAATCAATTTTGACTCACTTCTGTGATGGCCATGGGTAAGTTGCTGACAGTTGGTTTTGTGATTCTCTTCAGCTTTAAATCCGCAGCACTCGAGAAACATGTCGGGCAGGTGATGTGCTCACTCTCCCAAGCCAGCTACAGAGACTGTAGTTGCCCTATGGAGAAATCTGTCCCCCTGGAAATGAGACTTTGCAGTGCTTCTCTTTGTTCCCCTTTTCCTCTCTGTGCTATAAATAGAGCTCATTTTGTGGGACTGGTGCAGTTCTTGCTTAGCAAAGCCTGCAAGCTTTTGTTTTGACTCCTTGTTCAAATAAAATTACATTGAAATGGACCATGCAGACCTTTTTTTATTGCTGCTTTTATTGAGCCTCCACCCCACCCCCCAAAATAGGGTTGCAACATAACCTTACATCAAACAGGGCCAACATGATAGTGTTGGGCAAAACAAAGAAAAAAGAGTTGTTCAGAGCTCCTTAAGGGTAGCAGAAAAATGCTCAACTTGCCACCCTTGATCCCAGTAGCCGTATGTTTAACATTGCAAAGAAGTGCGTGCATCCACAGAACGCTGTACATCTGTAGGGCTCTCCCTACCTGGTTGCCCAAATGAGTGGAAGAGCCTCCATCCTTTTCTCACCCAAAATGCCTAGCTGATGTGGCCTTGTAAAGCACTTTCTTCCATCTCACATACTCCTGGAATCCCGGGTGGGGGGTTGTTTTGAAGTCTCCTATAGAAAAGAGAGAAAGTGGGGGAGCAAAGTATTAGAACTGGAGGCTGCATTTGGGTTCTACAGATTCCATTGTAGAAGCCACTGCATCGTGAAGGAGAGAGTATGACCAAGCAGTGCATAAACAAAAATGCCTGTAGGCTTTCTAGATATTGTAATTGGCTTTGATCTTTTGTCAGCCCATCAGCTCACATAAGGCAAATTTTAAGGATGGGTCCATGTGCATACTTGGGAGTTTTCTTGCTTTGTGGAATATTTCCTTTCTGTGAAACACACCTCTGCACAGACAAAAACCCTGAATGACCTGGTCTATAAATTATGCAAATTAAGAAAAAAGCCTTTTGTTTGGGAGGAGGGTGCACTTAACAGAGAACTGTTCAAAAGACTTGAGTGGCGTATTAGGTAGGTGCAAAGTTTAAACCCTTCGGGAAACGGGGAATATTGGCGAGCCCTGTTCTTTCCAGCAGCTATGCTCCCCCCCCCCCCCAGTTTTTAATTAAAACTCCAGCCAACCTGCCCTGTTGCCTGAGGCCATAATTAGAAGTGAATATAAAAATGTGCTGGCAGTTCTCAGAGCTCCTGTGCTGGGGCACTGTGGCGCCTGCTGGGCAAGGCAGGTGCTGCCAAGGAGTCTTCTGGCTCAGATCTTTTAGATACAGTGGTACCTCGGGTTAAGTACTTAATTTGTTCTGGAGGTCCGTTCTTAACCCTAACCTAATGGGGCCTTCTGCTGCTGCGCCACTGAAGCACGATTTCTGTTCTCATCCTGAAGCAAAGTTCTTAACCTGAAGCACTATTTCTGGGTTAGCGGAATCTGTAACCTGAAGCATATGTAACCTGAAGCGTGTGTAACCCGAGGTACCACTGTACTTCATTGCACTTCCATTCATTCTTCCTCTCTCACCTCTGAGTGGGGGCTTACCCTGGACCCCCTAGGTTGCTGCACAACAAACAGGGATTATGAACATTTCTGTCCAAACAACAAGTCTTCTGCACCACCGAGGCTCTGGATTGTGTCATGTTGAGGGCAGCTTAACACATTTAAGAAGTGGAAACAGCAATTCTGCAGAAACACAGCTGGTCGCCTGATTTTTCTCTGCATGGTGAAGAGAAGATTTCTATCCCCTTCACATGTTACAGGGTCTGTCTACTGGGTTCCCAACACATGAAGTGACTAAAAAAAGTCACCAGCCTGCGAGTTGTGCTTTATGGGTCTCTGGGTCTTGAAATTTCTTAAATGGCACCATTCCCAGGCTGGACCTTGGATGGCAACCAATCAGTTGAGATTTGGGTTTACCCTGTCCTACCTTTAAAAATTCAAAGTAGGAACAGTCCAAAGTTCAAAATGACATGCTTTAGTGGCTTTAAGGCAGCAGGGTGGTTTTTTCAAAAACACTAGAATGGTATTCTTGACTCAGCCCATCTGACCCTGGTAGTAAATGATTAGCATTGGGCTTTTCTGGATCTGGTGAATGATGGCTGCAGACCCTACAAAGAGCTGCTAGAACACCTTTTTGCAGGCCACCCCAATGGTGGATGATTTTGGTCAACCAATATTACTGAGTGTGGCAAAGGTGAAAGATGTATTTGAGATTAGAACTAGTACCTTGAACTGTGCTTGACAGCAATTCTACAGAAAACCAGCCTCAGATGCCAGAGCATTTGAGTCATGTTCTAATCAAAAATCCATATTGGGGCATATCGTTTATTATTTTGAGTTCTCCAAAACTTTACACCAGACTAAATAGGTAGCTAGTTGGTCCTTTGTGTGTCTCAGGTGGGGTGGGGTCCAGAAACCACGATGCAGTAACACTTTAATTACAGTCAGTCAGATTATCACAGGGTTGTGAGCAAGCTTTAGTGTAGAATTCTTCAGCAGCTTGGAGTAAAGTGCACAGGAAAGTGCGGGCAGGAGCTCAACATGATGTAAAAGTCCCTAAAACCTACATTGTGTAAGCGTCTTTAAGATGGAATGCAGGAGGAGCTGTTCAGGCATAATTAGATCATTAAAATGGGGGAGCAACTTTCCTTGCTGCTTTGTGGCATTAGTCCCGTGGGGATCTCATACCAAGCAAGACTGATCCATTATTCCTGTACAACACCTCTGGTAGCCTATCTTGAGACTTTTAATTCGGACTTTGGGGCACAACATACCAAACATCTCCCTTTCCCCTTTAACATCCAACCCGAAAAGGACTTCCAAGAACCAGTAATGCTTGTTCTTGGCTTTGACATTTGGGTCCTGCTATAAAGGTATTACTCTCAAGGTGGCTCAGTTTTTTTACAAAGTCCTTATGATTTGAGGCGCAAAAGGACTGCTTAGATGTAAGAAGGGTGTGGAAGCCTTGTTCTAACGCAGGCTTCCTCAACCTTGGCCCTCCAGATGTTTTTGGCCTACTACTCCCATGATCCCTAGCTAGCAGGACCAGTGGTCAGGGATGCTGGGAATTGTAGTCTCAAAACATCTGGAGGGCCGAGGTTGAGGAAGCCTGTTCTAAGGGTTGAGTTTTCTGGGTGGGACTCTCCCAGGTCTAGGAAACTGGAGCAAAACCTATTCCCTCATCTGTCTCTAAAGGAAACTTTCTTTGGGACTGTCCTTCCATAAATCCCCTGGCCAGGAAGCTAGAAGTTACCTACCTTGAGCAAAAGATCCTCTGCAGCCTGGTTTCCATTAAATGTGTTGCACTAATGGGTCAGCTGGTTGCCCATTAAATGTTAGGTGCTTATTTTATGGCACTGTAAATTGCCAGAGAACAAACAGGTACTTCTGCTTGTGTGGGGTCAGGCAAAGTTGGGATGACATCATCTCAATAAAAAAGCCTAATTTGTGGGTGGTTGGCTGCAGGGGTGGGGGTGGGGAGGCAAAATGTTCACATACAGAGTTGCATTCATGTCAACTAACTTACTGTGCGTTTAGGTTCCACGGCACCAAAAAGATAAAATAGATCTAAGTCTGTACTGGGGCAATACCTTTGTTAGGTCAATCCAAATGGAATAAAATATATGCAAGCTTTTGAGTTCCCTGGAACTCTTTATAAGCCTTGATGTTTAAAGGGAAGCAGGTGTGTGTGTTGGTATTTTAAGAATTAATGTGTTAGGAGCTAGCAAACATTCAAATGAGGTGTTTTCAGGTGCTTGCTAGTTTCACGTTTCACTCCAGCCTCTGAGTCTAGAAAGAGCAAGTTCATAATGGCCTAAATGAGGGGGATGCGTCTTCCCAGGAGGCTGTGGTGCAGAATGAAACCGGAAAACACCTAGAAGTGAATGTCACTGGCTCCTCCCCTACTCAATCTTAAAACTCACCAGGTGTAGAGATGTTGTTCTTGGTTTATTTTATTTGTCACCTAATACAAAATCTCTCTATGTGAGTTACACAATTAAAAAGCAGCCACCAACAACAAATTAACGATATCCAAACACAGAGAGAAACAGCAATTATTATCATAATGCCTCAGAAGTCTGGGAGAAGAGGTACCTCTTAACTTGGTGCTGAAAAGCTGTTAATGTTGGCTTCAGGCAGGACTGACTGGAGAGAGCATTCCACAGACAGGAAGCCAGCACTGAAAAGGCCTCCCTTTTTGCTACTCTCTGAAGCTCTATTAGAGAGACCACCAGAGAAAGGCCTCAGGTGATGACCACACTGTGCAGGTATGTTTAAGTCAATAGCCTTTTTCTCTTTCCCCTTCAGGTCCCCCCCCCCCCCGACATCAACACCACTACTTAACATGTTAGGGGGTTAGGGGTTAGGGGTATATGTGTCAATGTTAAAAAAGAAAGAGGGAGCTATAGTCAATAAATCAAATGTGGCTGTCCTGTAGTCCTCCAGATGTTGCTGGACTGCAACTTCCACCATCCACATCTGATAGCCATACGGACTGGGGATGATGGGTGTTGTAGTCCAAGACATCTGGAGGACATCAAGCTGGGTTAGGATAGCCCAAGTGAACAAGACACAATTCACCTGGTGCCTAAAAGCTAACAATGAATGTGCAAGGCAGGTCTCCCTTAGGAGGCAGCCCTGTTGTGATGATGCAACACTAGGAAAGGCTCTCCAGTTATCATTCGCTACCCAGCTGACCACCTATTGTTAGGTTTGGTTCTGTGAAACCTCCATTGCCCCATTAGCTTGATTTGTGATCTAGAACAGCTTTCCCCAACCTGGTGTCCTCCAGGTGTTTTGGACTACAACTTCATTTTGAATGCCTATAATTGTGCTTGGCTGCCTTGGGGCTGGACACTAGATTTTATATACTGGTACGCCTCAGACAGGGTTCTTGTAAGAAGTTAGATTCAGGTGCCAATTGGAAAGACATTATCAGAGTTGTTGCATCTTAATTATGCTAAGTTATTGGACTACTTGAATAAAGCATTCCAGTGTCAATCAAGACACATTTGTTGGGAGCAGGGGGAGGGCATCAAGAAAATTCAACAGCCACAAACAGAGAGGGAACTGAATGCATTGAGGAAATGACATCTTACTGTTATTTTCTTGCATCCTCGGGCCAAGTGTGTGTCATTATCTGCTGTCCCAAGACAAGTTCAGTAACCCAATCTGTCACCCAAGTGCTTGGGGAGTGACAGGCCTGGACAAATTCCTCCTGTCCATTATGTTTCGGGCAGGATGTGAACTATTCCAGTCTTGGTCATCTGCAGTGCCGTCACCCAACTTCTATGGACACTGTTTGGGGTCTGAGTAATAAAAGCAGGCTGAGTTTCTGTGTGGGTGTGCCCTGGGAGCTCTTTATGACTTTTTCGTGTCCCATAGATACTCCAGCCAGTTGTTGATGCAAAGAGGGGCTCAAGTGAGGCAGGGACACCAGGCATAAACAGAATTAACTGTCACTTTCTGCTAACTGGAAGAGGATTTCCCCCCAATTGCAGGTATTCAAAAGATCTTGGCCTTCCAGTATTTTGAGTTCTTCAAAGCACCTTTGCTAGAACTGCAAAGGAACCCATAATCATACTATGTAAGGGGTGTTTTTCATCCCAGCTTTACCACCATCTCTGTGGGTAGGTATGGCCTCTAAGCGTATTTTCCAGAGGAAATATGTAAATTGAGAAGTTAAATGTCTGGGACTCCTTGTGTGGGAAGCAACCTGAGGCAGGGTGGGAATTCATTACTGTACAGAGGCAGTCCTCTTCATGAATGCATCCTCTATTTGAAGGGCTGTCTAGTTTCAAGATTTAAAAAAATAATCAGAGAGGAGCACAGGGGCCTTGAGGTTGTGCACATCTCACAGTAAGCAGCACCTGGGCAGCAAACTGAGCAGTGGGTGGAACTATGGTGCAACAACAGTGGAATAGACTGTATTTCTATTTAACTTATAGCAATTGTTTCTAAATATGTATCTATGCATATAAGTTAGCATATGCAAATTTGACGCCAGAAAAGGTCCTCTCTTGTCCTTTTTTGTGTGATGTGTTCCTCCTTTTTTTTTTTTTTTTTTTTGGCCAGTGCCTGAGTGGCTGTTCCTGAGGGGTGCTGTGCCGCTTGTGAGTGTGTGCAGGGCTGAAATTGGTCTTCAGCGCAGCAATTTCTTCCAGACTTCAGACCAATCAGCTGCTAAAGTTTACTAAACTGTCAGGAGGAGATTCACAAAGCAAAAGTAGCCATTTTGGAACCTAAGAAAACCCCCAAGATCTCTGTGAGGGATGCTTCCAGATCGGTGTTTGATGGTGGATCCTCAAACAAGCAAGTTTTTTTTGTAGTGCCCACATGACATAATCAACATCAAAATCCTGTATCTTCCCCTCATGATCTGGTTAACCTCTCTTTACATTTCCAGGGAAAATCCAGCGAAGTAAAAAACACTTGCCAGCTACTAGGTTGTGATATCTCAATAACCCATCTGCCAATTAAGCCACACCTGGACCAGAAGCATTCAAGGACCAAGTGAATAAATATAAGAAATAGGGAGCAAACTTTCAGTTGACCTGTAATCAGGCTGGTGGTTAACCAGAGCATGGGGGGGGGGGCAGCTGCTGGTTTGTTGCTAAAGCCAGACCATCTGCACTGGCTCTTCAAATGGTGTGTGGGCAAAAGCTGCAGCGCTTTCAAAGACCACCTTTTCATCTGTTCTGTGCAGGATTCAGGTTACACCAAGGGATAATGGAATATCAAAACACACAGCAGCAGATTCCCCTCTTTAAAAAAATAAAAAATAGAATCCAGAAGTTCTCTAGATTTGTCTCCAGCAGGAAGTGAAACACCCAGGTTCCTTGTGAAAGATAACAACGAATAAAAATACGGTGTTTTTGCAAAACTGGAAATCGGTACAGAAGAAAGGAACTCTGACCATGCACAGAGGGCCTATTGAGTAACCACACCGAGCTCCTGAACAGCTGCCAGGTCAAAGAGTGTGACTTCAAATTGGAACAGAGCTTCAGGGCCTCTTTTTATTTTTGGATATGGCAAATGCTCTGAAGGTACTGAGCCATACTGTACAACAATATTGATACAGCCATTTAATGCTTCTCTGTCAGGCCTTTCCTCTCCTCTTGGTGACATTTAGAGTGTAAGCTGCTCTAGGGGTTTGTCCTTTTAGTTAGGGTATCTTGCCAAGGAGTGGCTCTATATAAATAGTAAGTTACAATGGCAGAGATGCCAATTTTCATACATCCATTTTACACTGAGGCTGAGAAAGATGGTGTGCCTAAGTAAGGCCATTTCCCCCGCTCAGGTGCAACCACCCACACTTCAGGCCTGCACGTCAATGCTTACCTCCCTCCCCATCACAGGTAGGCTCTGCCCATCTATTTGGGGCAAGCAAACCCCCTGGCCCGGCCTACCTGCCCGGTAGCAGCCTGGAGCCCTCCCTGCTCCTTCCTGGGCTCTCAGGAACCCGCCTCGCCTGTTTGCCTAGTCTGGGCTTGTCCCTCCCTTCCGTGTGTGGCAGGCTTGTCCTGACGGGCCTTCCCTCCCAGCTTCAAAAAGGGAGTGCCTGGCTTCCTTCTCCCACTTTCCCCAGGAAGGCACAGCTGGCTGGATCTATGCGGAGGGAGGCAGCCGGAAAGTGAGGAAGGAGCTGCCATGGGTAGGTTTCAGGGGCCACCTACAGGGAATGGGGCTGGAGCTGGAATGATTTCTTTATTGCCTGGGTTTTCCAGATGACAAATCTCACAGGTGCTGCCAGCTGCGCTGGCCGCCACGTCTTACACAGCTGTGTGATGGCATACAGTTCTGTAGGATCACATTTCCTGTGAACGCTACAATTGATACATAACATTGAATTGGCTCACTGCTTCATGCTCTGGCAGGTCAATGATTAAAGGGCATTATTTTTGTAAAATAGGTGAGTTTAATGTGAGTCAAAGGGGAACGGCTATAATGTATATGTGGTGGTGGTGTTGTGGCTGCGGGGGGGGGGAGGATTTAGATTAATTTTTTTTTAGCATTTTGAGTGTCTGAGGATTACACGGTCTGTTCCAGAGCAAACACAGTGTGGGCACAGGGTGCCCACTGCCAGGCCCACTTCAGTGGAGCTTACCTCTGACTCCACCCCAATGGGGGTCCCACCTTCTCCACTGAAGTGATGAAACTGAACTTGCTGGGGGAGGGTTCTGTGTGTGCCTGCATGCTTGGCATACCAGGGAAACGAGAATCCCTGCACCCTCAGGTAACTGCTAGGACAGAGCAAAAAGAAAGGTAAATCAGGCCTAATTGTTACTGATGTAACTGTTACTAAGGCATAATTAATAAAAGGGTCCCTGCCCCCACTTTTACTGATGGTTCCCCTTGGCCGCAGTCTCTGTCAGAACATCACTGGGGCTCTCTGCCTCCATCCAGGACCCCCCTGGCGCAGCCAGGTCTCCCTCTGAACTTTTTACCTGGCTAAAGAGCTTGGCTTGGCCTTCAGTGTATGTTCAGTGCTTGAATTTGACAGGGAGAGGCAGAGAGGGTCTGGCCAGCCCCTTTTTCCTCATTCAGGCTTCTGGTTTTAGCAGAGTACTGTGTGAGATTCGGCTACCATTGGGAGGAGTCGGAGCTTATCCACTTACCTTTCCTTCGCTCTTTCCAGACACAGTCCGCGCTTTAAAGCTCCATGTCCAAGCACCCCACTTTTTTGCTTTCCTCACAAAAACCCACTCTTTAAAGCTCAGTTGGAGCAAACAGCAATATGTGGAAAACCAAAATTGATGTTTGATCTGATTGTGCCCTAAAGAGCAGGTTATCGTGGGGGCAAGTCTAGGTCAAAAATGAAGAAACCATGCTTGGGCAAGGAGCTTTTAAGCATGGACCTGTGCCTAGATAAAATGGGGCAAAAGGTTAATGTGGATAAGCCCCCAGAGAGTAGGGCTTGTGGATTTGGCGAAGGCTGCTCTCTGTCCTGCCTTACTGCACCCCCAGGAGAAAGAACTTAGGATGTACCATCTGATTCCTGGGGTCCACTTAAGGTTGCTTTGGGGACCAGCTGGAAGTTGATGCACTGGTCACTGGCTGGCCACTGCTGCTTTATGGAAGGGGCCCCAGCCTCACAACCCTGTGAAGCTGCTGCTTCTGGGACAAGGGAAGTAAATACCAGTCACCTGTTTGGAAAAGGTTAGGCCAACTAGGTGGCCTTCAGATATTTTGGGCCACAGGTCCCATCAGCCCCAGCTGGCTGTTGCCATCCATAACTGCTTCTTGTGAATGGTTTCCTGCCCCATTCCAGGTGCCTATACAATAATCTCAGCAATATTAAATTATCACCAATTATAACAGTTATCCTTGTTTAACATACACTTAAGCTCTAATTATCACAGACCGCTTTTTTTTTTTTTTTTACATTGCACTGCCATTCAACTCCCACTTCATGGTTTGTATCCAACATTAGGCCACATTTGCACCATACATTTAAAGCAATATGGTACCACCTTAAACAGTCATGGCTCCCTTCAAAGAACACTTGGTGCTGTGGTGCTGTGGTCTGTTGAGTGCAATTCCAGGCGTTATTAAACAATCAACCCCCCTTCCCAGGGAACTCTGGGAATTGTAACTCTGAGAGAGATATGGGTCTCAACCTTCATAACAAGCTACAGCTCCCAGGATTCTTTCGAGGAAGCCATGAAGTTTTTAAAGTGGTATCATAGTGGAGATTGTGGAGGCTTTTGAGCAGAGGCTGGATGGACATCTGTCATGGGTGCTTTAGTTTAGATTCCTGCATTGCAGGGGGTTGGACTGGATGACCCTTGGGGATGCTTCCAGCTCTACAATTCCAACCGTACAATGTACGGTATGAATGTGGCCTTAGACTGCAGTGCCAGATTTAAGGTGGTGCAATCAGTTTCCCTGCACAGGGTGCTGATCTGAGGGGGTGCAAAATAGTGCGCTTGAGAGTATGCAGAGAATGGAAGGTAAGAGGTGTGAGGGTGCTTCAACAAACTTGAATCATTGTGAAAATGTGAAATATTATTTGGGTGAGGCACCAAAGTTTGTCCTCGCTCAGGGCGCCATATTGCCAAAGTCAGCCTCTGCAGAATATTACTCTTTTGGGGTGGGATTTAATCACCAAGCAACTGCAATTTTAGGTTGCACAACTGCAGCTGATTGGGAAGTTTTGTGCAATGATCCTGCTTCTCCCAAAAGATCAGACTTTTGCAATAAGTAAAGTGATGGGTAAATGCACTGGAAGGTGTGGACTAGTGACTCTTTGGTGCAGGCTGTGTACACACTAGACTTATAAAGCACATTCTTTTCCTCAAAGGACTCGGGGCTCTGAAGTTTAGCCCTCATAGAATTACAATTCCCAGCAACCCTTAATAAACTACAGTGCTCAGAATTCTTTGAGGGGGAAACGTCCTTTAATGGCTCAGTGTGTGCATAGCTGCAATGTTGCCTAACCTCCCTGAGGGCCAATTGGAAGGAATGCTCTACAGAAAGGTCATCTGGGAGTGCCCATAGCTGAGTGAAGCTTTTGGGGAAAACCTTCTTCCTGCTTCTCTCTCCTCCTCCTCCTCCTCCTCCTTCAGAGGTCTTGGTCTTGGTGGACTTTGACGGGCAGCTGGGTGATGAGCTGAAGATCACTGCCGGCGACATCATCCAGAAGGTGCAACCAGGCCCTGAAGAGGGATGGCTGCAAGGGGAGCTGGAGGGCCGGGTGGGGCTCTTCCCTCGCCAGTTTGTGCAGGTGAGCATTTACACCCCTTCCCACTCCAGGCATAGGCATGTCTCCTCGGAAGTAGCTTAGTCCCAGGTAAGTGTGTGTCTAGGGTGTGTTAAGTGTGCTCTTGAGAAGCATGAGGAACAAGTGGAGACAGATTTGCGTGTTTGCAAACATGCCTGTCGCACCTGTCTCAGAAGGGCCATTGGCTCAGTGGGTAGGACATCGGCCTTGCATGCAGGGGTCCCAGGTTCAATCTCTGGAATCTCCAAGTAGGGCTGGGAACATCCACTGTTTGAAACAACTGCCATTCAGTGTAGACAGTACTGAGGTAGATGGACCTATAGTCTGACTTAGAACAAAGCAGCTTCCTATTAGGAAGCAACAATCGGGTATGATTACTGAGTGACCTGTCAGCAGGGAAACTGGGATTTGCCATGGCCTAAACGCATGAAAGGGACATGGGTGGCACTGTAGGTTAAACCACAGAGCCTAGGGCTTGCTGATCAGAAGGTCAACAGTTCGAATCCCCGCAACGGGGTGAGCTCTCATTGCTCGATCCCTGCTCCTGCCAACCTAGCAGTTCTAAAGCATGCAGTGCAAGTAGATAAATAGGTACTACTCTGGCAGGAAGGTAAACGGCATTTCCATGCGCTGCTCTGGTTCGCCAGAAGCGGCTTTGTCATGCTGGCCACATGACCCAGAAGCTGTACGCTGGCTCCCTCAGCCAGTAAAATGAGATGAGTGCCGCAACCCCAGAGTTGTCGGCAAATGGACCTAACTGTCAGGGGTCCCTTTACCTTTAAATGCATGAAAAGGCCTTTCGTTAGCCCTGGGACCTGTGCCCAGTGCCATTATCCAGCAATGAACATGAGATTCCCTCACTGGAAAAGAGTGCCTCTGAGCATGTGACATGCGCCATATACCTCTTACCCCTGAGCTCCTACAGAGCACACACACGGATGTGTCTGTCTCCCGACCCTCAGCACCTGCCACCTTATATGCCTGCCTCACTCTGCCCAGTGGCTGGACCAGCTCTCTGGCGGCCAGATGCAAAAGCAGACAGGCACCTCCTGCATCTTTTTTGGCAGGTGTGACTTGCATGGCAGATTTCCTCTTCTTTACAACTATTAAAGGTGCAAGAATACCAAAGAGCGAGAGACAGAGTGTCTCCATTTTCAAACAAATTTATTTGGAATTTGGGAGAGGTCAGAGAAAAGGCTTTTCAAACCCAAATTGAGCCCTTCTGGCACTGGGCATTATAGCAGTGAAGCAGTTCTCTAGCAACAGTGTCCCAAGGAACAACCCCAAGGCACAGAACGCCATGACCTTGCTGAAGCTAAGCAGGTCTGGTTCTGGTCAGTACCCAGACTGAAAACTGTGTGGAACCAAACATATGCCGCCTTGAGTTCCATGAAGGAGGAATGGGGGGCGGGGCGGATATAAATGCAAGAAAACGAATACTGTAAAGTGTCCAGGTGAATAGTCATGTAGAAGAGGGAACCTACACCTTGCATGACAAGCTGCCCTCTTCTATAATAACAATTAAAGGTGTAGGAGCCCCTTTTTCCTTTCCACCCGAGGCCTGGTCCTCCAGACTTTTCCTCCCTCTTCAGCTTTGTTCTATTCCTGCAAAATAACAAACTGGGTATTTGCCTCCTGCTGGAGTTCATGGCCAAATAATGCAAATTATTTCCCCAGCTAATTTGCACCCCTGAGGACAATTTGTTTAAAGGGAAGCTGCATGGAGCTGGGTAAGATGTGCTTTGTTCCCCCAGTTTCACCTTGTAAGGGCTGCAACACACCCATGTCTGTCACCTGCCTCCTGCCAATGTTTGCCTGGCCTTGCGGCTGCTCAAACAAAACAGCTGGGCTGGCTGCAAAGAAGAAGGCTGTGTGGAAATGGGCAGCTGTGCAAGGCCCCTGACTCAATGCACATGTTGTGTGTCACTGTGCACAGACTGTCCCACATCTGAGCCAGACATGTGCGGAGCCAAACAGTACACCCTTGTCCAAATAGCCAGTGGGATCACTGGTTGGTTCTTTACTAGGCTGTGTTACGAGATAAATAGCAGGGCTTTGGCCATCAGGTGCCCAAGGGGGGCTCCAGGCTGCAGCTCTTTTGTAGGAGGCATTCAAGCCAGTGTGGCATCGTGGTTAGAATATTGGACTAAGACCTGGGTGACCAGGGTTCAAATCCCCTCCCTTGGTCATGAAGCTCACTGGGTGATCCAGGGCCAGTTGAAGTCTATCATCTTAACCTACCTCATAGGGTTGTTGGGGGGATTAAATGAGGAGGGGGAGAGCTGTGTACTCCTTGAGCTCCTGAGAGGAAAAGGTGGGATATAAATGCAATACAATAAATAAATAAATAAGCACTTTAGGTTTACATAATTAAAGTGGATCAACGGGCTCTGTTGCCCTAATGCAGGCATAGGCAAACTCTAGCCCTCCAGATGTTTGGAACTACAATTCCCATCACCCCTAGCTAACAGGACCAGTGATCAGGGATGGTGGGAATTGTAGTCCCAACCATCTGGAGGGCCGGAGTTTGCCTATGCCTGCTAGTACAAACAAATCCCCCTTTTAAAAAGACTCAGACTTTTCCATTGCACCTGAGGGCAATCAGCTATCTTAGGTGGTGTGTGCAGGCCAGGCTGCAGGGTGCACACAATTCTGCCCTCCAACATCTCACCACTGCTCACTCCCCCAAGCTGCCTGGGTGGCATTGCATCACATGATCAGAACAAAACACACACACACAGAGGCAGTGCCTGCTGCAGTGCATGTCCTGGGCTGACTGCCTCCTTGGCTGGGAATGATGCCAATGGTAATGCATGGGAGAAATTCAACCAGGCAAGAGGGTCAACCAGCGCAAGCAGCTAGCAACAAGACAGAATGCCAGGGAAGAGGTTGACTATTGCTGCTCTCCTGTCCTGCAGGATCTGCCACTTGAGGCAGGTGCCTCCCTCTACCCTATGACAGAGCCAGCCCTAAACAGAATGCATGTGCAGAGTCTTATGCACCATGGATTGTACTGCATGTGGGCCACAGTGGAGGCCCACCTTGAATGCAGGCCTAGGTGACCTCAACATCTTCCCCTGGCTGCACATCTCTGAACATACAGAATGTCAGCACAGGGTTAAGGCCACTTGCACTAAGTCTCCCTGCCCCCCACCTGTTGCTGAACATAGACAGCTCTTGGGGCAGGGTCTGCACCTGCCATTCCAGTTCCTGATTTCCTCGAAAAAGCTCCAGTTCCTTGTAGGTTGCCAGGCAAAGGTGTCTGAAAAACATCCTCCCCCCAGTGCATCACTCCTGGCAGACAGAAGGTCTGTCCTGTCACAATCGGCTAGAGTCCTCCTTTGGGGCAGGAGGGTGAACGGGATGCCTCAGTCCGCACCCATTATTCTGTGAAATAAGATAAAGCACCAGTGAAAAGCAGGCACATACACACCCACCCTGGCAAGGAGCACCTTTGCCTCACATGCCATAAAAGTGACACTCCTTCCCCTTTCACCAAGTCCCGCCTGCTTGTTGCTCCAATTGTTCTCAGGGCCTTTCCCACTTTATCAGGAGTTTCCCCCACTTCTGATAAAGGGGACCCCTTCCCTTTCTGAAAAACGGGAGCTAGTTGTTTCTGCAGTGGCAGGTTTCCCACAGTTCCATGGGCAAGTTGCCAGGTGACGTTATCAGCTCTTAGCTCTGTGTGTTTCTTTGCTGGAATGGAACCCAGTACACAAGCCTTGCAGGCAGGGTACGAGGAGGCATGAGAAGAAGAAAAACACATGAAAGCAGGCATTGGCTTTTGACTTCAATACCTGCGTATAATTGCCCTAATTCTAGGGTAAAAGAGCTTTTCAAACAACCACTTGTCCTCCCAACAGCCCCCAGAGGCAGGCCCATTTTACAAATGACAAACTGAGGCTGAGAGGCAGGGACTTACCTGAACGTGCTCAGTTAAGTTCATGGCTGAAGAGGTGGGATTTGAACCCATGTTAAATCCAGCATCTTCAGAAGGCCATATAAAGACCCATCAGGAAAGTATCTGCCTTAATGTTGTTGTTTTAAAAAAGCATGCATTCTAGCCCATCTCCAAAGAACTCTGGGAATTGTGGTTTATGGAGGTGTTGAGGGTTCTGTGGGACTACAGGTTTGCTGCCACGTGGAACTACAATTCCCAAGGTTCCTTGAGGGGGAGGAGCCAGAAGGGTCGTTCCATTCTGCTTTGTAGCATAGACAGGTGACAAGGTGTGTGCTGAAGCACTTGAAGCCACGCCCACTCGCCGCCCCCTATATACCTGAGGTAGGTGCCTGCTTTCCCCAGCGTCCTCTCCAGAATGGCTGTTTTGACCCAGAGCCCTTATCTTTTCCGCAAGGTAAAGGGGGAGAGGCCTCTTCCGATTTTTGAGTTCTGAATGTTTATCTTTTCCAGGGGGCAGTTCCTTTGCAGGCTGCACTCCCACCTGTTCAGTGGAGCAGGCCAGCCAGCCATTCCAGTGGTGATGCTTGTTTGCTTTGTCTCTTGAGAGCAGGGAATAGAAGCAGGAGACTCCTGGCTTTTCTTCCCAACTTTGGTTCACCTCTAGTGAATTTGGGGCTAGTACTGAAGGCCCTTCACAGTTAAGAGCCAGGTTCCTTGAGGGGCTAGCTGGTCCCTTCACTACCCAGGAAGTCACTGTGTTCTATGGGAGAGGTGGGTCTTCCTTAAAGGCCCCCAAACATCAGATACCACTGCTCCACAGTGGCTTAGAGCAGGGTGGCTTCCTCTGTTCCGTGGAACAGCATCCCAGCTGAGAGATGAGAGGGACTTGAAAGCTGCATTGAAGGGAATTTGGCCCTCATAAGTTTTCCCAGCTGGATGCAAAGGTGTTCATTTTAAACCTCTTGACATTTGGAAGGGAGATGTTCTGCTTGCAAGGCAGACACTCTTCTGCAGACAGAATGTCTTGGGCTCAGTCCCCAGTGGCATCTCCTCCAGGGAGGGCTAGGAGAGACTCCTGCCAGCCGCTGCTGCCAGTCAGTGGAGACAGTGCTGAGCTGGATGGGCAAATGGTCTGACTCTGTATAAGGCAGCTTCCTATGTTGCTGTCGGTTTTTTGTACTGTTTATATATGTTTTATGGTATGTCTGTTCCTTACCTCAACACACATGTAAAAGGGGATTCCTCAATTAATAAAGAGTTTTCTGTTTTCTAGAAACTTCCACCCCCCGTCCCTTATGTTGTATAACCTGTGAATAGCAAGTTGTGTGTTTAGATCCTCTTTCTAAATTATGTGCTTGAATCAATTGGAGAAGAAGCATGAAAACATGACTACAACAGGAAGTCTCAAACTGCTAGCTTTGTGCAAACTGGATGTGGTGATTTAATGTCACCATTAGCTGCGATACCTGCTTGGCAGGGGTTGGACTAGATGACCATTGGGATCCCTTCTAACTCTATGACTCTATGCAATCTCTGACAGCCAACAAGTTGTTGGGAATGGGTGGAGGGAGACAGGAGTGCAGTCTGGACACAGAAGCCCTGTCCACATATAAAGTGACATGCATCACATAATTTGTTGACATTGAATTGCATATGCCATTTTATTGCTCATTTGCTCTGTTTGGAGAGATTCTTCATGATCCCTTTTTGTTTTAACCACCCTAAACAATTTAGTGTCATCAGCAAACTTGGCAACCTTAAGCTGGTTGTTTTGAGTCCTGGCTCTGTGTAAGAAACAAGATGCCAGAGGGAGACCCTGCCCTCCCATCCCTCCAGGCTGTTCTTTCCTCCTGATGTTTGACCATTTCATTGTTCCTAGTCACAGGCACCTTTTTCTTCCCCTTGCCTCAGGAAATCCCAGTGAGCCTCCGAGCTGATGGCACCCAGCGATACCCCCGATCCATTCGCAGTGGTGAGTGTATTTTTTTGTTGGGGGGGGTATGTTTTAGGCCAGTGCTGAAGCTTCAAACTAAGGACAACTGGGGAGGGACTATCTTTAAAAGGAACGTAAAAACTTTTGCCCATGACTTTCCCCTCTTTTTTATAAAAAAAGCAAAGTTCTATTTAATCGAGTGCTGGTGGGGAGTAGGCAAGTGTAAGGTGGCATTCGTGGCCTTTAGGAAATCCAAGGACCTTGCTGGAGGTTCTATTTATGTTTCGGGACAGTACCTGTGGGGCTTGGCATTTTCTCAAAGCGGTATGGGTCTCTTTCCATCAGTGCTGCAGCTAATGCAGTTCAGAGTTTGAACCAGTGGCTCTGTGGAGCATGGCCAAAGTGCTGCCATCTTATTTCACAGCTGTGAGAATGTTATCTCCTGGACTGCTATATGCTAATCTTCTGCATGTCCAATAATCAGCTACTCTTGGGTGGAATTTCACCAAATAAGCTAAACATAGGTTTTATTGGTGTTACTAACTAAGGGTTAAACTGCTGCTTTTATTTTGAAAGGGGGGGGGACACACAACTGCACTCCCTTTATTACGCCCAGCCAAAATGCCACAAAGTAGTGAGCAAACTTTTGAGTAAGCAAAGGTGTTGGTGATGGGGAGAGTGGAAAATGGTTTGGTACTGAAGCCAAAATGGCTGCATAGGACAGAGGTCATCAAAAATTCAGTTTTTTGCTGTATGGTCTTGAAAGGAGCATGGGTATGATAGCTATGATGACCATCACAGAAGTTCTCACTACACAGCTGAGAAGGCTGTGTGTCACACTTCAGTGATGAAACACATACTTAAGAGTCCTCTTCTCTCTCTCCTGCCTGCCTGCCTTTCATTCCTTGCTTTTCAAAAGCTTCTACATTCCTGAGATGTTGGAACAAATGGCAAAATTGTTTGCCATCCTTGATTTTTTAAAACAGAAAAAAACAAACATTTTAAGCACATGCAGTTTGAATTTGGGTTTGCTTTTGCTACACTGATGCGCAACACATCGATTTTGGAACGAGCACTGTTTTTTGCAGAATAGGATGGTATATATTCAGATTTAACATGTGCATCTGAAACCGTGTATGTGCCCTGACTGTAAAAGGATGGAGTGCTGCAGGGATCAGTGCCAATTGGGGCCTGAAGCCTGGGGCATGGCCATGACAGGCCAGTGGCAAGTTCAGCTCTTGGCTTGCTTCATTTAAATCAGCTTTCCCCAAACTGATGCCCTCCAGGTGTTTCAGCAGGACAGATGATGGGAGTTGCGGTCCAAAACGGCCAGAGGCCAACAGGTTGTGGAAGGCTGCTCTTGATTAATCCTACTGGGCTGTGAGAGCAAAGGGATCTGTCAAAATTTATCGAACTTCTTTTCTGCATTCTTTGTTCCTAGAGTGCTTCCAGATGGGATGCATTTGTGAGATTGTCCTTGCTCAGGCACACAGGTTTTTGGCAATGTAACCAGGCTATGTTGTTGACATCACAGATACAGTTTATCACTCACCCCCATTTAATCTGGATTTACAATTTTCATGGAAAACTTTCTTGCCAGTGAGCCGATCGTGATATTAAGAGCACACCTGCTCCCAAGAACGCATTCCTACTCTTTAAACCTACATATTTCTTTTACAAGATTTATTGACAGCTTAACCCACAGCTTTCCAAACTTATCATGTTGGTGACACACTTTTTAGACATGCATCATTTCACGACACAGTTAATTCAGTTTTACTAGCAAACCGGAGATTAAACTAGCGCCCCTTTCCAGTCCCAGGAGGAGCGCAGGGAGCCAACACACTAATGTGTCCCAACATAGTTTGGAAATCTCTGGCTTAACCAGAAAACAGTAATAATCTCTCAGCACTTGACCTAAAATAGTATAAAATAATCATAAGAAAATAAGATCAATGGGCTTTAAAAACAAGTAGAAATAATAAACGTTATATAAAATCCAGCAGTGTTTAAGAGCAAATATGCACAATATACACTATGTCTGGGTAGGCTTGCTTAAATAAAGCTTTTAAGGTAAAGGTAAAGGTACCCCTGCCCGTACGGGCCAGTCGTGTCCGACTCTGGGGTTGCGCGCCCATCTCGCTTAAGAGGCCGGGGGCCAGCGCTGTCCGAAGACAATTCCAGGTCACATGGCCAGCGTGACAAGCTGCATCTGGCGAGCCAGCGCAGCACACGGAAACGCCGTTTACCTTCCCGCTAGTAAGCGGTACCTATTTATCTACTTGCACCTGGGGGTGCTTTCGAACTGCTAGGTTGGCAGGCGCTGGGACCGAGCAACGGGAGAACACCCCGCCGCGGGGATTCGAACCGCCGACCTGACGATCGGCAAGTCCTAGGCGCTGAGGTTTTACCCACAGCGCCACCCGCGTCCCAATAAAGCTTTTAGCAGGTGTCAAAATCAGTATAATGCAAGCTCCTGTTTTATATTATTGCCCTACCACTATTCTCCAAGGCAAGTTAAATTCATCGGAAAAGAAGAATCCCCCTCTGGTGCCTATCTGGAATTTGGCTGTGCGGTCATGTTCTCTGTTCTCTTTCTCTTATTGCTTCCTGCCTTCCACATTTATCCTTTCTGTAGTCCATGCTGTGAACAAGCTGCCAGCTGCGAAGGAGCGCTGGTGCCGGGTCTCCTTCTCTTACACCCCAGCAAAGGATGATGAGCTGGAGTTGTGCCCCGGAGAAGTGGTGCAGATCTTGGAGGAGGTGAGGTAGGGGAGCAAGTATGTGGTAGAAGGATGGGGAAATGCTGTTGGGGGCTTAGGGTGCTTCCAGGTGAAAATTCCTTGTGGGTGCCCTGCTTCTCATTCATGCCAGGGTTTTTGGGGTGGATGTTTTTGCAGCATCCACAGGGTTGGCCTGTATTCTCCCTCCACCCCCAGTTTAAGACAAACCTGTCATTTCCTGTCTAATTATTAAAAAAAAATATTGGTTGCCAACAACCAATTTGGCTCCTGCCTGGGAGAGATCTTCTGCTGTCTGCTATTATCACAGGCCATCTTCTTCTGATCCCACTGGCCTTAATCAAAAGTGTATCAAAATGAAGGGGAATAATAGTAGGCTACAAGTTGGATTTCTCCTTTTCTCTCCTTGTCCCCCTACCCGATGAAGTGCCAGCTTATACCATATGCACCGAAGCAGCCTCTAAATAGAAAGGCACTTCATCTGGGGAAGGTACTATAGAGGCAGTCTTACTCCTTTGGCAATTGTGTGTCTCCAGTCCCCACCCCCAGATTATGATGCCCTAAAAATGAGAGTTGTGAAATTTGGGAGGCTCCCTCGAACTGCAAGCGTTGCAGTTGCACTCGGGTCCTGCTCAGGAGCTTCCCTTCCCGTTGGGGCACCACGAGGGCACCATAAGCCTACATTGCAGCCTTCATCTTGTGTCTCCATCAGATCTCTGGGTGCATCCAGGGAGGTGGGAGGTGGTTAGGGGGGCACCCGATGTATCTGGACAGGGACCCTGGGACTCTTTGCCTGACTCTTTGCCACTTCTCTTCTGTGGGCCGGTGGTGGGTTGTGCAACAGGAAGGCGGGGGCCCTTCCAGAATGACAACGGCTGTTTTTTGTCCTCTTCCTCTGCAGATTGAAGACGGCTGGTGGTTGGGCAAGAAGAACGGGAAGTTGGGAGCCTTCCCGTCCAACTTTGTACAAGAGCTAAACGACTTGCCTTCAGGTGGGGGGAGCACAGGGCCTGGGGTGGGCATGTTGTGGAGGTGGGTGGGGATGGGGGCGCCGGTCCTCTGCAGCCTCTGTGACATAAATGTTGGGAGTGGTGCAGAGCTGAGGGGGAATAATCTGAATTGAATGCGGGTGCTTCCTTTTGGTTGGGGCTTCCATGCAATCCAGGAAGCACTCTCCCCTCACATCTTTTAGGAGGCTCAAGATCTGGTTAAGGTCTGTAGGGGGGGGGGAGAAGGGGTAGAGAGGCAGGGCCTGACTGGAAGTGCTAACCTGACCCCACCCTTCCTCCCTCAACTGTCAACTTCCAGAGATGGTTTTTGCAGAGCCCAAAGTCGGAGCGGGGAAGCAGCGCCCCAAAATGACCAATGAGACCTTCGTCCTCAGTGAGCCGGAGAAGGTGAGCGGAAGGAAGGTGCTTCTGTGGCATTGGGACCAGAAGGGCTTCAGGTGCCCTCCTTCACAGAGGACAGGGCTGTGTTTCGAGGGCTCCTCTATTTGAAAGACCCTCTGGTCTGTTTGAACCAGGGATGGGAGTGGGTATTGATGTTGTCTTAAAAAAAATAATTCAAAATTAAAACAAAACGTATTATCCTTATTCCCCCCCCCCCATTTTTTCTCCCTCCCCCCCACCCTCCCACACAAAACTCACGACCCCCACCCCCCAGCTTCCCTCAGTTCCAGTCTTTGGTTTCTCTGAGAACGCTGTTTTCTGCATATAGATCTTCAAACTATTTAGCTGATTATTATCAATAAAAAGTTTGTGAATGTTTATTCAAAGCCAGCCAAGCAGTCCAGTTCACTTTGTTGTGTCTTCAAATACTTTGTAAAGGGTTCCCATTCATCTTTAAAGTCACAGTTATCCTTGTCCCGTAGCTTATATGTCAGTTTTGCCACTTCTAAATAGTCCATCAATTTTTCTTGCCATGATTCTTTAGTTGGGCTTTCTTCAGTCTACCATCCTTGTGCTATTAGAACTCTCGCGGCCGTTGTCGCATACTTGAAGATATTTTTCAGCTTTTTTGGCAGATCTTTCTATACAATCCCTAACAAAAATGCTTCAGGTTTTTAAACAAATGTTAAATGGATGTTGTCTATCGACGGTTAGTACTTTGACAGCAAGGCTGAGCTGGCACACTGTCTGGATCACACAACATGCTCAGCAAGACCTTAGGCTTAGTGGGTCTAGGCCACTGCTTTGCTCCTTTTTGCTGCCGCGCCCTGGCACTATGGTTTGTCTTAGCACAGGATGTCAACCAGACCATAGATCACCAGGTCCCAGCCTTTCCCACAATGATTCCCCCCCTAACATTTATACACTGCTTGATTATAAAAAAACAAAACTCAAAGTGGTTTACAATAAAAAGTAAAGCAATAAAACTGCCAGTGAGGAAAATTAACAATTTAAGACTTTTGGAAAGTTAAACTAGCAATAGACTCATACCAGCTATTTATTATTATTATTACTATTATTGTGAGATGTGTTGCATTTCTATTTAAATTAAAGTCATTCTAAATATTAGCATATGCAAATCAGTGTCCTGGTTTTTGTTCTTCTTCCTTTGAGGCTGAATAAGTAGTTGTCTTCCCCCTGCAGCTCTCTGGCGCTGCTTCTACACAGGACATCTCCCGTGGGACAGCTGTGCTTTGTTCATTGATTTTTTTTTATGGAGTATCTGCATGACACCATGAGCAAAACATCTCTCTCTCATGTTTTCCCTGCTCAGCTTCTGTTGTTGTTTTCCCACGGAACATTTTTTTTAAAAAGCACACTGGAAAACGGCCATGCAGTTTCCCCAGGTGTGCACAACCCGTCACATGGCTATGCAACAGCCATTCTTGGTAACTACAGCCTGCATATATTATTCCAGCCCAGAGTGTGGCCAATTTACGACCTGCCATTTATTGCTGAACTTCAATTCCCAGCTGACTGCTGGCCATGCTGGCTAGGGCTGATGGGAGCTAGAGTCCAACAGTATCCGAAGGGCTGAAGGGGAAGCTCTAACCATTTCCTTTTCTATGGTCCTCTCTCTGTCTGTCACCCCTTCAAATAGCATTGCCTATTTGTCTTCTTCCCACCCCACCTCCATTGTTAAAGGGGCAATCATGATCAGTGATGCAGCAAGGTGGGGAAAGGAAATATTTAACACTGCACACACACTGTGATCCCAATGAAAATGATCCTGTCCCCACATTTGGGGCTGGGGAAAAGGGAAACATTTTCTGTCCTGCTGCAGAATGTTTCCTGGATTAAAAAGGTCTGGAAGCAGTTTTGCTATTTTACTTGCAACTTAAAGCAAAACAGCAATGACTGAGTGCTACAGAATTGTCCACATCTGGAAACACCCTTGGACAATGTCCTCTGTTTAAATCCAGGGATCAGTGTCTCTATTTTTTTGGGAGGTGGGAAGCAATGAAATACCTTTTACATTGACCCAAGTACCGTAAGTTCTTAAGCCAGTTTCCTCTTCAGAAAACAACCACCGGGTCAAGATTACTGCTCTCTGCTAGAGAGAAGGGCATCATTTGCTGGCTGGGGCTGATGGGAATTGTAGTTCAAAACATCTGCTGGGCAACAGGTTGAGGAAGCAACTGCTGGTGTTTCTTTAGCAGTGGTCAGGTGCTGCACAGAGCTTGTGTTGGTGTCAACAGCCTTCTTTCTTATTTCCGCACCCCTTTCTGTTGCTTCCTGGATCCTGCTCCAGGTGGAGAACACCCTGGAGAAGCCTACCCCTCCTCGGATGCAGGCGAGTCCCAAAGTCCAGGCTCCGCAGACCAGTGAGTTGTGACCAAGATAGACTTCTGCTACCTCAGAGCTCGCTTTGTTGGGGGGGGGGAGCACTGGGGCCCTCCTGCGGTTTTCAGAGAGGAAAATGAGGCAGGGAACGCCTATTTTTCCATTTCAGTCTGGAATGGGGTTGTTGCAGGGGAGGAAAAAGGTAGCGTAGGGGGCCAAGCTATATTAGGGTGTGTGAGGCCCCAGGTGGGAGCCTAGAGTGAAGTGATGGTTGCAAACATCTGAAAGGGAGGGATAGGGTATGGGGAGGTTGACCTGATGCCCTTTTGTGTGGGAAAGCTGCTGTGGGTGTGTGGATGCTGTGGAGGGCTTAATTTCAGTGGACAAGTCAGCCCTCTTTAACTCAGTGCTGTCTAGATGTTTTGGACTACGACCCCTTTCAGCCCCAAGCAGCTGATGGGAGTTGTAGCTCAAAGCTGCCATGTTGGTTGCAGCTGATGGAAGTTGTGGTCCAAAGTGGCCATGTTGGTTGGGGCTGATGGGAGTTGTGGTCCAAAGTGGCCATGTTGGTTGGGGCTGATGGGAGTTTGGTCCAAAACATCTGGAAGGGTACCCAGCTGGGAATGGTTGCCTTCAGAGCACTCAGACCAGAGCAAGAGAAATATCCGAATCCAGGGGTGTCTGTGCTTTCCTCCACCTGCAGGTGACGCTCCTGTCTATTGCCGAGCCATGTTTGATTACGAACCAGAGCATGAAGATGAGCTCCTCCTCCGGAAAGGCGATTTGGTCCTTTTGTTGAGCAAGGTGGGAGTCCTGGGGAAGGTTGGGGTGGGTAACTTCCCCGACGATATGAGGGCCACCCACAAAGCGCCCTGGCCCCATCTCTGCTCAGAGCTAAAAGGGCACAGTGTTTTCAGCCTTTAAGAGCTGCTTTGCTGCTGGATCAGACCAGAGACCCATCTAGCCCCATCCTCATGTTGGCACCCTAGATGCCTTTGGGGAAGCCAGCAAGCAGGCCCTGAGTGTGGGAACCACTTACTCTCCCTACTTGGGCTCCCCAGGAACTGGTACTGAGGAGCAGACCTTATCTTAAGGGTGGGTGGAAGAAGCTGGCACTCTGGAAGCAACCCTCTCTGTCCTCCAGTTAACTGTTCTAAATCTTAAATACCCAAACAACAGCTATTTCGTAGGTGTTCTAGGGGGTGTTAGTGACCACTGATACTATATCTGGAACTTCTTCCTCAAAACTGGCAATTTGGGGGCACGACCTGATTTAATGAAATTTATACACCGCTTGATTGGGGGTGAGAGAACCCTCAAAGCGGTTTGCAAAGAAGACAACACACACAAAAATGACCTTAGTGAGATTAACAGCAATAATTTAAGACATTCGAAAGGTTAAAATAACAAAAGACTCACGTCAACTTCCTAATGTTTCTGCGTAGGCTTGTCTAAACCAAAAAAGTTTTTAGTAGCCACCGGAAAAAGTAGTCCTACCTCCTGCTGGGTGATCCAGTGAGGGATCCCCCCCACACACCTGTGTTAGGAGGGAAAAAACACCTTATCTTGCTCCTGCCCTTGACTTCCCAAAGCATGCAGCAGGTGGAGGAGGGTGAGAGGGGCAGAACGTTTGCCTTGCATAATGAAAATGTGATTGTTATTTTTGTTTGCTGATCAGAAGATAAGAGCTGTAGCCATTTTCTTTCTCTTGAGTTAGAACAACTCCTGAGAGCCTGGCTGGGAAGACGGATAGGGGAAGACTTCATGGGGAAGTTTGAATCAGTAGAGTCATAATATGAGAGAGAGGTTTGCAGGTGGAAGAGGTGTATTTTGGTTTCTGCTCACCTGTGTACAGAAAGCAGCACAGACTTTTAAAAATGCAATAGCATGGAATTAATCTGATGAAGTATGAAGGTGGTTTACAAGGAAGATGAAACAATAGTATTATCAATTAGACGTGGGACACAATATCAATTTTGCACTATGGGAGCAGTTATGAAAAGTAAATATAAAGTATACAGCATGCTACACACTAATAGAAAGTTTTATGAAGATGCTGCAGAGGTGGTATCTGACACCAAATGTAGACTAGCAAAAATGTCAAAATCAACAAAGGGCAATTGCTGGAACTGTAAGACAGCAGAGGGATCCTTTTACCACATGTGGTGGAAGTGTAGTATAATTAAAAACTGCTGGGAAACGATCTATAATGAACTAAAAAACCCTTCTGAAAACCCAGAAGCATTGTTGCTGGGGTTAGTAACAACAGAAGTGACTAAAAAAGAGAAAAACTTGTTCTTCTATGCGACAACGTGTATTACTAGCACAAAAATGGAATTCAGGTAAGGTACCAACAAAAGAACAATGGCATATTAAAGTGTTAGAATACGTGGAGTTAGTAGGGATGACCCCTAGAATAAGAAATCAAAATGATGAAAAATATAAGGAGGGCTGGATATCTTTTATTGAATATATGAAAAAGTATTGCAAACAAACAATTAACCTAGCAGGATGGTTAGATTTTCAGCAGTGTAAGAAAAAACTAATGTGTATATAAGTACCATAGTTGTGATAGATGGAGTGAACCAAGAAAACACGAGAAAAAGAGGAGACAAAAGGAACCATGGAAGGAGAGGAGAGGAGGTCAATGGAGGAATGCATTATGGCTTTCTGTTTATTTTTTGATATCCTAAAATTGTTATTTCTTTTCTATTTCAGAGTTTTCTTTTTTGTGTCCTTTGCATTATTTTAGTTCATTTACTTGATATGGAATTGTATCAGAAACACAAATATATATATATATATATATATATATATATATATATATATGATTATCAGTTAGAAGAATTAATCATGATTCAAGACTTTCGAAAGGTGAAAACAACAGTAGGCTAAGGACAGATTACAACTTTTATTGGTGCAACTGAACTGAATGATTCTTCTTGATTAAATTCATTGTTGGAAAGTGATTCTATGTGCATATCCTTCCTTTCCTCTTCCTTGTTGCAGGAGACGGCGGATATGGGCTGGTGGGAAGGCGAGTGCCGTGGCCGGAAGGGGCTTTTCCCGGACAACTTTGTCATGCCTCTGGCCCAGGTGGAGCCTGAGGTAAGGAAGTGGGTGGCCCCTGACCTCCCTTGCATCAGGAGGAATTGGCAGGGCGGAGGGGAGATGCTGACTGCTCCACACAACACTGAAGCACTTTCACAGGCTTGGAATGGCTGAAGGGCCACAAAGGAGGACTGCAAGAGCCTCCTCATCCAACCAGCTTCTACCTACCCTGGTGCCCTCCAGACAATTTGGACTACAGCTCCCATCAGCCACAGCTGGCATAGGCGGGCACCAGGTTGGGGAAGGCTGTCCTGACAACCAGCCTAAGCTGCCACATGCAGTTGCTGGCAGAGTTTGCTGCCTGCTATGTGCCTTTGCTCAGCATCCGCCTGGGCACTGTAAGATTCACGCCCGTCCTGCAGGTCCCCTTGTCTTGTTCTCCCTCCCCTGAGCCTCTGATCTCCTTGACTTCTCCTGCCTCTGAACTTGTGCAGGAGTGAAACCCAAGCCTGGCCTGCCTTGAGGTGCTGAGGCTGCTCTTTCTTTTTGGGTGACTCATCACCAGCGCCTTCCTTCCCCGTCAAGCTGCTCTTTTCTCTCTTCTACAGATCAAAGCCAAGGTACCAGAGCGGAGGAAGGACTCCGGTAAGTCACAAGCTCCCACTTGGCTCAGGCAGGGGATTTTGTAGATCAAGGGGGTTGCCGTCACTGCCCATTGGATCTCTGGCTCTCTTTATTTATTTATTTTAATGTCCGGGTGCAAGCAGGGGCCGAGGGGGAGTCAGTCGGGGAGAGGATCATAGCTCTGTGGCAGAGCACAATGTAGAGAAGGTCCCAAGTTCAATGGTCGCATCTCCAGGGAGGGCTGGAAATGCCCCTTGCCTGACCACCTGGAGAAAGGCGCTGCTGCCAGTCAATGTGTAGAGGACCCAGGAAGCCGTCCCTTCTTCTTTCCCCATCCTCCCTGATGCCTGGTTGGGGATCTTGTGGCCCTCCAGATGTTGTTGGCCTCAACTCCTGTCATCACCCTTGAACTTTGGCCAGGCTGGCTGGCTGGGAGTTGGCAGCTCATCTGGAGGGACACAGGTTCCCCTGGCCTTGTTCTTCTTTTCCTCCTCACTTCTCATATCACCTATCTTACAGTACTTTCCTTTTTTTTGAAAAATAGAAAAAGCTCCCAAGCCAGGGAAGAAGGTCCTCCAAGGTAGCAAGGTGGAGACGAAACATCCTGGAGACCACAAAGGTGAGGAGGCAGCTGCTGGCTGACCTTTTGCAGAGGGCCAGGGTGCCTGTGCGGAGCATGTGCAGCCCTGGCTTTGCACAGCAACAGCCGAGACAAAGGCAGAGGTGTGCATATCTTCCTCTTCCTGTTGTGGTTTGGTGCTTGCTTGTGTTCTGAGCAGAACAATCATGTTTCTTGCAAAGTGGAGCAAAAGAGTTCCCTTTCGGAGGGCAGTCCCCCATTTCGCAGGGTTGTCTGGCCCAAGTCTGGTTTAAAGATACAGTGGTTAAGTACTTAATTCGTTCTGGAGGTCCATTCTTAACCTGATACTGTTCTTAACCTGAAGCACCACTTTAGCTAATGGGGCCTCCCGCTGCTGCCGCGCCGCCGGAGCATGATTTCTGTTCTTATCCTGAAGCAAAGTTCTTAACCTGCGGTCATATTTCTGGGTTAGCGGAGTCTGTAACCTGAAGCGTATGTAACCTGAAGCGTATGTAACCCGAGGTACCACTGTAAAGAACAGAGCAGGGTAATCCCTGTGGAACCATTCAAACTTGAATGCACAGCTGAATTGCAAGTGCTGCCTCACATCCTTACTGCTATTCAGAGCCTCCAACTTCAAAGTGCAATTCATACCCCACCCCCCACCCCGCCAAATAGCATGTGTGCAATTGCAAAATGCATGGACAGTCTCTTGCCTCTTTGGAAGGAACACAGATCTGCCTCTCTGCTAGGCATTTACCCCTCTGCTTTGGCAATCTTGCAGCAGAAAGAGCTGCAATTGCTTACTTTGCAAACTGTCAAGAGCCTTTTCCCTTTTCACCTGCTCTCTGCTGGACAGCTGATAGGTGGGAATATTGGCTGTGGACCATATTCTGCCTACAGGTCAAGGGTCTTCCTTCCCTCTGTATAAATATTCATGCTGCTGAGGGGAAAGGTATCAGATGTAGATTATTGACATTTAAGCTAGAATTGGATGCAGCACTCCATCTTCCCTGTTCTGCTTTTAGAACAGGCCCTTTCCATGCCTTCTTTTTTGCCGGCAGGATGCTGAAGCAAGACTTGGGCTCAGGCATGATGCTGTACTGATCTCTACCCCCCCCCCAGGTGTACCCTGGGCTCCTTTGGGAGAAAGAGCAGGATACAAACAGAAATAATAATTTTAAAATTAATAATAAAATCATTATGGCCTTCTTTGCATGGTTCTGCTGAGGATACAATGAGCAAAAGATTATTGAAATGCTTCCTTAGGAGATATATTGCAATAACTGTGTGTCCTAAGTCATTCATTCATGTCTTGCAGACTCAAAGGAACAAAAGAAAATGGAAAGCCCTAGGCTGACTCCTCTTCCGGTCAAGAAGGCAGCTCCCCCTCCTCCTGTGCCGGCTAAGACCAAACCAGCCCCCAACCTTCCCCACAAGTAAGACATGATGAGTCTTGGAAAGAGTGTGTGCACATCCTCTTTCCTGGGATCGGCCAGCACTTGATATGATCTCATTTTGAGTCATTGGACATGGACCCATAACCAGAAAAGCAAGTAAGAGGCAGGTAGAATTTGCCACCTGAGGCTGGAAAGAAAGACATCTGGTTTAGCAGAGTGTGGAGTTTACAGGCAACCTCAAGCATTGGCATGTCTTCTGGTCCCCTGCCAGGCCTAGATCTTTGGGGGATATGCCCTCCTAAGTGGGGTTCACAATGCTGGTAGGAGGGAAGACTGGGAGCAATTTTTAAATCCTTAGCTATTTGCTTTCTGGCACAGCAGGTGCTTTGCACGTAGGAGGAGGCCCCGGCTGCAGTATCTAGCCAAAAGGATCAGGTAGTGCTTGAGGGAAAGGCCTCACTCTGCCCCAGACCTGGAGAGTGCTGCCAGTCAGATGGATCGGGCCGCTGTGGTAGATTTCTTCACTAAATACAACATTGTAATGTTGAGGCAACTTTGATTGGTCAAAGCAATAACAGCTGCCAGGGAACTCACAAAAGTGGAGTCCACAAGCGTATATAGAAGCATTCACTCTGTATATGTGTAGAAATTAAGTCGCAATCTCAGAGGAGAGGCATGCCTGCATTATCAGAGCTGAAGAATAGGGTGCCTACTACTCTCTATCAGACTAGCTCAAGGCCGAACACTCTTGACACATTCTTAATACAGCCTGAATAAGCAATTTCTCCCAACAATATCCTTTCACAGTTTTTACATCTCTTCGCATGTAGGCTGCCTATCAAATCATATACTATAATTTCCACTACACAGCTATCCTCAGCCTAGTGTTTTCCAGATGCTTTGTGCTACAACTGCAACTCCCATTGGCCTCAGCCAGTACCAAGTTGGCAAAGGCTGGTGTAAGACAGCTCTGTGTCTTATGGATTCTGATACAGATTTTGTGATAGTTGGAGGGAAGTGATAAATTCATGTGTTACCTGGATTCATCCCTTCACCCCCCCTCCTGATCCACCTCCACTTTCTTTTAACCAATTAGATGCAGTTAGCTGGCTTGGGTCTGGGGTGAATTTGCTGGGTGTACCTGCTTTGTTTCTGTGGCTTTAGTAGTCAGCAACTCTTCATTCATTCATTTTTATTTATATGCTGCTTTTCCACACACAAAAGTCATGCTCAAAGTGGCTTACAACAAAGAAAACAGGAATGCATTACAAAATTAAACAGCCAAAAACCAATTTCATAATAACATAGTAAAACAGCACAGTAGAAAATAACAGCATTTCAGCACTATAAATATAACAAGACTACATAAACAACATCCAGAATCCAATAGCAAAAATATCCACAGAGCTTTTATAGTTTCACCTTGGTCCTAGAAACACCAATCCCATAATGTGGCTCACAGTCCTTCTGCAGCAACAGGTTCTTCTGGGGTTTCCAAAGGCCAAGAGTGTGGGTAGCTGGAAACACTCCTCCCATGATTTCTCTCTGTGTGTCTCTCTCTCTCTGCACATGATGATGATCCAGATCCTTAGGCATTCCAGTTCCCAGCACAGCAACCCCTGTGGGAAAAGGAAAATGCAAGGAGAAATTAGCAGGTAGGTTCCGGCCCTTTAATTCCTTCTCCCACTGTCCAGTGCCCTCCCCTTTTGTAGGGGCTAATGACTTCTGTTTTGAGCCTTTATCTTGACAAAAAAAATCACTGAGGATGCGCAACCTCACTGTGAACCGAGCATCCGTTCTGATCAATTTGTGCAGTGGTGATATGACCGCCCCATGTTGCCCGTATCCCACACTTCTTAGGGTGTCTCCCCATCATTTTTCTTACTATTCCGCCCCAACAAAAAATCCATGTGATGGGCAGGGCAGTGAGCGCGCAGGAGGGAGGGTGTTGCAAAAGAGCCCAAATCCAGCTTCATTGCACAACCTCAGTTTGCTGGCATATGATTAAACCATTCCCTGGAGCTCTTGTTTTCCTCTCCTTCTCCAGAGTCGTGGAGAAGCAGCTTGGGGTCTGGCAGGGCATTGCAAACTCCAGTCCATGCCGTCTCTTCCCGGGCTTGCTTTGGGAATGACGGATCTCCCTCTGGCCAGTATTGCACTCCCTGGCTGAGGTTCTGGGGTAGCTGTGCTTGCTCCCCAATAGCGCCACTTTTCTCCATTCCAGAGATCAACACTTTTGATGCCGTCCTTGTTCCCAGTGCCAAACTGAGCCACCCAACAGCCAGCCGCCCTAAAGTACCAGGGAAGAGGCCACCCAGCCAGCTGATGACCAGCTCACTGGTGAGTTGTTGCCACTCCCTGCCCACCCCCAGCCAACTGTTCTCAAGGAAGGAGGAAGAGAGCTGTTAAAGGGATAGGATCTTGTGCCTTTTTAAACAGCGGCTTCAGAGTAGAGGAAGCAAAGCATGTGCTCTATGTGCAGCTTCCCTCGTGCTCGATCTGGAAGCTGCAGTTAGTGCAGAATGCTGCAGCATGATTGCTGTCAGGAGTGAGACCTCATCCACATGCAGCACCTGTGCTCAGAGATCTGCACTGGTCACTGATTTGCTACCAGGCCATGTTCTAGGTGTTATTGGTATATAATGCCCTGAACAGCTTGGGACACGTTTACCTGTGAGATTGCCTTACCCCATATACACCTGTTTCGATCTGCAGAACTGGTACTGTCACAGGTGCCATGTGATGCCTGCTCTGCATTTGTAAAAAATCAAACTTTTAGTGTGGCTGCACCTACACTTTAGAACCCCTTGCCTATTGATATCAGACAGGTCCCTTCGCTGCACTCTTTTCGGCAACTGCTAAAAACATTTTTTGTTTAGGAAGCCCTATCCAGATGTGCAGGATGTTGGTGTGTGTTGCAATCTGCTTTTAGTTTATTGCTTTTTTAATGTTCTACGTAGTTGCTTCTAATTGTTTTAACTGATAATTTAATTATTTTATTCTGCTCATAAACCACTTTGAGGTTTTTCACAACTGAGTGGTGTATAAATTTTGTGAAATATAAATTAAAACATGCATATTTAAATACAAATTAAAACATGGCTAGTCTTGATGATGGCTGTCACCAAATCTCTCTCTCTCTTATTGGCTGTTGCAGGATGAGATGGGATCAACCCAGCCCTCAAGCTCCACAGAGAAAGCTAAAGGCCCTGAACTGGTGAGTTATGTGAGGTAGCAACACAATAGGCTTAAACTGGTTTGAACAGTCGTGTGGTCCATGGTTTCCACCTCCTTTCTGGGTACCATTTTCAGGATCTTAGCCCAGAAAAGAGAAGATCGAAAGGTGACATGACTGTCATCTTCAAGTATCTGAAGGGCTGTCAAATGGAGGATGGAGCAAGCTTGTTTTCTGCTGCTCCAGAGGGGAGGACCCGAACCAATGGATTCAAATTATAAGAAAGAAAATTATGATGAAACATTAGGAAGAACTTTTTTAGAGTAAGAGCTGTTCAACGGTGGAACAGACTCCCTCAGAAGGTGGTGGACTCTCCTTCCTGGGAGGTTTTTAAACAGAAGTCGGATGGCCATCTGTTGGGGATTCTTTAGCTGAGATTCCTGCGTTGCAGGGGGTTGGATTGGATGACCCTTGGGGTCTCTTCCAATTCTACAATTCTAAGATTCTCTGATTGGTGGGCTTAACCCTCCATTGCCTGCCTTTGTTTTACTATGGGGATTGGGAGCCTTGGCCCATGGAGGAATTGAAGCATCAGCCCCTTCCAACCCTCTCTGTCCTGTATCTGTCTCTCCCCTGGCAGCTGAAGGAGCAGTCCAGTTACACCAGAGAAGAACCTACAGCTCTAACCTGTGAGGCGTCACAAACAGAGGAACAGCCAGCATCTCTGGATGATCTCAAGGCAGAGCTCCGGTCTCTGAGGACCATGATGGACCTGATGCGTGCACAGCATCGGTGAGGTGGGCCAGCGGTGGGCAGGTTCCTCTTCTCTTCCAGGCAGAGATTCCAGAAGCTCTGGAGAAACCTCTCCTGCCCACAACAGTGGACAAGCACAAAGCAATGTCACAAGTCATACATTCGGCTTGGTGGTGTCATTGTTCATCTGTTCAGGGCCTTCCTGAAAGAAGCCTTCCTGGTGCTTTTCAGCTGTCTTGATCTCCAACTCCTATCAGCCCCAGCCTGCACAACTGTACTCCCACCAACCTTAGCATCATGCAGCTGTGCCGGCTGGGGCTGATGGGAGCTTCACAACACCAGGCTGGGGAAGGCTGGCTGTAGCTAACTTGTTAGTGTGTGTTTGTACATTTCTTGAGGATTCTCCCACAACAATGGGGTGGAGGAGAGCTGGTCCTCTGTTTCCCCGCCCCCTCCAAAATTCATGCCTCTCCTTCCTCTTGCAGGAAAGACATGGAGGATCTGAAGGTGGAGATGGGACGTGAGCAGACCAAGCGGGCCGCCTTACAGGTAGGAAATGGCTTTGGAGGGAGAAAGAATTGCTGTTGGGATACATAGCCAAAGCCAAGCAGGGCCGGCCTTTGGCCCTTACAATGGGGCAGCTGCCTCAGGCCGCAGATTTTGGAGGTCATGAAAGGCTGAAAACTGTTGTTTAATTTATTGGTGGTGGTGGGGTTTATATCCAGGAAGAGATAAATGTAGGGTTTTCTGCCTAGGGTGTTGAAATAAACTTGACCAGCCGTGACTGGGGGAAGTACAGCCATTTTTCTCCGCTGCCACAGGCTGCACAATGCCTTGCTGCTCCTGTGCTTGGATTTGGGGAGCTGTGCATGACTCACTTTTGTTTGTTCCTTCCTTTGCAGGCAGAAATTGAGTGGCTGAAACAGACGGTGCCTGTACCTGGGTCACTGGACAGTAAGCGCCACGCACCTGGAAGTGGAGCCATAGAGCTGGCAGGCCCTGGCATCCCATCCTCACATACTCCCAACACTCCCTCCGCAATCTCTACCAAGGACTGAATAAGCTGCACTGCTGCAGCTTCTCTCTTGGCTTATCACTATTGAACTCTTAGCTGAATCTGTACCTTTTTTGTGTGTGGGGGGGAGGATACCCCTCTGCTCCACAGCCTGTGGCCTTCCCCATCTCAGCCACATCCAGAGAACCATATTGATGTGTGACTAGCAGTGCCTGACGCCACCCATTTGTACTTTCCTCCTCCTGCTTCAGGTGGCTGCTCTGTGGCTGAGGACACCTTGCGCACTGGGATGGTCCAGCAGCAGTTACTATGACAATGGTGCAGTGGGTGTTTGTCAAGTGAAACCAAAGGTGATCAACACACCTTTCTTTCCTGCCCCCATGCCCTCCTGCATCCCCCTCCATATTGGCCCACAAACATCAACTATGGGTTCAGTTAATTTTTTACCCTCTGAAGCCAGGCCACGGCTAACTGGGCTAGCTTGTGGCACATGAAATTTGGCTTGGCTGCCATAGTTTCTCCAGCCAATGGGCTAAGATGCTTCAGCCACCCAAGAGTTCTTACAGATCAAGCGACGGCTTTCACTGGATGGAGCTAAACTGTTTTGGAAGCAGTTGGTTTTCTTTGCAATGTGGGCAAACATTTTCAGTCTCCCTTCAGAAGCAGTCATATAGCTTGCCATAGGCTGCACCAACTTTCTCCAACCCTAGTGCCTTCCTGCTGCCATGGACTACATCAGCCTCTGCCTAGGTTGTCCTCTTCTTAATATGTCCCCGTGGGGAGCAGTAGATAAACTGCCCAGTCTCTTTTTCAACTGCCCCAGGACAGGCAGAGAAGCATGTCTGAAGAAATCTGACTCACTCATGGACAGTTCCTTATACAGTAGATGAAAATACTCAAAACTCTTTATGCATAACTTTTTAACATTTAATTTAAAATAAAAATATTTTTCTATGCAATTGGTTGGTTTTCCCATGTGTGTGTGTGTGGGGGGGGAGTATGTATAGATGTCTGGATCTGGGTGATGAATCTTCTGCAAGAAACCCTCTCCTCTGTGAATATGGCTACAAGCCGTGATGGCTATGCTCTACCTCCACAGCTAGAGGTAGCAATACTTCTGAATACCAGCTCCTGGAAGCCACTGGAGGCGACAGTGCTCGAATCCTGTTTGCTGGTTTTCCCCAGGCACCTGGTTGGTCACTGAGAAGAGGATGCTGGACTAGATGGGGCATAAAGATCCAGCAGGCTCATCTTATGTACTTATGTAAGAGAGATTTTAATCATACAGTGTGAGCGGCAGCCTGCGAGTGTTCCAGAATAGAATTCCAAGCATCTGGAAGACAGAAAGGATGATAATAAAGTGCAAGAAACCATGGGATGAATAAGCACAGAATCAGAAGAATGAACAGAGTGACTAGGTCTATAGCAGGGCCACGAAGGCTAAGTGATAGGAAGACTGATCATGAAGAGCTTTAAAAGTAAAGACATGAAGCTTATAAAGTATTCTAGAGTTAATAGCTAACCTTGCTTTTTAATTGCATGAATGCTTTGAGAGAAGGAAAAGTCTACAGGGTGTTTACCATCCTCAGGGCTTGTTCCATGGCTAGAAAGTGCAAGTCCAAGCGATTTTCCACTTGCCCCGCTGCTTTCCGCAAGAAAACCTGCTCTTTAGCGCTGAACTGGAGCAAAGGGAGCAATCGGGGGGCGGGGGCGGGGAGGACCCAAGTGGTGATTGCGAAAGAGAAGGTTTCCGCGGGGGGGGGAGGGAGAAGGGGGACAAGACATCTTTGGTGCACCTGGAGAACAGCAGTCAGGACCCAGAAGATTTGGCCAGTGTTGGGGAGGCCAGGTGAGAGTAAGGGGCAAACCGGCTGAAGCCCAGCTCTGAGGAATCGGAGAGAAACACATCCCCTTTGCAACGTGTGCAGCCTGAAGAACAAAGAGCGCGCCTGGGCAGCGCCACCTCGTGACTGGTCGTGGGAACTGCAAGAATAAGAACACGTGGTCTCGCTCGTCGCGCGTCGGAGACGTCATCGGAAAGCGCGGTTGCCTGGGCAGCCAAAGCCGAAGAAGATGACGGAGAGCGAGGAAGAGCAGCAGGAGCTAGTGCTGAGAAGGAGGAGGAAGGTGCTGGTGACGCTTCAGGTGCCGGAACCAGGATAGTGGGTGGCACCGGTTGGCATGGTGGACCTGCCACTCAAGGCAGACCTAGGGGTGCTACTTCTCATGGTTTGGCTTCCTATCGTGGCCTCATCCCCCTGGAGACCCTGAAAAGGAGCAGCAGCCCTGGAAGGGCGGGAGGCTTGGTGTGGGTGCAAAGCAGGCGAGAGGAGCTTCTGCATGCAAGACTGGGAGCTTCTGCATGCAAAGCAGATACTCTCCCTTCCCAACATGGCCTGCTTTGCGTAAATACACATTTCACCCACCTCACCCCTTTCGTCAGTGATTCCCTTGCAGCAAATAAACTGCTCGGCTTAAAGCATTTTGTGCTGCTGCTGTTTTTAAATGGAAACGGTGGCTTCTGTTAAAGAATGCCCATAGGGAAAAGTTCTCAAAAGTGGTGGTGGTAGCGTGTAATATATAAATACGCACACATACATATGCCTTTCCTTTAGCTCCTCTTTCTTTCCTTTCCTGCCTCCGGCATCTGTTCTCTTGGGATTGGGGTCAGAAGCACAGTATACTAGGACTGCCAACTTCCTAACTGGCCTTTCTCCTGCATCTTCCACAGAAGCCTGGCAAAGATGGAGATAGAAAAGTGTCACTATATAATTCCTGCTTGTTGGGCTGCTTTTTAAAGGCACAAGACCAGGAAGTGGGGGGGGGGAAGTCATGGCAGCCCTAGAAGACTGGCCTGTGTTATATCTAGGCTTGTGCTCATGGCCTCTAATTCCTTCCTAATTTGCGCTAATTATTTTTTATGATTCATTTTCTTCCTAGGCTCGTGTCAGGGGTTACCTGGTCAGGAAGAGATTTCAAAGCTTAAAGGGGGAATATGAGAGCATTGTCAAGGAGATTGAAGGGGATCTGGATTGGCTGAAGTGGAACAGGCATTCCATGCCAGTGCCGGTGTTTCTTCCAAAGGTATAGTTGCTGGTTCTTTCTGCTCTTGGTAGAAGCTGGCAGTGCTTTCACTGGCTTTTAATTGCACCAGAAGGAAAGAGAAGAGGAAAATGAGAACTGGCTTCAGTAAATGTGAGGGTGCTAATTACTGTTGCAGCCTTGTACTGAAAATGGTGCTCTTCTTCCTCTGTCTTATAGTCTGTCCAGAAACCAATAAAAGCCAGGGAATTAAGTGTCCAAGAGCCAGGAGCCAACAAGAACAAGTTGCATGAAAAGGAGGCAGAGCTTTGTTGTCAAGAGCTAATCTCCGAAAAAGACCCTGATTGCAAGATGCAGCTTCCAAGCAGCCTTCCAGCTGAGGCTGAGGAGGAGTGTCTTGTGGGCAGGCCCCCTGGGAATGCCTGCAGCCTGCCAGGAGAGAGTGAGGAAGGCAAGCACCACAACAGCATGTCGTCCGAATGGAGCAGCATGATCCTCGACATGGAGTCTCCAAGGCTGAGCCAAGGTAAGGCATGTGGAACAATTTGAGACTCCAAGCTCCCACCCATTGTCTTCCTTTGCTTTGCAGTACAGTCATACCTCAGGTAGAAGTAGCTTCAAGTTAAGTATTTTTGGGTTGCACTCCGCAGCGACCCGGAAGTAATGGAGCGCGTTACTTCTGGGTTTCACCGCTCGTGCATGCGCAAACGCTCAAAATTGCATCACACGCATGCGCGGAAGCGGTGAAACGCGACCCGTGCAAGTGCAGACGCGCAGTCACGTGTTATGTTTACTTCAGGATGCGAACGGGGCTCTAGAACGAATCCCGTTCGTATCCAGAGGTACCACTGTAGTTACTGTTTTTCTCTGTTCTTCAGCATCATCACCCAACATGGTCTTTTTGCTTATGCTAAAAAGGCAGGTCCCTGCCCCAGTAAAATTACCTGGTGGGGGTGGGCAGCAAAGAGGAGCCAACAGGAGGGGAAAGGCAAGGGGGAGGCAGACTAAGAGTGGTTTCTTGACCTTTTGGTGTGCAGAGCTTCATTTCCAAAAAGTACCAGAGATGCCCCAAGCTGTGCCTGACCTCCAGCGCTACCGAAAACACCTGGCCATGGAGCTGCTGTGGCTGCAACAAGCAATCGCCAGCCGTAAGAACGTAAGAGCTGGTTCTCAAGGATCTATGGGGTGCCTTCTGTGCATGGGGAGGAGATGCTAGGAGAGCAGGTGCTGTGGTGTGGAGCTGTGACTTCTTGTTCACACCTTTGTAAGATGATGCCTACAGTACCCTCCCACCCTTGAGAAAAGAGCTGGTGGGTTTGGGATGATTCTTCAGCTTTTGTTTCTTTTAAATTCAGTGGGTGGGTGCTCAGCCACAAATAGCTAAAATTGTCAGAGGCAGTATCCATTGGAGTCTAAAGGGGGTACATTGTATGCTGGTGCTTATTAGTGTTTAATATTCATTTCAGAACCAACAGTGCACTAGGTGCTGTACAAAGGACAAGACTTCATCCACAACTCGTTTCCTTATTTCTTCCTTTTCTTTCTTTTTTCCCTCCCTCCCTTCTTCATAGTATTTGATCCTGAAGCAGAAGTTGGGGAGCCCAGAGTGACTGCCGACTTGGAGGTCTCCAGCCTATGTTCCCAGTCACACAGAAGCAGATGTAGCTGTTCTTACCAGCCATCAGGGGGAAGAAAGCATTGGGAGAGCAGCTCCCACCATAACTGAAGGGAAGGGCTTGTGGTTCCCTGGAGCTGGCTACTTTGCATGGTCCCAGCTTTCATGCTTGTGAAAGCGAGTGAAGATCCTCTTTTGATTTTTCATGTCACAGCTTTGCCTGTTGTGGGTGTGTCTCTTAGAGCAGGGTTCATTGTGGAAGGGGGCTGAGGGGCTTTATGGGGGTCGGAAGACATTGTTCCAGTGCGAGTCAGGCTGGCAAGTCCTGTCTTAACATAATCATTTTTCTCAATTCTTGTTCAGACTATAACCATTTTTGCTTTCAATTTGATAATGCCCCTGGGTCTCTTTCCTTTTCAGTGAGACAGCTGGAAGAGGTGAGCCAGGCAACCTCTCTCCAGTTTCCCACTGTATAGTATATATAAAAGTAGGTTTTAAAGTACAGGGTGTTTTTTCCCCTCCAGGACCTTGTTTAATATTCCTTCAAGAATGCAACTTTCTTTCCATCATTGAATCCCTACTTCTCATCCAGCATTTTGGACCCACTTCTTTGACACAAGAATGATGAGCATTTATTAGTGAGGGCTGATTTTACCTTCATTTTATTGCTACTTAAGTTTGCATACAATATTTTATTGCCACATTTTCACATAAGGAGCCATTTTTGTGAAACCTCCCTATACACAGTAGTCACATGAGAAATTGCCCCTTTACAGCCCTCCGCTATGATAACGTTTTACACAAACTATTTATTCCTTGAGTGATACTGAGGCAGTGATGTCGCCACATGCAAACCACCACACTCAGTGGAATAAAGGTGAAATGGAGACATGTGTCTTCAGCCAGTTATCTTCTTAAATCTTTGCTTTCTTGTTCTTCTGTACTTTGCTACATTAGCAGTATATATACAAGGACAATCTACACACATGGGATGGGTTTCTGAAGGCTTGGAGAGTGGGGAGTGCTATTTTTTAAAAACAGAAAAATGAAGACCAGACATGTTCAGTGGCCACAGAATACTGATTTGGGGGGAGGGGTGCTGTTGATGGGAAACTGGGTGGGATAAATGATGGTGGAGTATCTTGCACTCAACACTGCAACACTCACCACCACCCCTCCTCTCCCCCCCCTTCCCTGATCTTAAACTGTATACAACACTGATGTCTCATATCAAATGTAACCAATCTGTAGAAAAGACTTTACAACCGGAAAAAAGAAGCAATGCACACACTTATGTAAAACAAGAAAATCTTTATTTATAAAAAAAAACCCAACCACTGCAACACTCTGTTGCAAGTCTCACATGTGTACAACTAATTACTCTTTCTTGAGTTCATTGAAAAAACCAGGGAGTTTCCAAAGAAGAGGGTATAGCTGTCCACACATGAAACTTTGCAAATGCAGCCAACACAAGATTTATGCTTTGCCCAGAGTCATTAGGGGTTTATTTCATTTATTTTTATTTAGTGCTGGAACTCAAGATGGCCTAGAAGCCTGCGCTGTCATTCCAGTAGCTTGGGTGGGTACGGAGCTGTGGCTGCACAGTGGCAGGGAAAAGCCACTCTGCACATACTCAAATGCAGTATTGTTTTTATTTGTTTACAATCATTTACACATCACCTGTCCAGGTAACAACTTTCTATGGTGGCTTATACTATGATTAAGAAGCAATTAAAATAAGCATCAAAGAGTAAATCTACAGAAAAAAATCTAGGCATTAGCCTAGACCAGACTTTCCCAACACATTGTCCTCCAGCCTAGTCTTTCTGCATGCCCTTCTGATCTTAACTAATTATGGGCCAGAGAGCAGGACTGCCAAAGCCAATTTCAGTGCTTAGGCAACTTCACATAGCCCTAAGCAGTCCTTCAGATGATGCTGTTTGGGGCTTTACAGTTCAGCACTTCCATTGTCTTCCTCAATTTCTGCACTTTTAGTTCACCTTTGCAGAAAATTGCTCTTTTGAGCACAAACCCTGCCCAAGTTGAAAATGCTCCTTATTGCACCACTAATGTGAAGGCACCCCCAGAACTCTCAAGGGTTCTGCTGTGGACAGGCTGGCAGGAGCATCCCAATGCCAAGTCATTCCACCCAGGGCCCGCCGCCAACCAGTGGGGCTAAAGATTAAGGAAGACAATGCTTTCCCTTCAGGCCTTGACAGCTCTAAGCTTGTGCGGAGTCCACTGGGTGCCTCCAAAAATGCTGTGTGTGTGTCCTACAAGCAGAGCCAGCATTAGCATGGAGAACTGTTGCCTTCCACAAATTCTGTCCTTCTTCCAATACGGTTCTCATGACTTCTCATGTACAGACCCAGCTATGCAGAGTGCAACTCCCAAAGCTGTCAGTAACATTCCCAGTGCTGCCCCTAAAGAAAAAAAATTTGGAAAAATAAGCAAAAGCTCTGAAAGTGCTCCCTGTTGCTATCCACTTCAATGAAACTTGCTCATGGAAGAGAGGTGCATATAACAGGATTATATGCAAATCCTGTTAGCTCTCTATGAAGAAGGGCACAGCTGGAGCGGACAGGGTTGGCATCTGCTCAGGAAAAGAGAGACCTACTTGCACCGCCAATGTCTTCTCCAAGAACCTTCCCTGTTGCTAATGTGAACATCAGAGCCAGAGAGTTACAAAGAGGTACAGCCAAGGTCAGGTCTGAAATGGAAGAGGGAAAGAGTTACCATTGAAACATTTGATCTAATCAAACAAATATGAAATGGCTCTGTGATGGGAACAATCCATCCTCAAGCAGGAAAGTGCCTGCAGGGAAGATACTTTCAGACTGACCTATGATAGTGCAGTCCCTTGAGTAAGTGAAGGAGATTGCAGAGATGTGGGGCTTAATAAAGCAACAGGTTTTAGGGTTTTTACACTTAACAGAGTTACTATAAAAAAAGTAAATCCAGGTTATATGCATGAAAAATGTGCTGGTGTTTGTGCCAGAAATGTCATGTGGACACTGCAAAAAAAACAAAAAAAAAACCTGCATGTGTTTGACCCTGCAGAAGCCAGAGCCCAGTACGAAAAGAGTATTACAACTGATTAATGACTTTGGTCGGGTGGCTGGATTTAAATTAAATAAACAGAAAACCAAGGTTTTGGGGAAAAATTTGACAGATACAGAGTCAGAACGGTTTCAGAATGAGACGGAACTTAATGTGGTTAAAAAGTAAAATACCTAGGGGTAAATATAACAGCAAAATTCTAAGTCTATTTAAGGACAACTATGAAAAATGCTGGACAGAAATTAAGAGAGACTTAGATAGTTGGTCAAAATTGAAACTTTCTTTGTTAGGCCGAATTGCTGCTATTAAGATGAATGTATTGCCAAGGATGTTGTTTTTATTTCAAACACTTCAGGTTTTGGACAAACGGAGTGCTTTCAGAAGTGGCAGAGAGATATTTCTAAGTTTGTCTGGCAGGGCAAAAAGCCCAGAATTAAGTTTAAGATATTAACTGATGCAAAACAAAGAGGGGGCTTTGCCCTGCCAGACTTAAAGTTGTATTATGAAGCCGCAGCGTTCTGCTGGCTAAAAGATTGGCTACTCCTTGAAGACACTGATGTGTTGGACCTGGAAAGGTTTAATAATGTTTTTGGATGGCATGCATATTTATGGTATGACAAGGTTAAAGCAAATAAGGCCTTTAAGAACCATATTGTCAGAAAATCACTGTTTAATGTCTGGACAAAATATAAAGACTTGCTGGAAAATAAAACTCCCAGGTGGCTTTCACCACTAGAAGCTAAGGCCCGAAAAGACCCAATATGGAGGCTAAATGGCCAAAATACTGGGAAATACTAGAAAAGGATGGAGACAATTGGAAATTGCAGAGTTTGGAGAAAATGAAAGACAAAGTGCGAGATTGGTTACATTACGCTCAGATTAAAGAAGTTTTTAAAAATGATAAGAAATTAGGGTTCCAGGTGGAGAAATCGAAACTAGAAACAGAATTGTTAGAACCAAAGATTAAGGTACTATCAAGGATGTATAACTTGCTGTTAGAATGGAATACACAAGATGAAACGGTTAAATCGGCTATGATAAGGTGGGCACAGGACATTGGGTATAATATTATGTTTGAGGACTGGGAAAGGTTGTGGAGTAATGGATTGAAATTTACTGCATGTAACGCTTTGAAAGAGAATGTAATGAAAATGATTTATAGATGGTATATGACCCCAGTCAAACTTGCAAAAATTTACCACCTGTCTGACAATAAGTGTTGGAAATGCAAAGAGTGTGAGGGAACTATTTTCCACCTCTGGTGGACTTGCCCTAAAGTGAAGGCGTTCTGGGAAATGATTTATAATGAATTGAAAAAGGTATTTAAATATACCTTCACTAAGAAACCAGAGGCTTTCCTTTTGGGTATTGTCGGCCAAGGGGTGGCAAGGACGGACCAGACATTTTTTATGTATGCAACAACAGCAGCAAGGATACTTCTCGCAAAATACTGGAAAACTCAAGATCTACCCACACTGGAAGAATGGCAGATGCAACTGATAGACTACATGGAACTGGCTGAAATGACCGGCAGAATTCGTGACCTGGGAGAAGAGAGGATAGAGGAGGATTGGAAGAAATTTAAGAATTATCTACAAAAACATTGTAATTTGAGTGAATGCTAAATAAGATGCTAGACTAAAACAACTGAGCACCACTAAATTTAGAATTTTCAAGAAAACAAGTAAGATTGTGAAAACTTAACTCCTTTCGAGAATTATAAGATTATGAAATATAGAAGGGATATAAGAATTTAAATAAGATGATAAATTGCTGATAAAATGTTATAACGATGAAAGTGGGAGCGGGAGATGTGAGGAAGTCCAAAGAAAATGTGAAACTATGTTAAGACAAATGTTATATTGTTTATTATGTTTATTTTTATTGTAAAACCCAATAAATTGCTTTAAAAAAAAAAAAAAACCTGCATGTGGGAGGAGCCCCAATCCCACAATAAACACAGAAAAGCCACGGTGATTCTGGCTCTGTCTACACATGCAGCAGAATGAAGTGGTAGAATGTGCAGGTGACAGAGTGAATGATACCACTTCAGGCTGTAGGTGAGGGGTGTTGTTTTTGAATGCTCCCCTTGTGAAAAGCATTCTGTCAGTAAACAAGCAAAAAATTGAGCAGGTTCTAAGCAAGCTCACTTCTTGTTGAGTTGGCTCTCTTTGCAGGTTTGTTAGTGTTTTTACACAGGGGAGCATTCAAAAATGGCTCCCCCCCCCCACTCGCAGTATGTTCTATTTGAAACTGGGCCACAAAACAGTAATCAAGACTTGGAAGTGTCTGCATCTCTTCCCCAAATATCACTCACATCCTCTATAAGCAGTAATTAAGGACCAACCTGTAGATGCTAAAGTAAGATAGTAGACAAAAGAGCCACACTGGTTGAGCACAAATGGCACCACGTACTGCAAAAATGAAAAATAACAGCATGGTCAGACCTCCAGGATTACTGGATTTGAAATGACAATGAGCTGCAATGAGATCCTGAAAAGACCTTAGCTGCTAATACCCCATTTCAGGCTACTGCAGTGTTCTTCATACATGGTTCCCCAGCTGTTGCTGACCTACAGTTCTGCAGCCCACTTAATAAATAGTGAGGGCTGATGGGAGTTGTAGTCTAACTTCTGGGGAACCAAGATTGAAGAACAATGGTCTGCTGTAATGTGTTGTAATTGGGGCTATTTTTGTTAATAGCTGCAACTGATTCAAAATATGGCAAATACAATTTTAACTGGAATGAGTCACTGGAAACAAAGTACGGTATATCAATTCTGAAAGTTCTTCACTGGCTACCAGTTCCTTACCAGCCCAATGCAAGGTGCTAGTTTCAACCTTTAAAGCCCTTTACAGCTTAGGACAGGCATCCCCAACCTTCGGCCCTCCAGATGTTTTGGACTACAATTCTCATCATCCCTGACCACTGGTCCTGTTAGCTAGGGATCATGGGGGTTGTAGGCCAAAACACCTGGAGGGCTGCAGGCTGAGGATGAATGGCTTAGGATCTAGGCATCCTAAGAACCACCTACTCTCATGTCACCTCCAAAAGCAAGTAGCATCCCACCCAGTAGTTCTCTGCAGTGTTCCCCCACATCAGAAACCTGACAGGTGGTAACAACAGTGAGCTTTTTCATCTGTGGTGCCTCAGCTGTGAAGCACCCTCCCTTGCTTCATGTTTACTTTACTATCTTATGTACCAAGTTAAAACATTTTTACTCTCAGGCATTTAAAGATCTGATGTTTTAAATTTTTGTGTTGCTAGAAAATTTGTCTACTTTGTTGTTTTATGATTGCAATGTTTTAGTAATCTTTTGAACCACCATCTATTTTACTACACATGCATTTACTGTAGTTTATTGTACCGTGTTTTAAATTGTACCTTGAATTGCCTTATGATACCATTTTATGAAAGGCAACATACAAATCTCTTGAATAAATAAGTACATTTTATTTCTGCTTGAGTCCAAGGCTGTTGCTGTGGGAAAAGCCCTCTCGGGCTATTGATGCTGTGAATCCCTCCATCATAGGCTTAGGTTGTATATACGTGTAAAGAGACCAGGCATCATAGACACCAGAGTCTCTGCGGTGCCTCATTTCCAAAACGAAACACGAACCCTGGGTAAGCACCTGGACCCCCTGGGAATCTAACACCACTTAGAGATTGGAGTGGTGTGCAACAATACCTTATAATTGAGGCAAAGGAATTTAATTTCTGCCAGCAGCTGTAGAGTTCTGCTCTCTCTCTTCACTCGCTCCAGACCCTCAGTTCCTCTTTTCAAAAATGGATTGGTTCCTCCCCAAAGAACTGCCACCAAGACCAAAGCAGCAACTTCACCTGCAACAACACAGCACTCTAATCCCTACAGTCAAAGAATTGTTTTCAAGAATTTTTCAATGCATGAGTTAGGGAATGATTCAAGGTTCAGCGTCTAACAGTTCCCCAGCACCAACACCTTTTGACGTGCTACCAGAGCCCCCACACCCGTAAGACTTCCAACAGCATAAACTACAGCATCAATATATGAGGTGATGGGAAGCCCTAGATCAAAGGTGGTGAACCTGTGGTCCTCCAGATGTCCCTGAACTAGTTCCCATCACTGCAGACCACCAACCCTGCTGGCTGGCGCTGATGGGAATTGGGAGTCTGCAGGGCTGCAGGTTCCCCATCTCCACTTGAGAGCAGGGGAGGGGGGAGAAAAAGAGAAACTGATGCTGAACTTGGTGTGGACCCCTCGTTTTCTGGTAACAAATCGCAGACACTTCCCCCTCCCCGCCTCAAAACTTGTTTCCCAGTCTTTGTAAATAATAACCCTTTGATGACGGAAGAGATTTCAAAATCAGTTTCAAAGCAGGCAGGGCGAGCCTGTGACCATCCTGATTGGCCATGCAGGCTACGGCTGGCGGGCAGAACGGCGGCCTGCAAATAAATAGATCGAAGACCATCGCAAGTCTTCGCCTTACTCAGAAGGAATCCCTCCCTCCCGATTAAGAGGGCCTCGTTCCGAGGTCACCGTCCCCCCACCCGGCCTTTATTTCTGTGGCACCGGAAATAACTTCCTCACCCGGCGACACCATGGCGACAGACCGGACCACAGTCGAGCAAGAGGCTAGAGAGACGCGCAGCCTGGTTTTCCGGTACAAAACGGAAGTCGGCCATTGACAATCTCTTTGGCCGAAGACGGGGCGTCGCTCTCTCTTCCTAGCTCTGTGGTCGGCCAACGCCTGGCCCTGGGAGGTTCCTCGCCCTCCCCAGTGGCTCAGGCGCTTGTGACGTCCCTCCAGTGAACTGTACAGTACCTATATTTCCGACCTGCTAGAGAAGGAGCGCGCGAGGGGGGAACCATAGAGGAGAGAGCTCTAGAACGGATTGTTATTCTTTTCACCGCATAGATAGAACGAGACTAGGATCTTTGTTCCCCTTCTGCGTGTGTGTGTTTGTGATCTTCTTCCGTGACGCACCCTCCCTGCATACGGGGAATACTCAAACGGAAACCAAGCTTTGGATGCACCTCTCTCTCCTTTTCCTATCTCTATAATTCCGCTGTCGAGCTTTTCCTTCCGGTTTGATGCCGGAAGTGGATCCTCTACCTTTTTCGCTCGTGGTGCCGTTCCTGTTCCCGGTGGCGTCTCTTCACCGCAGCCATGGTAAGACTCCCTTTCTCCCTCGAATTAGGTTTCTTAATTGACCCGGGCGTTGTTTCGCTGCCTGTGCGCTTTACCTGTAGGCCTGTATAGGCCGCACTGGGGGTTGTTTTCATGCTTGTTTCTTTCGAGCCCCGCGCAGAAACGAGACGCGTGTCCGTGGGCGCGCACGACACTTTCGGAAGCCGCCACACCCCAAATCCAGGCTGCCTCCTTGTCTTGTTGATATTCTCCCCCCTACCCACAAACGCCGACACACCCTTTTATCCAAAAACCCGCCCCTTTCCTTGCTCGGTAGGTTTAAAAAGTAGTAATGGCCGAACTCTGTTTCCTCTACAAGGCAGAGACGAGGGAGACAGAGCGCCTTGCGATGTTGTTAAGATGACAGTTTTCTCCTTCCTTCCCTCCCCGCCCTCACCCCCTTCGCTTGCCTAACCGAAATGGCCTTATTCGAGAGAACTTCATATTGCAGACCCTGTGCTTGGAGACTTAAGTTGATTGTAGTTATTTGTGGTTTTAGTGACTAATGTTCAGCTCAGCAACTAAGCTGAGGAGCCACCTTATTTTTATGATTTGAAAGTTGTTTTAAACTTCATTTAATGTTGTAACCCACCCTGAGACCTTAGGTTAAAGGGTGGGTAATTAATAATAAGGAATATGTGATTTAATAATACATTTCTTCACAGAAACCCATATTGTTGCAAGGCCATGAGAGATCAATTACTCAGATCAAATATAACAGGGAAGGAGACTTGTTATTCACAGTAGCCAAAGATCCGGTATGTTTTCCTTGAACTGTTCTTTTCTACACCTTTCTCACAGTTGCATCTTCTTGCTGCCTTTAAAAAGTATACATTGTTGCCTGTTTAGCATATTATTTTCTCTTGTCCTTTTGAAGGCAAATATTTTGTTGTTTTGTAGTTAACCATATAAACAGTTCTCCCAGTACTTCCCCCTCACCAAAATTCAGTGCACACTTGTTTGCTTCTCACAAGCCATTAAGTAGTCAATAAATTGTCCAAAATCAAGTAGACTAGAGGATGGTAATTTTGTTCTTGTCTTTCTGTTTTGGGTGCATTTTCATAATATGATTATTCTTCTTTTATCAGATTGTTAATGTTTGGTACTCTGTCAACGGGGAGAGACTCGGCACATACAGCGGACATACTGGCGCAGTCTGGTGTGTGGATGCTGACTGTATCCTTTGATTTTAGAAATCAGTGTATTTGTGACCCTTTTTCAAGTATTAAGTTGAGATACTTTTGAGAGACTTTGCAGCTGGAGTGAGCATTTCAGAGAGTAGTGGAGGCATAGCCAATATGGTGTCCTCTGGATATTTCTGTATTCCCAGCTCCCTATATCCTTGACCATTGATTGGCCGTTCTGGCTGGAGCTGATGGGAGCTGAGTCCAGCAACATGGGCACTTCATTGGCTACTCCTGGAGTAGTGGCTGGGTCTTACATTAATGCTGCTGTTACTTTTGACCACTAATTCTGGTAGAGTAGCTGCCTGTACCATCAAAGTGACAAGGGTCGTAGTGCTTGACTTTCACAGACAATAACCTAATTCATCAGATGCATGAGTTTGACTAAGAGGCTAATGATTTAGTACAAATACAAATATGACTTTGAACATATTAGCAGATGGTAAGAATAACCCTAAGAACACCTACTTTTTAAAGAATACAGATTGGTTAAAAGAAACTCCCTGGATTCTTAGATTCATATGAAAGATGTTGAGGTTTTGCCCCAGACACCTGACAGCACAAGGTTGGATGACCCATGTTTTGGAATTCATTCAGTATGGATACTTGAAGCTGTGTAGTAAGTCATATCCACCTCTTTCTGTAAGCTGTACATAATTGCGTTGGGTTTCCTTGACTGCTCCTATAGGGGATACGAGGCACGTGCTGACAGGCTCTGCAGACAACAGCTGCCGGCTCTGGGACTGTGAGACAGGTAGAACCTCAAACAAAATCTTTTGTGGAGTAATGGGAGCTCTGTGTGCAGTGAGGCAGGGTGGAAGATGGCCGAGGCTGATGGGAGTTGTAGTCCAGAACATCTGATGGGTGCCAGGTTGGGAAAGGCTTGATTAAAAACTTATCAACCTGAGACTGACTTGGGAGAAGGTTCCACTGGAATTCATTTGGTCTTGCCTTTGGGTAAACGTGTAGGATTGAACTCTAAGCTTGGCAGGCGCTTATTTGGCAATAAGAGGTGGGCTGCAGCTCACTGGGTTTGCATCAGTAAGATACCAGCATCCAGCCCTCAGCATCTCTGGTTCAAAAGCCTCTGGTAGCAGAGCTGGAAAAGCTCTCTGTCCCCAATCACCCTACTCCTGTGCCTGAGGCCTTGGAGAACTGGTCAGAGCTGACGGACCTGGTATGCAGAGATTTTCGCACCTTCCTTCAAGCTCTTTTTATGTGTGATGTCTTTTGTCTTAGGGAAGCAGCTTGCTCTGGTCAAGACCAACTCAGCCGTGCGTACCTGCGGCTTCGACTTTGGAGGGAATATCATCATGTTTTCCACAGACAAACAAATGGGCTACCAGTGTTTTGTGAGCTTCTTTGACCTCCGTGACTCCAGCCAGATTGGTGAGGTCACCAGGTGGAGGGCTCAGGGTTGGGATGGGTGGCTGTCTCCCTTGCCCTTTGGCATCTCTCTCACCCGTTTTTGCATTGTCTACAGAGGACAACGAGCCATACATGAAGATCCCCTGTAGTGATTCCAAAATCACCAGCGCTGTTTGGGGTCCCCTTGGGGAATATATCATTGCGGGACATGAGAATGGGGAGTTGAACCAGTTCAGTGCAAAGGTTAGTGTGGGTTGAAACTGTGAGCTGCAGCTGATAACCAAATGACAAACCACATCCAGCCACTTGGATGAGGATTCTTTTTTCTCCAATGTGCTTTGCAGTCCTGTTGAATTATGATTATTCTCCCCTGACTTTTTTTTTTAAAGAGGAACTTGGATGAGTTGTTGTTTTTAAGTTTAATGTTTTATATTATTTTTCTCTTTTTTATTGTGTAAGCTGTTTTGGATGGGCTTTGCTCAGAAAAGCAGCCAAAAAATGCTTTAAAATAAATATTGTTTACCATTATAACCACCTTCTGAGGTAAATTAGATAGAAAGGGAATGATTATCTGAAGGCCATCCCATGAGCTTCAGTTAGGGGTCACTAATTCTAACAGTTACCGTAGTAATTCTGTTCTGTAAGATTGGTGCTAATGACAACTGCTATAACTGTAGTAGCTAACAATGTGAGCTGGTTGACATCTTTTACCTGAGCCCTTCCCTGTCTGCAGTACGGCGATGGTAATACTGTCCCATCTTACAAGATTGTTGTATGAATTATTGAGCCATATGTGAAATGCATTGAACACTGTAAATATGTTCTATTAGTGTTACTGTTGTTGTTATATTCAGAACTTGAGAAAGATGTGGTTTCTCCCTCCATTGGTCTGGAGGCGCTCAGTTTCCTTCACCTCTTTCCTCTCTTAGTCAGGAGAGGTCCTCATGAACGTCAAGGAGCACACCAAACAGATCAATGACATTCAGACCTCTCGAGACATGACCATGTTCATCACTGCCTCCAAGGATAACACTGCCAAGGTGAGTCCTGCATCTTTCCCTGATTTGCCCTCTTAAGTGTGGAATTTGGGATTGGTGAGCGATTGTCTTGGCACTGTGTGCGAAACTCATTAGTAGCCACTGAGAGGTAAAAAGTTCACCTCGAAAGGAAGCTTCTCATACTCCCCATCCATGTTTTAGTTCACTAGGAAGTGCTGGAATAGAAGGCTTTTATGAATAGGTTCCACGTCCACTGTTGGAGGCAGTACACCTCTGACACCCCGTTGCTAAGAATCACAGGTGGAGGGAGTACTCTTGTGCCTGAGTCCTGCTTGCAGGCTTCCCATTTGGGCATCTGGTTGGCCACTGAACTAGATGCGCCATTGGCCTGATCCAGCTGCCAGGCTCTTATGTTTGATATGGCACAAGAGCTGCTTGCACCAAATATCAGTTTCCTGGTTTGGAATTGGTGGCACAGCCTGGGACTCCTGTCTCAGCTGGCCAAAGGACTGAAGATTGCTTAAAGCAGTGTAATAAATCAGCGCATGTCATAATACACCATCATGCAGAAGAAGCCCTCCTTGACTTCTAAGGCCACTGCGATGGGCTACCTGCTGCCGTTGCTATTAGGTGATCTCCGCAGTGACTGAGAAGTCTGCTTTGTGTGCTCGGCTGGTTAGACATGATGCTGTGGCATTCCCAGGGCAGGCGACTGGGACCTTTCCTAGGACTCTGATGCTTTGTGTCTTTTAAAAGATGCTTGTGCTAAGAAGGCTTCTGCCAATTCACTTCTTCCTCTGCAGCTGTTTGACTGCACGACGCTTGACCACCTGAAGACGTTTCGGACAGAGCGGCCAGTGAACTCCGCAGCCCTCTCCCCCATCTTTGATCATGTATGTTGGTGGGCCAGATGGGGCACCTCTCCCTTGCCCTGGGGCATCCCCACCCGTCCTCCTAGACATTCATAGAATCCCAGAGGCTTGTGGAGGATCTTCCCTATGTGACACAGAGATACTAGACTCTATGTTACCTTTTGAATATATGCTGTTGGTTATGCATTGCCTCCTTGGCAGCTCCACCTGGCTTCAGTAGGATTGTGTAGGTGTGATGTGACAATACACTGAGAGGTGGCGGGGCAAGACTCGAGAGTGAGAGAGCAAACAGGGAGCATTGGCTGGGCTTCCCTATTTCCCTACCCCTTGGAGACACTCAGATGGGCCAGAGCTTAGAGTATTGATTATCATCCCTGTTGTCTGGTTGCTGGGAGAGTTCCTAGAATTCAGGTGGGCACTGGAACATCAGTATATTATTTATTTATGTGTTTAAGTATTTATTTATTATTAAACTTATTGGTCGCTTTTTAAAAAACCAAAGTTACCCACAGCGACTTACAACAATAAATAACACATACATTAAAACCAGCATTAAACAGAACAGGAAAAAACACTGAAACACATTCATATTTTTTAAAAAGGCCTATTTTTAAAATGCCCCACCCACTGAAGGAGGTCACAGATAATTAAAAGCCAAGGGCCTGGTGGAAGAGACATGTTTTTTCTCTGGCACCTGATGGTATGTAATGATTGGGGGGTGGGGAGCATTCCACAAGCAGGGAGCCAGCACTGAAAAAGGCCTCTTGCATGTTGCCACCCTCCAGACTTCCTGCGGTAGGGCCCCATGGAGAAGGGCCTCCGATGATGATTGTAAGGTCTAGGTCAGCTCATATGGGGAGAGGTGGTCCTTGAGGTATAGGGGTCCTAAGACACACAAGACTCTAGCACTAGCTGCAATTTCTGAAGCACCTTCAAAAGCAGCCCCATGTACAATGCATTGCAGTAATCTAATCTAGAGGTTACCAGACTGTAGACAGAAGTTAGGCTATCCTTGGTCAGTATGTTTTGCTGTGTGGTAGAGAGCGAAGACATCGTGTATTGGGCTCTGAGTCCTTGGTCCATTAACACATTACAAAGGAGTGTGTGACTGAGGTGTTCTCTCCCCACCCCCCATTTCCTCTTTGGCAGGTGGTGTTGGGTGGTGGACAGGAGGCCATGGATGTGACGACCACTTCCACCAGGATTGGCAAGTTTGAGGCCAGGTGAGCAAATTATGGCTTCTCCTATTCCTGCAAGAGGGTGATGGGGGCGATGCAGTCAATTCCCCAAGCAACCAGTAGGCAATGGTTACCTCTTCAGTGAGGTATGTTGAAGATATTCTCATCATCAAAATCTGGGCTCTGCTGCTTGTATCTCACTGCCTTTTCCTTTGTGGTTCTAGGTTCTTCCACCTGGGTGTTGAGGAAGAGTTTGGGAGAGTCAAGGGCCACTTTGGCCCTATTAACAGTGTCGCTTTCCACCCTGATGGAAAGAGGTAAGGGTGTCCATCTCCCTGCATTCTAAGTGGGTGTGCATCTCACCAGGGTCAAATCTGGAACTCCTGGAATTGAATCTATAACTTTGTTTCTGCTTTGTTTTTGCTTTCAGTTACAGCAGTGGTGGAGAGGACGGCTATGTTCGCATCCATTATTTTGATCCCCAGTACTTTGAATTTGAGTTTGAAGTTTGAACCAGCCCCATCCTCCTCCCCTTTCTACAGTTGCCTTCTGGATCTCTGTCTGTTTCTAAGGAGGTTTAGTGGAGATGCACAGACTGAAGCAGAGAACAGTGCACTAGAACTGCTGCTGTGTTCTGGGGAAATGCGAGAATGTCCAGCTTCTTGTCTGTTCTTGGGAACAGCTGCTTCCTGCCATGCTTGGCATATTTATAAAAGTTATACAGAAGGAAATAATAAATCCTCACTCTTGTTTCCAGCTACAGTAGGAGTGTGTTTGAATTTCTTAGCTGCTTATTTCTTTGTTACTAAGAATTTAGCCTTAGGATTTGGGTGGCCTTGCTGCAGAATTTTCCTTCCTTTCTCAAGATGCACATAACTCCCAGGGCATTTGTAGTAGTAGTAATGGTACTGACTGGATTTCTTACCCATCCTTCACCACAAGGTCCCGCAGCAAGTTACAACCGTTTAAAAACAATATTAAAATCAGTCAGAACAACTTACAATCATGGAGGAGAGGGCTGTCAATGGTGAGCATACCAGCCATGCCTATGCTGTACCTTCACAGCTGGAGGCAGCAATACTTCTGAACAGGAGTTGGAAATGGCAGGATAGGAGAGTGCTCTTGTGCTCATGTTCTGCTTGCTCATTCCCCATAGGCATCTGGTTGGCCATGGTGAGAACAGGATCCCAGACTAGATGGGCCATTGGCCTGAGCCAGCAGGCCTTACAATCAGAAGAATAGGACAGGTACTGTACTAAAAAGACACATCTCAGGTGTCCAAAAACCAGAATAAAAGGCATAAACACTGTTATTCTCTTGTTGGACCAAGTGGCCCAGCAAATGTCTTGCATGCAGAAGGGCCAAGGTTAAAGGGCCCTTGGCAGGAAGGTGAGGGAAGCTCTTGCTCTGCTGGAGACTTGCTCCCAGTTGAAGCAGACCAAGCTTTCCCCAAACTGATGTTTTGGACTCACAACTCTCATTAGCCTCAACCAGCATGGCTGTGCTCCCTAGGGCAGAGGGGAATCACGAGTCTGGAAAACCACTTGGAAGGGAAAGCTAGGGGAGATGGCCCTGGGCTGGATGGCCTGATTCTGTAGAAGGACATATTCAACTAAGTTGTGATTCTGAGGAAAACTTTGTAGTTTCAGTTTTTAAGATCATATTCTGGAGGAAACCCCACCAAACTCTTTGCCCACTTGCCAAACTTACCCTAAGCACAGGATTATTTCCTTGATGAGAAGCCTGGATAATTGGACTACACAAAGATCTGGCAACTTGTGTAGTCCAACATGAAGTGTCTTTTAATTGTCAGACTTTAGTGACCAGCTCTGTATCCAGTGGGGAAATTCTCCTATTTACAAATCTCACACACAAGGGCTGGATTCACAACATGGTTAGTGACCAGCACCATTTACTCTCCTTGATAGCTCTGTGCTTGCTGGTTTCCAGCACAGCAGAAACCAGGCTGTGGCTGATCTTTTCCTACCCAGTTCTTTGGTTTCTGCTTTTGAAATGGCTTGTGCTGCAGTCTGCTTTAGTGCCATCCCACTGAGTCTTCCTGTGTGGACTTCACTATTTTCTGAATTTCTCCCCATGCGTCATCTAGATGGTGGGATGAGCGGACCCAGCGGAGGAATAAGCCTGTAGGAAATTGTTAGATTAATATCTATATCCCCATATACAGCAGGTTGAAAAAGTAGTAATTAAAGATATTTCCTCTTCTACTCCCCTTCGACTCTGGGCTCTTGCTTTGATTGGGATGGTAGCAGTATTACCATAACAGTAATAGTCTGGAAGAGGAATATCGAGTAAAATGCCACAGCTGAAGGAATAGGAAAGGTATTTGGATATCCCAAATGGGCATGTTGTAGCATAATCCGAATCAGTCAGTGAAATTATGCAATAAAAGGTTAAACTGACAATTTGATTGCACCACAATGGCAAAGGACTAAAATGAAATGTTCCTTGAAACCCCAATGTATAAGAGAAATGGCTAAAGTTAATTAAAGTTTCTTTAAAAGGAACCCCCCCCAAGTTGTCCACACAAAACGATGGTTGTTTTTTTTTCAAGTCCTCAAGAAGACTGAAAATTTGCCCTCACTGGGTTCCTGCTAGTGCAGTGGGCCTTCCCCTACTCCCTCTATGCTTCAAAACAAGTTGGGGGAAGGAGAGAGGAGGTTTTTCCATCATGTAACCAGAAATGCTTGTGCTGATGAAACATTTGTTTTAGTGCTATATTGAATTCCTCTCATAATTCTGTCCTGATATGGTGGGGGGCTTGGGTTTGGTTACAGACCACAGAGTCCAAATAAAGCAAATTGATGTCCCTATTTTGAGAGAGAATGGGCTTATCTATCCTACCTTGCCAGAGAAGCAAACTTTGGGGCTCCACCGATGGCCAGATAACCAAGGGGTTGTGTGCATAGAGCGGATTCAGGAACTCCTCCCCTTTGCTGTTCAGCCAGGGCCAGAGTGAGTGCGTCTTCTCCTTCACATCACAGAGCTTCCTGCAGGGGGAGATGGTGACATTTTAGTCCCTCTTGCGGGGTAGGTCTGAGCTAGAACAGTCTTCACCAACCTCTGGAAGAAACCTTGTTGGTAAAGGCTATGCTAGAATGTGGAGAAGTGTTTAATAATATAATACACAGGTGCTGCACATGTTGAACTACCCTGCAGTTTGGGGATAGGAGCGGAACCCTGGAGGGAAGGTCTGGCTGGCTGGGAGGGTCTGAACCAGAAACTTGAGCACTCCTGTTGGGGCAAGGAGGGAGACCTTGTGGTTCCCACCAACAGCCAATGTGGCCAGTGATAGAGAATGAAAGACGGCCGCGAGTTCCCCAATCCTATCCTGAGATCTACAATGACAGTGAATCCTGAGATCTTGACAATAGAGAGAGCTGATGTGAGCAACTGCAATCGGATGTGCATAAGCTGTTTTGTACTTCTAGCTTTTGGGTGCCCCTCCCATCTTGTGGCTGCATCTCTGTTTCACCACAGAGTGGGGGTTGCATCCGTAAGAACGAGTAACCATGAAAGCACGGTGGCAATTTCTCACCTGATGGTGACATTTCCCTGTGAAAGTAGATTGTGTGTGTGTGTGTTTTCTCTTTGCCTGTTGCTCTCTCCTATACACATAAAAATGTAAGGGTGTCACCACACAGTCTCCATTAGAGGATTTGTAGTGCCACACTACAAACCTGGTTTTGCATGAGGCCAGGATGGGAGAGGGGAGCAAAAGAATAGGCAGGTTTAAAAATGGTGGTTTTAAACAACAGCAGAGGTTTGAATAAAGCAGGGGTTGTGGGACACAGGAGCTGTGTGAGGATGGGGGCTTGGGGGAGATGTAAAGGGAAGGATGGGGCTGGAGTGGTTGGCAGAGGTGTGGGTGGGGTTGGGGGTCAATGCAAGCAAGAGCACCAGCCTCTGCATTTGTGTTTGTGTGTGTCTGGATTTATATAATCACTCAACCTGCACAGGGATAGTTCTTTTTAGGGGCACCTACCATGGTGCAGGACGCGGGTGGCGCTGTGGGTTAAACCACAGAGCCTAGGACTTGCCGCTCAGAAAGTCGGTGGTTCAAATCCCCGTGACGGGGTGAGCTCCCGTTGCTTGGTCCCTGCTCCTGCCAACCTAGCAGTTCAAAAGCATGTCCAAGTGCGAGTAGATAATAGGTACCACTCCGGAGGGAAGGTAAACGGCGTTTCCGTGCGCTGCTCTGGTTCGCCAGAAGCGGCTTAGTCATGCTGGCCACATGAGCTGGAAGCTGTACGCCAGCTCCCTTGGCCAATAAAGCAAGATGAGCACCGCAACCCCAGAGTCGGTCACGACTGAACCTAATGGTCAGGGTCCCTTTACCTTTACCATGGTGCAGAAGTGCTGCCTTTCCTGCTCTTCATCTCCACCATGTGGCGCTGTAATTTATAAGAGCCAGTAACAATGCAAGAGTTGCATTGGAATGTCCCATGGCCTTTTGATTGTGTGAGCTTGCTGTGAACACTTGAGCTGTTGCCATCAATTTTTCTCCTAGCCCTGACTGCCATTAGATTGGAGGAGTCACAGTTCAGGAGCAGGACACCTGTATACCTTCTGGCAGTGCGGGGCCATAGCTTAGTGGCAGAAGATCTACTTTGCATGTAGACGGTCCCCTGTTCAGTCAATGGCATCTCAAGGCACAGCTGGGCAAGACCCCTGCCTGAAACTGTGGCAAGCTGCTGCCGGTCATAGTAGGCCTGCCAGGCCTCCCCCATTTGGCCTGTGTGGCCATTTCGACCAAGCCTTGCCCACCTGCCCCTATAAAAATAAGGATGCCACTGGGCCAAAGAGGGGCTTGCAGGCCAGCAAAGCCCAGGGCACAGGAAACCAACCATCAGCTCTCAGCTGTATGGTTTGAAGCCCTGACAATCACTGGGATCCTGTCCACGGGCATGTTGATGGAGATTTAAGGATCTGGCTGGCTGGCTGGATCCAGTTCCCCACCTCTGGTGTAGAGAGGACCGAGTTTGATGAGCCAGTGATCTGACTCTATAGGGCAGCTGCCTATGAAAGCTCAAATTCCCAGTTCAAATCATTGGATGACATTTTGAAGACCTGGTCAAGCTGTTTGATGCCCGCCCTGCTGCCGAGCCTCTTTGCCTCTAGTCTCAGTATCGCTCTCCCAACTTTTGCCTCACCTTTCTTTCTCGTTGTTGCACAGGAAGGTGCCATAGGGAGACGCGTAGCTGTGCTCGAAGAGCGCCAAGAGGAAGCCCTCGTTGAACTCCAGTGATAAGGGAAACTGGCGCCCCAGTTGCCAGACGCAGTCAAGGAAGAGGAGGAAGGTGGGCGCCTCATGCTTGAGACGGACGTGGGAGTAGGCTGAGTGGGCGCAGCGGAGGCAGAACGGATGCCCAGCCTGGGAGGAGAGGAGGAGCAAGGAGCAGTGGGCAGGTGGGAAGATAAAAAGGGGGTAGCTAGTCCTTATGGCCTCCTGTCTGCATGCACAATCACATGCACACATTAATGTACATGTGTGTGATGGCCACACATACCTCTAGCACACAGGCTTGCTTGAATGGCTTTTAGCAGCCTTCACCAATCTGGTGGACTCCAGATAATTTTAGACTACAACTCCCACCAGGCCCTGCTAACACGGCCCAGTTCCCATCAACTCCAGCATCATACAGCCATGCTGTCTGGGGCTGATGGGAGTTGTAGACTGACCTGGCAAAGATCCACCATATGGAAAGATCTGCTCAAGGCTACCGTACAGCCTTCACAATTAGGAGCTAATGGTTGCCTTATCCTTTGTGGAAAAGGCTGGTTTATAATGAGAGTCAGTATGTAAAGCCAGAGATAAAGGATGTGCGGAGGATAATCCCATAGGATCTGAAGATGCAGGGCAGCAGGGCACCCTTCGGACTGAGCCCTGGCACTTGAAGCCCCACCCAGCGCAGGTACCTGTATCCACTCCCGTTCCAGCAGCCCCTGGAACCCGGCGAGTGTCCTGCAGTTGGGATCCAGGATGACCTGGGCAAGGGCTGTCACCAGCAAGGTCGTGTCCGTTCCTTCGGCTCCGTGTACCAGGACGCAGGCCTCCTCCCTGTAAGCAAGCCGCAGAATGCTCAGTAGCTTGGCACCACCCTGCCCAGTCCAACAGAAATGTGGTCCTACTTGAGGGACCTTTCCTCCCGTCTTCTCACCCCTCCTTTCTAATCCCCCTTTCTAGTCTATTCTCCGCCTGCCTCTGCAGAGTTCACCTGAGCCCCTGTCGCCTCAGCCTGCTGCAGAGGATGGGAGAGAGGGAGGTGTCTGGGACTCCCCGCCTGCATCAGTACCTGTCCATGCACTGGGCCGCAAGGCAGGCGGTGCTCAAGGCTTCCTTGACGTGATACAGCCATTTGGAGGCTTCAAGCTTGCTCAGCCAGCGGTCCATGTTGTGGGATGGGTCATTGCAAGCCTCCACCAGCTTGATGAAGCTCTCTTGGAGGGGACGACCCCTGGGGGGGGGGTTGGCAGGAAAGGAGCAAAGAGAGAGAGAGAAGGAGACTTGGTCAACATGTGGGGGATAAGCCATTCGGTGGCTACTAGCCATGAAAGCTACATTCTCCTTCCACAATTGGAGGATGGATGCCTCTGCTCATCCCTACTTCCCTTTTTGCCGTGTTTTTAAAGCTCCATGTTTGAGTATTGTTGTTTTTTGTCTCTGCACTTTCCCTAGGAAAACCTGTGCTCTGCTGCTGAATCGGAGCAAATGGCAATCAGGTTTTTTCATGAATTTGAGGCAGGAGGAGAATTAAGGACCAACACAGCTGCCTTTTACTTTTTGAGCTATTAACTTGTTTGGTTATAGATGGAGCTTTGAGGGGGTAGGTACTGTTGAAATCGTATTTTTAAAATTGTTGATCTGAAAGAATAAAAAAGAAATTAGTCTGGGACCTGGAGATATGTAATTTGATCCCAGGCCCATCATCAGTGATATTTCCTGTACTATCTCAGCAGAAGAAATTACCTGTAAACCAGGTGATGCCTGCAAAGTAGACAGAGCCACATAAGCAAGCACAGACCACACCCGGCTCTGCTTATTCTCCTTTGCACTTTAAGAAGAACATCAATCTCTTCCCTTCTCTTGGACTTTTTCTTTTAAAATCGACTTTTCTTTCAAAATCGGTTTTTCATTCCATTTGTGCCCTGGTATGCCCTGCTTGTTATTTTATTTCTCACATTCATACCGCACCTTTCCTGCAGGGAGTTTATACAAATGTGGTTCCCCATTCCCTGTTTTATCCTCACAACCACCCTGGGAGGTAGGTTAGACTGAGAGAGACGGTCACCAGCCCAAAGCCACCCACTCAGCTAGACGGTTGAGCTCTGATTAACTACTGCCCCATTTCATTTCTGGGGCCCAGAGGGCATGCTCACCTCTCCAGAGGCCGGTGAAATCTCTTCCAACCAGGATAGGCGCTCCGGTGCTCTGTGCCTCCCCCCAGCATCCTTGCCTGCTTGGCTGCCTGCGCTGACCTGGTCTCCAGGACAAAGCCCCGGTCCCCACCTGCCAGCACAGCGTGCAGCAGCAGTTCATCCTTCCGGCAGCGCTTCCGGTTGGGCCCCACCAGCGGTTGGCTGCTGCGGAGCATCACCTGCCAAAGCAACATGAAAAGGATAGTGGGGGCGAGGGGGCTTCTGTGGCGGCACTGGAGCAGTTCTTTTCTGCTCTCTTGCCCTGCAGCGGCCGTTGCAAATCCCTGCAGGAACACTGCCATAGGGGCCAAGGGAGTCAATCTTTTCTCATCTGTTTTTAGTCTGTTGCTGTTTTAGCTTTCCGGAAGTCTTAAATTATTGCTGTTAATTTTTCTCATTGATGATTTTATTTTATTTTTTGTGAACGACTCTGATTTTGTTTTGCTTTTACAATCAAGTGGTGTATAAATTCCATGAGGTGGTAATAATGATAATAATATCCTTTGCAACAGGGGCGGCTCTAGCTCAGGAGTAAAGTGCAGAAGAAGAGCCTGTTGGCCCATCTAGCCCGGCATCTTGTTCTCACAGTGGCTGACCAGTGTCAGCCCTTCTGCGGTTTCCAGGAACTGGTATTTAGAAGCATTTCTGCCTCTGGCTGTGGAGGCAGAGCACAGCCATGATGGCTAGTAGCCATTGATAGCCATGACCTCCATGAATTTGCCCAGCCAAGTTGGTGGCCCTCACTGCCTCCTGAGGGAGTGTGTTCCATAGCTCCATAGCTGCTTGAAGGAGTTTCCTTTATCTGTCCTAAATCTTCTCACATTCAACTTCGCAAGTTCTAGTGTTATGAGAGAGAGGGGGGGGGGAGTTTTTCTCTTCCCACTTTCTCCATACCATGCAGAATTATATAAATTCCTACCGTGTCGCCTCTTACTGAAAAGTCCCACCCGCTGCAACCTTTCTCCACAGGGCAGGCTCTCCATTCCCTCCTTGATCATTTGGGTTGCCCTTTTCTGAACCTTTTCAAATGCCACAGTATCTTTTTAAAGAGGATAGTCCTTTTGCTTTCATGCAAAAGGTCCAGGTTCAGTCCTCTGATGGGCCTGGGAAAGGGCACCCCTGTCTGAAACCCCAGAGAGCTGCTGAGCTGGCTAGACTTTGCATCAGGCTCCCTTCCTGTATTCTTTCCCAGACCATAATTGAGCAGAGGACTATTTTCACTAGTGGACCAGTGGTCTGGCTCATGGCAAGGGAGCTTCCTAATGTAACTGCACGACAGATTACAACTGTGCATCAGTTATGCAAGTTCACATTGCACCATTTCTTGCCTAATTTTTGCTCCAAAGGGCAGCTTACTAATTTACCAAATAAGTGACATGCTTTTTTTTTTTGCATAACTTGCTCAGCTTCAGACAAAACAGGCAAGCTTGTTTTCTGAAGCTCCGCTGCCACTACTCGCCACCGCAGAATAACACAAGAAACTAGGAGTGGGTTGTCTGTGGGAAGATGGGTACAGGAAAGAGACACTGGACTCACAGTCCCATTCTTTTTGTGGTAATAGCTGAGGATGGGGAATCGTCCCCCGTGACGGAAGCGGGCACTCTCTCTCAGGGCTCCCTCCTCCACTTTGGTTGGCACGATGACAACGGGTGGGTAGCTGGAGCAGGCCCCAAAATCCTCATTGACGTAGCTGAGCCTCCAGGCACCTGTCTGGGAAGTGGGTCAACGTCAGATTGTTTCTCGTAGCCTGCAAGGCAGAGGTCTGGAACTGCTCTCCTTCAGCCAGAAGCAGCCCAATTGTTTGGCACTGAGCTCCTCCCTCAGCCTCCCCATTGTTTTTGGTGTGTGTCCGCCAAGCCCCACAGTGGCAGGTTGGTGTATCTGTGTGTGTGCGTGGTGTGGTTTTCTTTAAACTGCAATGAAACTTCAGGCCAAAGGAAAGGATCAGGGCAGTTAAGTTGGAGGACCCCTTGTTATAATAGCAGCCTTAAAAAAAAGTTACATTTAATCAGGTTTAATCATATGTAGATAAAATAAATGATTATATACAATTTTTAAGGTAGATTCTATATAGCTGGTCATTTTTTGAAATGGAAGTTTTATTCGGAAATTGTCAGGTCCAGTGTCAAGTAGAAAATAAGATATAGGGAGAAGTTAGAATTAAGTAATGGAAAAGAAAGTAATAAAATGCACCATGGAAGGGGTGGTGGTGAAGGGAAGTCAATATTAATTGTGTGTTTCTTTTATTTGAAATGTTATTGTTTCAAGTGTAAAATGAAAAGGAAATTTGAAAAAAAAAGGAAATTTTATCTGGAAATTGTCAAGTCCAGTGGCAAGTAGAATACTGTTTCTTTTGATGCTGTCATCCAGTTGGGTGTCCCCTCCAGGGACTAAATGTCCCACCACCCCACCCTTTATGGGATATGGGGAGGAGGCAGTTCAGGGTCAAGAGTTGGCTATCGGGTGGGATTGCTTGCCATGCCCTAGGGGAAGAGGAGACATTTTGATGGGTGCCAGGGTGAATGGTGTGTGTGTGCTCTGGGCAATATGGCTTGTGGTCCACACTAACTGCAAGGCTGGCAGGGAGTGAAGGGGTGCTGCTCCTTTGGACATGGAGGGGAGGAAAGTTGCCCCCCCAGCCGTCACCCCTGCTTTTCTCTGCCTCTGCAAAACCACAGACCCTCGTGACTCACATCTGCAGCTATTTGCTGGTAGAATTCCTCAAGGTGGTGCAGCCCCCACCCGTCTTCCAGCTTCATGTTCTGGGGTCTGTAGAAGAAGGGGTACGTCATCATCACTGACTCCACGGAGGAGAGGGCCTGCGAGAGAACAAGGGCGGTGGATCATCCCCAGGAGCTTTCCCCACACTTAGCCTTCACCAGTCTGGGGGCCTCCAGATGTTTCAGATTGCAGCTCCCATCGGCCCCAGCCAGCATGAGGCTCATGGGAGTTGTAGTCCAAAACATGTAGATGGCACCGGGTTGGTGAAGGCTGGTCGAGACAAATTGTGTCTTTTCGAACCAGCAGCGCCCCCACACACCCCGCCGCTGCCACTTACCTAAACAACCTGCTTAAGGGGCTCTGGGTCTGCCAACCATGGGGAAGAGGGAGCGGCACAGACTTAAAACATCTCCAGTGTCTAGAATTATTTTTGTAAACTGCTTTGAGGGTTTCTAAACAATCAAGCGGTATATAAATTTTAGAAATAATAATAATTTGAAAGCCCTGAGCTTCATGAGTTGCAGCAGCCAAGAGTTTGTGCAGGGAAAATTGTCAGATGGATGTGTGCGTTCTCCTGCACCAAAGCACTCTCTCTTTATCTTGCAGGCTATTTCCCCACCCTTTTTCTGTTTGGTGCTGTTAACGATAGAGCAAGGCTGGGCTGATGCATCAGGGTGCCAGCTTTTACTCTAAAAAGAAGAAGAAGATATTATAGTCCTTATGGCTGCAAAGAGATGCTTGAAACCATATGGGCAAGCATCCCAGAAGCCAGAGAGGGAGATACTGCAAAATAATAATACTGGGGTGTGTGTCTGGGCGTTAGTGTTTTGCATTGCCCATGCAACTCTATGTCGTTGAGCAGTCAAGGCAGCATTGGTGGCCTTGAGTGCATCTCGCATGACATTCTGAATTGTACTGCATGCGCAGCTCTGGCTTCTCAGAACTGGATCCTGGGGAAGTGATGACCTTTCCTGCCATCGCTGCCTTGCTGCTCAGGGACATCCCTCTGGAAGGGTTAATGGTGCCTGATGTGGAAAAATAACTTGGATCTTTTTCATGCTTTTCCACCTCTCCGTATTGTTTGCCTTCCAACAAGGAAATCCCGAGGTGAACAGAGGCTGCCTTTGCTAGTGGGTTAGTGACGAACAAATAAACAGGCCAGCAGCAACTCTTGCCAAAGAGCCAGAGAGCCTTTCTGTGCTGCCTGCGGGATGCAAGCCAGCCCCTCCTGCAGCCAGTCTTGCAACACCCCCCAGTCACTTCTGGGTGCTTCTAAGGCAGGGGTCAGCAAGTTTTTTCAGCAGGGGGCTGGTCCATTGTCCCTCAGACCTTGTGGGGGGGCTGGGCTATATTTTGGAAAAAATAATCATGAACGAATTCCTATGCCCCACAAATAACCCAGAGATGCATTTGAAATAAAAGGACACATTCTACTCATGTAAAAACATGCTGATTCCTGGACCGTCCGTGGGCCAGATTTAGAAGGCGATTGGGCCAGATCCGGCCCCTGGGCCTCAGTTTGCCTACCCATGTTCTAAGGCCAGTGTTTGTAAGGCAAAGCTGCCCCGCCCCCCGCCTGCATGGGAGCAACTCAGGTATGTGCCTGGGAGGTGCAAGTTTCCCCCTTTCCTATCAACGGGGTCCTTTGTGGTCACAGCATCAGACGGAACCTGGGTTCCAATTCTGACGCGTGGCCATGAGTCAGTGACCTGGAGCTTCTCATATGTTCTGGGAATAAAAAGGGTCGTGGGCTGGGGAAAGCAACATAGGCTGCCCTGAGTTCCCTGGAAGAAATCCAATAAATAAAAGTTGCTGTTATAAAGATGGGGAAAATGTGTTGATTGGCAATACTGCGGCACTTCATTAGTTTTTCTTCCTTTTTGGGGGGGTGGGGTGGGGTAGAAGATAGTTGCAGCTGCAGGCTGGTCGGAAACTGGCCTCACCAGAGACCCAGGCTGACAAAGGAGACAGAGAATGGTGGGGAGCAAGTCACTTCTCCCAACCCTGGGCAGAATAGCCTTCAGACAAATCCCATTGCCTTGGTTTCTCTTTTCCCTTTTGGGTTGGCTCCCTGCATTGTTCATGAGGCTGAATTTTGGGCAGAGGGCAAGCTGTTGCTGATCCCTAATCTGTGGGAGTTGGGTATGTTTAGCCTGCAGAAGAGACAACTGAGAGGTTGTCAAATACCGTATTTTTCCATGTATAAGACTAGGTTGTTGTTTTTTTACCCCAAAACCATGTTAAAATTTTGGGGTCGTCTTATACATGGGTAGTGCTGAGGGGTGATGGGCAATTGGTTGTAGCCACGCCTGTTTGTTGGCTGCGTCAAGGGTCGCTGTTGATTGGCTGCTGGTGCGCCAATCATGAATACGATTTGCTGCTGCTAGCGGCAACCGGGAGGCGACAGTTGGCTTCTACGACGTGTGCTATCGTCTGGGCCAGTCATTATGGTGAGTAATTTCCGGCAATCTCCCCCCCCCCCCCGCCCAAGCTAAACAAGTGTGGGCATCCATCCCCCCCCCCAAAAAAACTCAACAACTCTGAGCAACTCCCCCCACAAAAAGCTCAACAATTCTGGTCAATCCCCTCCCCTATTCTTAACTTTGAGTCCCCCAAAATAGGGGGTCATGTTATAGACAGGGGCGTGTTATACATGAAAAAATATGGTATCTTCAAATATCTGAAGGGCTGTCCCATGGAAGATGGAGCAAGCTTGTTTTCTGCTGCTCCAGAGGGAAGGATCTGAAACAAAGGATCCAAATTACAAGAAGAGAGTAGTTTATTATAAGTGGTAAGAGCTATTCAACAGTGAAATCGTTTGTTCTTGGATTACTGATTATAGTTTGGGACTGAAACTACGCTAAGCCAGGGATCATTTGTTTCTCCTAAGTGTGACTGGGGAAGTGCACAACAGCCCAGCTTAGTGCATGCATGACTAACCATTAACTATGGTTTATAGTGACGTGCACTGGACCCGTGTGTGTGTGTGTGTGTGTGTGTGTGTGTGTGTGTGTGTGCCTAGGGCCCTGCAGATGTTTTGAATGGCAGGTCAGCCCAAGTCAGCACTTCCAGATATTTCTGGCTACAAACACAACCACTGTGTTAGCAGGGGTTGATGGGAGTTGTAGTCCAATACATCTGGAGAGCACCTGGTTGAAGAAGGCTGGTGTACATCATCCATACAAATGCACCAGCGAGATCTGCTTTTCTGGAGGGGATAGGTCTGGTCTAGCAAAGCCTCCTGCCCCTTTGGCTGGTCGAGAGAGTAGGCCACTCAAGCTAGCAACCCCAGGTCAGGAATGCTGGCTGCGGGCCACCATAGCAGTGTAGATTCAGGTACTGACACTCACAGGCTCAACTTGGACCCTCCACACTTACAGATTTTTTTAAAATAGAACCAGAATTTAAGTTATGTCTTTGCCTTCCTGTTATGATTTGGGGGAGAGAAGGGGAACCTCAGTTACTCATCCTACCCTCTAGTTGTCATTTTGAGCTGCTACAAAGTGCTTTTCCTTCCCTCAAAGGCCAAGGTAATTTAATCTACCATTGGAGGAGGTCATAGTTGTCAACTTTTCCCTTTTCTTGCGAGGAATCCTATTCGGAATAAGGGAATTTCCCTTAAAAAAGGGGGAAAGTTGACCGTTATAGAGGGGGTGCAGAGGCAGAAGGGACCATCCCTGCTACCTTTTTCCAAGGAATTTGTGGGCTGGCTGTGGCAATGACAGGCACTCTGCGCATGTTCAGAGGGCATTTATCTACATCCGAGTTCAGATAAAGCTACATGGGATGGGCATGTTGTTCACCTCAATGGAGCTGGCAATATTAAGACACTCCTCCATCCCAGGAATCTCCAGCTGCAGAATTTTCAAGTCTTTGCATTTGAGCGTGATGGTGCCCGAAGCGTTTGCAAGCCTGCAGGGGGAAATGAAATAAAAGGGCAGTAAATAGGGGAAGAGCCAGAGACACTTTCCTCCCCCCCCCCCGAACTTCTCTGCGGATGTGGAGGCCTTTGGCCACAATCCCAATCAGCCGCACACTCTGGGTTTGAGATGGGCAGGAAGTCACATGAGCAGCCTGCTGCGAACGACAGAAAGCAAAGCAGAGAGGGGGGAGCTGGCTCAAAGAGCAGAAATGTCTTTTCGAATCTACATTAAGCCAACAGCAACTGGAGGGTGCCATGTGGGCTGTCCTAAACAATACTGAGCTAAATGGAGCAGCTGTATGACTCAGGATAAGGCAACCTCCTATGCTGTCTGCAGATGGAAGGATTCTCCTCTAATTGAGGTAGCCTCCATTATTATTATTATTATTATTATTATTATTATTATTATTATTGCTACTACTACAAGTTCTTGCCCACCCTTCTCCACAGGGTCCCAGGGCAGGTTACAGCAAAATACAATGTTAAAATCAGTGTTTAAATAAATAATAATAATAATAATAATAATAATATTTATTTATACCCTGCCCATCTGGCTGGGTTTCCTCAGCCACTCTCGGCAGCTGCCTTCAGATGTCTTCTAAAAGTCAGCTAGTTGTTTATTTCCTTGACATCTGAGGGGAGGGCGTTCCACATAGCAGGCACCACTACTGAGAAGGCCCTCTGCCTGGTTCCCTGTAACCTCACAGTGCTGGAACCACCAGAAGGCCCTCGGAGCTGGACCTCAGTGTCTGGGCAGAACGACAGGGGTGGAGACGCTCCTTCAGGTATACTGGACCAAGGCCGTTTAGGGCTTTAAGGGTCAGCACAAGCACTTCGAATTGTGCTCGGAAACATACTGGGAGCCAATGTAGGTCTTTCAGGACCGGTGTTATATGGTCTCGGCGGCCACTCCCAGTCACCAGTCTAGCTGCCACATTCTGGATTAGTTGCAGTATCCAGGTCACCTTCAAAGGTAGCCCCACTTAGAGTGAATTGCAGTATTCCAAGCAGGACATAACCAGAGCATGCACCACTCTGGCAAGACAGTCAGCGGGCAGGTAGGGTCTCAGCCTGCGTACCAGATGGAGCAGGTAGACAGCTGCCCTGGACACAGAATTGAACTGCGCCTCCATGGACAGCTGAGAGTCCAAAATGACTCCCAAGCTGTGCACCTGGTCCTTCAGGGGCACAGTTACCCCTTTCAGGACAAGGGAGTTCTCCACACCTGCCCGCCACGTGTCCTCTCAAAACAGTAACATAAATAAAATAAAATAATTTTAAAAATAAATAAAATCAGCATTAAATAACTCAGGTGGTGGGAATGGCCGGGCCGTGGATACTTAGAGGTGAGGGATGGGCACACTGCACATGCTCAGAGACACATTGTGATTCTTCCACATTTCCTGAGGCTGAGCCCTGGGGAGCTCTGCTTCAGATTATGCCTTCCTGGGCTATCACCCACTTTGCACAATCCCCCCTCCCCCCCTCCGCCCTGGCTGTAGGTGCAGAAATCAAGGGCAGGATAACTTGTACGTATTTCTCCCTGTACAAACAGGGTTCAAGAAAATAATGGCAGGCATCTTCCAGGCATGAGGCGGGTCTTCTGGAAATGTGGGGCCCAGGACTGCTTCAGGCCCCACACCAGTTTGGCAAGCAGCGCAAGCTGAGGAGCAGACAAACACTAAGCCTCTAAGCTGCGGCCATGCCTTGCAGCTTGAAATGGAGTTAAAAGGCGAACCTGGTTTCTGTGGGGGAGCCGTTAGTCCGGGCGCTTTGATACCAACTTAGATTCTGAACGCTGGGGAGTCACAGGAAGGAAAGAGGAGAGGTTAGCATTGTGCCACAGGTGCATGCAAGAGGTTGGTGGTCTGGGCGGCGGTTGCTGGTTTGATCCTCATCTGACAAGAAGCCAAATGTGGGGGTCATTTGGGGGTCATTTGGCAAGGTAGACGGCCCAGCATCTTCTTGCCAAGCCAGCAGGGTTACCAGCCTTTCTCTCCCAGCCCTGCTCTTCTGCCTTTCACAGCAGCCTGAGATGAAGACATTAGGGAGGCAAGGCTCTTTTGCCAGCACTTGGTTCAAACAGCACATGCTCAGTGTCCACACATTAAAGGTAAAGGTAAAGGGACCGACTCAGTCGTGACCGACTCTGGGGTTGTGGCGCTCATCTCGCTTTATTGGCTGAGGGAGCCGGCATACAGCTTCCGGGTCATGTGGGCAACATGACTAAGCCACTTCTGGCAAAACAGAGCAGCACATGGAAATGCCGTTTACCTTCCCGCCAGAGCAGTACCTATTTATCTACTTGCACTTTGACGTGCTTTTGAACTGCTAGGTTGGCAGGAGCAGGGACCGAGCAATGGGAGCTCACCCTGTTGCGGGGATTCGAACCGCCAACCTTCTGATCGGCAAGTCCTAGGCTCTGTGGTTTAACCCACAGCGCCACCCGCGTCCCACCCATGTCCACACATTAGGCTGCTGTTAAAAGAGCAGCGGAGCACAGCCAGGGTAAAAGGTGGCAACTGGACCTTAGAGCGGAGGAAAGGAGTAATTCAGTATTATAGAAGAGGAAGATTTTATTCCCCATGTTCCTAAAGCACTTTCTTCTGATATTACTGCTAAGCATAAAAGGATAGCTCAGTTGGTGCAGCATGAGACTTTTAGTCCCAGGTTGGGAAAAATCGTCCTGCATTGCGGGGGTTGGACTAGATGACCCCTGTGGTCCCTTACAACTATACAATTCTATGCTTCTATTAGTCTGTGACTTCATGAGCCAGGACACTAGCCTGAGGTGGGCACGATAGGAACAACATAGGAATATAAAAAGCAGCCTTATACTGAGTCAGACCATTGGTCCGTCTAACTCAATATTGTCTACACCAATTGGCAGCCGGGTTTCAGGCAGGGAGTCTTTCCCAGCCCTGCCTGAAGATGTCCTTTGGGAACTGAACCTGGGATGTTCTGCACACCAAGCAGATGTCCTGCCACTGAGCTACAGCCCTCCCCAGAGCTTTGCATCATTTGCTAATATTTTGCACTGAGGTCACGTTGCAAGACCTCGATCTGGGCTCAGGTTTAGGTTCAGCAATGCTTCTCTTAAAAACTGCAGCTCCGTTGCAAGTTGTTCTTGGTGTGGGGGAATAGAAGGGGTTCTGACTTGCTCAGGTTCTGTAAGGCTTAGTTTGGTTAGTTCACAACCCGGGGAGCAAAGCAACAGCATTTTGATTTCATGCATATGGAGCCTCAGTGATTCTTAACAGGGTCGAGTGATGCTGGGGCTGGGGGTAGGAGAGGTATGATGTGGGAGAGACAGTCACCTTTTCTCAATGGCGTCCACATTGCGAATAAGAAGCCACAGCTCAATCTGGCCCTGTTCCCCGTTTCCCCCTGGCTGGGAAGATAGAAGGAGGTGGTGACTGGTGATGCAAAGTGTCCCTTTGACAGACGGGAGTCCTGGACGTGACAGCACCACATGGTCCACCTTGGTGGTCTTGATCAACTCTGCAAACTCCATGGTAGGGAGAGGCTGGGCCCAGACAGCAAATGTGTCTGTTTTGCTCCAGAAAGTCCTGTGGACCTGACTGAAGAAGAGAAAAGGCCTTCCAGGGGAACCTGTTGGAAGAACAGACAGATATGACGGATGCAGGTGAGTCAGAACAGCATTTAGAAGACCAGATACAGTTATGTGACACAAATTCTCAGCATTTCTGCCCAACATACAGATTATGCACACTGAGCAAAAGTTTTGGTATGGAGCTGATGGGAGTTGTAGTCAAAAACATCCGAATAGCACCTGGTTGGGGAAGGCTGTTTTTGATCAGGATGAATGAGGACTAAATGGGTCGTCTGATGTGGGATGTGAAACAGAGCCGTCAAATACAACATCCCTAGAGTGGACATAAAAAGAGGATGTCTGGACTAGCCAGTTGGAACTTCCTATTTCCTCCTGGGCTGGGACAGACTTCCTCTGCATGTGACTAGATGTGGGCGTGACCTTACCTGTGCAGGTAACAAAATACCTCAGAGGAGGCTGCCATCTATCTCTCTGACTCCATTTGTCGAAGAAGCAACATCTGCTTAGCCTAAGATGCTCTCTAAGATGCTTCCAGCCAAGAGAGGACAATGGGGCTATCTCTTCATGGGACAGATTCCAGGTGTACATATTTTGTAACATAAGTCTGCCTTCTGGGATCCATTTGTGAACAGAATGTGAGTAAACTATTTTATATACTTTTATACAAGACTGTGTTGTGTCTATCTATTTATGAGGGAATAAAGGGGAATTTACCAGGAAACTTATTTTAGAGGCTTATAGAAGCCTGGCAAACGCTATCCGCTGTGCAAATTTAAAAAGGGCAATGTTACTCTGCTAAATTGTAGAACTTGTTAACACAAGTTGGAAAGGATATAATTAAACAATATATCCTCTTCTGTATCCCTGAACATTCCCACACCTGGAAGGGCTTATAGTCGTTGTATAAAATAACCAAAACAGATTGACAGTAGTAAGCTAGAACCCAGCAAAAGGGACACCTTCCCAGCTTGAGAAAGAAGCGCAAGATAAGAACTATTGGTTTGAAACAGGAGGGCTTCCCATTGCCAGTTTTATTCGGACAAGCAGACATTCAGCAGGTGATACTCTCCCCTGGTATGCAGGGAGACGGATGAGAAAAGTATGGGTTGCCGAATTTCTGTTCTTAAAAGGCACAGCAGCCCTGCAATGGAAAGAAGAGGAAAGTTGGCCGCTGTGTTGTCTTATTTTCAGGGGGCTGCAACATCACAGCAGTCTGCGAAAGGGAAGCAAAAGGAAAGGAAAGAGAGAGGTGCCTCTCTGATGCTTTGTTCCATGTTTCTCTGTTGATGGTAGTACAGTGATACCTTTAGTTACGAACTTAATTCGTTCCGGAGGTTCGTTCTTATCCTGAAACTTCTTAACTAGAGGCGTGCTTTCGCTAATGGGGCCTCTTGCTGCCGCTGCGCTGTCGGCACACGATTTCCGTTCTCATCCTGGGGCAAAGTTCTCAACTCGGGGTAACTCTTCCAGGTTAGTGGAGTTTGTAACCTGAGGCGTTTGTAACTCGAGGTACCACTGTACTCAGATATCTACATGGAATTCAGACAAGGCTTGTTACTCAGGTGAAGGTCTGGGTGCAGTTCAAGCCATAGTGTTGCTGTTCAGCTTGACTCCTGAACCCCTGCAAATTTGCTTAAGTAATAAGACTCAAAGGGTATATTCAAAAAGAAAACAAAATGGTGAACACATTGTTTCCAAGAAGGAGGAAGCAAAACTGGTGTGTCTGTGTCCTTTCCCCTCCGTCCCTCAGCTAGAAGCCTGACTCAGATATTTCAGCTAAAATGGAACAGCCTGCTTCTAACATTTTCACAATTTCTATGCCTCCGGGGGATTAATGTGCCAAAACCGAAACAAGAATTCAAAGACAGATTCCTAAAACATTCCAAAGACTGTTTTGAAAGTCATTGTTTGGCATTTACAAATCATGCAAAGCGACCCCAGTCCAGGTACGTGCTTCTCTGACAGCCACTCAACATACAGAAACATGTGAGATGTGATTCCCTTTCCCAACAGGAGATTAAGCAATAGAGAAAAGCCTCCTCACCCGCTTAATTTCCTTATCTCAAGCTCTGGCCTTCAAGGTTCCTCCTGAACAGCACAGTCTGGCTTTGGTGGGGGTGGGAGGGATTGCTCCCTGCTTCCCTTGCTCCCTGCTTCCCTTGCTCCCTGCTTCCCTTGCTCCCAACCAGGTGATCTTGGCTGAGATGTGATATAAAAAGGTATAAATAAAACCAGAAGAGCTGTAGAGCCCTCACAGCTAAAAGTGTGCTAAATAAATGAAACTAAGAAATGTAGCTCATCCCAACGTGGAGATAAAGCCACAGGAAAGGCTACGCCTGCCTATAGTGCAACCCTCTGAACCTTTACCTGGGCCATCTCAAGACATTTTGCTGCCTGAAAGAAAGCAGCAAATGACTCCCCAATTCAAGCTGCAAGAGGCCTCAAGGCTGGTTGGAATATTTGGAAACCTGAAGCAGACAATCCCACAAGTCATCTTTCCCCTTCCCTGGCAGACAAATGCTAATAATTCATTTTCTACCCTTTCATGACACCCAAAATCTGCTGACAGAGGCAGCCTGTTTCCTCCATCTCTAGGTAGGGCCCTGATCTTTACTGTGTTAAGTGAGGCTTGCTCTCCATGTGTTTACATGCCATGCTTCTGCTTTGAAGGCACAGGAAGAAAGGATGGAAAAGTAACAGTAATATTTAACAATGCTCCGTATGTTTATGCATTTATTTAACTTCCTTATAATGTTGTGGAATTTTGTTGACTTTTAAAATGCTTTCCTTTGAGAGCCGCTTTGAACATTAAAAAGAAACCAAAATGACAATATATGGGATACCCAAATTTGGAGCAAAATCTGCCCAGGTGCAGGGCCTGCTTTTCACATGCAGGAGGTCCTAGGTGTAACCTCAGGATGGCTGGGAAAGAAAGACCCCTGTCTGCAACCCCCAACAATCATCATAGGCAATCCTGAGCAAGATGGGCCTATGGTTTCATGCTGCGTAAGACAGATTTCTACCTTCTTCTTCACATAAAGGCAATACATACATTAGGCTTCCATAATGTGTGATTGGCGGCCAAGCACACCTGTGCTGTTCCTGCAATGACAATAAAAGGAAGAGGTGCACCAGATCCCTGGGCATGCCACCATATGTGGGCAAAGGGTAGAGTTGCCAACTGACCAAGAAAGAAAAGCAGCCTGGTCTGTTCTTTTGCCTTTCAGAGCAGCTTGAAGTGCATCTTTTAACGGAGCTTTTAACAGAATGAAGATAAGCATCACCTGCTAACAGGTGTACAATATGCTGGGGTTAAAACCACAGCTACAGAGCCCTGCTGAAAAGTTGACAGCCTGACTAGTGGATTGCATTCAATCGGGGGGTCCACAATGCGTGCTAAGCCTGCACCGTTTATCACAGCAGTCCTTAGAACAGCCACAGCCCTGAAAGGTGGGCCAGTGTTCGTTTTTTAACGTGAGGGCCATAAAAGGATCCTTGGCCACTAGCTGGATTTATGTGAATTTAAGTCAGACCTTGGAGCCACCTAGCCAGTTCATCTCCTCCGGCCAGCTGGGTCATCTTCCCAGCCCTACCATTTGGGAGCGTTTAACTAGAGGTTCTGGGGATCATCCCTAGACAGAGCAAAACAGCCTCTTAAAAAGCCAGCAAAGGGGTGCTCCCTGCAGTGGGTGGCCCCCTTCCCTTACCTGACAGCTGGATTTGGAAGCAGAGCCCTGTCAGAACCTGCAGGAGATCTTGCTTGGCAGAAGTTGGGGGTCAAGCTCCTAGTGATGAGGACCGCAGGGGGGCAAGATGCAAAGCCTGATCATGTGCAGGGCCTGCTGGAAGTGCCATGGCCAGAGAGGGGTGCAGGAGGAAACTGCTGCTGCTGCTGCTGCTGCTGCTGCTGTTGAGAAACCTTTCAACAGCTGTTTTGCTTCTCAAAATAGCTGAGGAGTTCCAGCATGCTGGCTCTTAGATTGTGAAAGAGAGAGGAAAAAAAGGAGAGCATGCAACAGGAACTGCACACATAGCCGTGTGGGAGAGGCTGAGAAGCAGAGAGAGAGGGAGGATATTGGGTTTAAGGTAGCCTGGCTATAATGTTTTCTTTTCCGTTTATTTATTTTTTCCACTATCAAGGGACTTGACGGGTGAAGATCGTTAGATAAACTGGCAGTGCAATTAAACTACCACAATATTCCCCCTCCCCCCGGGTGCCTTGATGGGCTGCAGGCAGATGGTGGGGGAAATGGGGCTTGAAGATACACAGAGAACCACAGGAAGTGAAACTCTGGCAGCGTGGGGGGGGGGGGGGAGAGAGAGCTCTGCAGGCTGGTGTGCTAAGCCATCTTTTTATCCACGCTTTTCGACAAGAGAGGAATGGAGTAGAGCCTTAACTTTCCTACTGAAATATCCTGCAAGAAAGCAAAACAAAACCCTCATGCTGTGCAAATATATTGTTATGAGCTTGTGGGTGCCAGACACTTAATCCCTGGACCCAGAAAGTGTTAAAAAGATAAATAAGCCAGACTAGTTTCCTCATGAGGTAATCGCCTGGGAGATGAGCTGTTTAGAGACCTAAGGAAAGGTAATGGGCCACTAAGAAGACAAAGGCTCTGTGCCAGATGCAAAATTGGTGGGGCCCCTCCAGTTCTGAGTTTGTTAGAAGACAAAGCCAGAGTCTGAAGTAGGGTTTTGGGGGACTATGATTTGACCAAGAGGTGGGGAAAGGTTGCAGGCTGGTAAAGGAAGCAAGCGGGAGAGAGGGTCAGAGTAGAACGATTCTGTTTGAATCCAAGGCTGTGGTAGAAACAAGACCCTCTTGGGGTGTCCATGCTGTGAGCCCCTCCATTGTAGGCTCAGGTTGTATATATGTGTAAATAAACCATATATCATGAAGACACCACAGTCTCCGCTGTGCTTTATTCTTCCAAAGAAACACGAATCTTGGGTAGGTACCTGGAATCTCACAGCTCGGAGATTGGGGTAGCATGCAACAATATTGAGATTTCATCCCCTGCAGCATATTAGAGATTGAAAACAGGGCCACTGGTCTCCTGAGGGGTAGCTGGGCTTTTCTCTTGCTGCAAAAACAAAGAGCTTTGTGGCACCTTAAAGACCAATGCAACAAATTTATTCTGGCATAAACTTCATCAGCTGCATGAAATCCTATCCTAGGTTGCTTCATTTTGAGGGCGGTGGACTGTAAACAGTGAGGTCAGAGGGAAATGAAATGCAGAAAAGAGCAGTGAAAATTGCATTAACAGTGACCTTAAACCACTTGTTGCTGGCATCCAAGAGTCAATTAGCATAGGTAGTGTGATAAAAATCCTTTGTCCCGATTCAGTCTACAAGTGATAAGGTGGAACCCCTTGAGGAATTGCAATGCAATGAATTTCAACTTGCCTTCTCCCTTTGAAGTTTCTTCCTTCCAGGCTGGCCATTCTCCAGTCTCTTGCATGCTGTGCTGGGAGGTTGAAATGCCCTAGTCCCCCTTGCCTGAAGGCTCTGTTCCATCTGTTGTAGGCAGCAGACCCAACTTCACCGCCTTTAGGCTTGCTGTAACCTTAGCTGATGGTGGCAGAGGCAGGAGACCATTTAAAGACCATTTAAAGAGCCAGGGTGGGGTAGTGGTTAGAGCACATGTCTATTCAGAAGTAAATCCCCCTGAGTTTAATGGGACTTGCTCCTTAGCAGAATGTGAAGGTTGCAGACTTAACTGTGCTCAATATGGTGCCTTGAATGACCTGTCTGATCAATCTGAAGCTGCAGCAAACCTATGCAAGACTGTGTACAACCACGCTTGTATAAAATCAGCCTTTGCCAACTCAGTGCCCTTCAGATGTTTGGGACTCAACTAAGGTGTCCGGGTGTCCTCCTTTATAAGGCACAGTCCTCTGTTTGTACAGCTGTCTCACCCAAGTCCAGTTTAAAGATAAGGAGCCATAAGAAAATAGAGAGGGTGCTTAGAGTTGTCCATCCACAGCCCCAGTGCAGCCGACTGAGCAGGCACACAAGTCACTAAGGTGAGATGTGCTGTACTTCTATGGAAATTTAACTATTATTTCTAGATTTGCATACATATGTGTAAATCAGCATATGCAAATTTTATGCGTACAAGCATAATTTTTATTTTTAATTAACCACCACCCCCCACTTTTTTGGTGATGCCTTTCCTTCTTTTTGGCAACGCAATAAGCGGTCCTCCTAACTGCAACTACCTTTGGCCCCATGATGGGAGTTGTAGTGCAAAACATCTGGAAGGCGCAATGTTGGACATTTTGAAGGAACCAGCACACTGCTTGGCCCTTTTCTGCCATGCTTTAGGACACACCTCTCATTCCATTTTTTTGTCCCTTCAGTCTAGACTTCCTGTTCCACCTTAAATGCAGTGCAGCTGTGCTCTAGCAGCAAATAAGTCACCAGCTTAACTTGACCTGACCAAATACCCTATGGCCCAGCAGAAGGGAACTAAAGCAGGGGTAGGCAACCTAAGGCCCATGGGCCACAAGCGGCCAATGGGGGTCATTTAACCGACCCACGAGCCACCCCCGAACCGAGCTGCCCACTCAGTGAGTCCCCACACGCTGCACTAAACTGGTGCAACACAGCATGGGGACTCGCTTCCGCGACGCCAGAAATCGCATCTGCGCAAACACAAATGCTGGAAATTGTGGGCGCGGGCGCTCACACACAAACACAATCCGACCCACAGAGGGATCTCTGCTGGAGTGAACCAGCCCAGGCAAGGTAAACCTTGCTGACCCCTGGACTAAAGGGAGCTCTGCAGAGGCTCTGCAGAGACTAGTTGTGGGCATCCTCAGAGCCCATCCCTGTCCATATCATGCCTGTTGGGTGCTGGAATTTTAGTGGCCTCACCAAACCTGGGAACAGGGAGCACAATGCAAAACTTCTCACCCTGTAGGTGAAAAAAGGTAAAGGACCTCTGGACGGTTAAGTCCAGTCAAAGGCGACTATGGGGTTGCACCACTCATCTCGCCTTTAGGCCGAGGGAGCTGGTGTTTGTCCACAGACAGCTTTCTGGGTCATGTGGCCAGCATGACTAAATTGCTCCTGGTGCAATGGAACACCATGACAGAAACCAGAGCGCATGGAAACACCGTTTACCTTCCTGCCACAGCAGTATCTATTTATCTACTTGCCCTGGTGTGCTTTTGAACTGCTAGGTTGGCAGGAACTGGGACAGAGCAATGGGAGCTCACCCTGTCACGGGGATTCAAACCGCCAACCTTGAGGGCTGGACAGAGAATGCTTTTTCCTCAGCCTAATTGCTGGGGAGGAAGGTGTGTCTGTGGATATACATGTATGTGCCTGTGCTGTGCTGTATGTGTGTGTGTTGTGTGGCATGTGAATGGATGTGGTTTCTGTGCTCACTTTGATCACAACCAACCTTTGGCATATGGGCCCTGGAGAATTGGCCAAGAGGGAATGTGGTCCTCAGGCCAAAAAATATTCCCCACCCCTGCCCTATAGGAACCCCAGTCTCCCCCGACACCATTGGAGCCAACTGGGCCCCTTTAAACAAACAGGCTTTTCCTACAGAGGGTGGAGCTGGCAGCTCAGAGAGACCCACAGTGCCTATTTAAAGCTCAACCAGAGGTCCACTGGTGCTGGAGCAATATCTGGCTATGTTCTTCCTCCTTATCCAACGCGACCCATGCATAGAGCTGTCCAGGGTGCTATTGAATTCTAGACTTTTTGCCTTGCCAGAACATGGACCTTGCTCTACTTCACCCCATCTTGCTCTGCTCGCTTGCTTTGGGTCAGAACCTCTATGCTTCTGAGGCCAATGCATGGAACCGAACAGAAATAACGCAACATTCTCTGTTCCCCTAATCATAGAAATTGCTGCTGGTTGTGTCTGTGCTCTGCTAGTTCTCACATGATGCATGGCTGCAATGTATGGGTAATTCAAAGTGTGCTAGAGTTCACTGGCAAACACTATGCTGCACTGAAGTGCATCAAGTGGCTATTTTCTTACTGGTCAGCAGGTGGTGCTATGTTGCAATTGTTGTGCTGTAATTAAAAGGAGTATTAAAACATAAGCAAGCTGGGTGAGGGCCACAATGCAGAGGGACAATAATACTTCGGAGGGTAGTTATCTGAATATGTTGCTAATCCACTATCTCACCTTGATTTTACTGACATGTCAGCTGAACGAGGGCACAATTTGCTATAAAATGCCCTTGAATCTTCTGGAGTGACCTTTCGATCTTGGCTCCTTTTCAGACCTAGGTGGAGGACCCATATCTTTTTCTCTGCTGACAGTAAGAGTCAGGAAAGGAAGGAGTGCTGTTGGGATTAATGGCTTTACACTCTCGCTGTCTTTTATGTCATTGAAACTTCCTTTCAAAGAACAGGGTGTCTCCTCCCAGTTGGAGACAATAAGTCAGGACCAAAGAGAGAGAGAGAAAAGGCCTCCCATTAACCTCTGGATAATTAAAGTTCCTGCTTGCTTTCTTTTATTGCCAGGGCTTTATTGTTCCAAGAATAAACAGCTTTCCTCTATGCACGGACACATATGACACAGAGCGAGTGGGTGACTGAGGGAGTCGGTCTGTCTTGGAAAGAAAGCCCTTTGCCCTCACACCTCTGCAATGTCTTTGGTGAGGTTCAAGGAGTTTGGGGAAGAGGAGGAGAACTTGGAGGCAGAGAACCTGGACAGCGTCAAGGCCTTGACGGCGAAGCTGAAGCTGCAGACCCGGCGCCCTTCCTACCTGGAGTGGAAGGCTCGTGTGCAAAGCCCCTCCTGGCGGAACGGGCTCAGGACCCTGCCGGAAAAGCAGTGCGGGGAGACGGCCGGGGAGGACTCTCAGGCCCACGTCCCTTTGAAGACCATTTGTGGGTTCCCCACCATTGGTGATGCCTTGGAGTGGCTCAGGATGGAGCTGGTGAGTATTTTCCCAACCTTTCTGGGGGAAATGTGAGCACCAGAGCAACTAGCCCCAGCCCTCGGGGGCAAGTCTGGAGCAGTGAGGCAGAGGAGGCACCTCCACCACCGGTGGTCGCAAGCTTTGCAAAGGCTGCGTCCTGGCAAGACCTCCCCAGTGGTCTTCTATGGCATGGCTCACTCCACTGGCCAACTTGCATCTGACCGTCTTTTTCAGTTCTAGCTAAAATATTTAAAGCTTCAGGCAGTGAAGTAGTACAGTCCAGATACATACCAGTAGGTGCTCCCTGTACAGTCCCTGTTTCTTGGTACCTGTTTTGTCTCGAATTTCTGCTTAAAGTTTGTAGAGTGAGTTACTGGAGTTGCCCTTTTTCACAACTTTTAGCCCACCTCTACAGCAGCCTTCCTCAACCTGATACCTAGATAATTGGGACTACAACTCTCATCAGCCCCAGCATCATAAAGCTGCACTGTAGTGGAGGAGCGGGTGAACTCAATGATCAATGTACACTTACGAAGACCAACTGAACTCTGTCCTGCATTGTCTTTCATTTCACGCAGTGTATTTGCTAGGTTTGTCTTGAGCTTTGGGTAAACTGCTGTAAGACAGTTATGATTTCCTAGCATATCTTTAACCACGTAACGAACACACCCCGTTCTGTGTTGCTGGAGGAAGAGGGGGAAGTTAATGAATATATAGAGAATATGCAGACGGATAAATGAAACTACAGTATCTAGAAGGCAGAGTAGCGCCTGCAGCAATCAGGGCCAGCCCAATATATTTTGCTTTTTGAGGAACAGCATTAAACATTGTGTGTGTGTGTGTGTGTGCGCACACACACACACACACACACACACACACACCAGGGTCCCTAAAATTCAAGCCCACCAAGTTATTTTGGCACCTGAGGTGGAAAATCCCACAAGTGTCTCCCATTTCCTAGTAGTAAAAATATACAATAATAATTCAAATAAACTAACCACTTTGCTTCAGCTGCTTGGCTCATTTTCTTCATGGTAGGGCTCGTCCTGACAGCAGTGTATAATAATTGGGGTGTGTGTGTTTATTTTTGGCTTAAGACTTGTTGTTGTTGTCATCCATCTGCTTCGGGAGACAAGGGAAGATTGGGGGTTAAGTCAAACCATTGCTGACCCTTCAAGTGTCCCTATTTTCCAGGGACATCCCTGATTTAGAGAAGCCATCCCGGTCTCTTATTTCATCCCAGAATGTCCCACTTTTCCCTAGGATGTCCCTAATATCATCAGAGAAATGTTATCTGACCCTCAAGCTGTCTGAAGGCAATCCTGTATAGGGAAGGTTTTTTTAATGTTTTATTGTGTTTTACATCTGTGGGAAGCTGCCCAGAGTGGCTGGGGCAACCTAGTGAGATGTGTGGGGTATAAATAATAAAATTATCATTATGGAATGGGAACATTCCTATTTTCATTAAGGTAGGAGGGTATGCCATTGGAGAGTTACAGCGGCTGCTGTGAATGTAGAAATGTCAGCTGTATGTGGGCTGTGAACCCCTTACACCCCCTTTAATTCCCCCTCCTCCAACTGCTGCCTTCCCACATGTCCTCCTCCCTAAATCTGGATATTCCCTATGAAATTGATGTCCTGTTTCGATTTCCAAAGCATAGGGAATCTCTGGATGAGAAATTATAGGACAGCAGTAGCTGGAGGAGAACACTGCATGGACATGTAAGAATTAAAGGAGGAACAAGGGGTTCACAGTCCACATTCAGCTAAAGTGTGGATGGGCCCTAAGACACTGAACCAACGAGTGGCACACTTCCTGCACCTTCCATTGAAGGGCAAGGCGGGCACAGCATTTAGCTGGACAGCAAGCAGTTGGAGTCCCAGGCAAACAGGTTCTCCTTCTGGTGGGCTGGCTAAGTGAGGTTTGTGCCTGCCAGCCTCCTAGGTGACAGAGGCAGGGTGGCTGTTGACTTGGCATCCGATTTGCTCCTAGCTTCTATGTAACAGGAGGAACCACCTCCTTGGCTGGATCAGCTATGGTGGGTGTGTTTGGGAGGGAGGTGACAGGAGGCACTTTTGAGTTTGCCTGAGCATCCTTGGGAGGGAGGATCTCCACCCTGTAACCCACTGGGACCCTCCTTGAGATCAGAGGTCTCTTGGGGTTCAGAACCTGTTACCCCACCTTCCCCAGGGTCCTCCAATTCCCCAAGCTCCTCACACTCCTCCTCAGGGTCTGACCACCCTCTCAAAGACACTTCCACAGGACTCAGGACAGGACATGGCCTTTTTCTGATCCAGCCATGCTCTTTTAATTTTCTTATGGGGTGTGTATGTGTTGCCTCTCAGGCTTCATGGTTATTCTTTTGCTTCTATCCAGCGGGAGATGCAGGCCTTGGATCACCAGTTGGCACGGCAACTAATGGGCCTGCGTGCTCAGATCCACCGGCTGAAGGTGGAACAGGCCTGTCACCAACACAAGGAGATGTTGGACGACGCCACCTTCGAGCTGGAGGGCTGTGAAGAGGACTCTGACCTGCTGTGTAACATCCCACCCAAGATGGCGTTCCTCTTGTCCACACCCCTCAAGCACATTGGCGTCACACGCATGAACATCAACTCTCGCCGTTTCTCTCTGTGCTGAGGGGCCTTGCTTGACCCCTCTTCTGATTGCATTTTTAAGGCCTGCATCCTTCAGCAAGTGATACACACGCATAAACCCATCAGTTTCCAGGGACTCACACAGAGAAACCTGGTATAGGTTTTTTGTTATGGGATGGAGAGAGCCAGTTTCTCAAAAGGCCAGAGGCTGCCTTGTCAGCAGGTGGTTCTGTGCAGCTACCAACTGCTTTGTAAAAGAAGGCATTTTTGCTGCAGACAGTAACAGGCTACTGAGTATCCTCAGATCCACCAGCCCTCACATTTGGGAATGGGAATGTTCCAGGATAGGGCCTTCTGCGTTGTCCCCCCTCCCTGTCACAACTTTGGAATGCTCTCTTCAGGGAAGCCTGCCTGGCACCAGATCTGACATCCTTTCAGTTCCTTTGCATTTCCTCAGGCGACTGTACTCCAGCTTTTATTATCTCTTCCTGTTGCCCCTGTTTTATTTTGTATTACCGTATGTTATTCTTAATACGCGTTAGCCACTCTGAGAGGCTGTTGCCTCAAGAGCAGGTTACAGACTTCAAATAAACAGACAAATAAAATGTTTGCTGGTATCTTTGTACCTGTTGTACTTTGCCACAATGCTTCACCCACTCCACTGTTCTAGATACAACTTTGCACGGTTTGTTTCAACAGCCCTGTGCCTGAACAACATGTGTTCTGTCTGACATACGTTCATTTGCAGATTAAAAAGCTGAGCAGGTAATGAGCAAACTGGAAGGTGGGCATCAGTCCCAACAGCAGCAGAGCCCACAATTCTGAATGGCTTTTTCATAAATAGCCAGATCCAAACTACGCCAACTGTTCTTTTCAGGGTTTGACATGGAGTAGCCACCAGCCATCAAGGTCCTAATTTGCACCTTCCAGTGCAAAATAATGCAAACCCCTAAAATAGGGCCAACAGATCAAGGGCTGAACATGGCCCTCTAGGTACTGTCGGTACCAGGGGTGCCAACTTGAATAAAATATTGTGGGGGGCCCAGGTAAGTCCCGCCCCACATAATCAATCACATGACACAGTACACACACAGCATTTGAATGGCAATGCCCGTCAACTTTGTGGGGGCCTGGCCCCCTCAAATATTTTATTGTGAGGGCTGAAGCCCCCACGGCCCCTAGGAGTTGGCTCCTATGGTCGGTACTCTCCCAGGTCATGACCCTTAGCCACACCCACTCTCCCCAGGCCATTGGGTCTGCTGTGTGGACTCCTTGAATACTTTTGCCGGGCTAGAATGTATTTTTAAACTGTGATGATGCCTCTTGCCTGAGGGATGTGTGCATATGGGTATGTGTGCAGCTTTTGCCTAGCTGGAATGTAGCCTAATGTACAAAGTCAAGCGTTTGCCTCTGGCCATGCTTACTGTTGGTATACGCCCCCAGGCAACAAGGGAATGCAGCCCTTGGGATTCTTCGCCCCTGCCCTAAAGAAGGAGAGGGCCACCTTTCATATAATAACATTTCTCCAACACTAATACTAGAATTACCGTGTTTTTCGCTCTATAAGACGCACCAGACCACAAGACGCACCTAGTTTTTGGAGGAGGAAAACAAGAAAAAAAATATTCTGAATCTCAGAAGCCAGAACAGCAAGAGTGATCACTGCGCAGTGAAAGCAGCAATCCCTCTTGCTGTTCTGGCTTCTGGGATAGCTGTGCAGCCTGCATTCGCTCCATAAGACGCACACAATTTCCCCTTACTTTTTAGGAGGGAAAAAGTGAGTCTTATAGAACAAAAAATACGGTAATATCTGGGCTTCCAGGGAAGGGAGCCTGGTTCTGTCACTATATACTTATTGAAAAGCATTTATAAACCCCTTAATGTTTTAAACATATCTAAGTGGTGTAGAATATAAAAACAAAGAACATCACTGAAATAGAAAGCAGAACCAGGTTCTCTTCCCAAGAGGACTCTAGAACAGTTGGTTACACAGTCAGGGCCGCTTGTACGTCTGAGGCACTGGCAGCATTCACACGTCAGAGTAAACCACAGTTAATGGTTTGTTGTGAATGCGGAGATCGCTTCCACTTTGCTCTGACCTCAAGGTACATTCACATCAGTGGTTTAAAGTGCAGTGAGGTCATTTCTTCCCTTCTGTGGTTCAAGCTGCATTTGCGCGGAGCTGCCTTATGTGCAAATTGCCTGTATGGTACTTAGATCATTTAACTGCTCCTGTCCCAGAAATACTCACCCTCCAAGAACTTGGCGTGTTGAGTTACATTCTGTGGGTTGCCTTCCTTTAGGCTGAGTGTCATAAGGCACCATTGCTTTAGCTACAGTTCTACATGTTGAGATGGCAGAAGGCAAATTATTATAATTGTAGAGTTGGGAGGGACCCCAAGGGTCATCTAGTCCAATCCCCTGCAATGCAGGAATCTAAACTAAAGCATCCATTACAGATGGCCATCCAATCTCTCCTCAAAAACCTCCAAGGAAGGAGAGTCCACCACCTGTAGGGAGAATCCATTCCACTGTCAAACGAGGTAAGATGTGAGTCTGAGAATCTGCAGCCCAGTCAGCGAAACAGCATGTGGGAAGCCTAGGCAGGTGAGGGCGGCAGTTGGATCAAACCAAAACATAGTAGGAAGGTTGGCACTGATGATAGAGCAAGATACACTCAGCAAAGTGACTCATTCAGAAACAGGCGGGTGGGCTCGATTCTTACAGCCAAAACAGCTGGAAGAGTCATGTGGGAGATCAGTAACTGGGTCTCCCAATGCTTTCACTGTCACCTCATAGCAGCCACCAAGGGTGTTGGGGTTGGCCCTCTAAATTTAGAGCAGTGCTGTTTGGGGAAGGGGTGGCTAACCCCCTCCCCTGATTCAAAGGCATCCCCCCATTTCTCTGATCAAAATACTGCCCCTGCCCTAACCCAAAGTTTTTGTTATCCGCGGTAGGAATATCTACAGGCATGATAGAATAGCAACCCTGTGATAGAAGCGTCTTTCTGTTTTCAGCAAACACACTAGCTGCTTCAAAGAGAGTGATTTAAATTCAGGAAAGAGCCCCCAGTGCTGCTGGTCCAATCACATCTAGTGCCTCCCTGGGCAGCTTTAAAGTTGGAGGTTGGGGCAGGGGGGACAGTATGGGGCTGTCAAATCTGAGCAGTAGTGCAGTTAGGGAAAATGTACAAAACTAGTTCAAATATATGTTGGAAGTGTAAGGAAAAGGAGGGGACATTTTATCATATGTGGTGGGATTGTAATGTAATTAAAAAAATTTGGGAAATGATATGCAACGAATTGAAGAAAATGTTCCATTTAACATTTGTTTAAAAACCTGAAGCCTTTTTTGTTAGGGATTGTAGGGAAAGATCTGCCAAAAAAGCTGAAAAATATCTTCATGTATGCGACAATGGCCGCGAGAGTTTAATAGCACAAGGATGGAAGACTGAAGAAACCCCAACTAAAGAATCATGGCAAGAAAAATTGATGGACTATGCAGAACTGGCAAAACTGACATATAAGCTACGGGGCAAGGATAACTGTGACTTTAAAGATGAATGGGAACCCTTTACAAAGTATTTGAAGACGCAACAAAGCGAACTGGACTCCTTGGCTGGCTTTGAATAAACATTCACAAACGTTTTATTGATAATAATCAGCTAAATAGTTTGAGGATCTATACAACTGTGTAACATGCAGAAGACAGCCTTCTTAGAGAAATCAAAGACTGGAACTGAGGGAAGTCAGGGGGTGGGGGTGGGTGGGTTTTGCGTAGGAGGGTGGGGGAGGGAGGAAAAATGGGGGGAATAAGGATGATATGTTTCTGGATAATATGTTTTGTTTTAATTTTGAATAAAAAAGTTTTTTAAAAAAATAAAAATCTGAGCAGTAGTTTGCATCTCCTCTGCGTCAGCATTTATGAAAGTAACCCTTAAAAAGAAAGATCTCATGCGCTTCCTCTCATATTCATCTCACTGCTTCTCAGGTCTGCAAAGGCTCTGGTTTAGAGCACACATAACTGATAGTGATCATTCTGGCTAAAATGCTGCTGCTGCTGCTGCTTATTTGTATTGAAATTTACTCTGTGATAAAATTCAGGTTGGAGGAGTATGTGGTTGCTTTGTGGGCAGGATGGGTTGAACTTCTGTATTTGTAGCCCTTTACTCAATAAAAAAAAGATCTCCTTGTTAAGAGTGTGGAATTTCACATGCCATGTTTTGCTTTATCGTAAGATCACAAAACAGTAAGCAGGGCCTGTCTGATGCGTCAGGCCGATGGCGCCTCAAGTCCAGCCTCCTCTTCTCACAGGCCTTTGGGGGAAGCCTGAAAGAAGGACCTCAGTGCTATCTTCTGAAGAAAAGGAACAACTGGCCTACAAAACTCATACTCTTCAAATATGGTGCATTCATCTTTTACAAGGCGCTACAAAGGCCCTACGTTTTCTTGTGGGGTTTTAAAAAAAAATTCTGTGCAGAATCTCTCTCACACGTACTGCTTCCTGATCACGCTCGTTGCTTGCTCTCAGGCCTTTTTGTTTGGTGACTCTGCTCTCCCAAATGGCGAACAATGCGTCTGTGGTTCTTTTAGTAAGCTGAAAGGGTAGGCTTGGGCTTGGCATGAATTAATAAAACTTCAATGGAAAAGAAACCCCAAACTTCATGATTCACCAACCCTTTGTATTTTGCTTTAGAATGAAAAGAAACCCTCTTTTTCCTTTCCCTTTTCTTTCTTTATATTGTCAGCTATTCTGACCTTCAGAACATGAGAGCAACCTGTTGGTTCAGACCAATGGCCCATAAAGTCCAGCATCCTGTTCTCACAATGGCTAACCAGATGCCCCACATGCCACACGAGCCCAAGAGCACTTTTCCCTCTTGTGGTTTCTAACAACTGAAACTCAGATCCATTGAATTTCAATGGTCTCCAACCATGCAGACAGAGCATCGTGCCCTCCAACTTTTCTCCGATGAAAATAGCAACGTCCCATTCCATAATAATCATTTTACTATTTATACCCCACACATCACACTGAGTTGTCCCAGCACTCTGGGCAGCTTCCAACATATATAAAAACATAACAACAACAACAATTGTTATGTACTGAAGTTCTCACCCTGGGCCAGCAGGGGGATACTGTAGATTTTTCACTCAGGTCCACATATGCAAATAAGGAATTGAAAGTGACATTCAGTGATTGGATAGTTAGAGAAAGTTGTTACTGTTGCGTTGTAGTGGAGCTCTATATAAGCAGGCTGGCTGAACCCTTCAGTTCAGTTCTGTTCTGGGTCTGTGAATAAACAAGAGCTGTTTGAAGAATCGGTGAGTTGTCTGATATGTTCACCCACAACTTAACAATAATAATAATAATAATAATTTTATTGAATTTATATACTGCCTTATATCCGGAGGTCTCAGGGCGGTTCACAGAACAAACATTAAACATTTAAAAACTTCCCTATACAGGACTGACTTCAGACAGCTTGGGGTCTGGATAACTCCATACCCTCCAACATTTCTCCAATGAAAATAGGGACATCCTAGGAAAAGCGGGACATTCTGTGATCAAATCAGAAACTGGGATGGCTTCTTTAAATCAGGGACATCCCTGGAAAAGAGGGACCCTTGGGAGGGTCTGCAGCAGGCACCCCCAACCTGTGGCCCTCCAGATGTTCTGGCCTACAACTCCCATGATCCCTAGCTAACAGGACCAGCGGTCAGGGATGATGGGAATTGTAGTCCAAAACATCTGGAGGGCCGAAGGTTGGGGATGCCTGGTCTGGAGCATACCACCAACAGTTTTCTCTTCCATGAATTTGTGTAATCCTCTTTTAAAGCCGGCCAAGTTGGTTGCCATTACTGCCTCCTGTGGGAGGGAGTTCCAGAGTTTAACTAAGCACTGCATGAAGGAGGACTTTCTTTTCCCACTGTATCGTTGCATTTATTGATGTGCAGATAATGCTGTGAAGAAAGGCCCTGATCTGCTCCTCCATTTCTCTGAGCCATCTGTCACATATCTCCTGCAAATCTCTTCAAATGCAAAATAGGTACTTAACATGCCTACCTGAGAGACCTGAAGGACGCTGAGCACCTGTCTCTAGGGTCCCCTGAAAGCCTTTAAAAAGACTGAGCTGCGCTTGCAGTTTTTGTTCCCTCCCACCATCAGGGATACAGACTATATCCTCATGGTCTAAAAAAAATTCTGAAATTTAGTTACTGCAGAAAAACAACACTTAAATTACAGGTCTCTAAGATACAGGAGTGGGACGCGGGCGGCGCTGTGGGTTAAACCACAGAGCCTAGGACTTGCCGATCAGAAGGCCGGCAGTTCGAATCCCCGTGACGGGGTGAGCTCCCGTTGCTTGGTCCCTGCTTCTGCCAACCTAGCAGTTTCAAAGCACGTCAAAGTGCAAGTAGATAAATAGGTACCGCTCCGGCGGGAAGGTAAACGGCGTTTCCATGCGCTGCTCTGGTTCGCCAGAAGCAGCTTAGTCATGCTGGCCACATGACCCGGAAGCTGTACGCCAGCTCCCTCGGCCAATAAAGCGAGATGAGCACCGCAACCCCAGAGTCAGCCACGACTGGACCTAATGGTCAGGGATCCCTTTACCTTTACCTTTAAGATACAGGAGGATCCCAATCATTTCTTGTCAATACAGTGGAATTTTATTTCATATAGTATATTTCTTTATTATTTCTTTTAGTTATTATTTTTTACATTTATTAGATACCTTCTCTCACTGCAGGCAACTCAAGGTGTCTTTGCAAAAACAAAAGAAAGCAACAAACGAAACAATGCAAAAAATAATAATTAAAACCGGGGCAGGAGAAAAAAACAAAAACATTAAAAACAACCCCACCCTGCTTTTAAAGGCCATAGATTGTTAATATCCAAAGACCTGATTGAAGAGGTATGTTTTTGCCTGGTGCCTGGGGAAAGCATTCCACAAATGGGGAGCCAACACAAAAAAGGCCTGTTCTCAACTTGCCATCCTGTGGATCTCTCATGGAAGAGGCACACAGAGAAGGGCTTCAGATGAAGATTACAGGTTCTGTGTCGGTTCATACTGGAAGAGACAGATTTTGAGGTATTGAGGTTTAGTTTCAGATATGCAGATAGCTAGAGAAATATGGTTGTTGTGATTTTAGATTAGGTATTAGTATATAATATGTATGCTTAGTTTTTGTATGCCCTTGCCTTTATTTGGATATATTATTGAACTTTTGCTATTGTTTACTTTTCCCTGTGGTTCCATAATAATTTGAAAACTAATTTTAAAAAAATAAACAAAAGCTATATCTGGTTGAGGGGCCAGAATCAAAGAGGGTGGGGGAGGGCAGTCTAATTAATTAATTAATGGCATTTATATCCTATCTTTCATCCAAAGAGCTCAAGGTGGCATACATTTCTATGCATTTAACAGTTTTTGTATACTGCTTAATAATATGTTATGAAACCCCTAAGTGGTTTACAAAGCATATAAAATATACATTAAACTCTTCAATAAAACTAAGTTTTTAAAATGTAAACAGAAGCAACTGATTTAAAAATATACATTATAAGCTAAAATTACAAACTAAAACCTTTTCCTCTCTCCTTATTTTTATCAATAGAAAACCCTGTGAGGTAGGTTAGGCTGAGAGACAGTAACTGGCCCAAGGTCACTTGATTAATTCAATGGCTGAGTGGGGATTCCAGGCCATATTTCAACTCTCCACTCCAACCACTATGCCTCACGGGCTCTGCTTGGCCTGAGGGCATTTGTGGTTCGCTGTCTCCATCCAGCTTCGTTCCAGAGGCACTGTGCATTCCCTGATTTGCCAGATGTCAACTATGGACCCCACCAGGAACCACAGAGATGTGGTATGGGCAAGGCTAAGAGAACAAAAGGACCATAATGGCATCGTGAGCTACTCACCGAGTGGCCCAAGTCTTTGTCCACTACTCCATGCTGGCTTGGAGGCCAAGAAAGCTGCCACACAGAAACATTGAAGCATTCACAACATTAGCAGCTGAACTAAGCTCACAGGAGTCCCCTGGGGTTGGATAGGAACTGACCGTGTCAAATGTGCAAAGAGCTACACAATGTGGGACATGGGATCCACGTGGGGCCAGTGGCACCATCCAGCACGACAGCAGGGAGGGCTTTGAAGTTGGCAGGAAACCTCGGGGTTTTCTTAGCAGCCTTGGAACCTTTTGTGGTCAAACAAGTGCTGAGAACAAGCTTCTAGAGCTGTCTGTGCAAAGCACTCGGAGGGCAGGAAATCAGCAGAGAAGGTGGCGAGAGAAAGAGAGAGAAGGACAGGGTATGCGTCTGAGATCTCCTGGAGCCTTTTTGCACTCTAGGCACACGATGATTCACTGCCCAATGTGATGAGGAAGAAGCCATTTCCCTCCCTTTCAATTTGTGGGAACCGGAGAGAGACTAGTTTTCACCTTACCAACAGGTAAGTGACGGAGGGCAAATATGGCCAGGTGAGGCGTGGACAAGGACCAGGTGGCCCCATATAGTTCTCAACTCTAGGCAAGAATTGTACACACAGACACAGGAATTCTCTCCCAAGGAAGACCTTCCAAGTCCATTATATTTGTTCTTTTATGTGGACATTAAAACATTTTATTTGGTTGTGGTGGGGAGGCTTCTGAGTTAAAAGCGTCATAAGATTATCTCCCATTGTTTATTTCTTTAATGTAACAATTTTATTACAATTTCAACATCTGCACTGATCTTTCTTTCTTTCTTTCTTTCTTTTGGGGCCCTGTAGGTTGAAAAGCAGGCAATGCATTTAAAATAAAAAATTGAAAAAGACGAGCTTAAAATGAGAGGCACAAACCATTAAGAAGGCAAACACAAACCTTTTCTCCCTTTAAAAATGTAGACATCAATATACATATCTTTGTGTGTGTGATATGTTTATAGCCTTACTAAGCGAATCTCAAATATCACATAAAGTATATACTATTTACACAGAAATGCAATGTGTGCAACGTAAATTATGTATATATCCACACAGAACACAATCAAGATACATGACAATTAAGTGAATAAGAGAGAAAAACAGAGATGAAAGAAAATGTTTTTGTAAGTTGCCTTAAGTTTCATTTTTTTAAAGATATAGTAAACCAAAATAATAATAGAATTAATAGTTGAGGTGGATAAAAGTGCTTCAGTACAAATATTGCATTGTATTAATTAATGTGCATACTATATAGTAATGTCTATTGTACAGCATGAAACAGCAGTATTTAACATTTACATAGCACTTGAACCAGCTAGAATTCTATGTGCTCTTCTCTGGGAGTAAGTCCCATTGAAATAATAGGAGCATGAAGAGATATGCACTGTAAGAGTGTTCAAAGCACCTTGAATACCCAGTCTTGTTGCAGACCTTACACCCACCCTGTAAAGTAAGTTCTGGAAAGGGCTGTTACTACGGGAGCACATGTTCCAAAAATGTTCAATCTGAATTACTCCCTGGCAAATGTGTTGCAGACTGCGACGCCCATGAATGCGTGTGTGCAGCTGAGGCAACACTGGAACTGGTAGTTCTCTTCGTCATTGGTAATCCCCATAGTTCCTGCAGTGCCCCACACCAGCTTTCAGCGATTGCATTGCTTATTTAATTTATACCCCAACTTTTCTCCAGGGAACTCAAGGTGGCATACATGGTCCCCCCTCTCTCCATTTATCCTCACAGCAACCCTGCGCGGTAGGTTAGGCTGAGAAGCAGTGATGGGGTCAAAGGTCATGCCTCATGGGAGGATTTGAACCCTGATCTCCTACCTCCTTGTCCAACATTCTAACCACTATAGCACACTGGGACAACAACAACAACAACAACAACAACAATTAATACCCTGCTACAACACACTGCATTTTTATAAAGTTTTTCTCAACCATTGCACCATTTTTAGATTTTTGCCCCTGACCTGAGTCCTTGTTTATAAGGAAAGGGGTGCCATATCCCCTAAAGACACCACAGCCTCTGCTGGCCTTCATTCCAATGAAACCAAACCCTGGATAAGTTCAGAAACCTCTGGAGTTTCTCACCACTTGGGATTTGGGGGTAGCTACATGTAGGGGCTCATTTTGCAACTTCATACAACACACAAGCAATATGATTTACTGTATAACATTTCAGTCTTTTCCCTCCAGAATAGTTATAATATTTTCCCAATAACGAGTGATTATTATATTTATTCAGGGTGAACTTCACCCTCTTCCTCCCTTAAATCTTGATACATAAGGTAAAGTGGCAGTTCTTTAATTTGCCCGGCGCCACAAAGACATCAACTTTAAACAATTTTTTTGATCCTGGGCTTTTCAATCCTTTTGATCAGATGAACTGAAATAATTAACGCTGTAAACACCCAGTGTAAAAAAACACAAAACTAGGCTATGTCTGATAGATATCCTTCTAAATCATTGGTAGTTTTAATAAATGTATTGTAATCCTGTTACTATCTTCTCCTGCAGATCAAGGATCTAATCTAATCCTTAATCAGGATCCTTAATATAATCCTAGAGGGTCCATCTACTTGAGCAATCTTCGTTGTTATAGTAGCCTGTGTCTTAAACATAAATCGAGTTGTATTTTTTACCTTCACCTTAGCTATAGTAGCAGTCGTTAAGTAATCAAACTTAGCTATAGCTATAGTAGTAGTCGTTTAGTAATCAAACAATGAGCAATATTTTGACAGAAGTTATTCTGCTAAAGCCTGGATTTGCTCGCTAGTGCATAAATTTGGCTATTATTCTATTCCATTACCAAAATCTAAAAACTATACTGAAAAGTGAACCTTTACTTCTATCAATAATTGGCCCAATCCTTGTGAATAAGCCTTGTTAGACTTCAGGGAGGAACATGCAATGATAGGCGTTTTTTGTTATGTTTTTGTACTTTCAAACCATCCCACTCCCTTAGCTGTCAACACTTGAATCATGGGTATAACCAGACTTCCTCCCACATACTTAGCAAAGAAAAAAGAAAAAGAAATTGTGCATCATATTGGAAAGATTTTCTAGTTCTGGGTTTTCATTACCTCCCACAGTTTTATGCATATTTTCTTGTATGAGGTTTAGGGAAGTTTCAAACACTAGACATTTAATTCCTCATTCACCTAGGTTTTGTGGGGCATCCACATGATATCAGCATTCAACAATTTGCCCTCCCGTGTTTTCCCTATAGTTCTTCCATCATTTCTCAAGATTGCAGAAAGTCCAAATTTGAATAGAAGCGGTTACATCATATGCAGTATAGCAGGGTCCGCACCAGAATGGTTCATCTGCTGCATGTTTTTATGTTGATATTTCTTGAAGAATGTGAAATACATTTTAAAAAAAATCAGGATGATCCTTAATAAATAGCTGACATCGTATAACCTCTACACAGGCAAAGCAGGGTGAATGCTCAATAAACAGGAAATCTGAAGGTCTTCTTATGGCTATCATTCATAGCTGAGTAAGATTGTCTTCCATGAACATGGTCTTAACAGTGAGTCTGTAAGTGACTGTGGAGGCCAATTCTGGATCCACACATCCTTCCATAGTGGGGACATAGGTTTCTGGGTGGAAGTTGATCACGGTGAGGGTTTGTCAAATGTGCCTTCCTCTTAGCTCGTTCGAGCGTCTTCAAAGTCAATGACACCTTTGGTAAAGGCTGTTCTCCAATTGAGCGCTCGCAGGCCAGTGTTTCCCACTTGTCGGTATTTATACTACATTTTTTTTTTTAGATTTGCCTTGAGAGAGTCTTTAAACCTCTTTTGTTGACCACCAGTATTACGCTTTCCATTTTTAACTTCGGAATAGAGTAGTTGCTTTGGAAGACAATAATCAGGCATCCACACAACATGGCCAGTCCAACGAAGTTGATGTTGAAGACCATTGCTTCGACACTGGTGATCTTTGCTTCTGCCAGTACACTGGCATTAGTTTGCCTGTCTTCCCAAGTGATGTGCAGAATTTTTTGGAGACGCTATTGATGGAATCTTTTGAGGAGTTGAAGATGGTGTTTATAAGTGGTCCATGTTTCACAAGCATTCAGTAAGGTTGGTAGTACAATAACTTTGTAAACAAGCATTTTGGTTTCTCTGCGAATGTCCCTGTTTTCAAACACTCTGCACTTCAATCGGGAGAAAGCTGCACTCGCAGAGCTTAGGCGATGCTGGATTTTGGCATCAATGTCGGCTCTTGTGGAAAGATAACTGCCCAGGTAGGAGAAGTGATCAACACTTTCCAACATTACACCATTGAGTTGGATTTGTGGCGCTGCAGAGGTTGTTATGTACTGTTGGTGCAGCACCTTGGTTTTTTGGATGTTAAGCGACAGGCCAAGCTTTTTGTAAGTTTCTGCAAAGATATTTAGGATGGTTTGGAGGTCATCCTCTGAGTGTGCACATTCTACATTGTCATCAGGATACTGAAGCTCTATGAAGGAAGTTACCGTGACCTTATTCTTTGCTTTCAGTCTACTCAAATTAAAGAGCTTTCCATCTGTTCGATATATGATTTCTACTCTGGTGTGGAGTTTCCCTTCAACAAAGTGTAGGATCATGGCAATGAAAATAATGAATAGAGTTGGGGCCATAACACAACCCTGTTTAACACCTGATTCCACTGTGAATGGTTCACTTTGAGAGCCATTGTTATCATGGAGGAGTTGAATGATGTTCACAAATTTATCTGAGCAGCCAGTTTTCAGAAGGACAGTCCACAGGGCATTACAAATTACATTGCCGAAGGCCTTAGGTCAATAAATGCCATATACAGGGGTTAATTTTGTTCTTTGCATTTTTCTTGAAGTTGTCGAGCAGTGAAAATCATGTCCACTGTCCCCTAGAAGGTCTAAAACCATTTTGGGATTTTGCCTCTTAGCTCTCCCATCTTCTTTAAGGGGCCTGGTTGTGGCAGGTGTGTGCTGACATATTGAACCTATTGCCACACAGGGCACCTTCACTATGACCTGGAGTTTTCAGAGGTGCAGCTTTTCGCAAGCCATGCAAATCATAGAAGGCAGCAATGTGGTTTTAATAGTTTTTGCTTCATATGAGCACTATAACACCTTTGAGTGTAATTTGTAGGAGTGTGTGATCACTGTTCATATAGAACAGAACAGAAACCGTTGTAAGCTGAGGCTCCGCGGTGGCAGATGGTTGTGGGACAAGCAGGTGTCTGGATTTTTACCTCTTTAAATATGGCAACCCTCTCGTAAATGACTCCACCCTTTATTTCACTCTGCCTTTTATGCCTCTGTGTGTCTACTGGGTTGGGATTGGGCAGGGCAGGGGGTGGGACAGGATGGGACAGGACGACCAGGTTGAGAGCCACACAAAACTTGAGAACTATGGTAAATTAATTGCCATTCTCCTGTTTTCATGCATGTTTCCCTCCACTCATGCACTGCTTACACCAGTCAGGCATGAATCCATTGATCCAAATCTGGGGTTCCTTTTGACCCCCACCCCCCAATTATTCAGAGCTGCTAGCCAGTGATCAACCTTACCTGCTCTATGAAACCAAATTATGTGGATGGAGTAAATTTCCAGGGGGGTTGGGGATCCATCCACATACTACATGAGGTGACTGAACATAATGAGACATGTTAAAGGTTATGTTTATGCATTTACTGATTTCCACCCACTGGGCAATCCTGCATCAAATGAAACAGCCCCATGTCTGTGTTATGGCAAAACCAGCATTCATCCATGTGTCAATTCTAAGTTCATAGAATCTCGCCCAGGTGTAATATTCACATGTCTAAATGCTGTATAATGCAAACAGGGTTAGAGGTCAGCCGCAGGTTTAAAACAGAAATTGTGTCGATGGAATCTTGGTTTTAATGTATGTCATATGCTCAAATCCACACCGTCCTAACCTTCCGGGTGTTTTTGGACTTCAACCCTACAAGATCTGGAAGGTCTCAGATTTGCTGGTTTTTGTTTATACAGTGGTACCTCAGGTTACATACGCTTCAGGTTACATACGCTTCAGGTTGCAGACTCTGCTAACCCATAAATATTATCTCGGGTTAAGAACTTTGCTTCAGGATGAGAACAAAAATCGTGCTACGGCGGCACGGCGGCAGCAGGAGGCCCCATTAGCTAAAGTGGTGCTTCAGGTTAAGAACAGTTTCAGGTTAAGTACGGACCTCCGGAACGAATTAAGTACTTAACCCGAGGTACCACTGTATAATTAAATAATAAAATCATAGATTCATATTATGCTTTGTAATATTTTTACATGAGCCAAATATATAGACACAACCGGCGTGCCAACTTGAATGAAATATGGGGGGGGGGGTAAGCCCCGCCCTGCATAATCAATCACATTATATGGTGCACACACACCATTTGAATGACAATGCCCATTAACTTTGGGGGCCCCCAGCCCTGTTAAATATTTTATTAGGGGGCGAAGACTCCTCAGACCCTAGGAGTTGCCTCCTATGGAGACAACAGGAATAACAGATGGTGGAATGTGGGGTGGATTTGCAGTAATAGCGTAATACTTATGGACTATATGGAATTGGCGGAAATGACTGGTAGAATCCGTGACCAGGGAGAAGAGTCGATGGAGGAAGACTGGAAGAAATTCAAAGACTATCTTCAGAAACACTGCAAAATTAAGGAATGTTAGAGTGATGTTGGACTGAAAACAAGTGGTTTCCAGCTGTACAGGTTAAAGTTAAGGATAGATTAAGATTAAAGATCAAGATTAAAGATGTTTAAAGAAATGGAAATTTGATAATAAAAGGGAAAAATTTAAAGTTGTATGACATTAAGATCAAGGATTAGGTTTAAAAAAGTTGAAGTTATATATCTTAACGAGTTATTAAATTAAAGATTGGGATTAAAAAAGTGGAAAAGAAACTGCTGGACAAACAATGTAGATTGGAATACAAAAGAGGGAGGTATGAGGAAGTCCAGAAAATAAGTAATTTAAAATTGGAAATGGAAAACAGAGTTTGTTTTTAATTGTTATGTTTTGTGAATTTATTGTTAAGTTTTGTATTGTTTTTTGTGTGTGTTGTTTTTCTTTTTTTTGTTTGTTTAAAATTTTAATAAAAAATTATTTAAAAAAAAAGGAAAGCAAACAACAACAACAACAACAACAACAACATGAGGACACCCCATTCCTGTTCTAAGAAAACTCTTTCTCTCTCCCTCTCCCCACAGTGTCTCCATTTAATTCTTTTGACTTGATGAATGTTGTCCTTAGCAGAACGGGGACGTGAACCTGAATTTAGAGCCTGTCTCTTGTTTTCCCCATGCAGAGATTATGGGTTGCTGCTGCAGTGACTACGATGATGACTGGGATGAGAACATAGAAATTTGTGAGACATGCCATTACCCTATTGACCTTGCCACCAAGTCCCAGGTGAGAAACCTTGCAAAAGTTGTCACACAATAACTAGATTAATTGCATCACTCCTTTTCTTAAAAGCCCACACTAGCTCCTTATCAGGTTTTGCATAAACTTCAAGACCTAGCTGCTCACTTTCCCCACTCTGATATAAGCCCAATTGCACCTTTCTACTGTTTAATCCATTTCCTGCCCCAACCTGTCCATTAAACTGCAATGCCTAATTTTAGATGCTGGTATTCAAGCTGTATGTCAACCTGCCCCAGCAGAGCAACTTTTAATTCTAGCTAACTCTGCATAAAGTGTTTGCCCCACTTTGCTTCCACATTAATTTTCTCATTAATGTGACAAAGCCCAAGAAAAATAAGGGGGAAGTCATAAAACTGTAGGGCTGGTGGGAAACCCGAGGATCACTGCTATGGAAGGATCCTTGATTTGAAGTTTGTTTCTTCCACAGAGGCTGATTTCCAATGGGTCTGAAATGTGCAATCCTCTGATATCTTGCGAAACTGTTCCTCCTCCCAGCTCACCTCTTCAAGGTTAAAATCTTGCCTTTCTTCCAACTTCTAACTATAGCACAAAGACTGTCTGGATTTATTGGGGATGCAAAAACAGTCTTGGAGTGGGTTGGTCAAATAGGCAACTCAAGAGCAGAGACCAGCTAGGCCAGGGGCCATTGCCAGTGTCATGGTAGCTAGCAGAGAGAGGCCCAGACCACTGTGCTCCCTGTCTTGAAAGACCTGCATTTCAGTGTTATCTGAAACATATCAAAGGAGCCTGAGATGAACTTTTCTGATCGCTCTACAGGCACCACTAAAAACATCCCTCCCACCCTCTACAATGGTGAATGCGTGGGTTGTTTCTGTGATTGATCCAGTCTTTGCTTGTTTAATAAATTTCTGTTCTGGTTTTCTATGCTGGCACATTCAAAACACCTAGTGAAGAATACAAACCATTACAACAATCAAAATCATAGCCAAGCATTGTGAGAATGTTCTGGGGTGCAGGAGAGGATATATTGTGAGATTATATCATAATCCAACTTGTGCTAACAAGTTCCCAAAATATCAGCAGAGTTTATGACATTCCCCTTTAAGTTCGCAACGGTAACGTCTGCACAGGTTCGCTAGAACTTCTATAATAATTACTCTGGTAATTTCCCCTTTTGTTCCCTCTTAAAATACAAGACACGACACAGTCTTTATAAAAGTATAAAAGAGTTTACTCACGTTCTGTTCACAATATAATCCCAGAAGGCAGACAGCTTTAAAAAGGTTACATACATTCAGAATCTATCTTGTAGCAAGATAGTCCTATCCTCCTCTTTTGGCTGAGAGCCAAGAGGGCATGTTGCTCCTTCAGAAGATGAAGATGAGAGAGGCAAGAGAGGCAAGAGAATGGCTGCCTGCCCTGTGCTTTTATCATTTACCTGCACAGGTGAGGCCACACCCACCTCTGGTCACATGCGGAGGAAGTCTGTCCCCAGGAAGTTTACCTGCTTGCTGGACAGACATCCCTCCCCATGTTCTAACATGTACACTCTAGGAATGTTGCCATTGACTGCTCCTGTGTTTACATCCCACAAGCATAAAACAACTAGCAAGACTAAGGTCAGAATAAGGCAGACTAAAAACATTTTAAAAACATCTATACACCATGGAGATGAACCTTGAGGGTCCTTCGCAAAGCAAGAAGGGACCAGCAGGTCTTCTTGGGAAGGGCATTCCACAGTTTTGGTGCCAACACCAAAAAGGCCCCGTGATTCAATCTTGAGACATGAGCAGGATCACATTATGACATGATAGCCCCTGAGAAAATATTAAAGTCCTTCATGGAGTACAACCTTCTCCAGCCTAGTGCCCTCCAGATGTTTTGGGTTACAAATCCCATTAGCACAGTCAGTACATGCTGGCTGCAGCTGATGAAGGTGGTGTTCCAAAACACCTGGAGGGCACCACGTTAAGGAAGGGGGGGTAGTGGATGTTATGTGAGCTGAATTCAAAATAACATCTCTTCTAGTCCTGAAACCTGGTTTGTCTTATAGTGACATGCTGATTTTCTTTATAGATAAACTGGTGGTTGCATTATATGATTATGAGTCGCTGCATGATGGAGATCTGGTGCTCCGGAAAGGTGAACAGCTCCGGGTACTGGAAGAGTAAGTCTTCTTCCACGTTAGAGTGTTACCTTTAGGTCTGGCACACCAACAAAATAATCATCTGTCACACCCAAGCAGCAGCAGCAGCTGCATTGTGGGTTTGCATCCCATGATACATGGCCTTCTACCATGCCATTCAGAAAAAAATGTTGACCTCTTTTGACCAAGACACTATGGTTGATACATGTCAATATGGTTGAACGCGCTCATACTTAGAATGGTAGATGCCATAAGTTGGACGTTCACTGAAACAGTGGGGGGAATTCCATATTTTTCGATGGTTGAAACCCTTATCATTGTGTCTGCTGGCATTTGGAGTTAAATGCTCAATAGAAGCTGAACTGAATAAAGAAATGAAAACAGATTTTCTTTTCCCCTGGAAGCAAATAACATAGAAATCAGCATTAAACTTGTGTCTATATTCCACTATATATTTGGAGGTGGCTTTCATGTCTTGTGAAAGCAGAAATGTAATGCAGAAACTAATAGCTATGGAAAGATTGGGGGAAATGGAATTAACTGCCGTGTGAATGCAGCCCAAGTGTGTTTGCTGGATTAGAATCAAAGGCAAAGGAACTCATTCAAGGTGACACAAGACTATCAGGTTTTGGTCTGTTCTTTCCCTTTGCCTGATGGATGTGGGATCAAGATCAAGCAAAGGTAGGAGAATGACTGGTATTCAATTCTTCCCCTTTAGGACTGGGGAATGGTGGAAAGCGCAGTCTCTCACCACTGGGCGAGTGGGTTACATTCCAAGAAACTTTGTTGCCAGGATGAACACCCTGGAGCAAGAGCCGTGAGTAAAAACATCACCACTTTTCTCCACATGCAGTGCCCCTCCAAAAACCCAATTAAATAGAAAGTAATCAACTGTATGATATTTTACAGTGCCATCCTAGGCATGGTTGTCCCAAAGAGTTTAATGGTGCTTAAGTGTGTAGCCAAAAAGTGCAATCTTGGATAGACATGTCTACTCAGGACCGTTCCTCTGAAAGTAAGCTACAATCTTATACCCATTAACTTCTCTGAGTACATCTCACTGAACTCAATGGGACTCATTGCTTAGTGTGGCGCTGTTAGTTAATCTGTTTGTTAAGGAGAAGGGCATGCAGAAGGCCTCATATTCACAAATGATTGGTGTGACTATGGCCTTTGGGTTCTCAAGATAGAGTGGGTGCTGGAAGGGGTGTTATTCCTTGGAAATTTTGTTTAAACACACACACACACACACACACACACACACACACCTGAAAAGTTGAACATTTTATTGATTAATGTTTTCTTTTGCTTTAAATTAAAATGGCTGTTGCTTACCTGAAGCATACTGAAAGGCTCAAACTCTGTAAACCTCTCTGTGCTACTTCTTTCTTGCAGCTGGTTTTTCAAAGCTCTCAGCAGGAAGGATGCAGAACGGCAGCTCCTGACCGCAGGCAACACGCACGGTGCTTTCCTCATTCGGGAGAGTGAATCCACCAAAGGTAATCAACAGCCGCCACCACTGTGCCCAAATGCCCAAATTAGGGGGCGGTGGGGGGAAGAGGGCCCTGGGCAGGCATGTGTGTCACACGCACCCACCCACCCCACACATGTATCCACATAGGGTCATTCTCTATCTCCAGGAATTGTAACAGAGGCTGGAGAAAGATTTAAAAAATTTAAGAGTCTGTGTGCACACTTTGCATCCAGTGTGCTCCTGCTTCTGGTTTGGGAAGTGGTGTATACACATGACTTGTAGCTACAATCCACATCTATATTGTCGTTTCTTATGAAATACAGTGGTACCTCGGGTTACAGACGCTTCAGGTTACAGACTCTGCTAACCCAGAAATAGTACCTCGGGTTAAGAACTTTGCTTCAGGATGAGAACAGAAATCATGCGGTGGCGGCAGCAGTGGGAGGCCCCATTAGCTAAAGTGGTACCTCAGGTTAAGAACAGTTTCAGGTTAAGAATGGACCTCCAGAACAAATTAAGTTCTTAACCTGAGGTACCACTGTACTGTGCTTTGGCATATTTCCCCCCAAGCTAGCTTTGCTCTTAATAGAGAAAAAGAAGGTCCTAGCTGCGCTCTAAGATGGGAATGTGTACGCAGCCTGAGTTGAGAGAATTTCCCTAACCTTCCTTTTGTACACACAAACACCCCTTTCATCCCACCATTGGGTGATAGTTTACCAAGCCATGCTCAGGCTAGAGCCACTGAGATAACAGGATGCTGGCTTAGATGGGCTATTGGCCTGATCCAGCAGGCTCTTCTTTAGTTCTTAAGTTCTAAACCAGAGTGTTCAGCAGGTATTGATTCTTGCTACTTCTTGAATATTATCTCATTGGTATGGTGCCTGGCTGGACCACTTTGAGGGTGCTGTTCCATTCTGTTGGAAGAACCAGAAGAGATTCTTAACATTTGAGGAAAATTTGGGGTTCCTGTTGAAAATAAAATATCTGAATGATTTTGCGGTGTACATAAAATAATTTTTTTAAGATCAGCATCATTTTCTTGGAGTGTGGGTCCACAGAGGGGGAAAGAGGAAGGGCCAGGGGGACAAAAAGCTGAGGGGAAAATATCTGTGAAATTTTGATGGAGGGGGAGGGAATCAGCAAGGCAAGTGCTGGGGGGTTTTTGTGTGGGGGGAGTGGGGAGGAGCCCACATGTCTCTGGGTATAAGAGGACAAAAGAAATCCAGGATCCAACCTCTTCACTCTGTTTCCTTGTGTGTCTCCTCAGGTTCCTTTTCCCTCTCCATCCGTGACTTTGACAAGAACCAGGGAGAAGTCGTGAAGCACTATAAGATCCGCAATATGGACAACGGTGGCTTCTACATCTCCCCTCGCATCACCTTTGAGAGCCTGCACCAGCTGGTGGAGCATTATATGAGTAAGACTAGAGAGGCCACCTGACCCTGAAAGCCTCTTTCTGCCTGTCCTGGCTGCTGGGAGGAAGGACACTGCTCCTTCTCCTGGAGGGGGCTCTTGTCCATGAAAGCTGGTGCCACCAATACATCTGTTGCTCAAAGCTAGCTTTCACCCATTTGGTGCCCTGGCCTGGGCTGCCCATGAAGCTTGGTGAGGCAGTCACCTTAGGTGGCAGGTTGGGGACAGCTGGGAGGGGTAGCAGATCTGGCCCCACAAGGAGCGTGACACTTGCCACCTCCTGTGCTTGTTGCCCACTGCTGCCACAGGCTATCGAGGGCGAGTCACAATAGCTATGCTCTGCCTCTGGTCAGAGGCAGCAAATGCTTCTGAATACCAGCTGCTGGAAACTGCAGGAGGGGAGAGAGCTCTTGTGCTCAAATCCTGCTTGCAGGTTTTGCACAAGCAGCTGGTTGGCCACTGTGAAACCATTGGACTAGAGGGCCATTGGCCTGATCCAGCAGGCTCTTCTTGTGTTCTAATGTTCTCTAAGCCGAATGGTGTAAACACATCTTCTGCTGCCCCCGCTCCTGTCCTTCAGCTTCTGTCTTTCTTTTGTTTCTTCACAGGCAACACAGATGGGCTTTGCACCCGCCTCGGCAAGCCCTGCCAGACGCAGAAGCCACAGAAACCCTGGTGGCAGGATGAGTGGGAGGTGCCTCGGGAGAGCCTCAAGCTGGTGGAGAAACTGGGAGCCGGGCAGTTTGGAGAAGTTTGGATGGGTGAGTAGTAGGGGTGGCAGCAGGGAAAGACGGGTGGAGGCAGGGGTCATCGTCATCCTGCTTGCCCATAGATTTCAGCCAAGGAACCTCAGCTTTGATTTTGGAAAACCCAGCAAGTTTCTAGCCCTCATGGCGATAAGATTTAAAGCATGTCCAGCAACATTTCAGTGATTAAAAAACGAGGACAGTCTTGGGGTCCTTTAACACCCCAGTTCTTCCACCAGACATCCATTGGTCCCTTCACTCATCAAGGGTGCCCTTGTGGAGGTACATGCATTGCCAGGTGCGATCCCAAATCCTGGCTCCAGTCCTCCTGAGCTGAGATCCTCACTCTGTCCCTCGGCAGGTTACTATAACGGCCACACCAAAGTCGCCATCAAGAGTCTGAAGCAAGGCAGCATGTCGCCTGAGGCCTTCCTGGCTGAAGCTAACCTGATGAAGAAACTGCGGCATCCCCGGCTGGTGAGGCTTTATGCTGTGGTGACCCAGAAGCCCATGTACATCATCACTGAGTACATGGAAAAAGGTGAGGCGCTAGACAGCATTACCTGCTCCTTCACTCTGGCAGAGCTTCATTTTGAGCCGGGGGTTCTCCAGAGACTCCAGCCATGGAAGGGCCGTAGCTCAGTGGAAGGGCCTTTGTTGTGCATGCAGAAGGTCCCACGTTCCATCCTGAACTTCTCCTGGCAACGTTGGGAGAGAGTCCCGACAACTTGCTAGTGTCCAATGCAGCAGCAGGACAGCAGACAGAGCCTTCTCACCTGCTCAAGATGGTACCATTGACTCCCACTGCCCAGAATTTCCCAGAAATCAAATCACTAACGTGACACTCCCCCCTTCTGCAGTTTCTAAATTTGTCCAGTCCTCTTGTAAAGCTGAATTTCTGGCCCCCACTGCCTCCGGTGGGAGGGACATAGTTTAAGTATGCAGTGAGTGAAGAAGTTTTTTCTAGTCTTATAGGGCCCAACCTAAGGCCCTCCAGATGTTCTGGACTGCCTGTGTACTGATGGCGTTGCAGTCCAAAGCATCTATAGGTCTTCAGGTTGGGGAAGGCTTGTGCTTCAGGGTTCTTTTCCTGTTGGGAGAGATGACTGGAGACAGCACTCAAAGGAGAGCATTGATACCTGCGTATTTGCACAAACATTAAGCATGAGGGAACAGGCAAGCATCCAAACCGAAAGTGCTTATCTTTAAAGCAGTTTCTCTGAAGGCAAATAGCCAACTAAGGCTCCTTCTTCCAGGCAGCAAGAATACAGGAATGTTCACTTGATTGTTGTCTTTAGAATGGCTCAGAATATGGCTCCAACGTATTATAAACAGCAGATATGTCACCTTAAGTGGATTCTGGCCCATTAGGCACGAGAGAACTTGAAGCTGGCAGCAAGAGGAAACACAGGGGCCTCTCCAACTTTGATAGGCAAGCAAAGCTCAAGTCTTTGTTTGGCTGACCACACGGCAACCACACGTCTAACACAGTAGCATCTAGCCACCAAAGCTGATCGAAGATGCATCTTTTAGGCGTTTGTGCACACTGAGAAAATATCAGTTGGCCACCGCTGTCTATTAGCATGCAATCAACCTTTGCTGTCCATTAGCATGCAATCAATTGACCTTCACTGCCCATTTGTGTGCTACAGAAAGATGACCCTCAATGTATGACACCACACACAGTACCTCTGAATGTTATAACCACTCTTCGTTCAGATTTGGGCTGTGCCTGGGATAGAATGAAAAGCAAGAAAAATATGGAAAGGGAGTAAAATTAGCCGTGGGGTTTTTTTTATCCCCTGCCCATGACAGAGGGTGCTGACTCCCATGTCCCCACTCCTCCTCCTGTTCTCCCTCTCTTGTATCATCAGATTTGTTTTAGACACTTCCTCTGCGGTGCCCTTTGCTCTAGATTAATGGAGGTCAGAACCCCAGCTCGCTTGCTGGATTTGGCATAAGGCAGTGGAGAAAGAGAAGGAAATTAAAGGTTATTGTGCGACACAGCTACAGCTACAATGGGAGCAGCCTGCCAAGGCACAAAAATAGCCAGAGGATTTGGGAGGGGTTTCCTGCTTCTCAAAGCTTTTACCACCCATTTTGGCTCTCATATGTCCCTTCAGCAGGCTGCACCAGAGATGGTGTCTGCTTAGAGCTGACATTTATCCTTCTACTTCTCCATCCATTATCCATCATCATCAAAAATTGTCAAGCATCACCAACAAAGAGAAATAACAGAGTCTTGCTATCTAAAAAGCCATGATGACACTTTAGGGGGAAAAGGGGAGAAGAGCAAAAAGGAAAGAGAATAAATGGTGGGATGCCAAAAATGCATAGCTGTCAGCAAAGGTCAAGGGAAGGGTCTCTTTCTCCCTCCAGCTCATGCAAAGAGGCCGCCTGGCCAGCTTCTAGGAAGCTTGTGGGCCTTTTCAAGATGACCTGTTCGTTGAGCATCTATCCTGATTCATTTGCAGAAACTTTGCAGGGAGGTTAGATAACACCAGTTGTTTATTGAGCGTTCATTCTGATTTGTTTGTGGGGAGGCAATTCAAAGAAATTGCTCTCACACTTACCAGTGCATTTCCCGCTCCCCCCCAAGTCCAGGGTTCTTTGCAGGTGGGTTTCTTGTACAGCATCCACTTTAATTAGACAACCTGAATTTTCCTGTTAGCAACTGAACCCCCACCCCCCTTAGTGATGGTCTACAAGCAGCACACATTCCCTGGGGTGAACAACATATTCAAGTTCACAACCACAGCTGAGTGGTAGCAGCTCGGAACTCTAAAATAGGTCAGCAGAACTGTGCAGAGATATACATACTTCACATATTTTAATAGGCTTTTTCCCTTCCCCATACAGGAAACTTGGTGGATTTCCTCAAAGCTGTTGAAGGCATCAAGCTGACCATTTATAAACTGCTGGATATGTCAGCACAGGTGAGGATAAGAGCGGGCAAGGAATAAAACCTGGGAGGATGGTGGAAGAGGACCAGTTGGTGGGAATATATGATATGGAGAGATGGGCTGGGTGTTTGGATTGCATTTCCTAAAAACTTAATTTCAGCACCAGAATAAATGTGATGAAGGATTTCTGCTGGGAAACAGAACCTAGAATAATGACCACATTACAAATGAAACATGGGGTGTCTAATCTTTCCATCAGATAATGGACTTAGCTTACCTAAGACATAGGTAATAAGGTTTTATTTAACTTGTGCTCAGTGCAAACTGCCATTTTTCTTGGTTCATATCTGCTGCTGAGGGGACGAGGCCCAGCACCCTCACAGAACTACAATTCCCAGAGTTCTGTGCAGGAAGTCAGAATATCCAAAGCAGTTGAAAGCCAGTGTCAGACCTGGAGCAGGATTCACATGCTTGCTCAGCCATGAAACCCCTTGGGTGATCCTGACAGTCACTATCATTACTGCTCAACCTGTCCTACCTCACAGGATTGTTGTGAGGATAAATATTTGTATGTGCGAAAGGCTCATGTGCCAGCTTATGTTCCTTGGTGCAGAGCTAAGATATTAATGAAACAAACATTAGAAAACCAAGGACACACAGCCGGGAAGAAATTTGCCCTTGTTGAAATTCTGCCCGCTGGGCAGCTGTGAAAAGCACACAACATCTGCCAGAAGAAAAGGGGAAAGATGCATCAACGGAGTGAGTGGAAAACTGCAGGGAAAGTTGTTATTGGTTACATTCACCTGTCTGGTGCAGTGGTTAGAGTGGTGAGGCTAGACCTGAGTTCAAATCCTGCCTCAGTCATGAAGTTTCTTGGAGACTGTCAGCCATGCACTATCCTCAAATGGCTATCATTCCAACCTTCCTAACAGGGGAAGGAATCTTATACTGGGTTGCTGGGAGGAAGGGAGCAGTGGGATGAAATTGCAATAAAGAAATATGTAACAACCCCATCCTCTTCTCTCATAAAGATAGCGGAAGGAATGGCCTTCCTTGAAAAGAAGAATTATATCCATCGTGACCTGCGAGCTGCCAACATCTTGGTGTCAGATATGCTCTGCTGCAAGATTGCTGATTTTGGCCTGGCCCGGCTTATAGAGGATGAGTACACAGCTCAAGAGGGTGGGTCTTCTTCCTCAGCCTGGTCTTGTCAGCTGCTGCTTGCCTCTTTGTGACAGGAAAGGGTCCTTGCAGGGTCCAGCCAGCTGGTACCACCCCCCAAGGTGTAAATGTACCTGTCCTGGCTTATCTGTGGCCCAACACAGAGGCGGGGGTGGGGTGAGGATGTAGATTGGGATATACTGGTAGATGACTAATGGATGATCAGCAAATAGATCAAGCGAGGTTTCCAATTCCCACTCCCCACATTAACGACAATAAATGGCTTTTCTCTTCCCCTCTGCCTAAACCCTCCTTCCTGAAACCCTGGAGAGCAGCCGTCAGTCAGTGTAGACACTACTGCGCTAGATGAACCAGTGATCTGACTCAGTGTAAGGCAATTTCCTATGGCAATTGGTTCCAACCCTGAGTCAAAGGTTTTTTTCTTTTTGGTAACATAGTTTTTTATCCTTGTCATCTTTAATCATTGAGATATATCTTTGTTTACAGTAGAGCATATCAACATGCAACAATTACATAAAAAGAAAGCAACAACAAACACTCAGATAAATGTTTCTGAATAGTTTAACAAAGTTGTATATACCAAAATTACTGCAGTTATTACAGTTACGTCATTATGTATAGTAAGCTGTATCACTTAGATTGGCGAGCATAAGTAAAATTTTTCTTGCATCAAGTGTCAATAACAATCACATCAGAATTTTACCTCTGGCTGTGCCTCCCCAGTCACTATGGTTGGTGGAGATTGAGGATCTAGTAAAAAACAACAGCATAGATCCTTCAAGCTTGAAGGCTGTCCACAATTGGCCTAAAATGGGGTTGCTGTGGGTGGGAGGAGGACAGTTTTGCAAAGCTTCTTGAGTGGGGAAAATTATTCCTTGCCAGAGGTGACATGAGGCTGAGTGGCCATTTTACAAGCCTGCATAATGTGGAATTACTTGATTTCACAGGTGAAAATATCCTCACATGTGCAGTTCCCTCTGTTACATGCCCACACCATCATAGTCACTTTTTCTCTGCCAGAACTTTCTACCAACCCGGGGGCTAGTGCCTTTTATGGACTTATATGTGCAGATAGGCTTGCGGAAAAGATGATGTGCTTGCATTTCATGGCACACACACCTGCATAAGTACTGGAAGCTGGATCCCTAGAATGTGGGTCATGATGCTCCCCCCCCCTGCAAAGTCTTATGGGACTCAGTGGTTCAGCTGCTCTCCTGCCCCTTTCCCACTGCAGGTGGGTGAAGACATATAATAAGCACTAGTCCCCGTTCCCCATCTCACAGCTTGGCAACTGACAGCCACAGCTGCTTAGCCTAGGCCTTTGCTTCAAGCAATAACTCACCTCTTGAGGAAACCAGAGCCTGCTGGGGTGGGGGGGCTGCTTTGTGCGTGAGAGAGAGGGAAGAAGTGTGAGCAAGTGCTTTGCACACAGAGGCTGCGCTGGGGGGCCTGCGGTTTTGAGCTGAAGCAACCTGTAGCTGGAGCTCTCTGAAGAGATTTTTCACCCAGCAGTGCAGTGAGGAGAGAGCAAGTCCCCTTCTCAGATAACAAGGCCTGCTTCTTCTTCAACCTGGTTCCCTCTGTTACATGGAGAGCAGGAGGACCCAGTCTTTAGAAGGAAGCCATTTCTCCTCCTCCTCCATCTTTTTTTGGGGGGAAATCCAGTCTAGTCCTTCTCCCCTCCTCATTTCTCTTGACTACCAAGGTATAGTCAAGCTATTTTAAAAGAAATATATTACACAGTGGCTTCAGAATTGGTGTGTGAGAGAGTGTGTGCGCATGCTCACAAACAAAATATTAGGCACCAGCAAAAATGATTCTTTTCCACCCGTCCTTTGGCCTTCAGTTATATGTGGCCTCCTTCAGTGTTAGTTCTGCCTTTTTATAAATATGAATGTACTTTTAGCTTTGAATTGTTTTAGTTCCATGTTGGTTTTAATGTATGTGGGATTCTTTTTTTGTAAGTTGCTTCAAGTTATTTTTTAATAATAATATAGAACCTTTTGCCAACCTGATACTCTCTAATGTTTTGGACTACAACTCCCATCAGCCCAAGTCAGAGAAGCATTTTGGCTGGGGCAGATGGCGGTTGGAGTCCAAAACATCTACCAGGCACCAGCTTTTTGAAGGCTGGTAGGACACTCCCTCTAGCGCCAGAGGCAGCATCCCTCTGACTGAGTACCAGTTGGTAGAGATCATGGGTGAGAAGAGGGCTGCTGTCCCACTCACATCCCGCTTATGGGCTTCCCATTTGATTGGCCGCTGTGAGGACAGGATGCTGGGCAAGATGAGCCTTTGTCTGGATCCAGCAGAGCTCTTCTTATCTTCTAATGAAGGTCTAAATGAGATCCAGTTCCTGTCACCTCTCCTCCTGCTTATAGTCAGTAGCGTTTATATTTCCAGCCTAGGTTGCCTGAACAAGCAGCCAGAAATATTTACCAGTGGTACAAATGTGAATTTTGCATCTATCCCTGCAAATCTGCATTGGGAAAGGTTGTAAGGATGGGAAAAACAAGTCTTTGCTCGGGACCAGGTTGTAGGTCGGCAGGGCAGTCATTGGTGTCAGGTGGAGGTAGAGCTCCTTCTTGTGGTCAGCGCGTTAACAGCCACCAGTTACAGCACCAGGAAAAGTATCTGAATTCTGCACCAAGGATCATATAACCCTGCATTCTTTGTGTATTTCAGGAGCAAAATTTCCCATTAAGTGGACAGCCCCAGAGGCTATCAATTATGGGACATTCACCATCAAATCAGACGTTTGGTCATTCGGGATCTTGCTGACCGAGATCATCACCTATGGGCGGATTCCTTATCCAGGTCAGAATTTCTCAGCAGCAAAATGCAACCATTTCCCCTCCTGCACAAAGTACTCTGTATCCAGAGGGAGAACCAGAGTCCTTTATGAAAACAAAACCACAAAACCCTTCTCCTGCCTTGCACTGTGAATTCAAAAATTCAGCCAGAAAGCCACACTAAAGTCTCCACTGGTGGAAAATCGGGAGGAGGAAAATCATTCTATACAGATAGTCTTAATAGCTGGAAATAAAATGGATAGATGATCTGCAGCACTGAAAAAAACATTTCCATAAACTCTTACCTGTGGAAAGCAAATGTGGTGTAGTCATTTGAGAACTGGACTAGGAGCTAGGAGACCAGGGTTCAAATCCCCACTCAGCCATGGAGCCCACTGTGTGCTCTTGAGCCAGTCACTGTCTCTCAGCCTTACTTACCTCACAGGGTTATTGTGAGTACGAAATGGATAGGGGTAGAAGTGTGTAATCCACCTTGAGCACTTTGGAGAAAAGATGGGGTATAAATGTAATAATGAAATAAATAAATAGAACAAGCAGAAAAATAGCATCAGCTGCTGGCTGGAACTGATGGAAGTTTTCGTCCCAAACATCTGGAGGGCACCAGGTTGGGCAAGGCTTGTACATGACTTTTGAAATCTGACCAGAAGAGCAAAGTGAGCAGATGCATTGTAGATGGCTATTAATGGCTATTAACCACAGTGGCAATGCTCTGATTCCATTGTCACCTGCTTCTGGCAGAGACGCTTTGCCCTGGGCCCTCAACCTGTGTTTGTTTGCTGAACAACTTGGCCATTATCAGGTAGGTAGGACACAGAAGCTGAGCCCAGCTATTAAGAGTGTGCCTCTCCAAGCACTGATTACATTCTAACACTTACTAAATCTAGAATTTATGGGTGCCTGACACCTACAAACTCTGGCACCCAAAACTCATAACGGTATTTTAGAATTCTCCTTGGATCAAACATTTTGTTCACTTAAGCTGCATATGCACTGCGCCTTTGAAGCACATTCCCTCCCTCAAAGAATTATGGGACTGTAGTTTGTTAAGGGTGGCTGAGAACTGTGACAGGTAAACTACAGTGCCCAGAATTATTTGAGGGAAAGAATGTGCTTCAAATGTGCTTTGAAGGTACCACCTTAGTTTCTTTAATGCAAAATGAAGTGATGGGGCAGGTGCCTGCCTAGACAAAGTCTTCTTTGGGGCGACCGGAAATCTTTTCCATTGAGCATATACTAGCCTCAACCTAATGAGTTTGCTATGAGCTTCCTGAGTCACCAGGATGGTTAAAATATTGCACACAAAGCTTCTATGATTCCCTGTCCCACCTTTTATTCCTTGATCCTTTCTTCGGGTGGTAGTGGTGGTGTTAACATCAAGTCTGAGGAACTCTGAAACTCAAAAGCCAATTTGCTGCTTTGCGGTGTTTTTTAGTTGGTCCTAATACAGGTGTGTGGGACGCAGGTGGCGCTGTGGGTTAAACCACAGAGCCTAGGACTTGCCGATCAGAAGGTCGGCGGTTCGAATCCCCACGACGGGGTGAGCTCCCGTTGCTCGGTCCCTGCTCCTGCCAACCTAGAGTTCGAAAGCACGTCAAAGTGCAAGTAGATAAATAGGTACCACTCCGGCGGGAAGGTAAACGGTGTTTCCATGCACTGCTCTGGTTCGCCAGAAGTGGCTTAGTCATGCTGGTCACATGACCTGGAAGCTGTACACCGGCTCCCTCGGTCAATAAAGCGAGATGAGCGCCGCAACCCCAGAGTCGGCCACAACTGGACCTAATGGTCAGGGGTCCCTTTACCTTTAATACAGGTGTGGGGGATCTTGCTTCTTGGACTCCAGAATTGGCCTGGATGTCCTTGGGACTACCCTGTCTCCTAGTCTACCCATATATGCTACGATCTTTCCCAGGCTCCTTCTAACATAACACTTTGCGTTGTGGCTGTAGGGATGAGCAACCCAGAGGTCATACAGAATTTGGAGCGAGGCTACCGGATGCCAGCACCTGAAAACTGTCCGGAAGAGCTGTACAAACTGATGCTTCAGTGCTGGAAGGAGAACCCTGAGCAGCGGCCCACATTTGAGTTCCTGAAAGGTGTCCTGGAGGACTTTTTCACTGCCACTGAAGGACAATATGAGCAGCAGGTGTGACAATGGACCTCAGAGCATCCCGAATAATACAATGCAAAATCTCCCTTCATGTTGCTCCCCTCCTCCCCCACCGAGACATTTTGTAGCAAGATGCACCTTGAAGACTTGGAGGAACCTGATGTATCCCAGACTTCAGATGAAATTACACCCTTTGAGTGAGACTTAGATGTCTTTCCTCATAATCCCTGTGGAGGAGAGATGAGGGTGGGGTGGGGCTGCAGCTATTTTTTTTTTTTTAAACATAATTTTTATTAACAGGCCAATCCAATCACATTATTTCCAAATCATATTACTTCCAAATTATACAGCCAGATTTTTAAATTTTGTTGGGGGTACCCTTACATCAAGCTCCGAACGAGAATCAAAACATCACTTGTGTTACTGCTTTTATCAAACGATTCTATCCAGCTCTGTCCAGATAGTCTCTTTATTACTTCTTCATCTTCTTGTTGTTATCATGTATTCCTTTCTTTGCAATCTCTGATAATCTTCGCGAGCAGGTTAAGAACAAACAACATCTGCGTGGATTTTGCACACTCCAGAAGTCATATCTCATAAGGACAGCCGCCATTACTCCCCTTCTTCAAAAATTTATCCTCGGTCCGTCCTATTAATTTTACCAAGCTTGCCACATATATCGCAAAGGGGCTCTGCCAGGTTATCACATTCAATCCATCATTTGCATTCCAATGACCCTGGTCCTCCTCCCCTTGTCTTTCTTCGACAAGCCTGTCTTAGCAAGACGCCATTAACAACTGCGTCATAGAATTTTCCTTCCGCACTCCATATTTACCAGTCCTCTCTTCAATCAATAATTCACTCCACACAGCTTTTAAATTCTTGCTTGCGATTAGTAAAAGTCGACGATTCGTCTCTCTTGGATGGAGGTTTATAAATACTCACATGAGGCAAAGAAAATAAAAGTTTTTTCCTCCACCCCCCCCTCTTTTTTGCTCCGCACATACCAGTCTCGTAATGGTGGTTCATCGCTTGATTTATTTGTCTCCTTCCGTCGCTCCAAACACAGAGATGCATTAATCAGCAGCCTTATCTCTCGAACTTTGCTTGATGTAAGTGCTTCAGCTTCATTCCAATTATATATTTCCAATTATAATTCCGAGCTGAAGCTAACCAGCAGGCGCTGATTGGAATCGGCGTCAGGAAGAGCTGACTTCATCGAGGGCTCGTGCCAAGTGACCGGCACCCCCGACTCTCGGATCCGGGGGTGCATTGTGGACATCGCTGGCAAGGCAGCCCCCCCCATCTCCTTGGGGGGGTAGGAAGACTGCATACTTCCCATAGCAGCCTCTTAATTACCTCGTATGGGTCAGAGAGATGTTATTGTCGGCCATCTTCCAATGCGCCACTTGGTGGCCCCCGGGGCTGCAGCTATTATAGGGAAACAGTTATTGCTTATATTATTTCAGATTTTCAAGGACGGGATGGGGGGAACCTTCTAGGCTAATCCATGAAGAGCTGACTTTAAAAAGCCCTTGCATTCACTCTTTTAATAAATGCTGAAAAACAACAACAACAAAAACCAGAGTTCAGTCCTGCATGGAAAAAAATAAGTTGTGATTCAATAATCCTAGATGCTGTGATTTATTACGATATACAGTGGTACCTTGGGTTAAGTTCTTAATTTGTTCTGGAGGTCCGTTCTTAACCTGAAACTGTTCTTAACCTGAAGCACCACTTTAGCTAATGGGGCCTCCCGCTGCTGCCGCTCCGCCGGAGCACGATTTCTGTTCTCATCCTGAAGCAAAGTTCTTAACCCGAGGTACTATTTCTGGGTTAGTGGAGTCTGTAACCTGAAGCGTATGTAACCTGAAGTGTATGTAACCCGAGGTACCACTGTATTCTCCAGGGCAAAGACCTCTACGTTTTTAATTTTGTATTTGTTTTGCTTATGTTATTCTGCAAAGTGCCACACATAATAATGGTGCTGTATAATTAATTAGCAAACAAAGTAAAAAAAATACAGATAATTGTGAAGGCATGCTGTCCATGCTCAGAGGCACTTGCTTCTCTGTGACTGCCATGCAGCATATTCCAGAACTGAGCACTGGCTATGATAACATGATCTGGGATTGATCCTGGGTGAGCTTAGTTCAGTCTAAGGACTCTTGCTCTGGAATGAATACATAGCAAAGATGCTCTGTTAACTGTGCAAATAAACAGCAGATTTTATTCTGAATTTTTGGCTCTTGCAGAAAACAAAAATGGTAAAGTGCTCTCTCTCTCTGTGTTTAGATTTGTGCTGAACTCAATTAAAGACTTGTGCAGCGCTGGGTACTGTGGTTGTCAGCCAAACCCACTCACCCTGCTCCCTTGGTTATGTGTGTAGTGCATTGACCCATGATTTGCAGGGGAGGGCAAGATTTGGAGGTCCTCATTCAGGGCAGGTGAAGCAGAGAAGGGGAAACAGGTTGGCTGAGCTGGAAAAGCAGGAGATGAGGAAAATAGAACCTTGGAGATGGGGGAGTGGGAATTTGGGGCTTTGGTGGAGAGGAAAGGAAAGTGCTATAGGTATGCTGTTTTCTCTTCCTTTGGGCCCTTCCAGAACTGTTGCTATTTTTAGCTGAAATTCGATCACATACCTGCAAATTGAGGTTGTGCAATTCAAATTGATTAGCGATCCCGCACAACAAACCTGATCCCCCAACCTGGACTTTTTTGCAATAGGAAAAATGATGGGGGAAATGCACTGGACAGTGTTAAACAGCAATTTGCTTGGTGCATCATTCTATAACCTCCCTGCAAACAAATCTGAATGAATGCTCAGTCCTTGTCTAACCTATATGCAAAGTTAGTGCAAAAGAATCGGGAGGAATGTGAAATAAACAGGTCATCAGAAAGCAGCCTTTATGTGCTAAACATGCTAAGGCTGCACTCTGGCACAGGATCATATAATTGTAGTGCTGGAAGGGACACCAAGTCCAACCTCCTGCAATGTGAATAGCATCCTGAAATGTCATGGATCCTCCATTTTGCTTTAAGATGAACACAATGCTATATTAATTTTAAAAAATATGACACAAACAAATATTTTCTTTGTAAAATATAACTTTTGAAAATTATATTGACTGATTGCTTTTAGAGATTTATATCCCAAGGTATATTTACAAATACACCTCTAAGCCATCTACAATTAAAATCTATATACTCTAAATAAAAGGCCTGAGATAATAAATGTAAATTTACGGGCCTGATATATTACAAATGTTAAACTTCCAGACCTAAGCTATGTAGCAGCTCAGGTTTAGCCATCTGTCTCTTAATAAACTTTGAAGAGGGGCGGCGGGGGCATGAAACTCCGGAGTTGCACAGTGGAAGTTTGACAGGGGGGAATCTGCGCACCATTACAGGTATCACGGTGGGGGAAGCATGCGTAGCTTCCCCCGCTATGATAATGGCACACTCCAGCTTGAAATTTCACATTCTTTGTTGGGTGAGGAGGTGGGCATCTCCATTTCCTCGGCGCGGGGGGTTGGAAGAGAGCGATTCACAACTACCCCCTATGTTATGTGGAAATGGTATAATCCCGTCATACGTACACCCCTTTACTTTTCCTCCTGTGACGAAATGGTACAGTCCAAGCAACTCCTCGCCGCTCGATCTAACCTGTTCGCTCGAAACGCCCCGCCTCATCAGACTTCTCATTGGTCGCTGTTGGAACATCTCCACTTGCAATAGGCTGTGGAGATTGGAAGGGGCGGGGATGGTGCCCCCTCCCGCCGCCGCCCTCCCCCAGGCGGGCTCGGTTGCGTGGCGGGACTCGGGTCCGAGCTGAGGAGGCGACGGAGGCGGCGGAAAATGGCGCTGACTCAGGGGACCAAGCGGAAAGTCTGCTACTACTACGACGGTGGGTCGGGGGGTTCTGGGCTCGCGGACGGGCCGGCGAGGGAGCCTCTGGACTGGGGAGGGGGCAGCGGAGGAGGAAGGCTGGCGGCGGGGTGGGGGAGGGGCAGGCTGCGTGCAGAGGGGGCTGCTCGCTATGGGGCGGGGAGGGAGCAAGTTATAGGGGGCAGGGAGGAAAGCAGGGGCGGTGCAGCCTCCTGGTTTTTTGGGAGGAAGGGAGGGGATGAAGGCGGGGGTGGGAGTTGACGGGGGGCAGCGATGAAAGGAGCTAGCGAGGAGGGGAAACTTGAGTGAGGGTCTTGTAACCTGGGGGTGGGGAAGGGGCGAGGGTCTTGGGAAGGGGGGACGGAGGGAGCCACAAGGGGGAACAGTTATGTATTTCATCCCTGCTTTTGCTCCAAAGGAGCTCCAGGCGGTGTTAACGCTCTCCTTACTGTCACAACAACCCTGCGAGGTAGGTTAGGCCGAGAATAAGGATTGACTTGGCCCAAGGTCACCCACTGGGACTCGTGCCTGGCTCTCCCCAGTCCTAGGCCAGGCCAGCTGCACCGCACCAAGAATGAGGGGGTGATGGTGGCAGCAGCTCTGGAGAAGGGGAAGGAGGACGCCAGTGCAGACCTCTAGAGGGAAGTGGACTCTTTAGGGGCATCAAATAGCTCGCAGCGTTTGCAGAGCAGGCGTCCGAATCACTTTTTGTTCACTCCTTGTGATTTTGGGCATCCTTATGCCAACTTTACACAGTAGGCCGGCATTGTCGGTCCCCTGGTCTTGCAGAAGGTGGGGCTGGAGGGGGCGAGATTGGGGGTGCCTTCCCTGAGGCCCAACTAGTGAGTTTGTGAGAAAGGCACTTGGGCTCCCCGACTTGTGCTCTAACCGACCCCAGCGCTGAGGAAGACTCTTGTGGGGCAAGAGCAGGGAAATGTGAGTCTTGCTCAAGGAAGTTGGGTGCACAGGTTGTGGGTGGAGTGAGGAGGAAGGAATAGTGAACAAGGTTTTTGGGAAGAGAGGAAGGGAAGGTGGGTGTTGTGGGGGCAGAGAGGATGGCTCAGGAAGAAGGAACAGTGGTGATGTCTTGGGGTACGGGTGAAGATGGGGTGGGCGAAGATTTAGGGAGCTTCAGGGAGGGCTCCAGGGAGAGAGGACTGTGGAGATGGCTTATGGAAGGGTAGTGGGCAGTGTTAGAAACTGAGATATGAAAGCTAGGAGCTAAATGGCACCTTAAACCTAGGTTATGGGCGCAACAACGGAATGTCTAGGCACGCTTTTTTACAACAAAAATAACAAAGCTGAAAATGAATAAACTGCAGCTAAAATTATGTTCATTTTTCACGTGGTCTAATTATTCCCCTGCCCACCCCCCTAATATTCTTAAGAGGGTCTCTTCTCCAGTCTTCAGAGAGTAGCTGGAAGTGGGGAGGCAGAAAAGGGTCCTTCTTTCCTTCCACTCTGCAGTTTTAATCTGAAATCTTAGGCGCAGTACTGTACCCAGAGCTCAGAAACTGCTCACGCTAATGAAATTCCCAGTTGCAAAATTCACCTAGAACAATGGGAGTTTTGAACACTGGCAGTGGGCTAATAGCAGGGAAGTCAGTCAAATAGGAAAATTGGGTGGTGGGAAACAGGGAAAACTTGAGCTAGGCAGGACAGACTTGCAAATAAGCCCAGTAGAATTATTGGTTTTCAGACATTTCCTTTAGCTTACATTCCCACACATATCTCCTTTAACTAAAAGGGGCAAAAAAAGTATCATTTTCAAGTTTGCCAAAGGTTTCCTGTCCTTTGGAGGTGGTTTCACTACTGGATATTAAGTCGCTGTCTAAAAGCTTATGGGTAGGGGAAGATGTTCAGTGAGATTGGTGAAAAATTAAGAGGGGAGAATTAAGAGCTTTGCAGAGGGGGTTTTGAGGTGGGATTGGGGGAAATGAGAATTGTAGTGTTGAGGTTGGTGCTTTGGGCAGGCAAGAAATGGACAGTTGGTATGGTCTGAGTTGTGGAAGAGGGGTAATTTTCAAAGCGCATTGGAAGAGGAACTGGTGACATATCAGGGTTGAGAGAAGTAGAAATCATACTGTTGATTGGGGAGGAAGCTCCTATGGAATGGACCTAGAACTGGTTACCCACTCACCACTTTTAAAAGCTCCTTCCAAACTTCAAGGCTGTTTCTCTCCCAGGGGACATTCAGGCCTTTGATTTCCTCCCCAAAGTCAGCAGCACATTATCTTGGATTTGTTGGTAGTGGTAAGAGTGCATTGTATCCTTCTAGGATGTGGTGTTGTGTGTGAGTTCCACCAGGGTGCTTTCCCAGGTGCTGGGGTATTTGCCATCACACTCTGGCCAAACCCTACCCAGAGCAGTTTCCCTTCTACCTCCTTCTCTTGGCAGTGTTTCAGTAGGAGAGCCTCCTCTTGCCTGTTCTTTTCTAGGCTTCTCTGTTTGCCACAGGCTTGGCTGTATCCACAACGGTTTGCAGCCTCTGAAGAACTCCTGTGTCCTGGTTTTTACACCAGTTTTAAGCACTTCATCTCTTTATGAAAACTGAGTTGAAGCCATTTCCTCACTTAGGACAGGGCAGATCTGGATCACTTGTTACTCCCAACAGTATTCTTGACTCTTGGGGAAGATGGTTCCTGGGTCTGTGGGAAGAACCCTTCTTTGTGCAACAGTTTTGTTTTCTGGAAGTACATTGGCAAATAAAAAATGTGACTTATATTTGCATTTCCTTAAACACGTACGTATGCACTTTTTGGAACCCTATTTTTTGGAAAAGAAACTGGCTTAGATAATGCAGGCTTAAAATCTGTTTTCTTTGACAAAAATGAAATGAATGCTCACGTACAGCAGCCTTCCCCCAACCTGGTGCCTGCCAGATGTGTTGGACAACAGCTTGCATCGAGTCCAAAATATCTGGAGGGGACTATGTTGAGTACCCCGATCTAGAGTTTTGCATCCCATTTTCAGTGCTGGCCAGCCACATCATGTCTCTTGAACATTCCCATGCATAGCCTAAGGGTAATGGCCTTCCCCAGTTGTTTAGTTCCAGTCTCTTGTAATCAGAGGCATGCTGCCTCCAAATGTGATGGTTAATCATAGAATTTGACGGGACCTTGAGGATCATCTAGTCCAACCTCCTGCAATGCAGGACTATGCAGCTGTCCCTTAAGGGGATAGAACCTGAAATCTTGGCATTATCAGCACCACGCTCTAACCAACTGAATAGTCATTGGTCAACCATGAATTTGCCTTATGGCTTTAAATATATATTTAACAGCACGTTTCTATGCACTGTTTACTCACTTCTTTAAAAAAAAGACTCTTTTGTGTTCAAAGGAGACTTTTCCTAAGTATGTGTCATAGCATTAAAGCCATCACATATTATGGCAGTGAGTTCTGTAAGTTAACTGTGTATTGTGGGAAGGAACGCATTTCTTTGTCTACTCCAACTTGCTCCCCATGTCCAGCATATTATGTATGAAGCAGGGCCTTCTCCTGCACATTTGCCCCAAATTTGTTTTAGCTTCCCCACTTTTCAGAGTTGAGACTGGTGGGGGTTTGGAGCAGAGCCTTCTTGGTTGCTGCACTCCATCTGGAACACCTGGCCTAAAGAAGCCCACCTTACAATATTGCTACATTCTTTCTATTCTTTCCTTGTGGTTGATAAGCTGGTTCTATGTTTTGGATAGTTTTTGGTTTGTTTTTGGTTTGTTATGTTATACAAAACTTTGTATATGTTTTGATTTTGGTGCCATATTTAGCCAATGCAAACTCCCCTTCTCCAGTAATTAGGAACATAAAGATCTCAATCTTGATGTATGTAGATGATTTAGTGCTGCTTCTCTCTTTCCTGACTGGGCCTCATATCTATACATTACTCTAACGCAAAGTTTGTGATTTGTGGCAGAAACAATCCTAGGTATAGATGGTGTTGGACCAGCAGGTTATAGAACAAACTTACTCATTTAGATACTTGGGAGTACTTTTTTATCAAACCCTCTCTTGGAATTGTCATATGGAAGCAGTGGAAGTCAAAGCACAGAAAACCATGGGAGCATTGATGTTCTGTTACAATAAGGGAGGGCAACTGATTTAACCTGCCCTAAATATATTTGGTAGTAAAGTGCTTACTCAAATGCTGTATGGCGCTGAAACCTGGAACTCAGATTTGAACTCCGTTTTTTCTGAAACTCGTATCTTGGCTCCCAAAAACCTTGGGAATCGAATGTTCCGGTTCCCGAACGATTGAAAACCGGAAGTGAGTGTTCCAGTTTTCAAACTTTTTTTGGAAGCCAAACGTCCGGCGTGGCTTCCGCTATTGTTTCCAGCGCGCCTGTGCAGTTGGGAACCAATCAGAAGCCGTACCTTGGTTTCCAAACTTTTCGGAAGTTGAACAGACTTCTGGAATGGATTCTGTTTGACTTCCAAGGCTGTACTCCCTTCCATCAGGAATATCAGCAGCTCTTCTTCATACAGAATCCTGGTGGCCAAGAATTAAGGCAAGGGTGAGCAAGAGTGAACTGTTCTCTCTCTCTCTCTCTCTCTCTCTCTGTGTGTGTGTGTGCGCGCGCACACACACACTATGCCTATTGAGTGTTTTCCTGCTTGGTGCTATATGGAATTGAGTGATAACCAGTTCTGGAAAACAACTTGTCTAGATGTTTTAGACTACAGTAGTACCTCGGTCTAAGAACAGCCCTGTTTACGAACTATCCGGTTTACAAACTCCGCAAAACCAGAAGTAGTGTCCTGGTTTGCGAACCGTACCTCGGTCTAAGAACGGAATCCGAACAGTGGAAGGGCACCAGCGGTGGGAGGCCTCATTAGGGAAAGCGTGCCTCAGTTTAAGAACAGTTTTGGTTTAAGAACGGACTTCCGGAATGGATTAAGTTAGTAAACTAAGGTGCCAGTGTATGTTTATTTTCCACAACTGAGCTCTGCTTTGACCCTGAATAGGTATCAACTAAGGGATTGGCTCTTCTGTATAGAATCTAGAAGGGACCTGCAACTAATCAGAAATGCCAAATTTTCCCTTGGTATCTGCTCTTGAGAACAGACCATTTTAGAGCTAGTTATTTGACCAAACTCTCACCAGTGTCCTTAAGAAATGCCTTTATTGAGCTGCATTTCCACATGATTCCCACTGCAGTCTTGGATGCCTGCTGCGACAAGGTCCCATATGCAGACAAACTTTGTATTTGTGGTCAATCTCTGGTAGAAGACATCACTCATCATGGTTTGTGCTGCAGGAAGCTTTGGCACACCTGCAGTCAATGTGTTTGCCACATAAAGTGTGAGGCCACTCTAAATTGTGAGCAGCAAGAGGCCTCTGGATATGTACGTGCACACACATGTGTCCTGGCTATCAGAGTTTCTTTTCTCTGTACAATTCCCCTTTCTGGACACATCTTAAGCCCTGCCCCATCTTTATTCCCAGCTGCAGAAAACTCAAACAGCATTTTTGAATCAGGCCATTGCTCCATATAGTGTGCTTTTGTCTGCTGACTTAAACCGTGAAGAAGGGTGTATTTCTCAGCTTTACTGCTTGAGACCTTATTAATTGGATATGCTGGGGATTTAACTTTGGACCATCTGTATGCAAAGTATTTGTTCTCTGCTATGATGCTCACATTCTTTCCTTGTTAACATTCCTAAAGTTGTTTATACAATATAATGTGTATTTCTTTTCTTCTTGTGTCTCAGGTGACATTGGAAACTATTACTATGGTCAAGGCCACCCTATGAAGCCCCACAGAATCAGGATGACTCACAATCTCCTTCTGAACTATGGCCTCTACAGAAAAATGGAAATCTATGTAAGTTTCTAACTACTTGTTTAAAAATCCACAATTTGGGGACCAAGATGCAGGCCTCATTCCTGCATCATGCTAAGCCAAGCCATGGTTTAGTGTGAACATGTGAGCATGTAGGCTCCAGGAGAGGAAATCATGGTCACCTTGCTCCTCTCCCCCATTTTTCTGCTGCTGCGCTGTGCTAAGGCATGGCTTGGTTTAGCATGTAATTCAGACCCAGACTTGTAGTTTAGCTCTCTCCAGACTAACCACGAACTAGGACAAAGGTTTATCTGGGAGAGCTATACCACAAACCCCAGATTCAGATAACATGCCAAGCTATGGGTTAGCACAGTGCAGCAGCAGAACATGTGTAGAAAAGCAAAGCAATCCTGATCTCTGCTCTAGGAGCCCACATTCTTGCATATTTGTATTAAGCCATGGTTTGGCTTAGTGTAATGTGCAAACCAGGCCATAATAAGAAGGTGTCACAGACAAGAAACATTCTTAATACATCAGAACAAAAAACTGTATCAGCTACCCTTATTAAAGGACTAGGGGAAACAGAATAATCCACTTATTCACTAAACTCCCCCAAGTTATCACAAGCAAATCAAACTTCTCAAATAATAATGTGTGTTGGGAGGTGGACAACCAATTACCCTATGCTGCAGCGTGATTGGCCTGGTGGAATGTAAACTTGGTTGGGCTAGAAGTGGTTTGGGACCTGCATCAATGGAGTTCTAGCAGTCTGATGCGACCTCTTAACTCACAAAAACAGGAATGGGAGGAAACTGATGAGAAACCAGACAGAGCAATAGGGTTAGAAGAAAAAAGCTGGAACAGCTGATGGGAAGCTGGGAATAGCATGTAAGACTCCCTTGCCATAGCAGGATTGGCTGCTGGCACTCCTACAGAAAAAGACAATTGGGCCCCACCCACTAGGCATGCCCAGTCAGGACTTTTATCCAGAGGCAGGCACAGTGAGATGAAGGGAGTACATTCTGGCCTATGATGAGGCCAGAATTCTCTCTCTGAATTCTGAAGGCACTCTGGCATACTTTTTGGCTTTCCATTAAAGTAGTCTTGCAGACAAGACCAAAAAGTTTATTAGCCCACTGTTTTTATTCTCTCTCCTGCTAATGAATATCAGTAAGTGATTTGAGGCAAAATACAGACGCAACCATTCTTAATCTCACATATTGTACAGAAATTGATACCCGTTTTCCCCAAGGCTGTTAGAGATTCCATTCCACCTTTTGGTTCAGACATGGAACTGTTACATAACACATGTCTGTTTACATTCCAACACAGTTTGCTGGTGTAAGCGGAACTTTCACTGTATTGCTTTTGCTTTTGGCTCTATCTCTGAGAAGACGACAAGGAGAGATGACATGTTTCTTTGTCCTGATTTATGTTTAATAAACCTGTAGTCATAGTATGTACCCACTGCTTCAAGCCTCTTCTGTTTGTGCAGTTTGCTCTGCTAAGTGTGCCCATGTCAGCAGACCTGGCTCACTAATATATGTCGGAACCAGAGGTCGAGGGATCTTCGCAGTGTGACGTCTGGAAGGAGACAATCTAGCTGGGGGCTAGCCAGCTGGCTGTTCAACCCCTGGGTGCTGACAAAGGCAATCCTAACTCACATGGCTGTTTACAGACCTGCCTTAAAAAATATACCATCAATTTGAACAACACACTGATGCTTAAGCTTATCAACGGCAGACATACAGGTCTGATTGTACCTGGATTTGTGAGCCCTCTGCTCTTTAGGTTTTCCTACACAGTCCTTTCCATCAGTTCCTTCATTCTACATTGTATGGTAGAAGTAGAAATGAGACCCTCCCATTGGGTTCTCACCTTTCCTGTACTGCTCAGACTCTTGAACAGAAATGCTGCTGGAAAGCATTATTGGTAGAGTCTGAACTGTGTTAACATTTTGTTGCATTAATTAGGTGTTTCTTTTAACTGTGTCATTACAGCGCCCCTATAAAGCTAGTGCTGAAGAAATGACCAAATACCACAGCGATGACTACATCAAATTTCTGCGGTCGATTCGTCCAGACAACATGTCTGAGTACAGCAAGCAAATGCAGCGATGTATGTTCTGAGTGTGATTATTTTATCTTTGCTGGTAGTTGGAGCTGAAAGGGAACTTTCTCCACACAGTAATCTTGTTTTTGAAAATATAAAAAGTATGGGTATAGATAAGATATGAGCAGCAGAGTTTGGTACCTGCTGTAGTAAAATCACTTTGCATTGTCATCAGCTTGTACTAAGCTTCCAGAAACCACTAGGGATAACACTGGCTTACCCTAGTAGGACAGTAGCTGCATTCATACAAAACAGTATAAACCATGACTTGTCATTAGGAAAATAAGTACATCAAGCCTTGGGCTTGCATACTCCCTCCTCTTTACCCCCTTTATTTGTCCTCAACGTGAAGTTCAAGCTTTTAATATCTACCACCTCTGCACAAAGGGACGCGGGTGGCGCTGTGGGTCGGTCAGAGCCTAGGGCTTGTCGATCAGAAGGTCGGTGGTTCGAATCCCTGCGACGGGGTGAGCTCCCGTTGCTCGGTCCCTGCTCCTGCCAACCTAGCAGTTCGAAAGCACGTCAAAGTGCAAGTGGATAAATAGGTACCGCTCTGGCAGGAAGGTAAACGGCGTTTCCGTGCGCTGCTCTGGTTTGCCAGAAGTGGCTTGGTCATGCTGGCCACATGACCCGGAAGCTGTACGCCTGCTCCCTTGGTCAATAAAGCAAGATGAGCGCTGCAACCCCAGAGTCGGTCACAACTGGACCTAGTGGTCAGGGGTCCCTTTACCTTTACCTTACCTCTGCACAAAGGGGTGGAGATGTAGGAGACTCAACGGAGAGCCTTATTCATGTAACAACAAACCATTGTTTATTAGGTTTGAAGTGTTCTGAGCTACATGAAGCACCTTAAATGCTGTATAGTTACTAACTAGCAGAAAGTGCCTAGCACTGCCTGGAAAATTAACCAACAAATATTGCGATTTTTAAATGGATAGTGTAATTTGTGAGTTTTGGGGCTGTGCACACATGCACACACCAACCCAGGGCTCTGACCTGACCCAAGGAAATCTGTGGATCTGGCTATGAATCAGTTTGTGGGAGTGGGGAGAGAAAATGTTTAATTAGGGTTCATTTGGTCTGCCATCTTGATTCAACATGGTGTCTGTCTTCCAAACATAGGCAAAAACCACTTCCTCCACCTCAGGAACCCTCATGCTTTGTTTGGCAACAGTATCTCAAGAGGCATCTAGATTGGTGCAGGTTGGAAGTGCTCCGCCAATTTCGGCAAAGTCCTGCAAATCAGGTGGCAGTATCTTCAGAGGTGTCCAAATTGGAGTAGTTTACTAACATGAGTTTGACCAAATTGGGGGAGGCAGCGAAAGACAGGAGTGTCTTGTGTGCTCTGGTCCATGGGGTCATGAAGAGTCGGACACAACTAAATGACTAAACAACAACAACAAAGACCTGTCACACCAAAAATTGGACAAAGTCACATCAAAGTGAAGCTTTAGTTCACCATCTTGTTTCAGAATGGCATCCAGTGTCCAAACATTAACAAAGACTGGCTCCACCACCTCATAAATCCTCATGCCAAGCTTGGCAACAAAATCTTGAGAGGAAGCCAAACCTATAGAGAGCAGATGGACAAACAGATAATCCACTTTCCAAAGTACCGGTGTATATATAGTAGATTTAAGCTCCCTCTTTCAGTTCCATGTGACTCCAGCAGGTGGCGAGTTACTCTAGCGTTGATTCCCACCCTTCTGGAATGCGTTTGTCTTCTGTGCCAAGGGACAGCTTTTACAAACACAAGCTCTTGTCTTGAGTAGCCAACAGGTTGATATACTTTCTCCGCAAGCACCCCATTTCAGTGCATCTGCTCTCTAGTTGTGCTACATGTTGGATTAACATGGGCAGGTTTGAAGGGGAAATATTGTCCACCCAGTTTACAGTTTTGTGACTTTCTGCCAGGTTCCCACCTTGCCTCTTCTCTTCACCCACTCTTCAGATAGGTTAAAGTACTGTTGTTGTCTTAGGGAGAAGTTGTTTCAGAGTTCTGATAGCTCTTTCTCCAGTCTGTTAAGGCCCTTAAGTTAAATCTTGTCGCCTCAGTGTTTTCTTTTTCTTTCTTTATTCAAGTCAATGTTGGAGAAGACTGTCCTGTGTTTGATGGCTTGTTTGAATTTTGTCAGCTTTCAACAGGAGGGTCAGTTGGTAAGTAACAGCTATTTTTTTTAATAAAGGATGAATAAAATGTAGATTGAAGTGTGAAAAATATATCTCTAACAAGGTCTTAAATGTTGCTTAATTAAAGGGGCAACCCTGTGCATGTTTACTTGGAAGTTAGACTGTATTTGGTGGGGCTTATTCCTAAATGAGTGAAAATAGAATTGCAGTCTGTTCTTACGTCTTGTTCCTGTTCTCCTTACGCCTGACACTTTGGGAAAATTGGGATTCGAAAACAATGGAACTTGCACTCCACAACCTGAGTTCTGATAATTTTGTTGGCAAGTGTGTTTACTATTAGTTTTATTTAGTAATCATCCTATAACTTGGTTTTCCAGGTGATGCAGTTAATTTAAGTTTTGAAAAGAAAGCCACATGGAATACCACAATAGAATCAATACATACATATATAAGCAGCATGGAGACTAAATCTCTTTGTGCAGCTTTTTTCAATCGGGGGCACCACCCCTGAGGTTGCCATCTCCCTTGAAGATAGAGGGGAAACCTGGCAAAGGATTGTTTATAAGCAATTCTGCATTCAGTTGTAGAGTTTGAGTGTCCTCTGCAAAGTTTTAGGGTTCCTGCTGTACGACTCTTTGCTATCTGGTTGTGTCATTGGTTTGAAATTCTCTCTACAGCCAGTGCAGTGAAGCTGAACAAGCAGCAGACAGACATTGCTGTGAACTGGGCAGGAGGCTTGCATCACGCCAAGAAGTCTGAAGCCTCAGGCTTCTGTTATGTCAATGACATCGTTCTGGCCATCTTGGAGTTGCTAAAGTACGTACAACAATTTACCCCTGAAGCTCTCAGAAACAATAGTCTCAGATCTTGCAGAGGTGATAACAGCTCCTCCCCTATAAGTAGCCCCCCTCTGCGTTTTACTACTGATTTTTATATGATTATATTATAATACCTCTCTGAATTTGTCATTCTGAAATGAAAATATCTTCTTGGACTGTACTGCTTCAAACTGCAAGTGGAGGATTGCTTGATTAATCCAATTCAAAAATAGTTTAACACAAGGAAAGCTAGCTAGATATTGGGTGAAAACCTCCAGTCTAGCCTTATTTCCAGCGTACTGGTTTTATATGCACAGGGATTTCTTTTTCCAGGGGGAAATGTTCAGCTGCTTGAGTTCTTGTCCCTGAGGTGGCCCAGGTAGTACAGGCAGTGACTATTTTGCACAGGGGTTATTTTCCAGACCCCCGTGCATGTCAGCAGAACCCAGGTAAGCCCGCCCCACCCCTTTTGTGACATTTTTGGGTCACTTCTGGGTTTGGCAAAATGCGCACACGCGCAGTCACACACATATCAAGCACGCCTAAAATGTTCGCTGCCTCTAGTCCATTGATGCTCCTCAGTCTTCCATTTTCATAACTGTCCCTTGTGCAATCAACTGTATAACCGATACAGCAGTTTTTAACTCTTTTTTCCTAGTCTGTATTTCTTGTGAGCAAAGTCAGGGCAAAGAACTTCATATGTACACTTACGGGGTCTGACCTGTAATCAGGAAAGATAGTTGGAGATTGTGTCAAAGAAAGCTCAATGAAACTGTTTTGGCAAGGAGATTCAAAGCAGGCAAAAGAAAATTGCTTCTTCACCCAAGACATAACAATTGTAGGGAATTTGTTGCCACAATTTATGGTGGTAGCCCCTAACCCAGATGGCTTCTAAAGGAGATTCGAGTGACAAATTCATGCAGGATAAATTTGTCAGCAGCCACTAGTGTTGATAGCTGTATGGCACCTTTCAATTCAGATGCAGCATGCTAATCCAGGGCTTGGCAAGGTTTACCGGCCATGGGCCAGATCACTCCCGTGGAGATCATCCGTGGGCTGGACTGGTGCAGCGCGATGCCTGAAATCGTGTCTGTGCATGTCCGCAGCACCGGAAATCGCTTCTGCGCATGCCCAGATGCCGAAAATCGCACCTGCACAGAAGCGATTTTCGGTGTCTGGACATGCGCAGACACGATTTCCAGTGCCGCTCAGCGAGTCACCATGCTGGTTTAGTGCAGCGCGCAGAGGACTTGCCGAGCGGGCGGCTCGTGGGCTGGAAAACGGTCTTCGTGGGCTGCATTAGGCCCATGGGCCACACGTTGCCGACCCCTGCGCTAATACCTTACATCCTACAACAAGTAAAGAAACTGATACGGGGGTATCAGGCTAGTGAGATGATTTCCAAACAGTGCTCCAAGGAACCTTGGGGGCTCTTGGAATTTTATTGAGGGTTCCTTTATGGGAAGATGGGTCCCTGCAGACATGTTTCTGTGGCTAACCAACAGCTTTATGCTCCGTTGCCCTTCTTCCCTGTCATGGGCAGGTAAGTGGTTTTGGGCCTTGTAATGCCAGTCTGACAGCCCCTTTGCAATCCCAGGTACCACCAGAGAGTGTTGTATGTCGACATAGACATTCACCATGGCGACGGTGTGGAGGAGGCCTTCTATACTACAGACCGTGTCATGACTGCATCTTTCCATAAGTATGGTGAATACTTCCCAGGAACAGGGGACCTGCGGGTGAGAACGGAGGCTGCAGCAGCACCTCCCTTGGAAGGCTGGCTGAAACAGCAAGGTTCCCCTGTGACACCTCCCAGGCCCTTTGATGAAGAGAGCAGCTTTGTTCATGAGCTTCACCCATTCTAAAACTAATGCATAATGCTCACCAGGCACTCACTGCATTAGTTGCCTCCCCTTGAAAATATCTACAAGCAGGGGGCTGTATTTTTCATGCTATTGTGATTGCAGCAAGAAAGCTGGCCACAGAATCCAGAGGATTGCCCCTCTCTCCCACCCCACCCAATCTCTAAAATCGTGTTTTTTAGCCTTTAAGATGTGAGGGAAAGCTTTTTTTTTTACCAGTACTCCTGGAAGGAGTGTGGTCAATATCATGTGATCAAGTGGTGAGACTTTGCTCTTCTGTAGGTCCTTTTCCCTCATCTGAAGCCTGCAGACATAGAACAGATTACCACAAAGTAATCTAGCTTGCATATTTGTTAAATCTGCATATTTTAATCAGGTAAAAGAGTGGGGTTCCACTAACCTCTCCCCAGCTCTGTTTTATTGAATACTGATACAAAATATACCTAGCCTTGCCTTTTCTAAATTGCTGTGTTCAGATTTGTTGCAGAGAGGCAGGTCTGAATGAGATGTTGGCAGTTTGTGGACAAGGTCTTCTCAGTTGCCCTCTTAAAGCAGGAAAAGCAGGACATGCTAGCCCCTGGGTGGCCTATGTAAATTGAGGAGAGCAGTACTGTGAGGGCAGTGAGACCTCCAAAGGCCGAGAGACCCAGCCCAGGTTATTTCACAGTGTCTCATTCCCTTCACCCTCTAGGACATTGGTGCAGGCAAAGGAAAATATTACGCAGTCAACTACCCCCTCCGGGATGGGATAGATGATGAGTCCTATGAAGCCATCTTTAAGCCGGTAAGTTTCCCTTTCTGGAATGTTCCTTGTGGTCAGATATTCTTCCTTAGTGTTCCACATTTCTGCTCACCAAGGCAAGGGTGATGTCTCCAAATCTGCTCTTCTAGCTTAGAGATGAGGTGGGTGGGATCCTTCTTCCATTGTGCTGAGCTCCAGAGGGGCACTAGAGAGAATGGCTGTGGTTTGGAGCTAATGGGGGGTGGGGGCAGTAGATTACTTCCTGACTTCTTGCAGGAACGCATCACAAAAAATAAGGAATTAGGACTGTAATCTTCTGCACACATACATACTTGGATACTTGGAATAAGCCCACTTGAATGCAGTGGGACTGACTTCCTACTAAACATACGAGTTTGCACTGAATGGGGGGGTGGGTTCTGATAATCAAAATGTGTGTGAATTTATGTGCTTGCTGCAGGTCCATCCTGCTCAGGTATGCATCTGGACTCTCTCTCTTCTTTGACCAGGTGATGTCCAAAGTGATGGAGACATTCCAGCCTAGTGCTGTTGCATTGCAGTGTGGCTCAGATTCCTTATCGGGAGACAGGCTGGGTTGCTTTAATCTGACCATTAAAGGTAAGCAGGCTTATTCAGGACCTGCCTTGCTCTCCAAGGTAGCACCATGTGATCTAAAGAGGTCCTATTGAGGAGAGATGTTTTAAAAGTGGCTTATTGGGTTGTTTCTTCTATTGGGCACACGTAGTTGGACAGTTCATTATTGTGCAGAAGCTCTCCACCCCTCTCTCAGCAACCCAACACCCTTCTTCCCTTCTCTGCTTCTCTCAGGTCATGCCAAGTGTGTGGAATTCATCAAGAGCTTTAACTTGCCCATGCTGATGCTCGGAGGGGGCGGCTACACCATCCGCAACGTGGCCAGGTGCTGGACCTATGAGACTGCTGTGGCTTTGAATACAGATATTCCAAATGGTAAAGTCACCTGCCGTTTGATTTCTAGAATACCTTTAAAAGATTCTTGTGATGTTGAGCTCTCTGGAAATGGACTTTGAGGGGAGCCAGGCCTGCATGCAGCCTAGTTAGACAATGAGGAGTTGGGCTTTACATGGGATTTATAGCAACGAAACTGGCAATCTTTCTTAGGGCTAGAAGAAGGTCTCCAGTGGTTCATATTAATCTGAGAACCTCAGAGTCCCAGAGAATTTCAAGCAGTGTAATGTGATAGGAATTTTGCATTGCAGGTGTGTGCATTTGGGGTAGGACACACACCACCCCTCCAAACAAGCCATATCTGCATCCTAAACAAATTATGCAGATTAAATGTTTTTGCATGCATTTTCTTTCACTGCTAAAATGGAGGCAGCATCATGGAAATGTGAAGAGTCTTCCTTGACAGAAGCATTTTCTGCCCCCTTCTTCATTTGCACCTGCCTTTTCTTACAGCCAGTATTTGAATTGCCTCGATACTGGAGACCCAGTAACATTCTGTTTGCTTTTTTTTTTTTTTTTAAACTTTCTACAGAGCTTCCATACAATGATTATTTTGAATATTTTGGGCCGGACTTCAAGCTCCACATCAGCCCTTCCAACATGACCAACCAAAACACCAACGAATATCTGGAGAAGATTAAGTAAGTTTGTCTTGCTTGTCTCACGAGTGAGGCTAGTCACTTCTACGCTCTCTCTCTGTGTATGTGTGTTTCTTGTTGTCCCTTTCTGATGGCTCTCTGGTGGGCCCTTTGTGATTGCTTGGCCACAGGCAACGTCTCTTTGAGAACTTGCGAATGCTTCCCCATGCTCCTGGAGTCCAGATGCAGCCGATCCCGGAGGATGCCGTCCCAGAGGACAGTGGAGATGAAGATGAAGAGGATCCTGACAAGCGGATTTCCAGTGAGTTCTTTGGGGCTGTGGAGATTGATTGGTGCCTTGGATCATGCATAGGCGGGTGCACACTTTGGGTATTTAGAGCAGGGGAAATGTGCAACCTTTAGCAGGATAACAGTAGAGGAACCAGTCCCTTTTCTGGTCAGTGGGGACTGCCCTGCCTTAGATATGCAGCCCCAGCCAAGGAGCAACTGCCACCTCTGGCTCTTTGTAGGACCCATAATGTGGCTTAGGATGGTCTTTCCCCTCTGTGTTTCATTATTACAAATTGTAATCTCAGAGCCAGGATTGGCTGATCTGGAAAGAGTGGTGGTCCACCAAATATCCAATAATATTGTGTGCTTCGAACAGTGGAACTTTGCTTTTGTCTCTGTATGTGTGTGCACTTTCCATCTATAGTTTTTCAGTTACTCCTGAAGGCTCCCCTGCCTGAAACCAAAAGCCTGGTGCCGCTGATACAGCCTTTTTTCTTTTCTTCCCCCTCCAGTCCGCTCATCAGACAAGAGAATAGCTTGTGATGAGGAATTCTCTGACTCTGAAGACGAAGGGGAAGGTGGGCGCAAAAACGTCGCCAATTTCAAGAAGGCCAAACGAGCAAAAACGGAAGAAGAGGAGAAGGAGGAGGAGAAGAAAGGAGGTGGGGAAAGCCGCAGCTTAACAGCTACTGACTGACATTTTTACTGTTTTTCAGGGTTCAGTCCCCTAGGTAGTTCTTCTGCTGAAACCACGGGATATGCTTTTGAAAAATAATTATAGCTGGTTCTTATATGTGGCAGTCTCACGTCCAAGCAGCTGCTCAAGTCCGCACCTGCTTTGCTCAGTAATGTTGCAGCACCAGGTACCCCCAGACCACCTGTTGAGTACCTATAAAGTAGTGTAAAGTGCTTCTGAGCATGTGCAGAGTGTGTTTCTCTTGCCTTTGAGTAGCTGCAGACCAGCCTGTCTTGCATTTTAAGAGATTCTATGCGCGGTCTTGTCTGGCTTTAGAAAGGAACCACTGTAGGCAGCAAATGGTGGTATGGATGTGACCCTCTTTTTCTGAGCAGCACCCTGTTCTTCAGTACCCCAGCCTTTGGGAGGGGGGGCGCTCCCAGCATTCCCAAGTGGAATGCCTATCTTTCTTTTGCATTGCTTTCTTTTGGTGGCAGCAAGAGGACTGCATTTGACAGCGTAGCTGGCTGCAGATTTCGTAAGTAACCATCTGCCTGCAGGAGCATATCTGCTGGTTCTGTGTTCCCAGGGAAACAGCAAGCTTAATGGTGGCTGCTTTGTAATTTGAAAGTTTTACCCCTGTCATGTTGGAGAAGTGACAATTCCCAACTTTAGAAACAAAACAATACATTATTGGAGTCACTAGAACTTTGAAAATCTGTATGTGACCCTCTGGAGGATTAATTAATTTCTACTCCATCTTCAGATCCCTGTGGTGTAATATGTATATATAAAATCCAAATGTTACATTGTTTAAGCCTTGGGGAAAGAGGAATGTTTTTGTCTGCCCCCCAAAAGCCAAGAGGAGAAGGGGCTCCTTGGGCGCAGGGAGTTGCAGATAATGAAGAAGAGGTGACCACAAAAAAGCCAGCTTCTCATGGCCAGTGCCTGAACCTCTGGAGCCCAAGACCAGGCATAGGCAAACTCGGCCTTCCAGATGTTTTGAGACTACAATTCCCATCATCCCTGACCACTGGTCCTGTTAGCTAGGGTTGATGGGAGTTGTAGTCCCAAAACATCTGGAGGGCCGGGTTTGCCTATGCCTGCCAAGACACTCCGAGCAAAGCCCCAGCCAAAGCCCTACAGCATCCATATGGGAGAAGCCATGTCCAATGGGTAGGGTATGGGGGCAGGTTAGAAATGGCAAGATTAGGTAGTTTAATTTACTTTAATTAATTTGCACAATTTGCTCTGATTTTTACCACCACATCCCACTCCCAGTGTTACGAAATGTTCAATCACCTTTCTGACTTGTGAGATTTCAGCAGGCCTTGTGCACACACTTCCAAGCATATGTCCACAGGCCTTGAAACTTGTTCCTGCTGCTGTTATTAATTATACAAAAGCTGAGTTTGCAAAAAGCTGAATTACCTTTCTTGTGGAGACTGGCCTATTTTTAACAGATTGATAGTGCTGTGTTTTTTCTTCTTTTGCATTGTGTTTTTATGTTGTGTAAACTGCCTTGGGTGGGCTCTGCCCTAAATGTTGAGCCCTCTCAAAAGAAACATTTTATAAATAACAATATTAATAAATGTAGAGCTCTTGGGGAGGTTAGAAGGAGGATGGGCATAGTGAGAGGCAACAGGGCATACATTTCAGAGAGAAAACAAATACAAGAATATTAGGGCAGGCTAAAGGCCGGAGTTTGTGTCCAAGAATCATTTCTGCACCTAGTTATATAACTGCATGCCATGATCTCTTACAGAAGTGAAAGAGGAAGAGAAGGCAAAAGAGGACACGACAGAGCCCAAAGGGTGAGACCCCTTTCCCCTTGTTTGAATGGTGTTGCTGCTTGTTATGTTTGGAAAGTGAAGCTCTTTTAGTTCAACTCTTGAGCCTCCAAGTGCACATAAATCTTCATAACCAGGTACCTTGCTGTTTAAACGAACCATCTAGCTGTGTGCATGAGCAGCTCCTTGCCTCATGGCAAAGCCATGCACACATAGAGCATCTCATAGAGGCAGCCCTACCATGAAATAAGGTGAGGCTGTCTCTTCAGGCGGTAGATTTTGGTACCTTTTTAAGAGCAGCACAGGAGGAGATGGATGGGCCATTGAAAGGAAAGAGGACCAGTGTAAGAGCACAGGAGCTAAACCTTTTGAGGATGGTGTGAGAGTTCAGGTTTGTTAGGCTTCTCAGTTTAACATTTGTAACCTTTGGTACCTGTTAACACACTGCTTCTTCCTTGCCTTTATCCCACAGCATAAAGGAAGAGACAAAATCGACCTAAGAAGCTGGCAGACGGGTAATCCCTCAGTCCCCTGGTTCCCTGGATTGGCCTCTCGGGTACCTTCCCATTCCACAAGATTTGTATTTTATATAAGTTTCTGTAGATATTTCTATATAAATATTTTGGGGACTTGAGCCCCAGGTGGATTTCCTTGCTGCGATTCCCTGGGGGTGAGGAATCTGCTTGGTACACAGTCCTACTCGGCCTCAGGGGTACAGCTTGAGTGGAACCCTTATTCTTGCGTTCCTGCTGCCGCCTCTTTGGGGACATGTGTGTGTTTGTTTTTTCATTTTTCAAAAAACTTTAAAGTCTCCCTTTCTCCTGCACCTTCTCTTCTTTTGAAACTATGGTCTCCCCTTGGAGAAACATATGCTCTGGGGCTTTGGGTTTTTGTCTTTTGTTGTTTTCTTTGAATAGTTTTTTGAGGTATGGATACAGCCATAAAACTTTGGGAGGCTTTTTTGGGGGTGGGTGGCGGGGGGTGGGGTTGAAGCTTCAAGTTTCAGGCAGCACCCATGAAAGAATCGACTCCGTTCTGGGTAACCACAAATTGATGCTGCTCCTCAGCATCCCAGAGGCGCAAGTTAATGAGTGGAGGGGTAGTTGCAGTCAGCACCTCCAAGGAACAGGGAGTCTTCTAGGGCATGGCGGAAGTGTCAGTGGAAGTGCTTATTAATGTGAAGTCTCCTCATGCTGTGGAGAGGAATATGCATTTTCTCTCCACAGAGGACAGTGCAGGAGTGAAGGTTCCTCTGTTCTGCATCAAACGCTCCTCACTGTGAACTTAGCACACATGGTGCTCACTTGTCTAATCCTCTTTTGTCCTGTCATGGCCTTACCCTCAGAATCTGCTCCAAAACCTATAGCTGGCATGTGCAGAAACTAGCCAGTGATTCATAAGGGCATCTTTTTTTAAAAGGCCTCTTAAATATCACCATATTCTAGGAGAAAAGTTCTAGGGATGGTTTTGGTTACACACGCCAGCCAAGTGCAAGCGGTGGGAGTGGAATTTTTCAGTGGGTTGTGGGATTGGATTGGAAGGGGGAGCATCCTTCCACAGAGCGCCACTGTAAGGGGTCAGTCTCAACGATGCTGCTAATTTAGCCATGTCACTCTTGGGGCAGAGGGGGGGTGGGTTGGGGGGCAGGGAGAGAAAGGTTTTTATTTTTTTAAGCCTCTGGTTTAGCTGTTTTTTAGTCTCTGGGATGCAAGACCCATGCAGCTCTTCGATACTTGTATTGGTGAAATGAAAGATCATTGTATTTGTCTTTTGGGGGCAGGGCAGGGAAGATATATATATTGTGGTTTTTTTTTAAAAAAAGAACTTTTTATTTTCATTTTTTTGAAGAAAAAGCTTTGTAATAAAATTGGTCTGTTTCTTGGTTTTGGGTAGTGAATTATTTTCTGTGTATAGTGGTACCTTGGGTTACATACGCTTCAGGTTACAGACTCCGCTAACCCAGAAATAGTACCTCGGGTTAAGAACTTTGCTTCAGGATGAGACCAGAAATCGTGCGGTGGCGGCAGGCCCCATTAGCTAAAGTGGTACTTCAGGTTAAGAACAGTTTCAGGTTAAGAATGGACCTCCGGAATGAATTAAGTACGTAACCAGAGGTACCACTGTATAGATGGAAAGAAACCAGTAGAGGCTTTCCTGCCACCTCATGGTCTTTGCCTCAACAAAGCAGGGAGCAAGAAAACCTGGCCCTGTTGGCTACTATTGTGCCTTCTGCCAGCTTCAGCTGGTGCATCCTTTCTGGTTATCTGTTCCTTGGCAATGTCCATTTTCAGCTAATCAACTGTTACATTTGAGTGGTTTTTGAAGGCTTCATGAAATTGTTAGTACAGCCTACAGGTTTTAGGCTATTAACCAGGCATTGCCAAGGTCAGCATATTTCACCAGGATTTATGAACATCTTTAAAGTGCCAGTTGTTGTGGTTTCTTTCTGGGAACAACTCAAGGTGGTGTTTTAAGCAGTTTAGGATTCTGGAGAATCTCAAGGATGGTCTGCTCCTATATGAATCTGCCTATATAAGATGATCTGCTAAAATCAGTACAGATCCAAGACAGTTTAGTGTTAGGGCTAACACTTTAAAAAGTCCAGCTGTGCCATCTATTCTTCCTTGCTTCAACTTGCTGAATGGAGGCCCAGCCATGACTGAATCTCTTCTGTCTGCCCCCTAGGCAGGCCATGGAGGAAAAGATTTGTCTGGAAAGCCTTCCTGCCTCCATGTGCCAAGCACCAATGTTGTTAAGCACCAGTTTAAAAACTTTTGGAGCATCCTTTTCCCTTAGCTGCTTATGTGTGTATTTATGACTATATATGTGATGTGAGCTGCTGTAGATGCCTGGTGAGTTAGAATGAGGCAATGTGACATTTCAAGCAGGTGGTCTTTATTTCACTAAAGCTTTTGACAAAGTCCCCCATGGTATTCTTGCAAAGAAGCTGGTAAAATGTGGGCTGGACAAGGTAACTGTTAGAAGTGCTCACAAATGGTTCCTCCTCTTCCTGGAAGAAAGTGACAAGTGAGATGGTAGAGTTCTGTCCTAGGCCTGTTGCCCAATGTCTTCATAAACAACTTAAAATAAATTGAGGGGATGCTCATCAAATTTGCCGATGACACCAAACTGCAAGGGATAGCTAGTGCCGCAGAAAATCATCTGAATACAAGATGACCTTAACAGATTGGAGAACTGGGCCCAAACAAAATGAATTTCAATCGGGACAAATTTAAGGCTCTATACTTATGTACTGCTGGCAAGCCAGGTATCCCACGTGAAAAGGATCTAGGGGTGAGTGGACCACAAACTTAACAAGAGTCAACAGTGTGATGCAGCAGCAAAAAAAGAGAATGTTATTCTAGGCTGCATCAACAGAAGTATAGTGTCCAGATCAAAGCAAGTATTTCTTTGATTTATTGAACTTATAGTAATCAATTGCAAGTAATAATCCCATTCTATTCAGCCTTGATCATACTACACCTGGAGCCCTGTGTCCAGTTTTGGGTGCCACAGTTTAAGGATAGTGACAAGCTGGGTTGTGTGCGGAGGGCAACCAAGACCATAAAAGGTCTGGAAACCAAGCCACATGAGGAACGGCTGAAGGAGCTGGGTATGTTTAGCCTGGAAAAGAGAAGACTGAGAGGAGATATGATAGCCATCTTCAAGTATCTAGAGTTGTCACATGGAGGATTGAGCAAGCTTGTTTTCTCCTGCTCTGGAGGCTAGGACCCAAGATTCAAGTTACAAGAAAGGAGATTCCAACTAAACATCAGGAAGAACTTGGTGACAGTAAGAGCTGTTCAACAGTGCAAGATGTTGGTGGTGCTGGGTAGGTAACTGAAGGCGTTAACATAATTAGCAGCTGAATCCCTTTTCAAAAGTAAACAGCAGGCATATGGACCTGCACAGCCTACCCACTCTCACCTTTTTCCAGGGGGAAAAGAACACCCATTCACACAACTAAGTTTCTCTCCTGCCCAACTGAATGAAAATGGAAGTATGGGAGCTCCAGTCTGAACCAGGACCAGCAGGGCGGAGGGTTTAAAAGGCTAGTATCCAACCTACCCATACAGCCACACCACACCAAGTTTCTTTTTATAAAGTGTCATTCCTGCAATTGTAAATTTTATGAGTGTTCTTTACTTAGGCCATGTTTCTACAAACCTCGCATCTTTACCTAAAAACATGCAACTAGGATCAGCCCAGAAGTCCCCTGGGCATCCACACGACTGTAGGAATGGAAGAAAAGTAGCAGTGACCATTCCACTGTTTAGCCCCGGCTGCTGGTATAGACTCCCTCTGAACACGGATGCTCTAAGAGGCAGCATGGCTAGCAACTCTTCCTTGGCCTGTTCCAGAGGCTTTGCTTTTTCAAATGTTTTTTAGTAGCCATCACCCGCATTGTGTGTGCAGTATGCACTCTAGAAGTGAATAGTTCATTGTAATTGCAGCCTTCATCCAAGTGCCGGCTTTACTTACCCTGGTCTGCAGGTTGGCTACACACTTCCTGTGCACTTTAAAAGCAGCAATCTGCTTCACGAAACAAAAGGGATGTTTTTCTATATTCCTGCTAAACAGCTACGGACACCTACACAAAAGTCATCTTCTAGATGCACACCTGCCATGAATGCTGCCATTTCGGACAAGGTAAGAGGTGAAGAACTCCACAGGCTGTTTAAATAGACAAACACTTTTCCAGAACATACTACTGTGGTACCTCAGGTTACAGATGCTTCAGGTTACAGACTCCACTAACCCAGAAATAGTACCTCGGGTTAAGAACTTTGCTTCAGGATGAGAACAGAAATTGTGCAGCAACGGCGCAGCGGTAGAAGGCCCCATTAGCAAAAGTGCTTCAGGTTAATAACAGTTTCAGGTTAAGACCAGACCTCCAGAACGAATTAAGTTCTTAACCAGAGGTACCACTGTATATATTACAAATTTGGGGTTAATTATAGAATTGGAAGAGACCACGAGGGTGATCTAGTTAAACCCTTTGCAATACAGGAAACTGCATTCCCATGAGCTCTGGTTTCCATCGCACCAGAATCAGTTCAGTCATGTTGGCCACGTGACCCAGAAAGCTGTCTGTGGACCAACGCCAGCTCCCTCGGCCTGAAAGCGAGATGAGCACCCCATTAGTAACTGGACTTAACTGTCCAGGGGTCCTTTGCCTTACCTTAATACAGTAATCTTTTTGCGCAGCATGGGGCTTGAACCCATGTCCCTGAGATAGTCTCATGTGCTGAGCTATGGTGGGGTGCACTGTTGGTATTCTTCCTTTCCAATATATGAGCAAACAAGATAATTCTCAGCCCTGCAAGTTATTGGATGACCCTGGGACTCTCCATTACTTTAGCTTATGTACTTTGCAGGTTGCAAAGGTCATGTAGAAATTTGAGGGGATGGTCATTGGGGAAGAGAACTTGAATTGCTACACTGGATTTCTAGAGAAAGGTTGGTGTTAAAAAAACACCAGTTAAACACCTCTAAGTACACTTTTGTGGCATTCTTGCATATACAACCACAAAACTAAAAGAAAAACAAAACTGAAGCAAATTAGAAGGGGTAAACAGCTGCATGAATAAGCCTCTCTCTCAAAGGGATATTAGAGTTGGCAGTATGCTCCATTTACTACATTTGACACATACCCTATTCTTTTGATTTGAACAGGTTAGTTTTAGATCTCATTTCAAAACAAGCTGTTCCAAAAAATTTTTTACATACTGCCCAGAAAGCAGGAATACAGTATACATAGCCCCATAGCAAATCTGTAAAATATTAACAGCTGCAGTGGTTAATGAAATACACAGCTATTGTGCTATGAAGCTTGTTTATCTAGTCTCTTGCAACCCATTTTTAGGTAGTTATACAGCTATACAGTTAAGTACCCATCCAGTTTGCCACCTTCACCTTAAGATTCTTGCTCTCCATCATATAGCAAAGGCAGCTGAAGCATTACAATGGCTGTTAAGAGACATCTCTGCCTGATCACGTAGGATGACTTAAAATGGCTGCCATACTGACTACACAACATGGGTGATGCTGGCTTATAAAGAGTGCCTCCACCAGGCTGCTTCCCTCTTCCAGAGGAGCATTCGTACTCAAGAGCAGGGTCCCCGAGCATGTAGGCAGAGGATAAATATCCAACCCCCCCTTTTTTTACTCACCTGTAAGCTACCTGAGGCACCAGAGCTCCATCAAAGCTTGACTTCTGTTAGATGGTCACTGCTATTATTGGCCCAACAGCAAGTAATATGGACAGTTTTACCAGTAGGTAGACATCACTCAAGGTGTGGCACCCATCAGCATTTGCAAATTCAATATTTAAGGTAGATACTGAAGCCATGTTCTGTTTGCTTTGGGGCAGGGAGAAGGGGAAGATATAGGTATGTATAGCATCAAAACATACCTAGCTTACATCAAGGAGGGGAGGGGAGCCATTAACATGACATTTAGCCTCCCAATCAAGTTAGGCAGCATGACAAGGTGAAGTTATTTCTTACCTGCTAAGCAGGGAAGAGGAGGGGGGAACCACAAATTCATTGCAGGCCAGAAAGGGACAGATTAACAGTATTTGGGGGCTGCTCAATACACTGAAATTAACCAAGCTGCTATAGCAGATCCTTCCAATACATACAACAGCGCCTCTAGACATCTTCCCACTAGGCAGACTGCTGATCTTCCTTCCAAGACTAAGCCAAGTCTTGGGGGTTAGGGTTCCTCCCCTTCAGAAAATGAGCTTTGTACTATTCCCACAGGGATACTGGCACATTAAGACACCCAGGATGCAAGCCTAGGCACTCTCACCCCCACTTCGCAAACTACTTCTGGAGTGGGTGAGGCCAACACCCAGCACTGGTATATGCAACTTGCAGATCCATACTTTGGAAAATGTGAAGAATGAACGTATGTAGGTAAAGGGTGTATTCCACACCCACCACTGACTGAGGAATCCCAATATGGGATTTGGGAGCTTAGCAAGTAAAAATTCTAGTTTTGTGTCAACAGCAATTTGACAGCACTCCTGAATAGACAGCCAGCATTCCTCAGATAATAAGGACCCAAGTCTAATCCATAAAGGGGTCACCATTTATTCCTTTCAAATGTTACAATAAGACCCATACAACTTTTTTTTTTCATTTAGGAGTTAGAAAATTGCAGATCAGAAGTTGGGTCATTAAAAAATTATTTACAAAGACAATGAAACAAAAAACTGAAGTCACAGCATACAGCCAGCACTCTCCCTCACCCCCTGCCCCCCCACCCAAGTGCCCCCCTAAATAAACCCCAAAGAAGTTCTCCCTCTGAATTCAAATTAAACACAGTGGACTTACAAGCTTTATAGTTTAAAGCCAAGAGCAAGACATTATAAAAAACTAACCAGATTAGCTTTTAAACTGTTGGTTTCTATAAAAAGCACAAAATACTTTTAAATGAAGTCAGAACCAGGAATGTAAACCAAGAAGAGATAAAAGAGAATATCCGTTTTGAAGAACGGTCAGTTGCTGGTTTATTGGACTCCTTTTCTTTTTGAAAAAGCTGCTTTGAGGATTAGTAGAAACAGAAGATCAGAGAGAGACCAGAACCCGGTGTTAATATCTGGAGTCTCATTAAACTGAGCAAATTTCCAGTTGCATCCAGGAACAGTATTTCCTCCATAAGAGTTTCAGAAGGATCTTAAGAACGCCTACTCCTGAGTGGTAGCGGTGGCTGTGCTGGGCACCAAGGATCCAAGTTGGTTTTTTGCTTAACTGTGTTGGATGAAGAGTGAGAAAAGGGGGAGGGGGACACTGGAGTGAAAGCTTGTCAGTTCTACGCCGAGAGACTTGTGTTTGTGGCATTGTGTGTGGTGTGTATGTGTGTTGTGTGAACAAGGCAGCAGTTCCAAAGGGGTTACTGGGGATGAGAAGGATGGCACAAATAAGTCTCTTTTTTTCTTTTTTTTTAAGTTAGGTGGACATCGTTAAGCTGCCTCTACTCTTCCTTCTGCTCAGCAGGTGCAGGACTGGGCTCCGCCTCTGCTGGTTTTGAGGTCTCTCCTGGCTTCGTGTCCTCCTGGCTCTCGCTGGGCGGCGGCTGCTGCTGCTGCTTCTCTTCCTCCTCCTCTGGTCCTTCACTTGCCACTTCTCTCTTGCTCTCTGCTTCCTGCTGGCCCTCAGGGGCGGCCGCCGTAGCAGCCGGCTCAACTGGGGCGGCCGGCTTCTCTTCGGGGCTCTCCTCTTTGGTGGCGGCCTCCTGCTCCGACTCCCCCGCAGCACACGCCAGGTTCTCCTCCCCCTTGGCCTCCGCCTTGCCTTGCTCCTCGCTGGGGGAGGACACGGCCGAAGCATCTCCCGCTTCCTTCTTGGTCTTCCGGAAGGAGATGCCGCTCAGCTTGAAAGACTTCTTAAAAGAGAACTTCTTCTTCTTCTTGGGGGTCTCTTTGGGAGCTGCGGCCGAATCCGTGGCCCCGTCTGCTGGCTTGGCTTCAGCGCCTTCGGTGACGGGGGCCGGCTCGATGGCATCACCGCTGCCCGCTTCTAGCTTGGCTTCCTCCTTGACCGGCTCCGCGGATCCGTTGCCGTTGAGCGGGGTGGCTTCTCCGTCAGCCTTGGGAGACACGTCCCCGTTGATCTTCACGTGGCCGTTCTCCTGATGGGAGAAGACAGAACTCGCTGTTTTTACAGGTCTCAAGCCAGGTTTCAAAAGGCATTTTATTCAAGGAAGCTAAACCGCTAAACCTCAATGAGAACTGCAGGAAAACCAACCAACCACCACCGCAGTACTGCCAGGCAAGGCAATCCTAAGGTTACACAGCCCCCTCCCACTTTTTGGCTTTTCTTGCACATGCTTCAGGGACACACCCAAGTTGCAGGTAACCAGAGTGCCCCTGATGCGGAGAATGTAGGACAGAGCCTTGTAGGACAGAGTAAGCCCTATTAGGTCACCCATTACAGGAGATCCCCAAAATACTAGTCGCTGAAGGAGAGCAGGAGAGGGGGGTTGTGCTGCTTGTGGGCTTCCTACAAGCCACAGTGGTTGCTGTCAAGGTGGGACCCTTGCCTGATCCAGAAGGGGCTCGTCTATTCTTACCGGCAAGAATAAAAATGCTTTGGATCTGTCTGCTAAAAGCCTAGTGGTCCCTGCTGTTGGCATGCCCAAAAGGAGCCTTCTGTAAACTGAATTCCGTTCCTCTGCAGGCCCCCTCCAGCGATTTCTGCATGAACACGGGGTAGCGTACATTTCAAGGTGTCCCCCCTCTCAATGCTCTCTATGATTTGTTAGGATCCAGCCGCCCATTTGAATGGCAGTGCAGAGAAGCGGGGGGGGGGGGGCAGAATAGAAAGAACCCCATTCTACGCTACCACAAGGTGGCGCCCGCGCTCCAACAGCTTCTCGGGGCGCCCCGTGCGCGGTTGCAGAGGAGGGTGGGGGGAAGAGACGAGCGCCCGCGGGAAGCTCGCCTCGACGAAGGCAGCCAAACGCGCTCAGGGCGGCGGGCGGACTACAAATCGGGAATTCCCACCCCATTCGGGAAATTGGCCCGTTGCAGTTTTGCTTTCCAGGCATGATGTTATAAAAAGCCCCTTGGATTTCTCCCTCTGACGGTGTTTGGGGAGAGACCGAGGGGCGCGTCGGCGAAGCCCATTTCGAGGCTCGCCCGCGCCCCACGATTGCACAGAGCAGTTCCTACCCCCTCGTACAAAAAGGCTCCTCTGTGCACGTTCTACTCCAAAATCTGGGTCCCACCCGAGTCCAAAGGTGGGGCGGCGACGCCTTTTTCCAGATCTCAGCTTTGCACTAAGAGCGCGCGAGCACGTCTATGTGCACCCGAGTCCGGCCTTTATTTTGCAAAATGCAAAAAAGGCTAGCAACCGCTTTGCTTTGCAAAATGCATAAAGATTCACGGCTTTTTTTTTACACCCCCCCCCCAAATAGGGCACGTGCTAAGCACCATATATTAAGCAAGCGATCTTCTCTGCTCTTCACCCAACCCCTGCCACAAAATGAAGCCCCTCATCGGCGAGGATTTTTCTGCCCCTCGATCCGAGTTATGCGGCGCGGCACAGCGCAGCCCCCTCCCCTCCCCCTGCCGCGGGTCGAGCCAGCCGGGTCCTTCCTTTGTTTCCTCTGCAAACAGCCCAGCCGCAGCCGAGCGAGCGAGCGAAGGAGGGAGGAGGGGAGGGTCTCCGCTCCTTTCGCCGAGGAGGGAGCGCCAAACAAAGGCGGACCACGGCGCCACTGTCTCCAACGGATTGGGGGGGGGCGCGGGAGAAAGCGTAAAGAGGGGCGCTGCTGCGCGGATCAAAACAGAGCTAGAATTTTTTAAAAAAATCTCCTTTTAAGCGAGGCGGTCGCAACAGCCCATTCAAAGAGCGTGGCGGTTCAACGAGTTAAAAGCTGCTCGGAAATTCAAAACGCGCGTCCGGGGAAAGCGCACGGCAGCCAGCGCGAAAATAAAAGCGTCCACGAGAACGTGGCGCGGGCGGCCGTTCGTTCGAAGCCCAAAATCCGGATCGGTGCGATTGGGGAGTGGGGGGCGCAGGGAAGAGATCGAGTGTGACTATCTCTTCCCCCTCCCCCGAGTTTCAGCCTAGACAATGGCATGGCGCGAGGGGGGGGCGGAATCTCTAAGGAGGCTGTTGGCCCCGTCCAGGGCGCGTAAGCTGAGGATCCAGCGCAGGGGCGAGGAAGGAGACCCACCTGGCCGTTGGCCTTGGAGGGCGAGGCGTCCGCGGCGGCGGCGGCGGCGGCATCCTGGGCCATCACGTCCCCCTTGGCGGCTTTCGAGCTGTGGCTCCCCATGGCTGCTGCGGAGCGAGGCGAGTCACACCCGAAGACGGCTCCGAAGTAACAATAATCCCAGGACGGAAGGGCGGGCGCTGGGCAGGAGCCCCGGGCGCGCCTTTGGCCAAGGCTCCCCCCGAGAGGAAAGAGCGCCCCCGGGAGGAGGAGGAGGAGCTGGGATCGGGTCTGACGGCTGCGGCGCACCCCCCTCGCTGTGCCCACTCCGGCTGTGCGCGACCGAGCGACCACCTCCACCGCCCGCCTCGTCGAAGCTGCGCTGCTTGAACTGCCGAGGCTGCGCCAAAGCGGCGGCTAATAAGAGCGCCCGGGCAGGGGGAGGCGGGGCCGGGCCTTTAAACCCCCGCCCAATGGGAGGCAGAGCCAGGCCTGGGGAGGGGTCTCTCCCGCCGGTGGGGAAGCGCTGGCGAGCGGCAGGGAGTGGCACGGCTGGGCAAGGGGGGACCCTGGCCCGGGGGAGCGTAAGCCAAAGGGGATCGCCGCCAGGGGAGGTGGGGACGGCGGTCTGGCACGTGGAGGGCGGTGGTCGGGGTGGGGCAGGCGGGGAATTTTTATTGGCCAGCCTCTGGATGTTGGATGGATGTCTTGGTAACCTTGGGAGTCGTGGCGAATAAGAGTGCGCCTGAGCGAGTGCAGAGCGCACCTCGCTCCTCACAGCAGGTGGACAAGAAGTGCTCTCCAGGTGTTTCTGAACTGCAGCTAGGGCTGGTGGGAATGATTGCAGCCTGAAACGTCTGGATGCTTCTGGATCGCCTGAGCTGGAGGAGTCAGTTCCAAAGGGCTGCACTGGATCACTGCTGCTGCTCTGTCCCTTGGGTTTTGGCTCCATCTAAAATGAAGCCAAAAGCCCATTGAGTACAGCATTGTATCCTCACAGCGGCTGCAGGACAAGAGTGCAGGAGCAGCACTTCCCACTTGTGATGTCCAGCAACTGGGGTATTCAGAGGCCAGTAAAGTTGGCCATCCAACCTCTGCTAAAAAGCCTCCAAGGAAGAAAAGTCCACCTCCCTCTGGAGAATCCCTCTGGAGCAGAAGGACACGAGCTTGGTCCACCTTCCACATGACAGCCTGATAGATATTTGAAGATGGCTCTCATATCGCCTCTCACTCTTCTCTTTTCCAGGATTAACATACTCATTTCCCTCAACTGTTCCTCATAAAGCTTGGTTTCCAAGACGCTTTATGTTCTTGGTCACCCTTTGCACACGTTCTAGTTTGTCAATATCCTCCTTAAATTGTGGTGCCCAGAACTGTGGGAGATATTTATATTATTATTTATTTATACATACCCCACCTTTCTCCCTGACAGGACTCAAGGTGCTTACAGATAAAAACAAGAATTGCTAAAAACATAGAAAAATCAAATAATGAAAAAACAACAAAACACTGATAGAATTAAAAACTATATACATATACAAAATAGGTTTAAACCATACAAATAGTTGAAAACAGCATGGCACCAGCCCTTTAACTAAAGCAGTCAATTCCCAAAAACCTGTTGGAACAACAAAGTTTTCACCTGCTGGCAGAAGGACAACAAGGAGGGAGGCGGCCTATTTTTTCTAGGAAGGGAGTTCCAAAGTCCGGCAGCAGAAACTGAGAAGGCCCTCTCCCATGTCCCTACCAAGAGAAGGGCCTCCCCTGAAGATCTCAAAACCTGGACAGGTTTGGATGAGGGAGTGTAGTCTTTCCGATAGCTTGGACCTAAACTGTGTAGGGCTTTATAAGCCATAACCAGCACTTTGAATTGTGCCCAGAAACAGACCCGTAGCCAGTGGAGCTGCTCTATTAAGAGAGTCCTATACTTCCCATAACTAGCCCCAGGCAACAATATGGCTGCAGCTAATTGAGTTGAAGTTTTTGTGTTCATTTCGAAGGCAGCCTTGTGTAGCGCATGCTACAGTAATCCAAGCAGGATGTAGCTAAGGCATGTCTCACTGTGGCCAAATCGGACATCTCAAGGAACGGGGGCAGCTGGCGCACTAGCTTTAATTGTGCAAATGCACTGCTGGCCGCCACAGGGACCCGGGCATCCATGCTCAGGGCTGAGTCCAGGAACATCCCCAAACTGCAAGGCTGTGTTTTCAGAGGAAGCGTTCCCGCACCCAGCACAAGCTAAATCCCTGTTCCCTCTGTCTTGTCTGCGCTAAGTTTCAATCTGTTGAGCCTCATCCAGTCTATTCCTGAGGATAGACACTGGTTTAGAACCAAGATGGCTTCCTTGAATGTTCACAGAAAGGAAAAATAGAACTGAGTGTCATCACTGTACTGGTGGCATCCAACCCCGAAACTCCAGACAGCCTCTCTCAGTGGTTTCATGTAAATGTTAAACAGCATGGGGGACAGAACCAAACCCTGAGGGACCCCACAGGCCAATGGCTAAGGCATTGAACAGGAGCCCCCCAGCATCACCACCTGGGTTCAGCGCTCCAGGAAGGAACAGAGCCACTGTAGAACAATGCTTCTAAGTCCCATCCCAGCAAGGTGGCCCAGAAGGATACCACAGCAGAACCAATAGGGACACACACCCCTGTCCAGTTCACAGCGTAAGTCATTCACTGAGGCGACCCAAGTCGTCTCTGGGTTCATCATAGGAGCCAACTCCTAGGGGCCGAGGGGTCTTCAGCCCCCCAATAAAATTTTTGAAGGGGCAGGGGGGGCCTCAAGTTGAAGGGCTTTCCCATTCAAATGGTGTGCATGCACTGCGTCATGTGATTGATTACGCAGGGCAGCGCTTACCTCAATATTTTATTCAAGTTAGCACCCCTGGGGCTCATCTTGTCCCACTGCTTTCCCCTGGTTGTGGGGGGCAGGGAGAGAACCACTGTTTAGCACTCACATGGCAATTCAGGTTTTCGATTTACATCTGGAAGAATTCATGGGTTTTCCCTGGGAAAGGAGCAGGGTGAGGGGAGAACCGCTCAGACCCCTGTTTTCTAGGCACGGGACATGCAGAAGTGTGGATGATCCCTCAGTCCCATAGCCAGGCCTGAAACCTAATTGAAATGGGTCGAGATAATCAGTCTCCTTCGGAAACCACTGGTTTCATGCAGTTTTGGGCTTAAGGGAGTCCCATGGTGAGTGGTCATCCCAGCACAGTAAGACAGGCCATCTTCAGGGGCCCATTTCATCAGGTGTCCCTGGCTTCGCACACTCTGAAGTTCAATGGGTGGCAATGGGAGGGGGGATGTCTGTGAAAAGCTTTTCCCCGTCAAGGGTTACCTGGCAGCAGCCTCAATGTACATTTCATATTTACATTTATACCCTGCCTTTCTTTCCAGGATCTCAGGGCAGTGGACATTGCTTTCCTCCTCTATTTTATCTTTGCAACCACCCTGTGAAAGAGACAGTGACCGATCCAATATCGCCTTGTGTGCTTCTTGGCTGAGCAGACATGAACCTGGGTGGGACCTTCCCACTCCTGGTCATAACCTTTTTATTGTTTCAGTGCTGCTGTTTTATTCCTCGGTTATTTTAGTCACTGTGTTATTGTTGCTTTAGATTTTATTGTCTATTGCTTTGTCAGCCATCCAGGAAACATTCTTTACTCTGAAAAAGGGCCCAAATTATCAAAATGAATTTCATTGGGGAGAAATGTAAGGTTCTGCATTTGGGCAGGAAGAACCAGATGCAGAAATATAGGATGGGAGACACCCGGCTTCCCAGTAGTACATGTGAAAAGGATCTAGAGGTCTTGGTGGACCACAAGCTTAACATGAGTCAATAGTGTGATGCAGCAGCAAAAAAGCTAATGCTTTTCTAGGTTGCATCAACAGAAGTCTGATGTACAGATCAAGGAAAGTAATAGTACCACTTTGTTCTGCCTTGGTCAGACCACACCAGAAATACTGTGTCCATTTAACAAGGATATTGACAAGCTGGAACATGTGCAGAGGAGGGTGACCAAGGTGACCAAAGGTCTGGAAACCAAACCTTATGAGGAACAGTTGAAGGAAAAGAGGAGACTGATAGGGGATATGAACCAATGAATTCAGGTTATAGGAAAGGCGATACATCTGGAAGAACTTTCTGATAGTAAGAGATGTTCAATTGCACAATGGACTCCCTCAGAAGGTGACAAACTCTCCTTTAAGCAGGTTTTTAAGCAGAGGTATGGATGGCCATCTGTCATGGATGCTTTAGTTGAGATTCCTGTATTGCAGGGGGTTGGACTAGATGACCCTTGGGTCCCTTCCAACTCTACAATTCTAGGATGAAAATGAAAGAGCTGGGTGTCACCTGAAAACATGGAAGATGGTGCCACATGCTAAAGTTGCACAAGGTGACCTTTTCCAACTCTGCAATTCTGTGATTCTATTATTCTGTTTCAATTTATGGATGTAAGAACATCTGTTCCAGCATCCTGTTCTCACAGTGGCCCCCCAGATGCCCCACATGCAGAGCCCAGAAGCAGGTCCTGAGTCTAAAAGTCCCCTTCCCTCCTGTGGTATTTTAATGGTGCTGAGAGATGTTAGGAGACCCCTATTCCTCTCCCAGAGCGACATTCATTATTCACAGAGAACTTTGAAGACTGTAGCTCTGTGCTACAATTCTCAGTGCCCTTAACAAGCTACCCTTCCCAGAATTCTTTGGGGGGAGCCATGTTTGATTAAAGTGGTATCATAGTCCTTAAATGTATGGTGTGAACATAGCCATAGTGTGAGACATCGAGATAATTCCTTTTTTTTTTTTTTACCCTGGAATGTGGGAGAAGCATAGACCCTCACAAAAGTTTTAGGCTTGGCACATATCTGCACTTGGAGAAGATGGAGAATGTGATCTAATGCATGGTTCGGCTGATTAATTCACTAGTGGAAATTGATTAAAGGCCAAGGACTACCTGATACATTGCAACATCCCTGCCTCTTCCCTTTGGTGAGTGAGAATTACAACATTCTCTCCCCTCCTGATAGAGCTCTGCAGGCATCTCTTAGGTCCTCAGCGCCATGTGTGAATCTTCTCAGGGATCAAGGGAAGCCCCTGAAACCGCGGTCAATAGCTGTTGTGCTTGATTCAGCCGCATGACCATGTTTTGTATTTCTTTCTGAAGTAGAACTATCTCTCTTGATTTAATTAAGAACCTAAGGAGGTTCTTCAGGCCAGTGACCCATCTAGTTCAGCATCCTGTTCCCAGTGGCCAACCAAATGCCTGTGGAGAACCAGCAAGCAAGACCTGAACACAAGAGCACTCTCCCCTCTTGTGGTTTCCAGCAAACAAGCAGTGCACGGCTAGCAGTTCCTGATAGCCTCATCCTCCATGAATCTGTCCATTTC